ACAGCCGCCTCCCTCCCATTCACAGTGGTTTGTTCCAAGGCTTGTGTGTACCAGCTGGGAATCCAAGACACTTACGAGCATGACGGGTTAACATCTACTACCACAATGCTCTTTGATACGCTGCTTGGCGAGGTACTACTACTACTCTCGTTACGGTTGCTGAGATACAGTGTACCTGCTGGAAGACTCACAATAGGGAGGGGATGATACCTTCTCTTACTCGTAATTGCCATGTACGTAGTAAGTACAGCCAACATCTATGAGTTGCCCTGCTACCCTTACTCTGTATGACCTGACCTGACCTAACCTGGACCCGACCTGAACCTGGGCTGACCCTGTCATCTTTTGGCTTGGCCAACCCCTGCCCTGCGGCACTCCTCATCCTCCTGCCTCCCCCAAAACGTTGCATCTGCTACATAGTACAGCGACTGAACCCTGGTTCAGCCCCTGGCGCCGTCCCCTTTCGCCTACTGTGGGCATGTTCTGCACTGTTCTTGTGGAGAGGCTGCCACCCTGTGCGTACTGTGTGTGATGGCAAGAGAGAAGGTTCGTCTCGTAAAATGCTCCTCCCCCGTGCCCCCCTGTCGTACCCACCCCTGATGCTTGTCGACTTTTCCCACCACTCCCACTCACTTTAATTTTTTGTTTTGGGGGCTGGTCCTTTCCTCTCTGTTTCCTCGTTCAGAACGCAAGCTTGGCCTACGATCCATCCTTCTCATCCGATCCTCAGCATACATACACGCTATCCCATATACGACAGTTCCCGTCCCAGCCATCTTTCTCTGGCCCTGCTTTTTCACAAACAAGCTACTACTACTACTAGTACCCTTTAGAGCGTACTGTGGTACTAGTACTCTCCTTACCTTGTGGGCCGCCCAGACCTGCACCCATACACCCTGATGGCTCCTGCAGACAGAGAGCCCTGGGGAGAGGAGAGGGGGGGCAGGGCCCACCGCCGTACCAGGACAAGGACCGCCGAGCCGTGGAGCGTAGTTGGGTTGTGGGCTAGGTTTGAACAGTGAACTGTGTGAACAGCCAAGCAAGTGAATGAATAGTGAAGGGTGGATCGTAGTGAATGGCGGACAAGAGGGAGAGAGAGAAAAAGAGAAGAAAATAAAAAAGGGCGGCACGGATTATGACAGGACAGCACAGCGACAGTAACAGTATCAGAACCAGCAGTGGGCGGCACAGGTGGATCGGTTGAGTGGGTGCTCGCAATCCCAATTCGGTGGGTGCATGCTCCCGTATGTCCCTCAATATTAATAAAAGCAAACCCCAGGCAGGAGGAGGAGGGGAGGGGGGAGGGGCAGCAGAGAAGAAAAAGAGAAGAAGAGGAAAAAAATTATGGACCTCGGGCTCCACCATCACCTGCAGCCTCCTTCGTTACTATCCAGGCCGACTCCAAATCCGACGTCGACATCGACACCACTTTCACTCCCTGCCGTGACTGCAATTCCAGGCCACTCCCAATTGGCCGCCTCCTCCTCGTCCTCGTCCTCGTCGTCTTCGCCCTTCTTGTCCCCGTCCTTCTTCTTCTTCTTCTTCTTCTTCTTCTTCTCCTCCACCACCACCATCTCCTGGTCCTTGCCCTCGTTCTTCTTACATTGACGCGTCCTCCACCCTGCTGCCGTCGACCTTCCACCACCACTTCTCCAGACACTCGCCTCTGCACCCGTTGATACCCGCCCTCGCCCACGACGCTAACACCACGTCCACGATACCAGCCACTTCAGCAGCAGCCTCTTTTGGCCATAACCTTATTTAAACATCCTCCTCTACATCACCCTATATTTCTGTCGTTACTGGTCCACTGTTCTCCCGCCTCGACTGGTCCTCGCAGGGAATCGTCGTCTATACTGCCTTTCATCAGCACTTTTTTTTTCTTTTTGGTTGTTTTCTTACCACGTCCATCCAGCTGCAACCTGAGGACGAGACTTATAGTCTGTCCCGAGCGCAACGAGAAGCAGCCGTGGTGGAGATATATATACACACACATATACATACATAAATATATATTATCCCCCACGGTCGCTCCAGACAGGGACACACAAACGCAAGTCGCAAGCATCGGAAACTGACCAGTTTCGCGATTATACTGTTCAAATATTCATCAACCTCGACCTCCATTCTATAGGGCAACGGCCCCGCCCCCTTACGACCTGCCAGCAGAACCGCCAGTAGTTTCTGCGGCAGCAGTGGCATCGAAGCCAGCACTAGCACTGGTCGATCCGAACAGCCTCCCAATTGTCAGCAGCAACAACAACAACAACAACCCCGACGACCCTCTTCTCCCCGTCCTCGACCCTCCTCGTCCGCGTTCGGGGTGCATGCCACCAGCTCAAAGGCACACAATATCCGCCCTCCTCCTCCTGACCTGTCCTCGTTCGCCTCCTCTCCCTCTCCGTCCATGTCCCACCCTCCTCAGCCCGCTGGCCCTCCACGCCAACACCAACAACACCAGCCACAGCCACAACACCACCAGCATCCGCACCAACACCAGCAGTCACCGCAGGATGCTGTTGTCCCGCCACCGCAACAACACCACCAGGCCGTAAGCTACCCTCCGCCGGGTCCTCACCATTATGTGACCCACGGCCCTCCGACCGGACACACGCCCGCGGCCCAGTACAGCTACCCTAGCCCTGGGGGACAATCTGTTGATCAGTATCGTCAAAGTCCGACCGGCCCGCCGCCGCACCAGCTTGCGCTTCCCAGTATGCGCAGCTTCGACCAGCAGGGCCAGCAGGGCCACCACCACCAGCAGCAGCAGGCGGCGCTATCACCACATCTTCAACAGCAGCAGCCTCAACCTCAACACCACCAACCTGCGGCGCAGTCTCCCTATCCTCAGGTCCAGCACCATACGCAGCATCAGCCCCAGCATCCCCAGCAGCAACAACCACAACACCACCCAAATCCGTATCACCAGATGCACATGTCTCCAGGGGGCCCGATGGGCTCGACCATGGCTCCTGCCCCGCACATGAACTACTTCCAGATCCAGACACAGCCCTACGTGCAGGAATCCATAGGCATGCGGTACGGACTGCCGCCGGGGTTCTACGATCCAAGGATGCAGTTGGGCCCCGGGAGGCACAAGAAGGTATGTACCGTGTGCGCATCCTCGCACCTTTGGTCGTTTTTCTTCTTCTTTTGCTTCTCTCCTTCTTTTGCCAGGGAGGGGGGAAATTCTGGGTGGAAGAGGGACTTGGCCAAGATTTTACCTCCTGAGCTGGTCACGCAGGCAGGTTCCTTGCTGCGTGCAGGCGTCGACGGGGCTTCGGGGCTTTGAGACACAGAATCATGCGTTTCTTCTTCGCCTCCAAGGTCCCTGGGCTGTCACTGACGGTGGGATGGTGTTGCTAATAGGAGATCAAGCGTCGGACCAAGACTGGTTGCCTAACTTGCCGGAAACGAAGGATAAAGGTGCGTTGCGATTGCCATCTGTGTTTTCTTAATGTCATGACCTGTTCCTCCCTTCCCCCTTTTCAATACTCCCTTTTCCCATCTACCATCATCACCACCTCCCACCTTCTCGGCTCACCGTGTTGGGGATCCATATCACACTCAATGTGACGAGATCTGGTGGAGGACGAAGCTATACGAGAGATGTTGGCTGGTTTCCAAGATGCCATATCGTGTCGAGGAGGAACGCAGCATGGGGGTTGTGAGAGGCTCTGGTCTCCATGAAACATGCCCTACTACTGCGTGGAGAGGAAGCATATGAGAATGATAAGATGATCCGCTCGCCTGGTGGGGCATTGGAAAGTGAGAGGGTTTCCCCTTTCCCAAACATGACTTAGTGCGTGGCGTGGCGCGGTCTCTTGTCTAGCGGGCTCGTTCGCGTCAACGGTTGTTTGTGGGAATAGGATGGAGGGTGTCTGACCAGGGGAAGCCAAGGTCGACGACCCATCCTTGACTCTCAAAGAGAAGAAGCGCCCTTGGGGTTCCTAGCTCTTGCTGGGTTCCTGGGTTCTGGGGTTCTGGGCACTTGATGGACTCTTGGCCTTGGAGTCCTTGTTCGCTTCTGTCCCTCTACACATTCTTTCTCTCTCTCTCCTTCTGGAATGGAAGGCCTCTTGGGTAAAGAGGTGGGCTCGGCCCGAGGGAGACAAGAGGAAGACTAGAGACGGGCACAGGCAGCAACTAGGTTCCCACGTGCCAGGGAGAAAACAAGGAGACACCAGGGCCAAGCAGCACAGAAAGACACGTGAGGCAAGGCCTGACTGACGTCCAGTCCGTCGTCTTGTCCGTCTGGTCTCCATCGTCCCGTCCCGACGCGTCGTCCCAAGATCACACAACCCCTGTTGCCTTGTCTCGCCTGCGCTGGTTGTTCCTGCATTCGCTTCCGCCTGCTCGGCTCGCCTCAGGGCATCATCCATCCACTCTTTTCTCTCCACTGCACAGAGCTTAGCCTGGTGGCCCCACCAGCCGTCACGCACCAATTGCTGCTGCTGCTGCCTGTCCCCTTCCCCCTTCCTGCTCTGTCTCTCTCTCTCTCTCTCGCCCCTTCCCTTTCTTATTGCCCTTCTCGCCAGCTCATGTGGGTCTGTGCAACTTTGGGGCTAACGCGTTGCTGTACGCTCCTGCTACCTTTCTAGTGCGACGAGACACACCCTACGTGCAACAACTGCAAGAAATCCAAGCGCGAATGCCTGGGCTACGACCCTATCTTCAAGCAGCAACAGGGCCCGAATACCCCACACCCTACATCCAGCGGCGAAGTCTCTCCCTCGACGCCTACGACCGGCGGCTCCACCGCACCCTCGGCTGCGCAGGCGCCCTACACCACGCATCCCACGCCCATCCTGACCCCCAGTGAGCCTTCCAGCGCGGCGACGGGCGAACCCTGTGGAGGGCCAGAGACGACAGCTTTCAAGCCTCAGCAGGGGCGCGAGGTAGAGAAAACCTCGGCCAACATCGACCCCAACCTGGCCTCCTCTTTCGCCCTCGTCGGTGCCGGCACCGCACACCACGCCGCCGTGTCCACGACCGATTTCATGAACCAGCAGCCCGGCGAGGCACTACAGCTGAGAGGAGGAGGAGGCGGCGGCGGCTCTCCTTTCAACTTTACCTCCTCATCGTCAGCCGACCCCCTCTCCCCCCAGCCCTTGCCCTCCCCTTCGCCCCCCTTCAGTAGTACGCCTGCAGCAAGCGCATACGCTTACTCGAGTTGTCCAGCAAAGATGAAAGTCGATGACCTCGTCGCCATGTCGGGGGCGGCGCCCCCCGAGACGAACCTGATGCCCACCCCGCAGTCAGTGGAGGAGCTCACCAGGATCTACTACGAGATCTACGCCCCTGGCCTCTGCCATTTCTTCGAGTCCCGCTGGTTCAACTTCAAGACCGAGGGCCACAACCCCGTCTCCATACTTCTGCACAACAGGCCGCTCATCTCCCTATTGGGCAGCTTCCTCGTCTCCCTCCACACCGTCAACGCGGACCCCGTCCATACCGCCTTCTGTAGCCACATCGAAACCCGTGTCGTCTGGGCCCTGACGAAGCTGGCCTATACCACCCAGCTCGGCGCCAACACGCCGCGCGACGATCCCCTGCCTGATGACAACGCCAGCGAGGCCAGGAATCGCGTCTGCGTCGTCGAGACCCTCCTCGAGGGCGAGGATCTGACGACCAACCCTCTGTTGCCGCCTCCTAGGAATGCTGACCCGCAGCGGCGTAAAGAGTACGACTTTTGGTATTCTCTGGCTGAATCCCTGCGCTTGCCCGACCGCGCTGATCGGCACCAGCTCCTGCAGAGGATGCGCATGCTGCTAGACGGCCGCGAGAACCGCGACCTGCTGTATTCGCTCGCAATCATCCGCCATCTCGCCCCTGAATACGAAACGGGCTGGGAGGATAGGGTGCCGGACCATCTGAACGAGAAGGACCCTCTGAACCAGCTCCACGTGGCCATCCAATTCGTCAAGGCAGAGAGCTCGCCGACCGGTGGTACCACCAACGTCGTGCGACATTTTGCACACCTGGCCATCAAAGCCCTCATCAACCCTGGAGTGAACCTCTCCAAGAAAGCCTAGACACACTCCTTGGCAAGGCACACATGTTCCCTAGTCAATCTCAACGCGACAGGCTTGGCATGCGATCCTATCCCTGGCGGAAACAAAGTATCTCACACTTGCCATCATCATCATCATCATCATCATCATCATCATCATCATTCATCAAGAAAACAATAATGAGAACTATTTACGGAGCGAGGAAGAACTTGGCCCTGTTGTTGCATATAGCGTTGGGATTGAGGGCGCAAACAGCAAGTGAAACAGGGGTTCACTTAGCTTCTGCGTCGTCAACATGCGATTTCGAGGAAGGGAAAAAAACATCGTTCATTTTCATTCAGGGAGGTGCAAAGGGAAATGGGAAAAGCAACGGGTAGGTCTGTATCATAGGCATCATTCTTACCAGCAGAAACATTTAGTCAAGGGGCACCTCGGAGGTCGGGACAAGCAAACACAGTTTGGGAGTCGGCGATCACTTTGGTTTATGGTCACGGACCAGCCGACATTGTATTTCTAGTACTTAATTAAGCAAGGCGGCAGTAGGCTATACTCGCCGCCGTCTGTACCATATGGGAACTCAGATGACTTTTCTTTAGCCTTTCAGAATTCCAAGTCCGAAGTGAGGTCCATGGTGGTCTACAAATCTCTACTGCGCATGCCTTGCCTGGAGGGAAGACACACGTTCATCTGTAGGTTGATGGAGCAATGAAATACGAAACAAGGCACAGACACATTAGACAAGATGTGTGACCATACTTCCTGCGTCTTGGATTGAGATTTCACGCCAGCCATCCTCTTCCTCTAGCCGTGATCTAATAGACAAGACATATTCTCTATCCTTGACACACACACACACACACACACACACACACACTTCACACACACACGCACACATGTGCACACGCCCCTCACTCCATATGCCTCTGCTCAGGGACGATGCTCAGCAGCTTCCCCTCCTCGAGGGCCTTTCTCACGTTGGCCATGGTCCACTCCTCCATCTTGGCCATGGTCTGCGCCGTCGACGTGCCCATGTGCGGGATCAGGAGGACGTTATCGTTGGCCAGCAGGCCCGGATGGACCAGGGGCTCGTTCTCGTAGACGTCAAGGCCGGCGCTGGCGACTTTTCCCGTGTCGAGGGCCTCGACGAGGGCGGCCTCGTCCATGACGGCGCCGCGGGCTGTGTTGACGATGATGATGCCTTGCTTCATCAGGGCGAACTGATCGCGCGAGATGATGTGTCTTGTATGTTGCTGTGCGTGGGGCGTGAGTGAGTGAGTGTGGAAGGGCGGATCAGCAAATTTGTACACTGTGCTGAGTTTGGTTTTGTCTGTATGCATATATATTTTGATATACATGATATACATTTATAGTAAAAACAAAAGAGGGTAAACTTACATTGAGTGGTAGATTCAGGCTCAAGACGTCACTCTCCCGAAGCAGCGTCTCAAAATCCCTATACTCAGCCTTACACTCCCTCTCCTGTTCGGGCCGCAGCCTGTTCCGGTTGTGGTAGCGGATCTTCATGCCAAAGGCGAGGGCCTTCTTGGCCATGTTCTGGCCTATGCCGCCCATGCCCAGGATGCCCAGCACCTTGCCCTGGGGGTCCTGGCCCTGGCGGGGGGTCTCCTCCGGGCAGGCCCCGCGCCACACGCCGCGACGCATGTTGCGGATGGAGAGGTTGAAGTTGCGCAGGGCGCCCAGCATGAGAAACATGGCACAATCGGCGGTGGCGTCGTCGACGGCGGTCTGGATGTTGGAGACGCGGATGTTTCTTGCCGTGCAGGCGGGCACGTCGATTTGGTCGTAGCCGGCGCCGTTGTGGCAGATGAAACGCAGCGACAAGGGCAGCGCCGCCACGAGCTCGGCGTCGACGCGGCCCGTCACGTCCACGGACTCAAAGGTGCGGAAGGCCACTGTGCAGCCGTCGAAGGCGCCCGAGCGGCACTCGGCGAGGAAGGAGGCCCTGTCTGTGGACTGGGGCACGACGATATCGGCCGTGCTGCCAATGGCCGCCCAGGTGGCGTGGGCATTCTCGATAATGCCGAGCTGGAGGACACGAGGCCGCGTCGTCATCGTGGGTAGCAGATGCCGACTGATTGATTCTGTCTTACACACATGTACACACACACACACACACACACACACACACACTTGGCTTGGTCTGAAGGAAGGGAAGAAAGAGGAGGAGGAGGAGGAGGAGGAGGTGAAGGTGAAGGGAAGAGAGATAGAAGGTTTGCTACCTTTGGATATACACCCGCCGTCGTCCCTCGTTGTAGCTTTGATCACCACTAAGCGATGTGACCTCGATCTAAATATTCATACATACAACTGAAACCGTCAGCGAGAAGGATCTCGTCTAAGAGGAGTAAGAGAGAGTGAGATCACAATCACGAGTTACACAAATCAGACACACCCAGAGGTTATATACACACAAACACACACACAAATATATATAATACAACAACAGTAACAACAACGACGTCAACAACAACAACAACAACAACAACAACAACAACAAATGTGATATGAATATCGTTTAGCGAACGGAGCGATGTTTTAGACTCCCATGACGTTCTGGTTCGGGATCCGCCATCGCCAATCACGACTCGCAAAGGAGACCGTCGACATTGGCATGATTGGATGGGACCGAGGAAAAGGAGTCATGCAGATGGATTGCGTGCCCTCGGGATGGAACAGGAATAGGAGGATTGCGTGGTGGTGTAAAACGGGTGCGCGCGCGCGTGTGCGTGTGGGAGGGAGGGAAGAAAAGACAAAAAGAGACTGGAGATAGGAACGGCATCGGCATTGCAATATCACTTTGAAGGAGGGGTGATGTGGTGTGTGTGCGTGTGTGTGCGTGTGTGTAATCTAGCACCGGGCACCGAGAGGACCGCAGTGCCGAGCAATGCCCAAGTGACATCTTCTCCATCCAATCCAGCACGATAAGTAAATGTATATCTGCAGAGGGAAGAGAGGGGGCCAAGAGGGGGGAGCACAAATCTCGTACATGAGAAAACCCGAACCGCCGACTCTGTTCTCCCTCTTGACCGACTCTGGAGTCTTGGGCATGTGTGTTGAGGTGGTCATTATACATATGTTTATATATATTTATACACATATGTTCAATGACTGTCTGTGTGTGCATATCTATATATACACCCATGACAATAATGGTTTATAGATGGTAAAAGAAAAGAGAGAACGGGAATGCATGCATGAGGGGATCAAGGGAAGAAGAGAAAAGGATGGAAAAAGAAATTTAAAAAGAATAGTGTTAACTTACAGAAACTGATGGAGCACGAGACGTTGATGTATAGTATGTCTGCCGTTGCACAGGTCGTGGACAGGGAACAAGTGGATGGCAGGCAAAAGAACAAGTTTATCTGGCCGAAAAGAAAAAAAGAGGGAGTCAAAAAAAAAGAAGAAAGGAGAAGAAGCCAGTGCGTACTCTGTGTGACTGAATGTTATCAAGGTTTGTTGTATGCAACTATACTTTGGCAGTCGGTCCGGGACTCCAAATGATGGTTCTGAATCAAACCTACCGCGTGGAGATATACGAATACATTACATAGTATTATTATACAGTATGTGCATAAGTTACTCGGTATGAAACCGCCCTTTTTTCTCGTCAAGAGCTGCCTTGCTTCAATGCATGGGGGTCCACTCCGAGACCGCTCCGGCTAATCTCCACCGGACCGGCCTATTCCTACGCAGCAATATACATATTTGTTGCAAAGGCCAGGCAGTAAACAAGACATGAATGAGACCTTCTTTTTTTGGGCTGACGGGCGTGACGCAAAATGGTTTACGACAACAGAGAGAAGTATACCAAGGTAGCGAGCAGGGAACAGGTAACAAAAAGAAGACGGTACAAGTCACGATGGCCTCAGTCGCACAGCATGGCATGGTTTGGTGCTTGAGCAACCAGCTTGCTCCCTTGAGACGTCTTCCTGTCTTTTAGAAGTATCTCCCGTGTCTACTACTATTCTTCAGGCTTCGGTTGACGAGCCAACCCCCATCGTCTCCTCCGCCCATCTCGCCCACGCTCTCCATCAACAGGCTCTTAAGAGTGTTGCTGCACTGAGCACGCTTCTCACGTGTCTCTCTCGCTTCAAACGCCTTTTTCCAATCGTGCGCGTGGGGGGGATATCAATATATCAGTGGTATAAGTCGACCCAACGCCATTTTTGTTGAAAAAAAGCATGCTGTTGTTGCCCCACCCCACCACGCATCCGATTCAATGCCTTCATTGCTCCTGACCAATCTCCCATGGAAATAAGTAAAGGAAAAAAAAAAAAACCAAAGAAAAAAAAAAGGACAGCAAAGCAAGGCTGAGATGCCAAACCATGTCCTACAGAATCGTCGACATCATTATGCTGTTGAGAACATAGACTATTTTGGCGAAAACCCCCATAACGCAATATCGCTCGTCAGGTCATGTGATATTATGGCGAGCTACGTTGTTGAAACATACGCAGGCACGCTCTCTCTGTGTCTCTCGTACAAGGGGGCAGTGATTGGTATATGTGTGTACTGCTTAGTAGCGGTAGCTGGAGGGGGAGAGAACAAAATGTTAGCGAAGCTGGTCAGGTAGGAAGATGAGGAAATTGGGAAAGGAGAAAGGCGGTGTCACATACTGGTCGCTCTTGTAAGGGCCCTCAACATCCAGACCAAGGTACTCGGCCTGCACGGGGGTGAGCGCGGTGAGCTCGACGTTGACGTGGTCCAGGTGCAGCTTGGCGACCTCCTCGTCCAGAATCTTGGGCAGGACGTAGACCTGCTTCTCCAGCTTGCCGGTCTTGGCGAAGGCGATGTACTTCTCGCCAAACGCCTTGTCCTCGTTCTTGTACAGCATGATCTGGGCCAGCACCTGGTTGGTGAAAGAGCAGGACATGACAAAGGACGAGTGGCCGGTGGCGCAGCCCAGGTTGACCAGACGACCCTCAGCCAACAGGATGATGTGGCGGCCGTTCTTCATCAGGTAGCGGTCGACCTGGGGCTTGATGTTCTGCACGCTCGCGGCGTTGGCCTTGAGCCAGGCGACGTCGATCTCGATGTCGAAGTGCCCGATGTTGCAAACAATGGCGTCGTTGGGCATGGCCTCGAAGTGCCTGCTGACGAGGATGTCACGGCAGCCCGTGGTGGTCACAAAGATCTGGCCGAGCTTGGCGGCGTTGTCCATGGAGATGACCTGGTAGCCGGCCATGGCTGCCTGGAGGGCGTTGATGGGGTCGACCTCGGTGACGAGCACGCGGGCGCCCATGCCGTGCAGAGCCTCGGCGCAGCCCTTGCCGACGTCACCAAAGCCGGCGACGACGGCGATCTTGCCAGCAATCATGACATCGGTGGCACGCTTGATGCCGTCGATCAGGGACTCACGGCAACCGTACAGGTTGTCGAACTTGGACTTGGTGACCGAGTCGTTGACGTTGATAGCGGGCACCAGGAGCTCGCCCTTCTTGAGCATGCGGTACAGGTGGTGGACGCCCGTGGTGGTCTCCTCAGAGACACCGTAGCAGTCCTTGAGCATCTCGGGGTACTTGTCGTGGACGAGGTGCGTCAGGTCACCGCCGTCGTCGAGGATCAGGTTCAGCTTCTTGCCGTCCTTGAAGGCGCTCAGCTGCTGCTCGAGGCACCAGTTGTACTCCTCCTCCGTCTCGCCCTTCCAGGCAAAGACGGGGACGCCTGCAGCGGCGATGGCGGCGGCGGCATGGTCCTGGGTGGAGAAGATGTTGCACGAGGACCAGGTGACCTCAGCGCCGAGGGCGACCAGCGTCTCGATGAGGACGGCAGTCTGAATGGTCATGTGCAGACAGCCAGCAATGCGGGCACCAGCAAGAGGCTGGTCCTTGGCATACTTCTGGCGGGTGGCCATCAGACCAGGCATCTCGTTCTCGGCCAGCTCAATCTCCTTGCGGCCGAAGGCGGCGAGGGACAGGTCGGCGACCTTGAACTTGTTGGCGGGAGCAGACATTGTCGGAAAAGGTTGTAAGTGAAGCACGGGGGAAGAAAGGGAGGAGATTTGTAGACTCTGTGGCGGTAAGAGCAATGGTCAGCGCTGTGGACGAAGACTTTAGAACAGAAGAGAAGAGACACCTCAACTCTTTGAGGAGGAGAAAGGAGATGATGGAAAAGGAAGGAGGAGGAGGAGGAGCTTTTTAAGAACGAGACGAGCTGTTGGGGGGTAAAAAAATCTGAAGCCCGTTCATGTTCGGTTCGGCGAGTTTTCCAACAAGTCTCCGTGCACACCCAACAGCTCCGAGCTTGCTCACTAGGGGGACAACACAGTAGGAATTGTGACTAGATTTAGCCAAGACAAAGTTACTTACAGTGATCAATCCCGTCACAGGAATGATTGAGGACAATTGAAGAGAGGAAGAGTTGCTGTTTGATTGCGGTGGAAGGGACAAGGAAGAAGAAGAAAAAAAGAAAAGACGTTAAGGGAGGGGCGAGGAAAGTCTCGTGTCTTAGGAGGGGAAAAAAGTTTCGGGGGGGGGGGGGCGTTCGCCTTGGGAAAATGGAGGGGAAATTGCCATTTTGCAGCTCTGGGCCACCCAAAATTCGACCCTGACCCACAAGCGTGCTCACCCCTGACGGCCCTACTGGTTGGCTGGACTGCAATGGGCAAGTGTTGGAGGGGCGGGGCATGTTTTGGGAGGGACCTTGGGCGAAAGATAACCCCCCCCCAAAATACACTACCAAAAACTACAACACACCAGCTGGATGCATTTCCTAGCATGTAATTTCAGCTGTCATCTTCTCTTTGTCTGCTACCATAGTACCATAGTAATGAATAGTGTCTCGATACCTAGCAACATTTTGGCTGCTACAGTGTGGCAAGGTATGATTGACTTGTGTGGTCAGTTAAACATAAATATGCGTACGGTGATTGATGTAAATAAAATCGGCAGTCGACTAGACGGCTCGTCTCTGTTTCTGTCTGTATATCCTTCCAAGTACTGTCTAGCCCTCTCTGCCCGGCAATACCTGCCAGCCCGGCCCTGTAACATCTTGGCAGGATATCCATCATCACCTTGTCCCATACCGACAATCCGTGATCATCTCCTTGGTTTTTGCTTGTCTTTCCAGCTTTCTACATGCCTTGAGGGAGAGATCCATAGCGCACTTGAAGTGATCGCCTGAACGCCTAAACCATGCAGCCCATAGTTTGACCGTTTTTCGACCTCCTCCACCTAAACAACAAGATTCAGCCACTCCCCTCCTTTTGACCTTCTTGAACACCCCTTACTCCGGCAGCAGATTACCCCGGACAGCAAACATCTTGGCGCTGATGTTGGCCGTGAACCCATCCAGCTGCCGGCTGTACTGCTCCACCTGCCTCGCGTTCAGCATGCCCTCCAGGCGGCTGGGCTCTGGGGGCAGCTTGAAGAGCCTCTGCCACTCGTCTTCGGGCAGCAGCGGCTGCTTGGCTGCGGCCCGAGAGGCATTCTCCGCCTTCCGCTTAGTCTGCCAGGCCGTGATCTTAGTTTGTTCGCGCGCGAGCTGCCTCTGGTAGTACTGGTGGTTGTTGAGATCCGTGTAGTGCGACTCGACGCTGTCCAGGAGCAGATCGCACGTCTTCTCCAGGAAAGGATCGATGGACAGGTCCAGGGTGTCCAGCGAGGGGTAAGGGGGAATCTGGACCGGGGCGCGCTCGATATCGGCCAGCGACGAGGGCAGGGGCACGTCGGGGTCAGTGGGCGGCACGGGCAGCTGGTGCAGGAAAGAGGTCAGGAGGTGAGAGTTGTGGATGTTGACGGGCAGCTCCAGCAGGATATCCCTGTACGTGAGCTTGGACTTCTGCAGGCTGTCGGTGGTGAACTTGCCCTCCTTGTAGGCGGCCATGAAGGTGCTGGACAGGCGGAAGGCGCGAAGGCTGAGTGATCCCTGCGAGGAGCGGCTGACATCGTGGACGAGGGCGACGACGTTGTTGTTCTCGCGCTGGTAGTGGTACTGGTTCTCGATGAAGCCCAGGTTGATGAAGTTGCCCATGGTGGCGCTGGTGTACCATCCGACATTGTTGGCGTCGACATTCACCTCCTTGAGATGCCTTATCATCTCGTTCTGGTAGTTGATGTTGGCCTTGGCGCGGGGAGCCGCAGCCGCCAGGCTGGAGGCATCGTTCTGGTGCGAGTCGGCGCTGGCGACGTCGATGGTAGGGAAGGGAAAAGTGTTTGTGACCTCGAGGAGGCCGTTATTGTCCATACCCACCAGAGATCCGGTGGCGGTTGTAGGGAAGCTGGTGGAGGAGTGCTTGGTGATCTTCATCACCACCTAAAGTCGCAGCAACAAGAAGAGACATTAGCCATCGTGATCAAACACTACATATATACATATTGATCCTTTCCGAGGACCAGATAGGTCATCATGAACCAAGAAGAGTCTTGACATCGCGACAGATACGCGGCGAAAAGGTCGCGAGGTCGCGAAAGCCAGAGACTGGAGAGGTGGGGCAGTAGGCGGGCTTGGGTGAGGAGGGTAGACTGGGAATCTAGAATAAGGGAAAAAATGGGTTGTATCAATAGCATACCAGGGCTTCGACTTGCACCGACTTGATGGCCTCATCCTTCTTTGCGTCCGCCATGATTGCAAACAGCAGATTTCCCTCTGCTCTCCGTATTATCTTGGACAAGGGTCGACGGTCGTGGAGGAGGGCGTGTCTGAGGGGGGGAGAGGAGGCGGTCCTTGAGCGACTTGGTTGTTGAATGGAGGACGATAGTTTTTTGAGGTTTTGGTGCGGCGCGTTTGGTGGGGCTCCTAGACAAAGCAAAGGGGTTCTGATTGGCTGGGGCACTTCGGTCAGGGAGTCCCGGTGTTGCCAGTGTATGCCCTGGGAGTGGTTTAGCGGGCTTTTGGAGGGGCAAAGGGCAGAGGGGCGGCGAAGGCCCAACCTCCAGCGTGCCGCAGTGAGCCAAGCTCACTATGCCTTCTAGTGTAGCAGCGCAGCGCAGTACACTGGTAGTGGCTGGCCAGTAGACAAAGACTATGTAAATTATCCAGACTCGAAGCCCGATGGAAGAAGAATGTAATGTGTAGAATTCCTAGTCAAAAGAATGCCGTCTATCTTTCTTCCATTGCCCCTCTGCTTCCTGTTCTCCCCGTCCTATTATATTTCTTATCTCCATTTGCTCAAGATAAAGAAAAATACGTGATCACTCACCCTCTGAATGCGACCTGCTGTTTACTGCTTTAGGGGGTTGTGTGTTAGGTATACCGCGCTGAACCGCGGCGGATGAGCAACTGGATCGTCACACTAGGGGGTGGAAAAAAAGACCCATAATCATTATCATAATACCCCCAAACCTCATCCCACTCTCATCCCACGGCTCCCCCACGCCAATGTTGATTTAGAACAATCTTAAAGTCAGCCTCTCCCGTCCACAGAACACACTTCATCTCCTGACCCATCCTCTTCTTCTTCATTTCACGCCTGCTTGGTCAAAGTCTACCCTTTCCCCCGTGTCCGTGAGATGACCAAAAACAGCGGCCGTGCGCTCGAGGCCCAGACATGGTCGTGGGCTCCAACACTGAACTATCCGACACCTGACTGATACGATCATGTCGCACGTTCTTATTCTTCCTACAACCCGGTACACCTCGGGTCTGGTCTGAGCCTCTTCACCTTCTTTCTTCCCAGTCGTCCACTTTCGACGCTGGTGGTGTAGCGAACGGAAGCACCGAGACAATACCCAGCCAGCCAGTCCACCACACGAGACGGGACTGGTGTCGTCCCGTCTACGTCCATTTGACAATCTTCCAGTTGTTCACACCGTCATCGATGATAAGTCGATGCTGGTCAATCTTCCATTCCGAGTACATCGATCGCGCTGCCCCTGCCGCCCGCCGATGATCTGGCCCAACGCTTCCCTTCTTAGCGTCCTCCTGCGATCTCCAGATACAGGTCGCCAGATTGCGCAGGTCCTCATTGGGAGTGCCGAACCAGTACCTGCCAGGCGGCGAGGGTCAGTGCCCCGTCCGAGGGCTGGAAGAAGGGGAGGGAAGAGAGCACTCACTTCAGGAATCCGCCACTAGCCATGGCCTCTGCGTGCGCCGCCTTGTCGAGTGCCCCCAAATCTGGGTACACGGTGGTAACTTTGATCTGCGATCGAAAGGCGACAATATACCAGGAAGTTTTCCTAAAGGCATGCCGTCTTGCCATCGCCAGCTCTCGCATGCGCAGGATCACCTCGTCCCAGTTGAACGCCTCGTCGTAGGATGCAGTGGCATAGTCGTCCCGCACTGGCGCCATCCCCGCTAAGGCCTCACTCAGGATCTGGCTCTCCATGTCCAGCGTCTCCAGATCGAGGAGGTGTTCCTGCTCCACATACGGAGAGGCTACCAGGTACCGTTGGGAGAGAGGCGAGGTAGGCAGAGAAATAGTAGCAATCTCGTTTGTCACAAGCTCTCTGCCCGTCACCAAGGCCGCTGTCTTTTCCCACGGTACGGGCCTTGCCGTCACGATGTCAGACAGGTTGGTCATGGCTGGAATCGTACGCTTCGATCGATGGTGGTTGATGGTTCTGTTGTGCGCTTCTCTGTCTAGTGGCTCGCCGGCGACGACTAGCCGAGCGTCTCGATCATGGGGTGAAATGTTTATCTGGTGGGTTTCAAAGGTTGGTTTCTCTCGCTTTCTCCGTCTCTTTTGTCTCTCTCTGTGTCTCTCTCTCTTACCCTCACTCTCTTTCTCTGTAGGGAAGCTTCTGCAATTGAGAGATCAGAGAGGGAAGGTGGTGTCCGAGGCCTACAGCATTAAGAGCAAGAATATGGTGACCCTCGTTTGGGACGCTCTGAGGACATGCGACACCGAAATGGCGAGCTCGGCTGATCTTAGACCATCGGCGGCCAAGAAGACATGACACGACCCCAATGACAATTAAGGCATGTAGCCACTGGTACAAGGATCAGGACCCTTTTTTCTTCTTCTTTTCGCATCGAGAGTTCGATGTTCTAAGAAAAATGAAAAGGCTTTCTTATCTCGCATCTCCACGCCCGTTGGTCATCTGACATCGGTGAGCTGTTGCCCCCCTTGGTCTATTATCTCTGGGCCAGATATCGATTTTATCTAATGCTCTGCGGCGCGTCAAGAAAGACTGCAACTTTATCATTGCCTCCCCGACCTTGAAATCTCCAGGGTACTTTGTGGGCACCGCCTGGTCACTCGAGCGAAGTACTGTGCCTAGCCCACCCGGTTGTCGACAGCGTCCGCGCGAGTTTTGTCTAGCGCTTGATATTGCTCTCTGGCGGCGTAGATGGCGCCATACCTTGTGTGTGCCGCTCCCGTCCAGGCATAATTAGTCAAATCTTGTCTTCCTCCAGGGATAGCACGGCCGGATCCCCCGAATTTTACCGCATGCTTGTGCTAGGTTTAGCAGCCTGTGTGCCTGGTTCAGTCTTCATCCTTTCTACTTCCATTTTATTCTCTTTCGTTTCATCATGTTTCTCTGTCTCTCTCTTTTTCCTTTATCTCTTCCTTTTCTTCCTTGTCCTTGTCTCCTGCTAATCTTTGTACTATTATTACTCACCGCTACGTTTTCATATGCCTGGAGATTAGCCCACACCGCTCAAAGGTGACCCTCCTGATGCATGCTATCTATAGGCTATTCATCGCAGGCCGCCCGCTCACACCCCCAACATAACTCTCGACACCGAATCAAGTGTGGGAAAGGAAGACAAAAAAAGAAAAATCAGTGGCAGGATCGATATCTGATATGGCAGTTCATGGAGATTGGCTCTTGTTGGGGCAAGCATTTTGTTGATCTCTGCGGATCTCTGCAGCGATTTGCATATGCAAGACGCGTGCGTGCGTGCGTGTGGGCAGGGGGATTCGAGTAGTGCATACATAGTAGAATTTCTTCCTGGGTCAATTTCATGCATGACAGGGGCGATAGCGAGAGAGCACATGGCAGATTCAACAAACCACATGGGTCGGATTTTGGTTTTGACTAACTCTCTTGAGCGTTCCGTCACCTCCGTGTGCCCCTCATGTTACTGTTACAATCTAAAAGAAATCTACCGTTGGAAACCACGGAACAGCAGACCACAAATAGGAAGCACTTTGCGCACAACCTCCACCTCCTCAACAAAGTGTGCCTTCGTTCTCCTTAGATAACGCTGTGGGCCTGATTAAAGGTCCTCTTCATCCTCACCGGCTGTGCCTTTCAACCACACTTTGGCGACCTCGTATGTGCCGAGATATAGCCCGCTACCAATGGCGGTCCATGCGGCTCGCAGGAGGCCGCCTCTAAACAGACCTTGTATGCCTCTCTCCTGGTACACGAGGCGGGCCACCTGCAGGCTGCTCACCTTCTGTCGTCTTGGTGCCTCTCTAGTCTGCTCCTGAGCGGTGGTGGCCTTCTCCTCTCCAGCAGAGAGCATCATGCGGGTCTTGACCACATCGGTCGGCGTCGTGATCACCGCTGCAACCGCCCCAGAAGCAGCTGCACTCGCCCCGTTGACGTAGGCCGTCTCGAGAAGCCCGCGCGTCAAGGCCCCTCGCTCGATTTTTCTCTCCCCACCGCCTACCCCTCCTGCTCCATCCTTGACAGTGGTGGCATTGTTGGTGGCTGCAGCGTCCGTCCTGCGGTCCCTTCTTTCCCAGATCTGCCGCCGTACCGCCTCAAAGATGGGGAACTGGATGGCCGTGAACGGCAGGTTGCGCGCCACGAGGGCTGTGTAGCCTGTCAGCAGGCGGTGCGCGGCGCCCGATGCACCGCCAGATTGGGAGACGATACGTAGCGCCTGGATGGACGTGCTGCCCCTCCACCCGCCGGCGCCTTTGCCGCTGCTGCTGCTGTCACCCCTCGAGCGGATCATCTGGGCGTTCTGCTTGATGACCTCGGCGGGCGTGAGAATGAGACATGATGCCAGTTCTGCGGTGCCTGAAGCCAGGGAGTGGATGAGTGGCGTGGGCACGGTAAAGCCATTTGGGAGGAGGGCATTCTGCTTGAAGAGGGTAGAGTAGAATGTCTTGGTAGCCTCATAGGTCGTGAAGAAGATGCCGGCTGTGAGGGATATGCATATCAGCAGGCGGTGAGCCCCGTGTTCGTCGTGGTCGTGGTCGTGAGAAGAGCTCAGAGAGAGGGGAATAGAGAGAGAGCAAGAGAGACAGCAAGAGAGACAGCAAGAGAGACAGCAAGAGAGACAGCAAGAGAGACAGCAAGAGAGAGAGCATGGGTCACGCAGTGCGGTTACTTGCCGGCGGGAAGTGTGGCTACAACGACGCTGCCCACGCCCTGGTAGAGACCTCGAAATACGGTAGCTCGAGACTGTCTGGCGGCAGCGGGTTCTGCTGCAAAGGTCTTGAGGTAGTCCTGGCTCTGATATCGGGTCTTGATGGTATCGAGAGGGTAGATGAGCAGGTCGATCGTGAAGGCAGCGGCTGCGCCTGCCTAAAACCCGGAAGAGAGGGAAAGAAGATAAAATGGTCAGCCTCCGTTGATTCTACACCAGAAAATGCATCTGATGTCACATTTTTCTTGTCATGTTGTGACTCTAGTGTCTTCAGAAGATTGAAAAGAAAAGATAAAACAAGAATGTCGAGAATTGGTGCGATCTCTTCCTGATTACGGCACCGTGAACTGCAAGAATATCACATCAGAACTAAGCAAGCTTCTGATAGACAGACAGTCACACTGACCCATATCCACCATAGCCTGAGACTGAGCTTTTGTCCTCCAGGATTTGATTTCATGAAGACCGTCCATCCGGTCCTGTCATTTCCAAAAGGACGAGGTAGGCAATGCGTGCTCTCAGATGGACTGGTTGGCTGATCGAACGACTGGCTGACTTACCAATACAATGTCCGTGTTTGAGTTGCTCATCTCATGATAACAATCAAGATTATCCGCAGTAGAGAGGGAGGAGAGACACTGCCTGGAGTCTAAACTCACATCAACCGCAGCGCAGAAAGAATCAGTTGATGGCTTATTGAGGGCAGCGGTTCAATGACATCAGCGTCCACAGCAGGTTCAGGCTCAGCAGAGAGGATCCGTGATTTGCTCTTAGTCATCAACTCCCTGAGCGCCTCCTTTGCACCTTCCATTATTTTGGTTGTCCCTGCTCTGATTATATTAATTAAACCCATGTATTCTCTCTTTTCTTTTTACTCACAATTTCGGATCACACCGACTTCACTCTTGTAGGTACCCACAATGTTCTCAGACTGAGGGAATCCCGTGCAGGAATTGTTTATCTCGTGCTCTTGACATCACTGACCACTGCAGATAAGCACCATTACACATTTCCAAACGAAGGCAAATTCCAGGTTGTTATTATCTTTGTGTGTTAAGAAGAGTCTCTCTGAACAGGAACCTCAACCGCAAGTCAATCCCGCAGATAACAATCACTACTAGTTGCTATTGAAGCAATAATTGGCGGCCAGGACCCTCGTCTGGACCTAGCTTCTTCTGCCCAGTCATTGAAGCTCGTCCGCATCCGACGCATGTTTCCTCAAGAGGCATGCCGTCCACAGGTGCAATGATGAAGCCTTACAGGTACGGAGAGCTGCCGGGAAGGTGCGAGGGTCCTGGTAATGAAAAGGGACCTGAAGACGGGTAGTGAATGTCATTGGACAAAGGCCTGTCGATTTAACACTTGGAGTGTGAAAGGAGGAACTGAAGGCTGAGAGAAGAAGAAACGAGGTTGAGGCTTCTTCTTTTCCGTTTCCCCATGCTATGGTCTCGGACCCTATTGCTCTCGAAACTAAACCCCGAGCAAGGAGATGGCATGATGAAGTCATTCACCTTGTCAACACCAGCGACGGTCTTGTTTCTATCACTTTCATCACAATTTATACACATCGAGACGCTCTTGTGTCATATCTTGACAACACCGGGCACGAGGAGAGCTTCTCAAATATCACGAGGTGGAGACTCTGCCTCATCCCAGACAAGTTCAGCTTTCTCACCTAGCACTTGTAGAAAAGGAACAGATAGGCTTTCTGTAATCAGACCTTGATTGCCATGATCATAGATTTGAAGAGTATGACGAGGAGGCAAGACTAACTTTGGGCACCTTGCTAGGAGCTGTAAGGCCGACAAGGAAATTTGAGGACTAATTACAGGTTGTCGAGAACTATGTCTGCCACCGGTCTGCGACCACAAAAACGAAAACATGTCCTCAATTACCACTGCCGTTACTCGTCTCCCGATCATATCCCACACCAATCCATTCTCGCCCTTTTGTATAAGTACCAGGCTCAAACCTCCCCCTTGCCACAGAACCTGGCCAGCCGCTCAGATACCCAAGGCCATGAGCATGGCAGACACGAGCTCCCAAACGAAGCCACCAATAGCACGAGCCCCGTCAAACATGACGACGAGAAAGCCGATGGCGGCGGCGCCGTAAAACACACTGACGACCACGAAGTCTGTCCAAGTGGCACGAGAAGCCTTCTTGGATCCCTGGGGGCTCGGTGTGACGACATTGCGCGACATGGAGCCTGGGACATACATGACGGGGAATCGAGCGTTCAGATTGTCGGGGACGAGATCGTAGAGATCATTGATGTAGTTCTGGAACGTCTTGGGGGGAGTCGTGGTATTGCCGTCGTCATCAGAGTTGTCCAATTTGGGCGAGACGTGTTGCTCCTGCTCAGCCTTGTTCTTGGTATCCTGCGTACCAGAATAGCGTCAGCTACCAAGCCAAATATATCGTATGGTAACTTCCTCCATCTAGGAGGCTGGGAGGCGAGGGGTAGAAGATGGTTACGCACATTGGGGCTGGTCGCGCTCTGAGCGCTCACGCGACGTTGAAAACCGCCGCTGCCGTTGTCGCGAGCCATCGTTGCTGTGTTACTTCAGTTCTCGGTGACGATTGATGATGAGAACGGGTTGCAGATACGTGATGGAAGAAAGACTCAGATATTAAAAGCGCAGGGTCAAACGAAAGGATCAATGGAAGGCTAGTTGAGGTTGTTGATACGAAGTTGAGACTCAGAAGCAGAACTTGGGGGACCGTCACTTGTGCCTGCCCACAATTTTTCACTTACTAGACAGCAAGCCAATGTCTATCACAGAGGACAGGCAGCAGTACATTGCTTATGTCGTCAAGAGAACAATGAATTGAATTCAAGGATGGATTCCTGCTAGAAACCTCGCCAGGCAGGTCCCTTCACTTCCCTCAGCTTCAAGACCCTGATGGCAGATTCAGAGAATTCAAGGTTCTGAGGAAGAACCAGAGGAACTATTTAATATGACTAACTGTGTATTCTGGCCTTCCCTCTAGGTAGGTACCTTGTAACTCTTGCGATGATTTACCACCCTTTCCACTCTCCATAGGCTCGGAGATAATAGCCCACAAAGTCACACAACGAGACCTGGGTTGACAAGTATGATCTAATGAGTCAAGACGGGTAAACGTCAATCGCATTAATGACTATGAATTCATGCATTTTGGTGTGCCCGAGCCCAGTACGAAAAATGCAACGCAAGGCAGGCAGCATAGACCCCTACGTTTGCGCGACGGTATCAAGTTCATAAAGTCCATATCCGTTGTGTCGCCATCCACCAGCAAAATATCAAGTGCCACGGCCCGGTGCTGTTTCAAAAGGCAATAAAAGGCAAAGAAGAAATTGATGTCCTTTCCACGCGAATCCATAAAAACACAGACATAGCTGCTTCCACCTGCAGCTCACGTTACGGTCTTGCTGCGTCCTGCACGGTCGGCCAACTTAGCCTTCCAGCTCAGCTCGCAGCGCGAGAGGTGTAAATTCATTTACAGCTCCTGTTTGACCTTTTCCTTGGCATCACCAGCAGTCTTCTGCGCGGCATCGGCACCGGCATTGAACTGGTCAGCGACCCACTGCCAGGTGCCTCGCACAGTCTCGCTGATCTTGGCAAAGAGCGTCTCGGACGGAGAGTTGGTACCGTACCGCCAGTAGGTGGACTGCTTACGAGCATAGGCCCGCAGCTGGTCGATGGTCGATCCTTGGGGAACGGCCTGTGCACAAACAAGGTCAGCAAATCTTCTCGTGTGAGAAATCCTGATGGCTTTATCGCCTGGAAAGCTGCGAGACTCACCACTCCGTAGCTGTCGAGGTAACTCTTGAGATCACTCTCGCTCCACGTGTCAAAGGCACTGGACTTGGCCGAGTCCGTTGCCTTGCTAAGGTAGCTCGTGACGGAGGCGTAGTGGGTACCGCCTGCAGACGAGGCCGATGTATAGGCGGACTGTGCGGCGCTGACGAGCTCATCACGAGTGGCACCCGCCTTGTCGGCGGTCTTCTTGGCGGCAGCATCACCATTCTTCTGGAGATAGTCCTTCAGGTTCTCAATGGAGTAGTCGTCAAATGACCATGAGCTCCAACCGGTCGCCGCCTTGTGGGCGTTCTTGCGAACCAGAGCGCGGAGCTCGTCAGTCTTGGACGCTTGGGGTACAGGGACACCGCGGGCATCCAGATACGACTTGAGACGGCTTTCGGACCAAGTGTCCACAGCCTTGTTGAAGGCATCATGTGCAGCCAACGAGGCATCACTCGAGGTCTTCGCATACTGGTCTCCAACCTTAGAGGTGGCGGCTCCAAACGCAGAGGCGGCGGTGCCAGAGACAGTATCACCGAGGAAGTCAGCCCTGTGCTTGCGGACGAGAGCACGGATCTCATCAAGCTTGGTGCCTTGAGGGACTGCGGTAGCATATAAATTAGCAATGGGAGTCTTAGAAGCGCGTCTTGATTGACATACCGGGAATGCTGTTCTTGTCGCAGAATTCCTTCAACTGCGACTCGCTCCATGCATCGATGACCATATCAGTGAGAGTCGAGTACGCTGACTGCGCGCTGGCAGTGGCACTGCTGAGCTGCTCTTGGGACTTGAGGTAAGCCAGGCGGGAGTTGCGACGGACGCTGGCAATGAGTTTGTCGCGCTGCACATTTGGGTTAGGACGGATCTCTCATTCCAGTGTCGAAAGGGGTGGATCCCACTCACAGTGCTGGGCTGAGGGGCAGGGACACCATGTGTGTCGAGCCATTCCTTGAGGTCGGATTCAGTCCAGGTCTCGTACAGCCAGTTGCCAGGGTAGCTGGTTGCCTCTCCAAGCTTCTGGGCAACGGTATCATAGCTGCTTCGGGCCTTGGAGAGAATGGTATCACGCTTGCGGGGTTGAGGGACTGTGTTGGAACAAACAAGTTAGCACAAACAAAGCTGCCAGGAGGTACCAGAACCGCGAGAGTAGACTGACCAGGAATTCCATTGTGGTCGCAGAAGGCTTTCAGCTGGCTCTCGGTCCAGGTATCCAAGATCCAATCCTTAACGCTCGCGTACGCGTCCGATGCCTTGTCATCGGTCTCATACCAGAGACCGTGAACCTGGCCCACGAGCGCGTCTTTGTTTGCCTTCGCGGAGTCCTGGACGTCGACGCCCTTCTGTTGAAGGTAGCTTGTGAGCTGGGGGGTATCCCAGTTTTTGTAAGGAGAGATGACATAGCCGTCCCAGTTCTTCTGGATGAGCTTCTCAAGATCCTTGCGGTCGGCGGGGGTGGGATAGGGGATATCGTGGTCGGAGAGCCACCGCTCGAGCTCAGTCTCATGCCATTTGTTGTAAGCAGCCTTGGAGAACCAAGTGCTGGCAAGCGCAGCGTCAGCCACGAGGGCGACGGAGACGAGGGCCTTAAACAGCCTCATGACGGCGTATGGCCTGGTTGGTCCAGATGCAGCGTTGAGGAAGGAGGACGAGTTAGATGCAGTGGACAACAAACAGGACACAGGTCTGTAGGAAGCAGCAGAGGTAGTTGAGAAGGTGTTGATTGTTTGGTGATGATGATGGGAAGGGGAAAGGACAAGAAAATTGTAGTAGTAATGTTAGGGAGGGCAAGAGGCTCAAGGCAGGAGGAGAGGTGTAAACGAACTACCCTCAAGAGCAGAGAGCAGGAGCTGCCGTCAGAGCTGATGAGGTCAATCGATCACGTCACTGGTAGCTCTGTGAAAAGTGGCTTGCCTATGATGCCTGGCAGGTGGCAGCTTGGTGGGATCCAATGGGCGATAGGCTTGGCCTTTGCGCTGCCTTCGCCCCTTGTCTGCAGGTGGCGGTCCAATGTTGGCTAGACTCTGGCTCTGGAACCCGCGCGTGTTCAAACGTTTTGTATACATGCATGTCATCATATGTAAAGGGAACGGTCTAGGCCGGACACATAGGTAGAACCGCGTAGGGATACGACGAGGGACACACACAGCTACAATTAATCTGCTGGCGTTCACATATGTCAATCTCGTAAAGCCTATGGTATGTGTATACTGTGGCACAAGCTGGAGAAAGTCAAACGAATTCAGATGTACCACAAGATTACTCGACAGTACACAGGTGGTTTCGGGCATTATGTCATGTATAGCAACCTCCAAACGACTTTGTACATCCTGAGACCTGCTCCCGCGACGGAGCTTTCAGTCCTGCTACTGAGTGCCATCCCTACAACATGACGTAATGAGGTACACCTGCAGACGTCTGAGAAGGCTAAAGAAAGCCGCCACAGAAGGCTGGTAAAGGTGGTCATGTTTTGTTCTCGACATCTCGGCAGGATTGGCTCGTCATACTGGACCCTATTGCGTGTGTTGACTTTGCTGTCGACAGCACTTCCTTCCTCTCTCATCCTAAGATCTCCCCCGATCTGATGGGGTAGCGATGCGATCCGGTCAGAGTGCTCCGGTGATGTCATCTGATGATCTCTGCCAGCCCTTCTGAGGAGCTTGGGCCATTTCCCCACAAACGGCCATCCCCGATATGGCCCAGTCAGCCCTAACCCTACTGAACGCGGGACCGTTGATGATATGATTAGTGAGATACAGACAATTCATATGATACTTTTTTGTTTTCTTTCCCCCTACTCTCCTCTCTTTTCCCTTCACATTAGTCTCAGAAGCCTGCCCCTCGCTACTATATATTGTACAGCAGTATCATCGTGATCACCTTGTGCAAACGCTTGTTGACAACCAGTGTCGGTGATTTGTATTGGTTATTATTGATAATTGGTATGTCTCAAGTCAAGAGCACTGCATGTAAGAAATCTATGATTAGAGTTCTGGATCTGTTATTCCATCCATCCATTCTACTAAATGATTTTTTTCATTTGTTCTCGCTTCGTCTTCTTCTTCGCCCGCCAAGAACAACGAACATTGTGGCAGATGGGAGGGGATCGCGGTACAAAAACCCTAACCCTCATATTAAATCATACTGTACCGCATGCATGTGATTAGCCATGCGGCCCTTGCCCACTATGGCGAATAGCAGGTCAGATTTAGCTTTTTTTCTCTAATATTTTTTTCCGCAGCGGGGTGTTTGCGCATATGCTAGGCGCACGTTACCATATAGGAGTTATACTGATTTCTTTGGCATCTTCAATACGGAATTCCGGGTGATAAATGCAATTTGAATTTTTAAACTCGTACGATAGGCTCTCGGCCAACGCTGAGCAAGAGTTGAAAGATTTCAATCGTCGGTTTGCCGCCGGTTGACTCATCGCCACGACACTTGCCGTGTATGCTTGAGCCTCAAGCTGCGCCTGCCTCTCCTCCTCAACCGTCCATATATTACCCCCCTTCCCCTCTGTCCTAATGATTGACGTGCTTTCTTGTACTCTTCACTTTCGAAACTCTCGTACCATTCATCTTCTTCGAACCCAAAGACGTCTCTCTCGTCGATTGAACAGTGCAATTCCTTTCCCACTCTTACAAAAGTTCTCTCTTCAGGCAGAGCACCGCAAAATAGCACGGCCTGTGGGATCTGAGCAGCGAAGATTCAGCCACTTCAGTCATTCAAGCTCAGAGAGCAGGACTATATCGACATCGTCTCGTCGAAGTGTACCTGGGGGTCACCACAGATCCGTTTCGGGAAGGCAGGAGGATATGGAGCAGCTGGCGGAGCAGAGGGTTGCTGGGGCCGACACGGCTTCTGCCAAAATGAACGCGCCCTACGCCGACCAGAGCCCTGAGGTTGTCGCTCAGCTATGCCACTCTCTCGAGGAGTTCTCAAAATCCAAGAAGGGACGCGGCGGCGCTGTCAAGAAGACCAAGTTCAGCGTGGCCGGCTCTCGCGACGGCCTCACAGTGGACTCGTGGAAGGTGTCTGACTACGAATACAAGAGGCGCGATCTACCCACCTATGCTCGCGGCCTCTTCACCACGAGAACCCGCAAAAATGTCCATGAGATCGCCATCCGTGGGTACAACAAGTTTTTCAACGTCGGCGAGGTCCACGAGACCAAGTGGGAGGCCATCGAGAACTACACCCAGGGCCCATACGAGCTTACTCTCAAGGAGAACGGTTGCATCATCTTCGTCAGCGGCCTGGATGATGGCACCCTCCTGGTCTGCAGCAAGCACTCCACTGGCGACCGTAGCGACGTCGAGCTGAGCCATGCCGCGGCTGGGGAGAGGCATATCGAGAGGCAGCTGCAGGCGTTCGGTAAAACTAAGGAGGACCTGGCTCGTGAGCTGAGGGCTCGCAATGCCACTGCCGTTGCTGAGCTGTGCGACGATGCATTCGAGGAGCATATTCTGGCTTACGGCCCCGAAAAGGCCGGCCTCTACCTTCACGGGATCAACATCAATGTGCCAGAGTTCATGACATACCCCAGCCCCTTGGTACACCAGTTTGCAGACGAGTGGGGCTTCCGCAAGGTCGGCCTCATCTCGATGGAGACCATAGGCGAGGTCAGGACGTTTCTGGAGCAGTGTGCCGAGACGGGCGCCCACGAGGGCAGAGATGTCGAGGGATTTGTCATCCGGTGCAAGCGTTCGCACGACCCTTCAACAGTGGCACCATACGACTGGTTCTTTAAGTACAAATTCGAGGAACCATACCTGCTCTATCGTCAGTGGCGGGAGTGTACCAAGGCATTGATTGCAGGCAAAATTCCCAAGATCAAGAAGCATCACACTATCACTCAGGAATATCTGGCCTTCGCCAGGAAGAGACTCTCCGTCGACCCCAAGCTGGGTAAGCTCTATAACCAGAACCATGGCATCATCGCCCTCCGCAACGACTTCCTCGAGTTCAAGCACATTGACGGTAGTGACGCGGCCAAATTCGAGGACCTGTACGGTGGCGGTGGGGTAACTGAGGTTTCGAGGGATGTCATCCTCATTCCCATCGCGACCATCGGCTGCGGAAAGACAACCATCGCTGTCGCCCTCTCAAAACTTTTCGGTTTCGGCCATGTGCAGAACGACAACATCACAGGAACCAAGCGTCCTCCAAGGTTTACGAAAGCGGTTCTCGAACAGCTCGAAGACCACAAGGCCGTCGTGGCAGATCGCAACAATGCACAGAAGCACGAGAGGAAACAGATCATTACCGATGTCAAGGCGCAGCACGCTGTGGCCCGCATGGTCGCCCTGAACTTCGTGCACGACAACATTGATCAGGTTAGACAAGTCACGCAGGACCGGGTTTTTGCCCGTGGTGATAACCACCAGACGATCCAGGCTGCCACGGACCCAGCCAAGGTCAAGGGCATCATGGAAGGCTTCCTGCACCGCTTTGAACCTATTGATGCCACGAGAGCCCCTGACGATGGGTTCGATGCTATTATCGACCTTGACCCGTCCGCAGGGAGCCGACAGAACCTCGAGATCGTGGTAAATGAGCTGAAGAAGTTGTACCCCAATCTCATCGAGACGGACCCTACTGCAGAGGATCTGGATCGTGCTTTTCAGGAAGCCATGGATGAGTACAGACCAGACTTGCGACACATGATAGGCGACCGAGGTGGACGCGGCAAGGGAAAGGAGAATGCGCAGCAGGCCCAGGCCGAGGCCCAGAAGCCCAAGAAGAAGAAGCCTCTGGAGTACATGTCAGTTGACGTGCCCTCCACGGAGATCAACAAGGTCCTGGAGACGACCTTCAATGCCGTTGGTGCGGCGAAGGCCCGTTTTTACAAGCTACTACAAGGCACCCGTCGCGTCCAGCCCAAGTTCCACGTCACGCTGATGCATCGCGCGTCCTGCAAGGAGAACCCCGAACTGTGGGATCGATACGCGAAATTGCAAGCAGAGGCCGAGATCAGCACTGGCATCGGCGACGGCGCGCTGGGAGAGTGTGAGGTCGTGCTGGAGCGTGTGGTATTTGATGACCGCATCATGGCGATCGTGGTCAGGCTGAATGATCCCGAGGCCAAGTGGCACTGCACCAACAAGGTAGCTCATATCACCGTCGGCACTCGAGATAACAGTGTCAAGCTGAAGGAAAGCAACGCTCTGCTGGAACGGTGGCTTGCAGAAGGAACGGGGGAGGCCTCAGGAATCACGGATATCGGATTTGAAGATCGGCCAATCGTTCAGGGGGTGGTGAAGCCGGTGCTGTCGAGGTAGCACCGCCCACGACCCCACACTGGAGGGCAAATCGGATATTGTTGCGAGGGACGGGTCGTTCACGGTATCTAGCATGATTACAACAACCAACGGGCTAGGCGATGCTTAGGAAGTTGCTATGTCTGGGGTTTGTTTGTATGTTTGTCTGTTAAAATGGAGGGTTTTATAGATAGTCATGGCGCAGGCACCCCGGCTAATTTCACCCTCTCAAAAAAGCCATGATGCCACCTTCCACGTTAGCTGGGGAAGCTATTCGTGACCTCGACAAATGCATCCCACTGTCTCCAGGCCTCGCCACTCTTTATGGCCCATCTTGCCCTCCTGACTCCTTCCTTCCATCTCCCACTTCCAGGCCCGACCTCTGTGACCACCTTGCCGTCGTCGCCGGCGCCCATGTCACTGGAATCCGCTTCGCAAACTCCTGATATCACAAACAGGGCGGCCGTGTTGATGAGGACGAACTCGAGGATGGGGTCGTCGTCGGCCAACTCGTTGTTCAGTATGCTCTTCAGGATCTTGGCATTCTCGGCTGGCTCCTTACCCGGTGACACCGTGGACAAAGGGTGCCTCGAGAGACCAAAGTCCTCGGGCGTCAGGCTGAAGTGGCGCACTTCTACGTCGCCGGCAGGACCCTCAGCGAGCCTCCAGCATAGTGTGGGCCCGGCACAGCTGACCTCATCCAGGTCCTCCTCGCCGCAGACAACCATGGCCTTCCTGACGCCGTTTTGCCTGAGAGCCTCGGCGAAGACGGGGCCCAGATCGCGCCTGGCGACGCCGATGACGCGGGCCTCGATCATGGGGCTGTCGTGGACGTCCATGGGGTTGGCGAGAGGCCCCAGAAGGTTGAAGATGGTGCGCCAGGGCAGCTTGCGGCGAATGGGGCTAACGAAGCGCATACCCGGATGGAAGGAGGGGGCGAACAGGAAGGCGTAGTTGGTGCGGCTGTAGATCTGGCCGATGTGCTCGGGCTCGACGGCGGTCATGTCGGGGGGGCGCGGGAAGGCCATGTTGGCGATGAGGTCGGCGGAGCCGGACTTGGAGGTGGAGGCGCGGTTGCCGTGCTTGGAGACGAGAAGGAGGGAGGAGGCGAGGATGGAGGCGGTCGTGGAGATGTTGAAGGTATTGTGGGAATCGCCGCCCGTGCCGACTATGTCACACTGTTGGTTGCAAGCAAAGAGGTCAGTATTAGCTAACACAGTGATGGTCCACGAGTGAGGTAGAAGAGCACAAAGGAGGAGGAGGAGGATGATTCGACATACAAAGCCGCCACGATAGCTGCCCTCCTTGCGCCCTCTGGTCTGGACGACATGGCGGAGCAGTCCAGCATCGACGCGGGCAGCGGCCTTGAGCATCTTGCGAGCACACTGTGAGAGGACAGCTGGATCTCTGTCCAGACCGGTGAAGTGCAGGCACATCAACAGGGCGCCTGTCTGCACATCGTCGATGCGGTCGGTAAAGAAGTGGGCGATGGCATCAGAGATCTCGTCCGGTGTGATATCAGGCTGCTGTGGCCAGAGACGGCGGAGGAGATTCTTGATGTCGACGACGGGGGGAGGTTCAGGAGGACCAGCAGTCGTTTCGATTAGGTCTGGCTGGGAGTCTGAGGTGAGAGCTGTTGCTGGTCTTGAGGCGTGTGAGTGATTGTGCCCCGCGGCATTGTTGGAGGGGTCTTGAGATGCCATGCCAAACCTTGAAGAGACCGCTCTTCTGGAAGGGAAGACGAATCTCTTCCCTGGCCAAGGGAGAATTAGAGGTTCCAAGGGAACGACAAGAGGTGGGCGTGGATCTTTGGTCCTCGAACAGAACTGTTGAGCGCTTGTTGAAAAGTATAATAAGTCTTGCTTGGACAAATGCTCTGTACGAATTGCTCATTCAAGACCCCTCTGGGAAGAATTGCTCTTCTGGGTTAGACTCAGCGGTGCATGCTGTACGCCAAGCTTAATAGGGAAAGCATCCAAGTTGAAAGTTGACGGCTCTTCTGGACTACAATCACAGTAATTAATTTCTTAACATACATTCAATTGATTTGCCCCCTTGAAAGATACCAGCGGGCATTTACGTATGATAATACAGAAAAGTAACAGTCAGTCAGTCATTGATTCTGTGTCAAGACACCACTGTTGGACATTGACCCGTCTAAAAAATCAAGGTGGGTAACAGGACACTGCAAAAGCTCTTATCTTATCAATTTACTAGGGGGGTGCAAGGGGCCCCAAATTTTCCACGACGCGGGTTGATGATCCTACATGCAACCATAGGTGCTGCTGCACTTTGAAGGTTATCCCGATTGGGCGCAGCAGCTGAAGCTCAACACCGACACAGCCCAGCGCCACCTCCAAGCATCTGCACAAACCGTCTCCAGACAAGCGCGCGATAGCGGACCCGACCAGGAAGATGCCACCAAGGTTGCCCTCACAGGCCTCGAGGAGGCTTCGCATGGTCACAGGACAGGGCCGCATAGCAACATCGTCACCAGCAGCAACAGCAGCAGCAGCACGATGCGCTGACCCAAGAGCATGTCTGTCGCTGCCAGCAGTGCCTGGCTCCACCAGGCACTATGCCGTCGCGGCTTCGTCCTTAGCATCAGCCTTCAGACTACCTGATGACTACGTCCCTCCCACAAAACCGCCGAGCGCCAGGGCCCCCGAGGTTCGCAAGTCGCAACTCCTGCGGTCCTACACCTCCCTCCTCCGCTCCACGCCCTTTATACTCATGTTCCAGCACAACAACCTCACAGCCGTCGAGTGGGCTGCTATCCGACGAGAGCTGAAGGCCGCCCTTGCTGCCGTGCCCGCCCCCCCCGTTTCGCCCGATGGCAGAGCTCCTGTCGACATTTCGAACGATGTCCTGCTGCAGGTACTCCGCACGAGCATGTTCAATCAGGCGTTGAAGATTGTCGAATTCTACGATCCTGTCGCGGCGAAAGCCGCCGCCCAGACACCAGGCAAGGCCGGCGCAAAGAAGGAGTATACGCACGACCTTTCCATGGCCGCGTATCAGGCTGTCAAGGCTGCTGAGAAGAACATATCTGAGGATTCCGCGTACGCTCAGCTGGTGCCCCTGCTGATCGGCCCGCTGGCCGTAATCACGTTCCCGGCCGTGTCGCCCCAGCACCTGGCCGCCGTGCTATCCATCGTGGCTCCGAACCCTCCTGCCTTCCCGGCGCCATCAAGAAAGAAGAACCCTGGGTACCACGACCTGACCACGCAGAGCGGCCTGCAGAAGCTGCTGCTGGTGGGGGGCAGGATCGAGAGCAAGGTGTTTGACGTGGACGGGGTGAGGTGGGTTGGCGGTATCGAGGGCGGCCTGGAGGGGCTGCGGGGACAGCTGGTGGCCATGCTGCAGAGCGCAGGACTGGGTCTCACCTCGGCACTGGAGGGCGCGTCCAAGAGCTTGTGGATGACCATGGAGGGGCGGAAGACGATGTTGGAGGACGCAGAAAAGGGCGGCGAGAACAAGGAGTAGGAGGCGACATGATATATCTGTCCGGAAGAGCTTGGCCGGCAAGGAAGTCTGCACAGGAGAGAGGACAAAAGAGCATCTGTATATCCATTTTACTGATCAACACTGTACATTTGATGAGCATAAACAGTGAGAAACGCCCACTTGACGCTAAAGGAGCTGGTTAACACACCTCCCTTTTGTGTCCTCCGTCACTATCTACGTACAATCATTCTTGACCTATGTTTCACAAAAGAAGGAGAAGAAAGAAGAAAAAGAGAAGAAGAAATCTACATGAAGAAAGTAACGATATTGCTGGTTGATATAATACAGAGAAGAATCGGTGCTTGGAATCGTGGGTCTCCGGAGTCTTCATCCCCAGCTACCGGCACGTGGAGCCGCGCGGCAGGCATTCAACCCCGGATCTGTCCCGCGCTGTGGAGATGTAGTGGTAAGATGCTCCCTCGCTCCTACAAGACAAGGTCCCCTCAACTATCGATCAAATCTATCTCTGCGCGAAGACCCCCATCTTTTTCTCTACCTGCTACGCCAGCTCATCGAGTGTGACCGTCTGCTTCAGATCTCTCTCAAATCAGAGGGTGCTTGCGACGAACCTCGGAGCGCCTGCTGGGTCTCCTCGCGTCATGCTCGCTTCTTCTCGATAACAGACTGCCACCCCTCGACCCCGCCCCCCGCCGCCCGCCTTTCGTTACGCAAATGTTCGCGCCCTACCAAGCCGATCCGCCCGAGGCTTCTCGCTCTCCAGACATCGCATCCCCACGCGCCTCCCTCGAGCGCCGATCCTTCTCGCCTGCCAACTACCAGAAGCGATCGAACCAGGCGAGCCCTCCGCCCCTCCAGCACCCGCAGCCCCAGCGCAGCTGGCAGGCGACGGGCTATAATAATATCGTCCCGAGCCCCAGCTATCAGAGCCCCGCCCCGGCAGCCTCGAGGCCATCCGGGGGAGCCAGCGGAGGGGATAGTTACTTTGGGAACATCAGTGGCGGATTTGCTGCAGAAAGGGAAGGAATCAACGAGTTCGACACGAGTCTAGGCATCCGGCTGGACTACGAGGCGTGTCTGGCCTATCTGGCACTGCCGCCTCTGGGTGCGATCCTCCTGCTTATCCTGGAGAGAAAGAGCGACTATGTCAGGTAAGAAGAGATGCTGCTGCTCTTCTGGACGCTGGTTTGATGGGTCTTTAGTAGGGTGGGCTCAGGCTGACCTAGTGATAGGTTCCATGCGTGGCAGTCGGCGCTGCTCTTCACCGTCATCTTCATTCTGCATCTCGTATTCTCGTGGTCGACCTTCTTTGGCTGGCTCTTCTTCCTTGGCGACCTTGCGCTGATTGCGTTCCTGACTATAAGGGCGTATCGCGATGCCGACATGCTGGACAGGTTTGAAGTGCCTTTCTTTGGTCAGATCGCAAGCAGATTTCTGGACGATGAATAGCAAGGACAGTGTGGACAAGGACATGTCATGGCCGGGAACGTCGCAGAAGCGTGGACTGGGAGAAAGATGCTTGGCTGGTCGCGACTTGTCGCTTGACCTTGGTTTCCTTTTGTTTTTCTTCTTCTTCTGCTTTTGCTTGGGTCATGTGTTTAATTATCAGGCCATCTTCTTGTTCATGATACCATCTTCTGGCGTTTAAATGTTGATTTACTGTTTTTGAGCGGACATTCCGAACTCTTTTTGGGTGATGAGTTAGGTCGTGAGGAGTTGAAGGTGCCCCATCTTGTGTGTTGACAAAGATGTGCTGGTCGGATTTACTGAAGCAATTGACTGTCACAGCCTTATCCCATCGCGCACCCTTCCCATACGCCTTGATCATAGGGTCGGTCACCTTCTTCCCATACTTAAGCTGCGGCGAGGCCTTTCATCCTCTTCCAACTGCACCTGCTGGCGACGTATGCATTATGCACCGTGGAGCAGTGTCCGCACGCTGCTGTGTTCCTGCTGTGTTCTGGGTCCAGGGTCCCCCCTTATCGCTTATCGTAGCGTGGATCCGTCCGGAATTACGACGTCTGCTTGCCTGCCTAGGATGCTTGCTCAGCAGCGCTAAACCACCGGCCTCAGCTTAGTTACGGCCCGTTGTTTTGTACAGCAGTGACAACCCGCAAGCTGTCCAACGACAAAACCTCGCCTCCAAGACACAACATTCCCTTCCTCAACAAATAGTTCTCTTGTCCGTCACCTACGCCCAGCTTACGTGCCCATCACCACTGCTCACTGCCCTGCTATTTTCCTCCTTTCCCTGGACCACACCCACCTTCTTACTCTTCGAAGCCCTTGTGAGACGAGGTCCTCGCCATGTCGACCCTCGAGGAGCTCGATGACATCGATCGCCAAGGCCGCGACGACAAGGACAAGAAGGACGATAGGGATGATGCCGGCAGGGGCAATGGGAAGGCCCCAGGCGGTGATGCCGATGCGGAGATGAAGGATGCTGCAGAGGAGGAGAACGACCTGATCGACGAGGAGATCCTACAGCTCAGCACCCAGGACATACTCAACCGCAGGCGGCTGCTCGACAACGACGCCAGGATCATGAAGTCGGAACACCAGCGCCTGCAGCATGAGAAGGCAACCATGAACGAAAAAATCAAGGAGAACCGCGAGAAGATTCAGAACAACCGGTGCGTTTCCCCGGCACTCATACCCTCTTCGTAGCTGCCGTCTGCCTGCTGACTGACATCATCACGCTTTCCTATAGACAATTGCCTTACTTGGTCGGCAACGTCGTCGAGCTGCTAGATCTCGACCCTACGGCCGAGTCGTCAGAGGAAGGAGCAAACATCGATTTGGACGCGACACGGGTTGGCAAGTCCGCCGTCATCAAAACCTCCACCAGGCAGACCATCTTCTTGCCACTCATCGGCCTGGTTGACCCCGAGAACCTGAAGCCTGGCGACCTCATCGGTGTTAACAAGGACTCCTATTTGATCCTCGACACTTTGCCCGCCGAATACGACTCCCGCGTGAAGGCCATGGAGGTCGACGAGAAGCCTACGGAGAAGTACAGCGATGTGGGCGGGCTGGACAAACAGATCGAGGAGCTCGTCGAGGCCATCGTGTGGCCCATGAAGGAGGCCGAGCGCTTCAAGAAGATTGGCATCAAGGCACCCAAAGGTACGCTCCGCAGTCAAGAGAGCTTGGGAGCATCTGCGACTACGGTCTGTGTGGCTCGTGGCTGACAATGACACTACAAAACAGGTGCACTGATGTACGGCCCCCCTGGTACTGGCAAAACGCTGCTGGCCAGAGCATGCGCTGCTCAGACCGATGCCACCTTCCTCAAGCTTGCCGGTCCTCAGCTCGTCCAGATGTTCATCGGTGATGGTGCGAAACTTGTCCGGGACTGTTTCGCTCTGGCCAAGGAGAAGGCACCGTCCATCATCTTCATTGACGAGCTCGATGCCGTGGGCACCAAGCGGTTCGACTCGGAGAAGTCTGGCGACCGCGAGGTCCAGCGGACTATGCTGGAGTTGCTCAACCAACTTGACGGCTTTGCGTCCGACGACCGCATCAAGGTCCTGGCGGCGACCAACCGTGTTGATGTGTTGGACCCCGCCCTGCTCCGGTCGGGTCGTCTTGACCGCAAGATAGAGTTTCCCCTGCCCAACGAGGAGGCGCGCGCCCAGATTCTTAAGATCCACAGCCGCAAGATGAAGGTTGACCCCAACACCAACTGGAGCGAGCTGGCACGCAGCACGGATGAGTTTGGTGGAGCCATGCTGAAGGCTGTGTGTGTCGAGGCGGGTATGATCGCACTGCGGATGGGCAAGAACAAGATCAGCCACGAGCATTACGTCGACGCCATCGCTGAGGTGCAGTCCAAGAAGAAGGAGGTGAGTACAACAGCAGCGTCTCAGTCTCGCGTCCTCCGGGCCATTGAGGGCTCCTGCATGAATACCTCCCCATTTACTGACGATCTTGCCACAGACGGTCAACTTTTACGCGTAAAATCGACGACGATCCAGCGATTACGAAGCTCCTGGGCCTCTTTGGGAGAGAGGCCTACTGCTTTCTCGGTGGCAAAGGTCTTTTGCTTTCTGGAACTAGAGGGACGCCAAGAAGCGGCTGAGAGAGGTTCGCATGGAGATAGAAGGGTTTGGGCTACATCTGTACGACTACAACATGACTTTACCCCGATGGCCCTCCATGGCCTGACCAATGATGACGATGGCAACATGGTATCCACCCCCACCTGCTACAGACGACGTTTACCGACCCTTGGCTTGCCCTCCACCTCTTGGTGTCCACCAGGGTAGATGGCTTGATTTTTTGAGAGATTTGTCTTGTGTTCCTGTGTCTATGCGTTCACCATGTTGTCTGTAGGCCGGGGTTTGTGGACCCTGGACAGCGCCCTTGGCGCTTGCTTCTCCATTAAACCAGGAACTTATAACCGGTATTGTGCCGGTGAATTGTAGTCGCATGCCCCGGGTCTTTGCCTCGCTTAGCATGTCTTAGGCAACCGTACCAATGTACCATGCCCACACATCATCGGTTGCATGTAGTAGCACTATGCTAGGTTCAACAGGCTGCCTCGCATCAGTATGCGGCCGCCCGCCAGACCGTATGAGAAGAAGGGAGGAGGGAGAGGAGAGGAGAGGATCAAGGACCCTTGCGCCCTTGGTCAAAAGCTTGAGTTGAGAGAGGGTGGCATCGCAGTAGTGGCAATCAATTCTCCCACCCACCAAGCAGTCAGTAACCAAGGCGATGTCCCACTCTCTGGCTCGACTTGGACTGCGTCACACCCCTAAATAGTAGTCGCAGGGGTCAGACCGGTCGCTCGCTGCTACTACTGCGGCTGCTGCTGCTGCTGTGGTGGTGGTGGTCATGGCGTGCAGGCCCAGCGCCTTGGAAAGTCCAGCCCTGCAGGAATTGGGAAATGACAAACGGGCGCCGACCATGTCGTCACAAAAGTTACCACTCGTATGGGGAGTACTCCCAGGCCGAAAAGAGATCCGCCCTTGGCCCAATCCGGGGGCGACGACAAGGGGTACAGCAGGAAGGAGACGAGGGTTCATCTCAAAAAGTCCATTCACAAACGAAACAAGGTCCATACAGCACAGTATTAGTGGGGTGGAAAAGAGGAGATTTCAGACTACAATTGCCATGGGTGAGCAGGGCCGATGTGGGCGTCAGAGGAAGGTGGCGTATCAGGGGGTTGAATCCGGAAGAGGGTGTGGGGGAGAAGAGGGAGAAGAGAGGGAGGAGGGCAGAGCCACTCCAGAGCCACCCCAGAGCCCACACCAGGGCAAACCCCAGAGCCATCGCAGGGCCAACTCAGAGCCCTGATGCTGGTATTATAATTTCTCATCTCACGATGCTGTAGATCGGTCGGAAGTCGGTGACAATTGAGACATACAGTGGTCTGGCCCTACGGAGCCTCTTTTCTTCGACGAGAGGACGCACAATGCAGGTTGAATGTAACACTTGACCTGGTCCACAATATCTCTCTATAGAATGCCGTGCAGCAGACAGACCGGATGTGGCCGGCTCTACATGTTATGTAAGTAGTAATGAAGGAAAGACAAGGAAGTTACTAGTACTTGGAAGCCAGTTGAATAAAGTACCTTAGCAAGCGGTACAATTGTACATCCTACCTATGTACGTAGTCGCCGTGAGAGGAGTGACTGAGCACTATGCCATATCAGCAAAACAGCTCTCCATGAGAAGAAAGAAAGGGTTCAATCCACTTTGGACGTTGTATCCCGGCACTAGTAGAGAACGCCACAATGATATTATGGTACTGACGTCTTATGGACCAGCCTGTGTTTTGCGCCGGATTTGCCGAGCCAACGTGTGGCCGTGGGGCAACGGGGAAAGCAAGTAAGAGAATAGGCCCTGTGGGACCTTGACATGGCATGCACCTGGGCAGGAAAAAAGAGGCCTGAGAGAATGGGAATAGCAATTCTGACGATAGTCTCCACCGAAACTTGGCGAGCACTAGACAAGGCTCCGCATATTCATGTGCGTCAGATCCACAAAAACGGTACGATGACAAACGGGTTACAAAGAGAGAGGAAAGAAGGGGGGGGGGGTGGACAAGGGGTAGACCCCATCCACACTGTGGCGGCAAAAGGTACGTTGTGATGATCAATTAGCCTCATTTTTACCTCTTCTTCGTTCTTTTTCTTAGGTTCACATGAAAGTCTGGTTGTATTAAAATGACAATAAAATAAGACAGGGTCTGTCTGATGGTATTTAGTAAATGTGATAGGCAAAAGCCAAGATTGCGCCCCATGCACATGGCAATTAGTTTAAGTTCATATGCGCTCTGTTATAGCCCACCCTTCATAACTCTCTCCTCTATAGCCCCCCCCCCTTCTGTCACCCTGCTGATGGGGGTGCCTACTCGTGTCATAGCATAGCAAGCATCTATAATACCGGTGTAGTAAGCCGGGCCGCCTTGGTCAATAGCCTGATGTGAGGTCACGGTTGAGTGCATTCCACAATTGATACCATGGTAGTATTCTGCACCTCCTAGTGGCTCCCTCAGCAGAAGACCGTCTCCTAAATAGTCGATCAGCATCCCTTCAATTTCCCAAGACGTACGAGTGGCTGTCATGACAGCGCACCGGGGATTAAAAATGCAAACAAAGGACAATAGGAGGTTTGCCACTTTTGAGCATACTAGTTGCTGTCGTGGGGGTACTATGGTCGTAGTGCTGCTGGAATGGGCCCACCGCCGCAAGTGTTGGATGCAGCTCTCTACATGGTATGTCAAGGAACGTACTACAGTATATGTACCATAGTAAATCATTTCTGTACATGATAGCGGGCACCAGCTGTCAAAGCACACCGCGCTGAACAAGCCGCTCGGCCGATAGGGCGATCATTGATGATCACCAGGGGAAGAAAGAAACAGTTTGCTGCGCTATGTCCAAATGTGCCAATATCCCCTCGGACGTCTTTCTTTATCTGGACTTGTTCAGCCCTGGAGATTACTCTTCATGCAATGTCTTTGCGCAGGCTTCTTCAGGAAATTTAGACCAAGGGAGTCGAAGAAGTTCAAAATTTTAGCGAGGGAGAGAAAGACAGAGGGATGGCAACTTCCACCATCCTCTCGTGCGGCGTGGTGAACTCAGCACATGGCGCTGCCTGCATTTTAGGGGCCTGTAAGGAGAACAGTGCCAGCCAGCGTTGGCTTGATCATCTTCTCTACAGAATCTTTATGAGATGATCTTCTGTATGATAAGGACAGTGAGATATGCGACGAGAACAGTTGTGCTGCCACTTCTGCCCTCGAATTGCCAAGCCTTGGTCCAGGAATGTCGTTTGCCTGCTACTGGTATTGATATCTGAGGCCTCACATTATGTCAACGGCCAGCCCCGGTAAAACTCTATAATACTAGCTAAGGTATTATGCATAATTACCTACACAGAACGTAGTCAGGTACCCTTGAGAACCTGACTCTAGACAGAATTTCCTGATTCCTGAATTTATGTGGGTATCCCCTCCACCCCACACATCCTATTGACATATGAACGTTTTTTCCCCCTTTCCCCGGCGCTTGCTATGTAATGTCTAGTTGAGCTGGCCCAGGGGCGAGAAAACGCCCAGTAGTGTAAGGCGCCACGTTGTCTGTGCCCGGCATCCGACCGTATGTAGTCTTTTCTAAGCAGCTCGACATTTCCCTGGATCGTCGCCGTCCCTGTCAGAACCAGACTACACCCTGCCTCGAGCGTCAATCTATACGTCTATATGGGCTAGCTGCACAAGGTCTAAACTAGCTAAATGGCTTTGAGGGCTTCCTCCTTCCACCCTGGTACCCCGTAACCGTTGTTTGGTTTAAGTGATCGTCGACGAGCAAGCCGGATTCTAGATTCTCAGCTTCAGGGCCCGAGCCTCATTGGACAATGGCACCAAGATGTCTTGCCTTCGGTGTGCTGGCCTTACGTGGCTTTGCTCGTTGGGAGTGCCTGATGGCGCGGTTGACTCGTAATTAGTCCATGACGATCCCAAATGCTCAAGCCCCTTGGGGTTTGTCTGCAGCCAGGCAGGTTCACTGCATGTATGAGCCTTTGCCGTCCCCCAGGTGAACAGTATGGGAATGAATGACGACAGTCTATTCTTCTTATCCACGATGTTCACTGGGGGAGCCCGAGCAACTCTGAATATAAATACTGGGCTTCTCTCCTCGTCTGTTGAGAACATCTTGTCTATCTCATCGCATCAAGTTCCTCAGCTCTCTTACAATCTACTTCCCATTCTTCTTCAGCTCCACACAACATCTCAAAACATTTCAACGGCATCAACGCCCTTGAGACCATCAGACAAAATGCAGAGCTTTACCATCATCGCCGTTCTCTTTCTGAGCACCGTTGCTGCCTCTCCGGTTGTTGAGAAGCGCCAGTACGCGGCTTGCTCTGGACTGTGAGTAACATTCTAGCCCCTTTTCTTTATCATACAGTAGATGCCTGGGACTGACTCTTGGGATATTTCCCTTACACCTCAGGTACGACACGGCACAATGCTGTTCGGTTGATGTTCTCGGAGTAGCAGACCTTGACTGCGCCGACCCGCCTGAGACGCCCGAGTCTGCTGTGGACTTCCAGTCCATTTGCGAAGATATGTTAGTGACCTTCTTTCCCACTTAAGAGCCGGGATTCTACATGATCTTGTATCTGGCGAGACATATAGGGCGGTGTGCTTTGATGACGCGGTACTGACTTATGAATCATACAGTGGCCAGCAAGCTCGATGCTGTGTTCTGCCCCTTGTACGTTCCCCCAGCCATGCATATTATCCCGTCACAAAATTTAGAACTTGTACTAACACAGTTCACACAGCTCGATCAAGGCGTCCTGTGCGAGACACCCACTGGCGTTACCGACTAGAGTGGTCATAGGCACAACAGGCAACCCATTGTCAGAGAGTCTTGACAATATTGGTTGGGCCATTGGGCCATGGTTTCATTGATAGTTACTGAGAAGTGCTATGGGATTTATGTGAGGGGAAAATAGAGGGGACGGTTCGACACGGCACGTCTCATGTGTAAATAACGTATACGACTTTTATTTGTCTTTTGTACGTCTGTCAGTTACTTTCAGCATGAGCGATACATAAGAGAAGCTGAAACAAAATTGTACACATATATTGCAGGCTCCGATTAATTTGCGTGAAATTGCGAAGTGTTTTTCAAGAGCGTTGCTGCGGCAGCGTTCAAGTGATTCTCAAAGTGGAGTTTCTCTGATTGTATGGCCTTCAGGTACTCCCGCCCCTGAGGGAGCCCTGGATTTATATCCCTTTCCCATAACTCAATTGGTTCTCTCACTATTTTTCTGCTTGTCTCCTGTAAAAGATGAATTTGAAACTTGTGCAAGACTTCTCCAACTCATTTAACAGTAAAAAGACCAAAAAAGTTGTAATAATTAGTAGTGATTACTGATTGCAGCAGCAGTGCATCCTCGCCAGCCGAAGTCCTCTGTATCACAAGTTCAATCTTAAGAAAGGGCATTAGGAAGCATCTATGACGATGTTTGTGGTAGAAAATATTGTGTAAAAGTGTCTAGGGAAAGCAACATAGAGTGATTATCAACAGGGAAGCAGACAGCAACCCAGGAGATCAGTGCTCCGTGTCTCTTACATCAAGCCATGGCCATATCCATCTGCTTTCCCCTTGCGCTCCTCCAACCGACCAGCGCAGCGCCTAAGAAGGAAGCAGCCCCCATGGCGGCACTGACGAGGAACGTTTTGGCCAACGCGTTATTGTAGCTGAGTACAACATTGGCTAATTGATCTGCTGGTACGTAGTTCCTAAAACTCGTGGCACCCGCCAATATTATGCTCTCAGGATCGACCGAGGGCGCATAGGTCTCTATGGCCGTCACAAGCTGGTTATCGAAGACGTTCTGGCCCACCGAGACGAAGACGGCACCGCCTAAGGATTGCAAGAAGGTCATGAGTGCCATGCCGACCCCCAGATCCTCACGTGCTAGGACGGTCTGTGCCACCAGCATGGGCAATTGCAACGCCATACCGAACCCAAGCCCAAATAGAACCTGATACCCGATCCATACGGGGCTCCCAGTGTCAGGTGTCCAGGTGTGTATTAGGCCACCACCTGTCGCCATAAAAATAGTCCCAAGGAACATGAAGGGCGTGATATAGCCCAACACCGTGACGGCGGCACCGCAGAGGAAGGCAGCTATAACACTGGCCAGAAGGAGGGGAAGGACTCGGATGCCAGACTGGAGAGCGGTGACGCCTAGGATGGCCTGGAACCAAATAGGCACGTAGTAGATCATGATGAACTGTGCTGCACCGACACAGAACGAGTACAGGGAAGAGGACCAAACGGCGTGCTTCTTCATGATACGCGGAGGGACTGTCGCGTCCTCTTTTTTCCACCCCTGAACCCCCAAGAAGACGAGGAGCAGCACGCCGGTGAGCACAAACAATGCGATGACGCGGCCGGAGTTCCAGGCATATGTCGAGCCGCCCCACTGCAGGGCGAGTAGCAGACAGATGATGGAGGGTATGAAGAAGATGGTGCCGAGGGGATCGAAGAGGTTGATACGCGCCGGGAAGGATTCGTTCGTAGAGAAGGTCTCGATGGGCTTCTTTGGAGATGGAAAGAAGATGGTAATGCCGATGAAGGTGATGGCCCCGATGGGCAGATTAATGAAGAAGCTGTTTTGATAGTACTTTTCATCAGACGAGTCATGGATTCACGCATGGAAGGACAGGCAGGGTCTCAATAAGGCTGATAACTTACCACCAGCGCCAGGTAGCCTTGTCGGTGAAGACACCACCCAGTAGGGGCCCGGCAATAGATGCTACGCCGTACATACTGGTGATGGCACCACTATATACACACATGATGATTCAACTTAGCAGGTATGCCAAACAGAAGAGTGGAAGATGTATGATGATGATGATAATGATGGGAGACAAGGGCTCATGTATAGATGGGTCGCTTCTCCAAGGGAAGACTTTTGGCGAGGATGAGCAGGCCACCCGAGAATAAACCAGCTGCCCCAATGCCGGCAATGGCATGACCGACGATCAACATGACGGAACTTTGCGCGACGCCGCAGAGCAGACTGCCCAGTTCGAAGAAACTGATGGCGACCAGAAAGACCCTCTTGATGTCCAGGAAGGTATATAGCTTGCCAAACAAGAGCTGCAGCGAAGCGGTGGTGAGCAGGTAGGCACTGCCATACCAGCCCACATCATCTAAGCTGTTAAAGGCATCTGTAATCTTAGGAATGGCGGTCGCGAGGATAGACTGGTCAAGGGCCATCAGAAAGACTGCAAAACATAACGACGTGACGATCAAGAAGAGCTTGATGCCATGGGGATACTCCTCATCTGCCGATCGGTCTGATCTCGTTATAGTTGTTTGCCTCCCTTCTGAAGTGTCTGTCTTCTCGACTTGCGAGGCATAGTCGCCAGTAGGAATGTTTTCCTCAGTAGAGGCTGGTTCTGATGGGAGATGCAAACGTTCCGACGCCATCGCAGAGTTAGAGATTAATAGTTCAAGTGATTATAATAGTGCTAGGCGGCTTTTTCAAACAAAGGGGTCGTGGTTTGATGGTAGAACGACCGACCCATGCTTGTGCTTTAGGTGTCCAAAACTTGCCTAGGAACTAAGTAACTACGCTCAAGTGATGAAGAAGAAAGAAAGGCAGCACTGCAGTCAGATCCAGATGTTGGATGACCCAATTAGGTTGGTAGTGTTTCTCTTTTGGTTGTTACTCGCCGATCGTATGATATTTCTGTATTGGGCAATCCATTCTCCAGCGCAAGGGAGTCAGCCGCGGACGCGATTCCTCCGCATGTCCGTTGCAATCCTACTCTCAATAGTAAATTTGTTTGGCACGCCGCAGCGGACCAAGGGTTGGTCCGTCAATGAGAGTCAAAAGAGTCTATGGTTTCTAAATAAAAGTTGTGTCAAATGATAGCTCTGCGTGCCAACATTTTACACAATACTAAAGATGAACGCAGGGGGCTGTTGCTTCATCACAGCGTCAATAGCCATCACGTCAACTATGGACTCCGAGATGGTCTGGTTGATGGGACAGTCACCACACATGGTATTCTGGCAGTATAATGGTTATAACTGGGTCGTACACGTATCAATACCACATGCACATGAACAAGGAGGCATTCCCAGAGCCGTACACGCTCCGCCCGGGACGCTGGCTGGGAGAACCTCTTGGTCCAGACGGGAAACATCCCTTGATCGTCGGTGGCTTGGCCATGATGATCTCGCGATGAAAGTCCACATCAGCCCGGCTTGTCTCGTACAGCTCAAAATCATGACGGAGGAACATGGTGGCGATGCCGACGTAGAGCTCGGCGTACGCCAGGTTGAGACCCCACACATCCTCGTTCTCCTACCAAAAGCGCTCCAGTAGAAGGTTAAGTCCCGGCGTTAGAGTTACTGTAAAGTGAGATGGCTTTCAAGGGCTTATTATAATGAAGGGTTCGGAATACATATTGGAGAGGAGTGTTGGTCGATCTGCGTGTAGCTTCGAATCAGGGGGTTCTCTTTTCTACCAAATATATTGGCTCTTGTGATGAGTAAATATGAACTTGTGGACAAGTATAAACAATGACCTATAGTCGAGTAATATGGGCTGCATGCTCATCTAGAGAAGTACATATGTAGCTACAGTATTGAGTGAGTTATTATGAGCTCGTGGTTGGGGCCAAGTATGAAACCGACGTTTGTATTGAAAGACCGCAGCCAGTGCGTATCGATCGAGACAAATCTGTCATGAACTGTGACTGGCCATTTCTTTTTTCCTACGTACTACTTGCCTAAGCCTAGGAAAAGTCAAAATCGCAGCCCTTTGGAAGTTTTGGAGGCATAGTGCCGATACAATCTGGACAAGATGAACTGGCGAGAACCGGCACATGTATCAACCCGATGTATGAGACGAGAATATTCATCGGTATTCGGTTGCAGGAAAGGCAGCCCAAAAAGGGAACAGCAGATCGGGGTTTGGATGCGTACAACCTCTCCAGTTGATCTCTGCATGGTTCACAGAACCCAATTTTCCGCCCATCCCGACCGACGACCGAGTATATGTATCTTGTCGGCCATTTGCCCAGTCTTCAATTGGCTGATGGAATTGTCTTGTCCTGTCGGCCGCTTATCCGTCGTATCATTGGCCGCCTTGTTCCTTACCCTGCTCCTGTGTGCAGGTCCCTGATTGGTTGCCTTCTCTTGGTCGAATTGCCCACACGAGTCGGCTTATTATCATGGTTGAAGGTCTTCCGGTTCTCAAGGTTCATTATAAGATGCCACTGGCATTCTTTTTCATTTATACAAGCCCATATTCATTACACTTGCTATAGAGCTCTGACTATTTCATGCATGAACCCCTCTGCTTATGGATCTTATGTAAGCGTCAACGGAACATCGAGAACGATATACGAACTTTGAAGTACATGTAGAAGACCAAGATGGGATCCGTAACTGCGGTTGAGAAGCACGAAGATGCCCTCAGGTTCGGCATCGTGGATACGGCAAATATCGTGTGGGCACTCCTGGATTCCTTTTCTTCTTTTCTTCTTTTCTTCTTTTCTTCTTTTCTTCTTTTCTTCTTTTCTTCTTTTCTTCTTCCTCTTCGCAATCGTTGACAACAATTGTAGTCGTATGGCCTTCTGAATGCATATCAATTGGAGTGGACTGCTCGCGCCATCCGCGCCGGGAAGCATGTTCTTCTCGAGAAGCCATCGACAGCCAATGCGGCCGAGGCCGAGATTCTCTTTCGGATGCCAGAACTCTCTCATCCCGGTGCCCCGATTCTGATGGAAGCTTTCCACAACCGCTTCCACCCAGCCTGGATACTCTTCCGGTCTTTAATCAACCCTGCAGATGTGGTTCATGTGGACATAGCATCCATGATCGCGTGGTACTTTACCCGAGGGACTAGGCCTACTTCTCCTATAACATGGCAGCCGGATTGATCATGTCTATGGGTACTTATAACTTCTCTACGGCGCGCATGATCTTCGACGCCGAGTCAGAGGAGTGCGTTGAGTGCCAGACAAGCTCGTACACGGACGGAGTGCGCAACAAGGGGAACTGGGATTTCAAGGCCAAGTTTCGGTTTCCGAACGGGGGCACGGCCGACGTCAAGAGTACCTTGATTGGTCGTACGAACTGGACACCCTCTCATGTCACGGTGACGACCAAGGCAGCTGTGGTCCCGGATGACTCGCTGCCCGCCTCTCAGAAGAAGCTGCGGACTCGAGAGGTTACGCTGTACGGCCTCGTCCACGCTATTGCCTGGAGTCGGATTGATGTGAAGGATGTGGTTGAGATTCGTGACAAGGACGGCGGGGGCAAAGTGGTCAGACGGTGGATCAAGAAGACTTCCCACAAAGCTTATAGCTTTCAAAAAGACGGGCGGTGCGTTTGCAGATCTGCCTGGAGAGGAGGAGTTTGTGACTCGAATCAGGGGCCGCGAGACGCATCAATGGGTCACCCACGAAGATTCAATTGCTGCTTCGATGAAGATGATTGATATTGCCCATGAAAAGACCGTCTTCCTTGATGAATATTAGAAGAATTATGGCAAAACTCTTCGACTCTGCGGCTGCATGTTTTAATGGAAAGATCAGCGCTTTGCGGCAGGATTCTATTCGTGGGATATTCTAGCCATCTTTTGTCTTCCAGCGCCCACAACCGCAAAGTCTATTCAAGTATACGACGTAACGCCGTAGCACAATCTTGCGTATAAGTTGTACTACTCAAGTTGAAACTGCGGGTCTCGAGTCTTGCGTAAGACACGGGAGTACCGAGTTCTTGGCGCTGTCATCGTACATGAACGATTTCCTGGGACGAAGGGTGTAAAGAGCCAATCAGAAAAAAGAAAGGAGAAAACCCAAAGCCAACCATAATTGTATGCATGGCATTCTTGATGTGCCAGATGTTGCCAGTGGCTAGAATCTTGGATGAGCCCTTTGACACCACTGAAAGTGAAGGCAAAGAGACATGTCTATATCAATCAATTACTGTGAGCAGTTTGAGGTCTGTTGTAAGTTACTTTGTCCCATATAATAGACAATGAACTGAAGTACAGCATTTATTTAACGTGGGCAAATGGCTATCGTGACTGCCTCCAACGTATCATGCCCCTGAGATCCTTGAATGTTGGTTGTTTGCTTTCCATGTTCCATCCCATTCTTGAATATGTTTTTGTTCTAGTAGCCTGTTTCCCCCCTTCCTTTTGTGGGTGAAGCGAGCGAGCGACGCCAAAAAGGGGTTTATCTGCCGGATAAATCCATAATGCCAAGTGAAACGACGGAAACAAAAGAGATAGTTTGCGTGAAGGATTGCGTGCAAGTGTATTTCCGCGTCGATGGGGGGCGTTTGATATATTTCAACTCCACAAAATGGCTTGGCAAGTCTCCTCGAGAGCGATGCTACTCGCGAAAACGGATCCCACGGTCCACACCTCTGGTACCCACCATCCGCTCCCAACAAGGGGCGCCGGCCTCTGCCCTTGAGTTGGACGCGGCTCTCGACTCCTGAAATTTCCCTGCAGCGGTAAGGCTCCGGCCGCACTCGGCTCATGACGGAGATATTTCTGTCCGGCAGTGCCTGGTAAACGAGATTCGAGGTTCTGGGGAAGGAAGCGAGGTGGCGAGGAAGAGGGGGTACGGGGTGCAGAAGATGGATGCTCTACAGGGTCATGCAGGCTTCGATACCTTTTGGGAAAGGGGATTGCATGCTCGGAGGAGAACAGAAAAAAGTGTGTTGACATGTAAGCGAGGCTCGTACTTTACCTCGTCTTTACCACTATGTTGCTATGACCAGGTAATAATTGCCCCTGGGATTCGAGAACAGTCTGGATCTATACCAAAGCTTTTTTCTGCCTTTTGCAAGTATATAAGAAAGCCTCAAGACCAGCCAAGACCCAGAAGAGCTTGTTTTCTTGATCGGCATCCTTCTTCCCCCAAGACAATACGACTGCGTCGTTCAAACCCACCCACCACCTTTCCACCTCCCTCATTCATTCGTTTCTTTGCAAACCTCTTGCACCACCTTCTCTTGGCAAAGCTGGTTACTTGTCTCCATCCTCTTTTACTTATACGTACACAGACCCACACCCACACATATACGTATATATCCACACGATGCATCGCCAGATTGCTACCATCCTCGCCGGCGTGTCTGCCGTGCTCGCCACCCCAGCTCCGGCTGTGACCCCTGCTGCCACCTTGGCCAAGCGGGATTCTTGTGTCTTCAGCGGCAGTGATGGTGCCGCCTCAGCCTCGGCCTCCAAGGCTGACTGCGCCACCATCACTCTGTCTGCCCTGACCGTTCCCTCGGGCACGACCCTCGACCTCACTGATCTGAGTGATGGCACGTCGGTGGTATTTGAAGGAACAACAACCTGGGAGTACGCAGAGTGGGACGGTCCCCTCTTTGCCGTCTCTGGAAGCTCCATCACCGTCTCGGGTGCTGACGGGCACGAGCTCGACGGCCAGGGCGCTCTCTGGTGGGACGGCGAGGGAGACGATGGTATTTCCAAGCCAAAGTTCTTCCAGGCCCACGACCTGACCGACTCTACCATCGAGAACATCAACATTGTCAACCCGCCTCATCAGGTGTTCAGCATCAACGGCTGCCAGACCCTCACCGTCTCTGGCGTCACCATCGATGCCTCGGACGGCGATGCTGATGATCTCGGTGCCAACACGGACTGCTTCGATATTGGCAGCTCTGATTCGGTCACCATTACCGGCGCCACGTGCTACAACCAGGACGACTGCGTGGCTGTCAACTCCGGAACCAACATCATCTTCAGCGGAGGCTACTGCTCCGGCGGCCATGGTCTGTCCATCGGCAGCGTTGGTGGCCGTGATGACAACACTGTGGATACTGTGACGTTCTCGGACAGCCAGGTCATCGACTCGCAGCAGGCTGTGCGCATCAAGACCATCTCGGGCGACACAGGCACCGTCAATGCCATTACCTACAAGGATATCACCATCTCTGGAGCCACGGACTACGGTGTGATCATTACTCAGGCCTACGACGGCGATGAGGCTACGACTGGCGTTCCTATCACTGGCCTGGTTCTTGATGGCGTTACCGGAACCGTCAGCAGCGATGCTGATGCGGCCATCTTCATTGACTGCGGTGACGGTTCCTGCTCTGACTGGACTTGGTATGCTCGCCTTCTTTTTCCAAATGAATAAAAAAATGCCATGTCAAAATAATTACTAACATGAACTTTAGGTCGGGTGTTGATCTTACTGGCGCTGACAACGACTGCACCAACGTATGTTTTTCTGTTTTTATATACATAACCCCTTAATAGCAATGGATTAAGAAGCTGACTTTATGTGAATAGGAGCCTGATGGCATTACCTGCTAAGCAACAACCATACAACCTCAGGGCCAAGTGTGAAGCCTCCTGGCACTCGATCTTACGCCCACAGTTCAAATCACGAGGCGTATGATTCTGGCAACTTTCTCAAAAACAGTCTTTCTGTGTATATCATAAGAGACACGACATGTATATATCTATGTTTCAGTGCACATATAATCTACTACAAGTTTCGTCTTGGAAATATTTAGGAGCCACGTGAAGTGATTGGTGATATGATTGATTAGTGACCTGGACGTGCTAAACACTATGAAATGCGGTTCTGCTGTTGCCAGATTCATTGTCCAAGATGGGAGTCTAATTGTAATTTATCAAAACAGACTTGAAGACCGATTTGAACCCAACTTCATTCATCCCAACCAGGCCTTTATTACGGCTGCAGGCGAGACTTGTGTTGCTGCTGCTTCTGCGCTGTTGGCCTCGCTTTGTAGCAGCGCGGTTTGTATCATATGCAATGCCTGGTTTCCCAAAAACAATGGCATCTTGAGCCTTTGCGCCTCGTCAACTGCCCTCTGTAACCTTTGTGCACTCTGTTTCAACGCCTCCTTTTTGCTATCACTGTTTCCTTCACCCTGGGTCGTCGCCCTCGTCGTCCAATACTCTCGGGTTCCAGCCTTGCCAGTCTTGCACGCCGTGATCATCTCAGGCCCAAACGAACTCAGTATATAGGAGCCCCCTGCAGCATTGACGCATAATCCAAAGACCTGGTCCAGTTCAAGCCCAATACGGCTGGCAAACGCAATGGTCTCGGCGGCGGAGCAGAGATGAATGCCCCTGAGCAGATCCACGACGAGTTGCAATTTTTGGGCCTCATCTTGGCTGGACACCGGCCCGCCAGTAGTAGCAGAAACAATGGGGCCAACTTTTCCCACGCCCTCGCTATACAGTCTCGGTAGACAGGCGTCGTCATCTGCGCCCCAGCCACGGTTCAGGGCTGTCAGGTACACCTGCTCGGCCACACTGGTCAAGGGCGTCGGGAACTTGTATCTCCTGGCCTCGGATGTAACGATGCCTGCATCCTTCAGGATGATAGTGACCGCGCTCGCGACGGGCTTAAAATCTGGTGCGGCCAGCAGCCGGGGCAGTCTGTTCTCCAACATGAAGCTGTGTCCCTCGGACTGGAGAATGGCATCGGCTGATTTCTTCAGGTCCAGGCCGAGGTGGCTCGCAAAGCCCAGCGCCTCGCTCGCCGCCAGGATCTGGTTGGCTGCCAGCACCTGGTGGCACATCTTCATGTTGCTCCCCGCGCCGACGCCGCCCTTGACGAGGTATAGCTTCTGTGGGTCGGACAGGGCCTGCAGAAGCGCCCTGCCCTTCTCAAGGGCCTCGTCTGTGCCGCCCGCCATGATGGAGAGGGTGCCGTCGGCTGCGCGTATGGCACCTCCTGATACAGGGCTGTCGATGAGATATATATCATCACGACCAATGTCGACCAGCTGCCTGGCCAGTCCTTGAACAAAGGCACAGGGGACTGTCGAACAGAGGAGCAGCGTCGCACCGCGTGGCAGAGCGTTGGCTACAGGATGTTCGCCATCGAACAGCACAGCCTGGGCCTGTGCAGCTGTGGCGACCATGCATACACAAAAGTCCCTACCCTGGACGGCCTCTGCCGGCGTGGATGCCGTACTGCCTCCAGCCTGCGTGAAGCGCTCGAGGGTCGGGGCCCAGACGTCAAATCCGGTGACGGGATAGCCTTCCTGGACCAGATGAGTGGCCATGCCAAAGCCCATGGCGCCTAGGCCGAGAAACGAGACTGCTGGCTTGGTGGCTGCCATGATTGTGAGTTTTGCACTTGATTTGAGTTGAGCCCAACGAAGAAAGAGGATGGATGAATGACGGAAGGGTGGAAATGGTCGCAGTAAATCTGGACTATAGTTCAGACTAGGACGACCATGAAGAGAACTATATCGAGATTGGTCGTCTTGGACGGTTTGACCTCTAATTTGTAAAGTATTCAACTTTTACTTCGCAGGTGTACGTGAATGAATGAATGAAATGGTATACGAGCCGGTCTATTAAAAGCCCGAGATGCACTGAGAGGAAAAAAGGACCCACAGCCGTGGCCACACACCCGAGAAACGCTCCATCTTGTGAGGTCATGCCAGTCTTGCAGCAGCGGAGTAGCCAGAGGACCAGTCAGTAACTAATTAGCTCGTATATAACTCATTCTCTCCCCACATCGTGGGAGGAGGGTCCCAACTTGAAAGGGTCCAAACGTATTTTCCCCTCGCCAACAGCGTCATCAAAGACTCTCTCTCTACAGTTGGAGGAGACGTGTGTGTGTGTGGCCCCCCACGGGTGAATCAATCCATTGTATTTACCCGGTAGCAAATCCTAGCCCGAGGGCTGCATGAATCGAGAGACAGACCGGGGCCTTACACTACCTATTTCTCCAGTACGTGTGATTAATTTTCTTTGCTGGTCGGATACTGTCACAGGTCACAGTCATAATCAACGTCTATTTTCGATCCTTCTTTCTGTATTTTCCACCTAGAACACACAACCTTCTAACATCTAAAGAGGGAACAGAAAAGAACACAAGAAACAAAATTCAACATGCCACGCCCTCCACTATCACAGAATCGGTCCCTGGCCATCCTCAAGGCAGCACGAGAGGGGGAATATGCTGTTCCCGGCATGTGCTGCTACAACATCGAGGCCATCATGGCAACTGTCAAGGCCGCCGAGGCACGCAAGTCGCCAGCCATGGTCCTCCTCTTCCCATGGGCGATGCAGTACGCGGGAACATCGCTAGTCAGGGCCGCAGCAGACGCCTGCCATAATGCAAAGGTGCCCGTGTCCCTGCACCTTGACCACTGCCAGACGCCCGACCTGGTCAGGCAGGCCGCCGACATCGAGGATGGCTTCGACTCCATCATGTGCGACATGTCGCACTACGAGAAGGAGGAGAATCTCAGGCTGACCAGGGAGCTCGTCACCTACTGTCACGAGCGGGGCATCGCTGCTGAGGCCGAGCCAGGGCGCATCGAGGGTGGCGAGGACGGCGTCGCGGCCACGGCGGATCTCGAGGGTCTGCTGACGACGCCTGAGGAGGCTGAGGAGTTTGTGGCCACGGGCATCGAGATGCTTGCACCGGCCTTTGGGAACGTGCACGGCGAGTATGGCCCTCGCGGCATCCAGCTCGAGTATGACCGCCTTGCTAGCATCTACGACAAGGTCGGCGACAGGGTGCAGCTGGTGCTCCACGGCGCCGACCCTTTCACTGAGGATATCTTCAAAAAATGCATCCAACACGGCGTCACCAAGGTCAATGTATGTGTAGTCCCCTTTTCGTTTCACTTTGCTTTGATTCATCAACTAATTCATGCCTTGAAACAGATCAACAAAGGAATGAACAAGCATTACGCAGCAGTACAAAAGGAGATGCACGGCAAGCCACTGACCAGCGTGATCGAAGCAGGGACAGTGAGGATGCAGAAGGCCATCGAGACGTATATGGACCAACTGGGAAGCTCCGGCAAGGCATGATGAGAAATGATCCCATGGCAATGAGTGAATGCCATAACTAACCTTGGAAATTGTTAAACTTTTTCGAAGAGGAAAATGTATTTGTGAAGACCCGACCAAGACGAAGATGCTCATACGTAAAATGTATGCACATGGTCAAAATATGAATCATTCATAACAACTTAAAACTATCAATTGACTTTGTATAGAATATTCCTCAGTCAGTCTGTGTAGACATTGGTTCATAGGACGATTGCGCATGTACGTTTTTTCAAGCAGACTGCGAGGTCTTCCTGAAACATTTTCAAGGGGATGGCGTTCATATACCATGATTTCATAGCGTGTACTAAAGCAGACACTAGACAGGGTCTGCACGTAACGAGCAACATACCTTCGGCAGTGTCTTTGATCGCGATCCAGAAAGCATACCTCTCCGGTCACTTTGACTCACTCTTTTTCCTCATCACGAACACCCTTCGACTTCAATCTGTACTATTCCAAACTCAAATCAACCAACAAGTTCTTTCAGAAGTTTTGAGGGGAGAAGAAAACAATCGCTCCATCGCCACCTTGGACAAACATGGCCTCATCGCCCCCGCGTCGGCGCCTCGTAGGAGTCTCTACCAAGATGTACTTCTCGGCAGCTCAAACAAAACAGTACGTCTCTAATGTCGTGACGAAGCTTTCGGAGTCTCCAGACCTCCTCAGCAGCGTTGACGTTTTCGTCATTCCCGATCATCTCACGATGGCCTCCGTCGTCGCACAGCTGGAGAGCACCAAGACCGCGTCGTCCATCATGGTCGGTGCGCAGGACGCATTCTGGGAAGATGCAGGCGCATACACAGGCGAGGTCTCGCCCTCGGTGCTCGCTGAGCTCGGCTGTCGGATCGTCGAGCTGGGCCACGCTGAGCGGCGGCGGGAATTTGGCGAGACGGACGCGAGCACGGCTAAGAAGGCCGCCGCCGCCGCCAGGAACGGCCTCATCCCTCTGGTCTGCATTGGGGAGCGGTCTAGAGGTGTTGTGAGCATGGCTGTGGGCGAGTGTGCCACCCAGGTGGAGGCTGTCATGAGAGCAGTGCCGCACGAGTCCGAGGTGGTCCTGGCTTATGAACCCGTCTGGGCCATTGGGGCCGCCGAACCTGCCTCTCCTGAGCATGTTATTGGGGTGGTCGAGTCCATCAGGGGTTTGCCGTGCGTGCAGAAGCGCGACAAGGCAGTGCGCATTATCTATGGAGGCAGTGCTGGGCCCGGGCTGTTTGAGAAGCTGAAGGATGCGGCAGATGGCTTGTTTCTGGGCAGATTCGCACATGACCCACAGGCCTTTGTCAAGACGATTCGCGAAGTGTCAGGGGCATAGAAAGGAATATGATATATATAATTATGTATCTACATATAATTTGATTGGGGCGTGTTTCAATGTAGGAATACATGTAAGCACCGAGTCGACGAAATGGGTAATGTTCAGGAAAAGAAGTCAGCCTTTTTATCGGAAAGTTCAGCGTCCATGGATGCCTAATTCTCGTCACAAGCAAAAGATGATAGCGGCCCGTGTAGTCGATTCATAGCACCACAGTTCTACCAAACCATTGCACCTTGCTCAGGTGTCCTCTTCCTCCAGATCGTTGATGGCCTCAACCTTCTTGGCACTCGCGCTCTTCTCATCAAAGACATAGCCAAGCCACTCCCTCGCCAGCCTTCTCGCGAGCTCCAAGCCCACGACCCTCTCGCCCATGCACAGGACCTGAGCGTTGTTGCTCATGACCGCCCGCTCGACCGAAAAGGAGTCATGCGCAGTGACGGCGCGCACGCCTTTGACCTTGTTGGCGGCGATGGCGACGCCCAGGCCGGTGCCGCATATGAGAAGCGCCCGGTCTGTCTTGCCCTCGGCGACCAGGCGTGCTGCTGCTGCTGCGCGGTGCGGATACGCTGTCTTGTCGTCGGTGGCGAACGAGCCGACATCTTCGACATGCTCAACGCGGGGGTCTTTTTCGAAGTCCGACTTGATTGTGTCTTTATAATTGACGCCGGCGTCCTACATTTGCGTTGTGAAAAGTGAGATGAATGTCAGTGCAAAACAGAGACAGAGACACACACACACACACACACACACAGAGAGAGAGAGAGAGAGAGAGAGAGAGAGAGCGAGAAAAGAAAGAGTCACTTACATCACAACCTATGGCTATCCGCCATCTCGGAGTTGTTTCGGTCCCATTTGATCCCATATTGCCTCTGTTGTATTACTGCGAGTGAGTGATGAACAACTTCAGTACTCAGATGGTAAACATATGCTGTTCTTCAAGGACAAAGTAGATAGATGGCTTGTTAAGATTTCAAGCTTGCCAAATTTTCATTCACAGACTGGATAATGAAGACGAGGAGGTTTGTGATGTGGAGAAATTCGGGGCGTGAGGAGAAGGGAGGGAGAGTATTACAGATAGTAAGAGAAATCATATGTCAGTCAATAAGCAAATGATTATAACCTGCTAATTTCATCCAGATTAGCGGAGCATCACCTGGTCTGTACGAATACACCGGTACACTACCATACAATACAGCACCACCAACCCTTGCAGCAAGACGGACAAATCTGTAGGATTCGATTTCAACCGTGAGCTGATTGCACCCAACTGTGTTCCATAGGGCCGTGTCCGCCTGTCAGTACACCATATATTTTGAAGAAAAGTGACAGAATACATGTGTGAGAGGGGTGTTTTTCTCCAGGTGCGTCTTAATTTTGGATCGGACTCATCTCTCTTCAATCTAGCAAAGGCCACTGGGCATGTTATGTGTGTGTGTGTGTCTGTGGGTGTTTGAAACAGACCTCCTACGTCGCCAGTGTACTTCATTGACCATAGTACCATGCAGTACAATGCTTGAGCAGACCCCATCGGCTTGCCGTTTATAGTAGCCCGTCCTTTGTTCCTATAGTGTTACCTCCTTTCAATTCGTTCCGGCTAATTCAATCGCTGGCGGCGACGATCTCCACCAGATTCCAGACCCCAGCCCTCAGGAAGGATCCGATCCCTCCTCGGCGAGACTACCCCGCTGTCCCTCCGCATTCTGATGCACCCTTGATAGGTGGCGGTAGATGATCATGCGCAACAGTGGAGACGTAATAGCTGACCTAGGTCTGGGGGAAACTTTGTCTCTTTTTTTTGTGAACTGCAGGCCCTTTTTTCTCTAGCTGCATACACCTGGTTGGAGACCAGCCGGGGCCTTACACGTCGACTGTTATCCTGAGGCCGCAGTGGCCCTGATAGTCCTATGCGTGGGTTGTCTATGTCCCGCTCCTCGTCATTGCTGGGCTCGTCCTCCTCCGTGGCAAAGGCCACTTGATACAATTCTGGGAAGCCGACAGTAATGAATGTAAAGGACCCACCCCAGCTTGCTCACGAGATCCTAAACCAGTTCCTCCATAGTATCTGCCCGAACTCTGTCCGTCTCCAGCGCTATTTCGGGACATCCCCTCCTCTTTTCCCCCCATCCTGGGATCAAGTGAGCTGGCTGTTGGATCGAGCTGTAGACTAATTAGGCTGGACGGCTATTGATAATGTCCTCCCTGTCCATACTAGCCATGGGCTGGTGTGTCGGTAATGAGCAGTAGCTTGTAAGTAGTCATTTGGAACAGACCCGGCTGTCTTTTGACAAGAACAAGAGGAAGATCATCAAGAGTCGGCATATTCCTCGTCCAAACTTGATTTGATGTATTGTTGATTGTCAAACAAGTAATTCCTTCTTGCCTTCGTTGTACTGTTTCACCACATCATCTACTCTTCTTTTCTTCTCCCACATTCTACTTACATCGAGCACTTGACGCGAGAAACCCAAAATCATTGTATCACGAAAATTACAGTCATACAAGCCGGTCACGGAAAAAGGGAAGGAATGTCCAAAGCCCATCTCTTTCACTCCCCCGAGGGTCTCGTGGCCAAATCTCTCCGAGGCCTCATCTCCTACAACCCGTCCCTGTCTCTGGACGAGACGAACCGTGTGGTTTTTGACACCAAGCATGACCCTTCCAAGGTCAGCATCATCTCGGGTGGCGGATCTGGTCATGAGCCGGCGTGGAGCGGCTATGTAGGCGACAATATGCTTGCTGCCTCGGTGGGCGGCGACATCTTTGCCAGCCCGTCCACCAGGCAGATACTGGCCGCCATCGACGCCGTCCCTAGCAATAAAGGCTCCATTCTGGTTGTCACAAACTATACTGGCGATTGTTTGCACTTTGGCCTGGCAAACGAAAAGGCCGTGGCCAGAGGCCACCGCTGTAGGATGATCATCTGCGGCGACGACGTCTCCGTCGGCAGAAAGGGAAGCCTGGTCGGCCGCAGAGGACTTGCTGGCCAGATCGGTGTCCTGAAGATCATGGGCGGTGCCGCAGGCCAGGGAGACTCTCTGGACGAGGTCTACGACCTGGGCGTGGCCTTTTCCCAGCAGATCGTGTCCATCGCGGCCACCCTGGACCACTGCCACGTTCCTGGACGCACAGAACACGCCATGCTTGGTCACGACGAGGTCGAGATCGGCACGGGCCCGCACAACGAGCCTGGCTACCGAAAGCTCTCCCCAGCCCCCTCGGCCGAGGAACTCGTCGCGCAGATCCTCGAGTACTGCCTGCAAGAGAAAGATCCAGAGCGGGCCTACGTCAAGTTTGCTCCTGGCGACGAGACGTTCCTCCTCATCAGCAATTTTGGCGGCATGTCCCAGCTGGAAATGGGCGCTCTGGCGGACGAGATCCTGGAGCAGCTGGCGCGCGACTGGAATATCGAGCCGGAGCGGGTCTACGTCGGCCCTCTGGAGACGTCTCTCAACGCGCCCGCCTTCTCCGTCTCTGTCATCAACGTCACGGCGGCAGCAAGGGACTGCTCCTATTCCGTCGAGCAGATCAAAGCCTTTGCCGATGCCAAGACGACCACCTTTTGGGAGTCTGTCGCAGGTGTGCAGGGTGCTCGGCGCAAGCGACACCATCAGCTCGTGAAGCCGCCGCCCGTGGCGCCCAAGAAGGTCGTGCCAGAGGACGCCGACGAGGCCAATGATCTCAAGGTCGACCCAGCCGTGCTTGACCAGATGCTGAGGAGTGCCTGCAGTGCGCTCGTCCAGGCTGAGCCAGACCTGACCAAGTGGGACACCGTCATGGGCGACGGTGACTGTGGGGAGACGCTGAAGACGGGCGCCACCAGCCTGGTCGCAGCCCTGGACAGCAAGAAACTTGCTGCGAGGGGCTCTGTGCTCCTGGTGTTGCAGGAAGTGGAGGACATTGTCGAGACCAAGATGGGCGGTACCCTGGGTGGCATCCTGGGCATCTTCTTTGTGTCCCTCCGCCATGCGATCGAGCGCAACGTGAGCGCGGGCCAGACCAAGGATGCCGCGCAGATCTGGGGCCGTTCTCTCTCTGCTGCACTCGAGCAGTTGTCAAAGTATACGCCCGCCAAGGTCGGCGATCGAACCGTCATGGACACCCTGATCCCTTTTGCCGAGGCGATTCAGAACGTCGGCACCTTTGACGAAGGGGTTCTCGCTGCTACGAAGGGCGCAGATGCGACTAGGAAGATGGCGCCCAGGCTCGGTAGGGCTACGTATGTTGCTGCAGGACGGCAGAATGGGGGCTCGGGCGTGTTGCCACCGGATCCTGGGGCCTGGGGAGCCATGGTGGCCATCCAAGGGTTGAGGGATGGACAGGTCATCTGAGGTTTCTCTCGCGTTTATTGGAGGGACTTGGGCTCTTATCCAGATATGATGAATATGTCTAGACGCAGGTCAATATTCAGTTGTGTGCTCCAGCCAGATAGTTCATTAATGGTTCAATGTTTGCTAAGAGCTTCTTCATAGTGGTTTCAGCTGTCCAAGTGGTTAATCATTTATCTCGAGGGGCACAAAACTTATTGATAGTCATTGCTTGATTCTTGAGTAAGCTTCGTCAGAGAAATGTCTCCAGGTCCCACAAGAAAGCCCTCAGGCTTGACTGTCCAGATCGCTCTCGAATGCCTCTTGGACCAGTTCTCTCAGGGTCTTTCGCCTGACAAGCAGGTTCCCATCTCCATCGAATGTCAACCCTTCGCTAAGGTTTCCCGGCCCGCCTCCACCAAAGTTGAGCGGCAAAATAGTGTTCACATAAACCCCCGCCCAGTCCTGCGCCCGAACCGCCTCCTCCTTCTTCCTCGCCATCTCTTCCGAGCTGACGTCGACGGTAGAGAATGTACGCCCAGAAACCTCCTCGAGGACGTCTCTCACTTCCTCCATGGTGGTCTGCACCTCAGCAATTCGGATCCGTTTGTTCTTGGTCTTCTCCTCGTCCATCTTGAGCGCGGCCACCACGCACGCCGCGATGAAGCCAGTCGAGCTCCCTGTAAAAACCTCGGCCCCGCCGTCGATGAGCACTGCCTTGTCATGCTTCAGGTCCCACATGTCGAGCAGGCCCCGAAGACCGTAGTCGAAAAACATACCCGGTACGATCGTGGTGAAACTTGTCGGGGCGTCGCTCGCGTCAACAAGAGACAGGAACTTGTTCGCGTTGAGCACCGAAGGGAAATCCTTTCCAAAAGCGGCAACGGAAAGAGGGTGTAGCACATCCAGTGTATACTCGCTTGGGAAGATTCTTCGGACACCGGCCTCTTGCGCCGCCTGTAGGAGCAGGAGATCGACTTTGTGAGCCACCGTGGTGGGAAGAGCCGAGACCACCGCGTCGGCACCCTTCAATGCCTGAACCAGAGAATCGTGGTTCTCATAGTCAACTGGCCTCACTGCATACTCTCTCGAGCCCTGCTGACGGATGATAGGTTTTGCTTTTTGGACAGCATCGGCTGATGTGGTTTCGCGTACCAGAACCGTGACATTGAAGACAGGCGCTGTAGATTCAAGCAAGTTACGAAGTATAGGAGCACCAACACGGCCTGTCGCACCAACTAGGACGATGGATTGAAACATGGCGATCTTTGCAGAAATGATATGAGGAGATTCGAGCTGGGCAAAAGGAAACTCTGTGTGGGAAACAAAAGTAATAAGAATTCACCAGCCTCGAAGCCAGAGGTCTTTCCTTTTATGCTGAGTGTGGTCCATAGTTTTCAAAGCCACCATGAACCAGCCTACCTAGTAGATCTAGACCATCAATATTTCAAATCAGAAGTATTTACTGTTCTTTGTAATCATCGTGGTGCCAGAGGTCTTTTTGGGGCCCGAGGGGGGGGGGGATAAATTACAGCGGAGTCGGGACAATTAATCAGCAACCTCATAATGCCGTACCCTCGAAATGTCACCACCTTTTTATCCTTCCTATACGCCCTTGTGAAGGAGCTCTTGACATTCTGTAATTTGACTGAAAGCTGCAAAGATCTGCATCAAAATATATTGAAGAAGTGCGATTTTCGAATTATATATGCTGCCGTGTTGGAGACGATTTGAGTCAGATCAGCCATTATTCTCCTAGGAGCCAAAGAAATGCGTGCATAATGATGCGCTTGTTTCATATCAGGACAAGATTCTAACACACAGTATTTGCAAGTCATCATGATCAATGCAGGAAAGGTGATAGATTCATCATCATAGAGAGTGTTCTTTGTGTCTTGTGCTGCCCAGAAACGGGGGAATGGTAGGATGGATACTTGTGATGGCAAACCTACACAATTAGTAGTGCATTTAATAAGACTGGAAGTCCTCCACGTCGTGCAAATAAATCGAGTTCAAGTCACCTGCCTTGAAATGTATTGACAGTTTTGAGCATGATGCTCAGTTCTAGCCAACGGACGGACGGAGGGTTATTTGAATCACTGGACTTTCGGCAATCTTGTAAAATCGGAATATCTTCTCGTTGTCACAGGTCCACAGTTTTATATTTCCATTTTTTCCCCAACCAAGTTGAAGGCTGGAGAAGCACATATATTTCTGGGCCTACCAGGGTGTCTCTAGAGACGTGTGGAGAGTATGTTGGATATTCACCTGCAGGATGACCATTCTGACTTGAGTAAGTCGAGTCCCCATCTATTTGCCTTGTCTTGCTCTCTCATACCGTGCAGGACACAGTCACCTCTTCTCTCCTCATCTTCAGCCTTGCAGTGATTGTGCTACCGGATATCTGCGAAACATCGCTGTGCTTGATCTGCCTCGGCCTCGAAGAGGTGGCTAATATCAAAGGTATATGTGAGGTTTCTCTCGAGGGTGCTGTACAGATGAATTCTTGTCAGAGAAGCGAATTCTTAAGATCATTTCTTAGATAATCAAGCTGTTGTCGAAAAACTAAATGTGGATCGGATGATGAGTCTTGAGCAACTCCTTCGATACACAACATCATCAACTTGAGAAGAACCTGTGTCTCTACAACCAAGAGACGTCGGCATCCGTCAAAATGGATACCCAACTTCATATTATGGGCCTTTTTGCGTGAATTTCGATATTTACCGCCCTGACCGTTCCTGACGATTTTCACCTGAGACTGGATGGCTGTTAAAACATTGGGAAAACAAACACAAAGCAAGGTAAGGAGGGAAGAGAAAAAAATCAACGATGAAGAGGAAAACATTTGGCAGAGAAGCAGAAAGAATAGTAAGAAGAAGTGGAGAAGCGCCTCAATTCTCGTTTTTGACACGATCGTCTCGCATGATCATCTCAAGAGAAGGCAACGGCCGCGTAATGATCGTAGCGGCTTCTTTTGGTAGCGAGGTAGGGATAAACACCACTCCATGATAGTCATACAATGTATACCTGTCGACTTAGCATATTTGATCACCTTCCACGTAGATAAACATTCTCGAATTTCGTGTCGGATCAGATCCGACGCCCCCCCATCCGAACAGCTCTCCAAAACTTCAGCAGTTAAAACGACATGTCGCCACAATTATTATGGGTAGACTCATCATAAAGGGTGGAGTTCCCCGGTCTATAACCATCAGCTCCTATACGTATGGCGCCTTTGAATGGATCTAAGAGGATCCTCGGCGGCGCCTCGCGTCCCGAGTATCCCTTCGGCTCCACGCTGCCGAGTCTTGTCCATCGTTACTGGCTGATGATCTACCTTGGTGGGAACGCACCTGTGGCTCTTCTTGTACGAGCACTTGAAATCTCCGATCAGTTCAATTGTTCGAGAAACCTAAGTATGAACTCACTAGGACTTGATCGAGGTAAGGTTCTGAGGCGCAAAAAATCTGGATGAAGGATCAAAACAGGAAATAGGGAAAGTAACAAAAGAGAGAGAAAGGGCTTTTTCAATTCAAGGGGCAATATAACACATCACCGCTCCTAAGAGGAGTGCTGGAATTTTGTTCCAGACGAGGGGTGCTAAGGCGATTCTGGACCAATGCAATGGAATCTCTCCTGGTAGATCGCATGGAGTATTTTCGCATAACTGATTAGCCTACAGCAGATGATCACGGAGGGCGCTCATCTTATCCAGCAGCCTTAGCCCACAGTTCAGCGTCAGGAGTTGATGCATTGCAATCGGCTGTCGGAGCCGACAAAAGCTCTGCGCGCCGAGCGGCCTATCAGCTAGCAGACGATGATTATAAGCGTGGAGAGAAGTGAAAGCGAAAAAACTTCTCGCCTCAAACTCTCTCACTCTCCACTTCTCGTCGTCTGGAAAAGTACCGTGGAGATCCTTTAGTTGCGTTGCAACGCAGGGCTGAGGCGGTATCGCAACGTGATGCCTGCAGCGGTATAATTTCGGTCGGCGGAGCCGGAATCATGCTTGCTCTCTGCATTGCCGTATAGTGTCAGTATTGCCATAGCGCGTAGTCCGACCTTGGCCACTCAGGCATAAGCAAAGCCTTTTTTTTTCTAGGCGACTAAGACGACGGGCCAGGCCGTCGTTGAGTTTGTTCTTATAAAGCTTTGTTCCAGATGGAGATGAAAATCGCCAACTCCAAAGCCTCTCTATCTGCGTCCAAGTTCCTTTTGCCCGGTTTATCCGTGCCGCCACCCACTGTGGACACACACTTGTGAGTGGATCATGGCGTACGTTTTTACTGGGCCAAGCAGGCCCCAGAAGACAATTCCTTGCGACCTGTGGAGCCTCGAGTTCGTTTCAACGACATCACAGTATGTAATGGGTTCCGGGTTCAGCCCTTCGGCTTTTCCCATACCCTTGCGTAAGCAGCGTAATGCTACTTTGAAGGGCATTGTGATCATCACGCGACAAACTCGTACTATGTAACAGCATGGAGAGCCGCCATTTCTTTTTCGTTTTGGTTTCTTGAGTTGTGATTCTTCTTTGGTCCTACTATAGTTACACGGTCGTGCCGAGAGTGTCCCATGGCAATATTCGTCGCTGCAGCATCTCTACGATGTCAAGATGGCTGGTAATTAAAGGTGCAACGAAGATTCAAGTGTCGTCTGCAGAGTCACATGAACCCTTATCTTCCCTCCTGGACGGGCGTCAAGGTTCTTGTATCTCTTTATCTACCTGTATATCCGTCCTTCTTTTCTTTTTCTCCTTGCCTCGTCCCTGAAAGAAGAATCCAGCCAGAAATACACAAGATTGCTGCTTGCTGAAGTCCCTTAGCTTGCACTGCGTTCACAGCCCTTACAAAGAGAAACTACGGTATCCCAACCACTGGAGCTGGCATTTATTATGGTACACTACAGACTTAGCAATAAGGAAGCTAAGAAGAAGTTCCACCGCGTATGGAGCAATTTCTTGTGAATGTGGTCCTACGCGGAAAAGGCGTGGGACCGCTTGATTCTCCGAACACATCAGCTTGGAAGAGATCAGCAGTTAATAATAGATGCACCGTAGTGACACTTGGACTTTTCCCCCCTGCGTTGCAAGTTATAATTTGAAGGATCGTGAACTGGACATCATACAGGATTATACTATCATATCATGGTAAGAAGTAGCAACAGTCAAGCCACACACAGGTGACAATTCTTGCTAGGATCCATCTGTGGGAGCAAAGCCTGTCCCAAAACGCAAGTGGAAAGATACAACGTATCCGTCACGCCCTAATTTTCGGAACCAGCGGAATTAATCCGAGAATAACTAGGTGCCAATCTACTATTAATTATAGTATGCTTAGTGCAGTCGCTGTGCGCGCTATGGGGAAATGCACGCCTAGCATAAGCTACACGCAGGATGCCTTGACATTCAGGAGGTGTGTCTGATACTGGGATCCGCACTTGTCTCATTCCAAGTCTACTCACCCACGTCCCTGAATAGAGTAAGAACTGTACGTTGCAGACCTCGATTGCCTGAAACGGTTGACCTTGAGAGGAGGCCCAGCCATGCATAGTGTTGTGATCTCCACTGAGACTCCATACATCCCGCGGAATCGGGTCTGAAGCCGCTAATATGAAGGAGTTGGATACAATACTCCATTGTGTAAGGTCGATCGCTGTGGGTGAGATGTACGCCCCTTGCAGGGGCGCTCCCTACTTAGTTCAACCAGGAAGTTCTTGTTCTATGGCAGCAAGAGAAGAAAACTGCCTCATGGTCCGCCCTTCCTCGACTTTTATCCAGGCAGTACGAGTTGTGCCGAGCGTCGACCTTTGCGTGCGCATGTCTTTGTGTTTTACTGCTCAGCGTGTCGGTAAATAATACAGCCTCAGCTTTGGATACTAATTAGTTCAATATCATCGACGTCGAAAACATCTTCCAACTCGACCAAGATAGGATCTCAAAAGAATCACTTTTCTCTCTTCTCCCCCCCCTTCCTTTCCCCATCAGATCTTGATAGCATGACCATCTATCAAGACAACGCACCCCACGTCGTGGGGGCGGTGGTCAGCCTTATGATCCTTGGGCTTTCGAGTTTCGCCCTGCGAGTCTATGTTCGGCAGGGCCAGAAGACATGGGGAGCCGAGGACTCTGTCATGGCCGTGGGTGTGGTAAGCATGACCCAAAACAAGGAGAAGGATAGAAAGGAATATAATTGCGATTTCTACATGGCCACGGTATGACTAACCACCGTCTTTATGCCAGTTGCCCTTCATTGTGCTTTCGATTGCCTGCATTCTCGGAGGCGTGAATGGGATTGGAGTCACCGATGCACATATTGCAGCAGCGACAGACGCCGACTATGAGAAGCTGGGCATGATGTACTTTTTCCTCTTTGAGGTCTTTTACTGCGCTTCCATCATCCCGGTCAAGCTGTCCATCTCTTTGATGCTGATCCGAATCGCCCAAAACCAAAAACCATACATCTGGGGCTCGTGGGCAATGATGATGTTGTTCTTCCTCGCCGACGGAGGTGCGCTGTTCTACATCATCTTCCAGTGCGCACCTGTCTCGTAAGTATTCACCAAGAGGTCTCGAAATTAACACACTTTGACTAATTATATCCGTGCACAGATACGCCTGGAACACCGATCAAAAAGGCTCCTGTCTGCCAGCGTCGTGGCTTGCTGATGTATATTACATGTGTACCGCCGTCAATATCGTTACAGACTGGACGACTGCTCTTCTGTGCGTCCGATTCTTCTTCTCTGTTTTCTTGTAGTTTTCCCAGCAAAGCTATGCCTAAGGAGTTGCTGCTAAATCAAACTTAACCTTTGCAGGCCCATCCCTCTCCTGTGGCACGTCAGGCTCGAGCGCAGCGAGAAGCTTTCTGTGGCTGCGATTCTCGGTCTTGGTATTTTGTAGGTTTCCCCTACACGTGCATCATTTCTTGATCCAGCCTTCACTAACAAGATGATCCATTTTTTTGTAGTGCGAGTCTTGCAGCTTGCATCAGATTGAACTATACTATCAACCTCACCTCATCCGAAAACTATCTCTGTACGTTTGCAATATCTCTCGTGCACAATGACGAAGTATCCTCCGAGCTAATCGAGATTATAGACGAAGTGTCCAACATCGTGATTTGGGGTTATCTGGAGCCAGCAGTCGGCCTGGTATGTACAGTTCAATCTCTTGTTTCTTCTCCGACTGTGCATCAAGATCAGCAAAACGACCCCCCTTCTCTCTTCTCTACAATTTTCATCCCCATATAATACTTCTCCTTCCTTGAGATCTATGAATTCTAACGTTTTCAAAAGTTTGTCGGCTGTATCGCCACACTCCGACCACTCTTCAGGAGACTCTTCCGACTGGGTTCCTTCGGGAGCAGCAAGGGCAAGTCAGGTGCCGGCCAGTCCAATATGCGATTCCCAAACAACTCCCGTCGGACATACGATCAGTTTTCCAAAACCGGCGACTTTGAGATGGGTGATGTTGGCATGACGAGCAGGGCATACAATGGGGCCCACGCCCATCCCACCACACCAAGCGATTCCGACAGCATGGAGCAGACCTTGATGGACAAGAAAGAGCCACACCCCCTGCACACAAACCAGAGTATTGTTGTTAGCCGGCATGTGCACATTGCACACGAGTCCAAAGGGGTTTCATGAGATTTATAAGAACCAGTTTCCAGTTGCACGGAACCTGGAGGGTGATGAGGGTCGCAGGCTCCGCCTCAGCAAGAGATTTCTCCCCTTGCCCTTGTTTTATCATAATAATCTTTTCCCTCTTCTTTTTAATTCATTAAGCACATAAGGCAGTCTCTTATTTGCGGAAACAATGCAACAATAGGATCGTCGAAAACCTGGACCGAGTTGTATGATTTTGGATAGAGAAAAGCGTTTGCGTCAAACCTTGAGATTTGTATAAATGAGAGCTGTCACTGTACAAATTCCGACTGTGCCAGACGCTACGAGCAATGAAGTAGTGGCGCGACTGGAGTTCGGCAATTATTTATAGCGACTGAACGTCTGGAATAGCGGGATGGGGCCAACTTTATTTTATTTACAAGATAGACTTTCGCTTACCTGGCTGGATCGAGAAAACCCTGGTGGTCGCATGTCCTCAACTTGGACAAGGTCCGATCTATCATAATTGACTGTTGTTAAAACCGTCCAAGTGCAGTGAGGACTATGGCCGTGGATCGCACAGGTCGAGGCATGTCTCCGTCGCTCTAAACAATCAATTTCCATTATAAATACAATGAATCACTTGTAACCTGTTTGATATTGCTGTCGTGCTGGGAAGGTATTCAAGGTTGTATAAAGAGTACACGATTAATAAACCGTAAGAAGAATATATTAATAAGTTTCCATTAAAACTTGTTGAGTGACCATGCCAGACGGCATTAACACCAACTGCATAACATTAATTGTTGATGATAAATAAATCATACGTAGCTGTACGGGTTCATTCAATGTCGGTGCGAAATCCAAGCTGAAGGTTTCCCGTGAGACGTTCTTATCTTCCGAGATGGATCGGGAGTTAAAGTGTTGGCCTACTATTGATCGATTATATAGCACGCCCTTCCTAGCCGATGACTCCGTGTCTACTTAATTAGTACTTGAAAACCTAAACAATATCTATAAATGAAGCAGCATTTCACGTCGTTATTATTATTGGGGATCGCAAACAGCCTTTTTCTTTCTTCCAGCCCCCCAGTCCAGCAACCTGATCAATGCATGTGATTGACCAAGATATCAATTCAAAGCAAACCTGCAAAGCAATTTTCATAACACCACCCCCTGCGCCGCCATGTTGTCAACAGCTGCCCGCGGCACCTCGATCGAGGTCCAACCTGACGTCAGCCTTCACGTCGAGATTATCGACAAGAACAACAATGAAGATAACACAATCGACTGCGCCAACACCCCAACAATTGTCTTTCTGCATTACTGGGGAGGGTCAACACGCACCTGGTCCAAGGTGATCCCGCTCGTGCACGCTTCAGAAGAACATGCGCATCATGCTCATTATCATTACCGCACCGTTGCCATCGACTTTCGCGGCTGGGGCGAGTCCACTGGCCCTTCGCACGCCGGCGCCTACTCCATCGCACACCTCGCCGCAGACATCGACACCGTGCTAGAACGCCTGCAACTGACGACAGTCTACCTCGTAGGGCTCAGCATGGGCGCCAAGGTTGCTCAGGCCGTCGCAGGCCGGGGCAACGTGAAGGGATTGAGGGGCCTCGTGCTGGTGAGCCCGGCGCCGCCAACGCCGCTCGTCTTGCCTCCCGAGGCCAGCGAGCAGCAGGTCCATGCGTACGAGACCTGGCAGAGCGCCGAGTTTGTGGCGCGGAATGTGCTGCTGTCGTCGCCGGAGGCTATTGACGATGAGCTGCTGAAACAGGTTGTTGGGGATATGCTAAGAGGGAAGGCGGAGGCGAAAGCTGCATGGCCTGCGTACGCCATGGGGGAGGACATCAGTCCGCTGGCAGGGCGGATCAAAGTGCCGGTGCAGGTTGTTGCAGCGGCCAAGGATGTTGTTGAGCCTCTAGAGCGGGTGAAGACAGAGGTCTGTGCAAATATTGAGACCTGTGGCTTGGTGGTGCTGCCCGGGGCGGGTCATCTTTCGCCTCTGGAAGCACCAGAAGAAGTCTCCAAGTACATAGTAGACTTCATTGGAGGCTTGGAGGATGTTGGACCTCGTGCCCAATAGGCAGAAAGAACCGTCTATACAAGCTGCTTCTTGCCTCTAGGCTGTTCAAAAAGAAATTGACACTTTTCCATCTGGTTGTGTCTAGATCACTAAACCCCCCCCCCCCCTTTTTTTTTTTTTTCCTTTCTTCTTTCTTCTTTCTTCTCTTCTTCTTTCTCTCGCGCCTGCTTATTCCCTTCTATGAGCCGATCATGACAATTCTACCCTCCACCTTGGGTGCGATGGCCTGCGTCCAGTCGCAGTCGACTTCGTCCTCCTCGAGCTCATCATCTGCCAGTGCGTTCACTCCTGCCTTCCTGCACCAGCGCCCAAACACTCGCCTCATGATCCTCAGCTCCTTCTCCTCCTGTTCCTCCGAAATGCCCGACAGCGAGCGTTCGAGACTCGTGGGCGAGGCCGCAGGCACATCGGTATCCCGGTCGACATCCGTGTCACTCTCTGTGAGGGGACCGACGCTGGACCGCCGGGCTCGCATCTTGGCTGGCGTCCAGTTCTCCCAGCTGGATGCTGAGTGCCTGTGGCGGTTCGTCTTTGCTACTGGGCTAGGGTTCGGAGTAGGCTTCTTGGGAGGGAGGACGGGGTGCGACTTGGTCACCTTGGAGACCACTTTGTCCCAATGCTGGCTCATGTGGGGGCCTAGGTGCGTCCATCTGTCGAGAACCTTGAGCTGCATAAAGTACTGTCGCAAGAGCATGGAGATGAGGATTCCGTTCTCCTCCGAGACGATCACGATCGCCTGACCACCTTCCTCCTCAATGAGCAGGGACTTGTAGCCGTCTACAAAGAAAAAGGAAGAGAAAAAAAAAGCTGGTCAGCCATGGCATTCTGCTTCGAAAAGGCATCTCATCAAGCTCAAATTGGGGCGGCGGCGGGGAATCAATTACCTTTTCCACGACCCATATAGCCACGCGTGGAGAGTACGTATAGTTTCTCGGGCAGGTAGCCATCCCCAGCAATATCCACCTCGGTGACTCTCTCGCCCGACGGCCGTTTGGGGTCGAAGGTGAACCTGATGTTGGACACCTGCGGGAATCTTCCCTCCAGCGCCGGGTACAGGCTTACGCTGTTCTCAAGAGCCTCACGGATGGCCTTGCCGGTCACCTTGAGAACAACGATGGGGTCCTCGAAGGGGAAACAGTCTGTGATGTCCTTGACACGGATGGGACCGGGCGGGTAGATCTGGTCTCCACGAATTGTGCCGGCGGCCATGAGGGCGCAGTCGGCGTTGTAGTGGTGGCGCATAATATCACAAACAAAGTTGCCAATGTTGGACTCCTTCAGGCGGACTGTGGTGAAGCGTGCGTCGAGCGGGGCGGCAGTCCAGCCTACGGGCTTCTCGAGGGACTGCTTCAGCTTGGCAGTCAGCCTCTCGGCCAGCTCCAGGGTCGGCTTGTGTTCAGCGATCGAGGAGACAATATCCCGGCGGTAGATGGTAAAATCCCATCTCTGGGAGCTCCCGTTGGTGGCAGGTCGCCGTGCCTCGATGTAGCTGAGCTGCTTGAAGTCGGTCCCGGACCTCAGCACGTGGCACCCGTTGATGAGGCTGTGCGAGTAGTAGTGGTCGTGCCCGCCCAGGATCAGGTCGATCTGGTCACCGACGCTCTCGGCCAGCTTGTTGTCGTTGGGCTCGCGCATGTGGGTGAGTGCCACAATCATGTCGGCGCCCTCGGCTCGCAGCTTTGGGGCCAGCTCCCTGGCAGTTTCTCTGGCTGACTTGTAGATGAGGTCTGGCGGCAGGGAGTTGATGGTCTCGAGCCATTCTCGCTCCCCGAGGCCAATGACACCAATCTTGATGCCATTGCTGGCCGTGAGCATATGAGTGCGCCTCGCGTTGCCGATGGGGACGTTCTCGCCAAGTGCCGGATCGAGGATGTTTGCGACTAGCCAGGGGAAATGACACTTCCCCATCAGCTGGTTGAACTGGGTCACACCAAAGTCGAGGTCGTGATTCCCCAGGGCGGCAACGTCGGTCTTGATAGCATTGAGTATGGGGACCATGTGGGAGCCCTTGGTGATGGAACTCTCGAGACTGGGGTTGAAGGCATCGCCGGAGAAGAGGGTCAGGCAGTGCGGCTGGTCCTTGAAGCGCTCGCCCTCCTGATAGTCCTTGACCACGGTGATGAATCTAGCAATGCCACCGACAGGCTCTGCTGAGGACGAGTCGAGATGGTAGACATCGTTGTAGTGCAGGAGTCTTAGGTCAGGAGGAGTTGTGGAGGAAGGGCTGCCGTATGTGATGACCTCCTCGGCCGTGGGCTTGGTGGTGTCGTCCGGAGCCATGGTGGAGGGAAGAGGGATGAGGTAGCCTGGCCTGACCACGTGTGAGGCGAGGCAGCACGACCAAAGGCGTGTGAGTGGGGCTATGAAGCCGAGAATTGAAGGACAGAGTCGACAGTATTCGTAGAAGCAAGAGCTGTAGCAGCAGTGGTTGTTGAAACGGGGACGTGATGAGAGACGTCCTGTGCAATACTATCAATTTAGTACTTGTACTGCAACAACCACAGCAACAACAGTTTTCCTGTGGAAAGATCTCTTGTCCCTTGCACTGTCTGTTGTGTTTCTCAGTGTCTTGCTATGCCAAGCTGTCCTGCCACCTCACTCACAGCATTGCGTGGCGGTGAGCGAGTCGAGTTGAGCAAGGTGAGTAGAGCGTGTGTGTGTGCGATCGATTGTTACTGTACAGTATGTAAGCCCACCTTTTTGAGCTTGGCAACCGTTGTTTTCATTGGCCCCTCGTGCTGCAGACAGCTTACTGCGTATGTGTTCCAAGCGCACTTGTCTGTACGGGTAGGCAGGATCAAGGTACAAGATCGACCAAGTTCTCGTTGGTGAAGCCGTGCACAAGACTTGTCGCGAATTTTGGTTAAGAAAGTTCATGAAATTGGAATGTTGGAAGGTACTTCAGTAGGTCAAGAGGAAAGAGGCGTGCGTACTATACTCTGCTGTACCTAAAATACCTACCCGTGCGTGCATGCCGTTTTGATGTTGAAGCTTCTGTAACTACTAGGGTAGCTAGCTAGCTATCTAATTGACAGTTGCCTGTAGTGGTGTGTGGGCTTTTGAGGGGGACCGGTAGGCGTTGCAGAGGAGCTCTCGGCTCTCTCCTGGTGCAATCATCTCACCAATCGGCAGGTTCCCATTGGTAAGTGAGACCACTGGGGCGAGGGAGGGTACTGTACTGTAGCGTGTGTAGTAATCGGGCCCTGCTGATCCCCGAGTTGAGCCACTAAAGGGCTGCCATAACCCCTACACCTTTGCCATCCTGCTATGGTAGTCTTCCCGTTAGGCTGAGAGCAGGTGCTGTGGAGGGGTCAAGATGAGGGGCAGAATGAGGGGTACTACCATCTGTTCTTACCCCTCTGTTCGTTCCATCATGACAACGCTCTTTGGCTGCTGGTATTCTTTTTTTTTTTTTTTATATATATATATATATTTTATAAACGAAGAATTTTTATTGTGTAAAGCTACAACAATCATCCTCTTCTCGTGTTATATTATGTGCATCTCTCTCTGTTTCTGTAGTCATCATTCTAGCTGCTGTAATCCACTCTTTGTCTTGCAAAGAATTGTTTGACAACTGCGCAAGTGAGCATTGCCATGATCGAGCGAGCAATGCATGAATTCGATGTACGTAATAAAAATATAGCAGGGAAGAGCCCATCAGAGCTCTGTTGATACTATTAGACGCTACAAATACACCCCGCCTCCTGCATCAACATAATACAATAATATTCCTCACCGACATACAAGTCATTCAATTCCTGGCTGCTGCACTTCAGGAGCTATAATAAAGAAGAATCTCATCGGCCCGAACGTGTACTAACTTGGCAGTGTTGCTCCCCCATAGACTATAGCCAATATTACCTTTGGGTTAATCCTCCTTCATTGGCAACATGACGAGCCCTCAACCTCTTATCCGCCATGCTCGGCGTGAAGGTGAGTCTAGCACAAAGCCCCCGTGTTAAGCTACTTCAAAAGCCTCCCTCGCCTATCTTTTTCCATTCTACTAACTGAGATCTCGTCTGGCTCAAGACGTTCCCGCCATCCTCGGCCTGATCAAAGAGCTGGCCGACTATGAACGTGAGCTCTCGTCTGTCGAGGCCACAGAGGCCAAGCTCCTGTCTACCATCGCCTTCGCGCCTTCGCGCTCTTCCTCCTCGGATCCGCCCTCGACCTCGGATGCCCAGGGCCTCCCTATCACCGAGGCCATCACCCCGACCAAGCCTGCGCGCTGTCTCCTGCTCTTCCGGCCCGAAGATGGCAGTGGCAGTGCAGGGACGGCGGCGGTGGGGATGGCGCTGTACTTCTACAACTACAGCACATGGCGGGCCAAGGCAGGCATCTACCTGGAGGACCTGTACGTGACACCGTCCGAGCGCAACAAGGGCTACGGAAAGAGGCTGCTCGTCAAGCTGGCCGAGGAAGTGGTGGCCATGGACGGCGGACGGCTGGACTGGAGCGTGCTCAAGTGGAACGAGCCGAGCATCCGCTTCTATGAGGATGTCATTGGGGCAACGAGGATGGAGGATTGGGTCGGCATGCGCGTGGACAAGGAGGCGCTCGTGAGGCTGAGCAGAATGTTGGACTGAAAATAAAGAGGGAGAATAAAAAAGAATTACGAGGAGAATTCTCGGTCCTACCAGAATTAGATGCATAGACCGGCCATGGATGAACAAGGTCCTGGCAGATTGTGTTTTTATTTCTCTTTCGCAATTTGTCTTCTTGGCTTCTTGGGTCTCTTGGCGATAGCGTCCTTGAAGAAGGCTGCCTGGTTGGCCGTCGCGACGGGGGTCTTCTTCTCGACACGTCCCCACTCGACATGCCACCGGCCCGGCTGGTCTTCCACCTTGGTCATGGTCGGGGTCATCTCCCATATCTTGCTGTACAGTCTCGTCCAGAACCTCGCACGCTTGTAGGAGTGTACGCCTATGGGTGCGCCCAGCCCGTACGGAGCCTCCCCCTGCTCGCCGGTCCGTACCTTCATGGATCTCGAGCTCCCCCTCTCGATGTGCCTGACCGGGTGCGTGGCGAACTCCTTCCAGTCCCACTTGCCGCCGCCGCCGCCGCTCTGTTGTTTGCTGTCGTATCCTTCTTCTTCAGGCCTGCCTCCTTGATACACCGGCAAACCCTGGGGCCGTCTCGTGGGCATCTCCCAGAGGTTCCGGTCGGCCGTACCCGCGGCCAGGTGGCGCAGCATTTCCCACTCGCCCCTACCGACGGGCGGCATGAGGCGGTTGACCTGGGCCTTGTACCACTTGCGCATCTTGCTCCTGCGCAGCCTCGCAGCCAATGGGCGGCCCCATATGTTCAGTTCGGGGATGGCCTCCTGTGGGTTCAGCTTGTTTCCCTTGATGGAGGGTTTGGGGCTCCAGAAGCTCCTCTTGGCCTGGCTTGCGGCCAGTGCGTGGAGCTTTGGCAGGTCCCAGTTGTCCAGCCAGTCTCGCTTCAGCTGCCTCCCCTGTTTCGGCCCTCCTGCTGGTGCTTCTCGACCTGGCCCCTGCGGGCCTTCAGCCTCCTCGCGGATCTGCCTCGCCAGCTCGTCCGAGTCGGCAGGCGGAGGTTTGGCCAGGAACCTCGACATGAGCACCCGCCGTCTCTTGCCTATGCGCCCAAAGGACAACATCAGGACGCGGCGCATAGTCTCCATGTGGCCCATGTTGGCAGCGTGCAGGAGGCGGAGGTTATGGCGGGCGCGGCTGATGCGTGACAATGTGAGGGCGGACTTGTGGCTGCTCTTGTCGTGCATGTGCGCCCTGAAGCGTGTGCGGATCTGGTCGGCTACGAAGGGGCGACATACTGGCGGGAGGTAGGAGGCTTCGCGGAGGAGGCTGCGGAAGAGAGCGAGCGTTGTTGATGATGACGGTGATGTTGATTTTGGCATGAGAGAGGCCATCTCTGTCTTTTCTTCTCCTTCTCCTCCTCTTGGCACTGCTGCTATAAATTGGTTATTAATGTCATCCTCTTCAGGCCATCTAGCAGACCAGTCACCTGGACACAGCCGTTGTGCTAATGGGAGAGGAAGAGGAGGGTGGGGTGGAGTTTGTTGTAGTGGTATGAAGTGGGGTGGTATTGCTATGATGCTTTTGGAGGTTTGACTCTAAGACAAAGGCTGAATTGGAGGGCAGAATGGGGAAGAAAAAAAGACCACTTTACGCGTGCCCCACACACGCGTTCCAGCGTCCATCCCTCACGAATGGCGGTACAAAGAGCATATGCAGTGGTCGAAAAAAGCACGACAATTGTAATACTATTATTGTTATTATGATTATTATTGTTATCTTTCAAAAAAGAGAAGGGTTTACGCATGCAATACATCCATTACTTTTTGCCCATAAATCAGTCAGAGTCTTGTTCCCAACTTGATTCTTGGTTGGTTGGTAATCTTTTCTGTTGAGCAGATTCAGAAATCCCCCAAAATATTGAGATCAACCCCCTGTCTTGGGGGCTGCTGGAATGCCCCGCCCTTGGCCATGGCGACCCACTGACGCGACCATCTTCCCACTAAAGCCCTTCCACAACCACAGGCTCCCTTGGGGGGGGGGGGCGGCGCGTGTGTTGAACGAACCCCTGAGCCTCCCAGTGAGCACAAGCACTATGGGTTCAGTGAGCGAACTACACTGGCATGGCTGGCTCCAGTAAGCAATACCACCAGCCCACACCCTGGCTAGCTGCTACTTTACCACAACTACACGAAATGGCCGCGAAACAGACACGTCCAAGACTCGTGTCTTCCTAGGATCTTTTTCTCTTAATTAATTGCATGCAGAACCCCGAACAAGAAGCTGAAGCTACAGCTATCCCCCCGATGCTCCCCTCCTCCCTTTTCTTGTCGTGTCTATTGGTTCCATTCTCGGTGTCACAAGCCCACCTTTTTCCATCTCACCTGACCTCGCGTAAAGGCAACATACTGTACCTTTCTCCCCCTCCTTGTCGCTTCCTATCTGCTTGGGAGAGCTACGATCTAGGGCAGGGCAGGTAACAGAAGAAGTATCCATTGACTTTGACTTTGGTGTGGGAACCCCTCTTTCTTGATACTACTGCTACTACCATTGTTATCTTCTTTTTCTTTCCCTCCTCCTCCTCCTCCTCTTTACGCAGTCAATCAATACTCGAAATCGATTCGACGCGGCCAGCCACACGTCTCCTCGCCCTCCTGACCTTGGCCCATCCCAATCTCGACTCGACTCGACTCGACTCTCCCTGTCTGTCTCCCTTGACCAACTCGATCCTCCCTGTCAAAGACTTGGCAAAAGAAGAAGAACATACACCGAAAACACAAGCTCGCAGAATCTTGCCCCACACCGCCTTCACTAAAGTTCGCGTCGTCGATCTGGGAGAATACCGCTGCTCTTCTTCGCGTGTCAACCCCCCCTCGCGACGGGCTCCTATCGCTTCGCACATACATACACGTACACGTCTCAATTCCACGGTATTGCATCGTAGTGCATAGCATCTTTTGTCGCATTACAGCATCTCGTAGCAACAGCTTGTCAAATTGAAATCGAATCCCAGGAAATCGCGTCTCTCACCCATCCATCTATCCTACTGCTACCCACAGTAGCCGTCGAACAAAGCTTAGTTTCCTGCAGGTCGAGTGCGGGTGCGGGTGCGAGCCTAGACGCCAGCAGCGAGGACAATCAAATTGTCCCTCTGCACCATCACGCGCGCGTCAATGGGATCTGGTCCACCATAGCATGGCATCCTCCACCATCCTCACCAATCCCTCGATCGTTCCACACCCAGCTGGCCTTGTCGCCGCCCAGCCAGCCCATCCTCGCGCCTCTTTCTCCGCCGCCTCCTCTATACTCCCTCCTTCCACCACTTATCCCCACGCCGCCGCCGCCCACATACAACAGCAGCAGCAGCAGCAGCAGCAGCCGCCGACTCCTCCTCTCACCGCCATGTCGCATTCACAACCCTCGTCCCAGCACTCTTTCTCCTCGTCCCAGCAGCAGCAACAGCAGCAGCAGCAGCAGCAGGGCGGCCGCCCCACCGGCTACCATCACTTCGCCGGCTCCCAACCGAACCATGTCGAGGAGGATGACGGCCCTCAGATCTACTCATCCGTCTACAGCGGCGTCGAGGTCTACGAGATGGAAGTCAACCACGTCGCCGTCATGCGCCGTCGCAATGACAGTCACCTGAACGCAACCCAGATTCTCAAGGTCGCCGGTCTCGACAAGGGCAAGCGCACCAAGATCCTCGAGAAGGAGATACAGACTGGTGAGCACGAGAAGGTCCAGGGCGGCTATGGCAAGTACCAGGGCACCTGGATATCCTTTGAGCGCGGCGTCGAGGTCTGCCGTCAGTACGGCGTCGAGGATCTCCTCCGGCCCCTCCTCACCTACGACATGGGGCAGGATGGCGGTGTCGCCGGCCGTGGAGACCTCAACACCCCGACCAAGGAGCAGGCCATGGCCGCCCAGAGGAAAAAGTACTACGCCGCGCCTACGAGCTCGCGCCCCAATAGCATGTCCGGCACCTTCTTCCAAAACATCTCGGCCACTGCCTCTAACGCCGTCGCCGCCATCAGCAAGGCCCGTCTCGACTCGCCTGGACCCAGAAAGCGCGGCGGTGGTGGTGGCAATCTGTCACGCGCCGCCAGCTTCAACAGACAGTCCTCGATGCAGAATATAGATGACTTCCCCAACTCGCAGCAGAGCTACACCTCGGAACGCGGCCGTAATGCCGCCGCCGCCGCCGCCGCCGCCGCCGCTGCTGCTGCTGCCTCCACCTCGGATTCTGTCTACTCCTCACAGCGCATCGGCTCCCAGCAGATGAGCATCGACGGCACCGAGCCACCCAGGAAGCGACAGAGGGTCAATGTGACGCCCGCCGACAGCTTTGGCAACTCGCAGGGCATGCGCATGTACGCCGAGGCCTTCCCTGGGTCACCCACCGAGCCGAACGAGTCCTTCATCTACTCCCAGGCGGGCATCGCCGTTCATGACGATGCGGATCACGACGGTATCTCGCCTCTCCCGCCCCTCCCGTTTGAGGATTCTGTCGACGCCGATGTCAACCGAAAGACTCTCCTAGGCCTATTTGCAGACCCTGCCGAGCCTGACGCATTCGAGGAACTGCAGGGCCTGACTCCTGTCGAACTGGATATGCCGATCGACAGCCAGCACCACACCGCGCTACATTGGGCTGCCACGTTATCACGTATGAACATCGTGCAGGCTCTGATCAAGCACGGCGCAAACCCCTTCAGGGTCAACTCGGAAGGGCAGACGGCCCTCATGCGTGCCGTCATCGTCACCAACTCCCATGATAACTTCTCATTTCCCGAGCTCCTGGACCTTCTGGGCAACACGCTTGAGGTCGCAGACAACAAGGGCCGTACGGTGCTGCACCACATCGTCGTCACCAGCGCAATAGACCGTCGTCACGCCACCAGCAAGTACTATTTGGATTGTCTGCTGGAGTGGGTGGTGAGGCAGGGTAGCCAGCCCAGCAGTCAAGACCACAGCGTCAACGGCAACCATTCCGCCGCCGCCGCCGCTCTTAATGCCGCTCACCCTAAGATAGGGCTTGGGAGGTTTATGACAGATGTGGTCAACGCGCAGGACAAGGTTGGCGACACGGCTCTGAATCTCGCCGCGCGGATATCAAATCGAAGCATCATCTCGCAGCTTCTAGAGGTTCATGCAGACCCGGGCATCCCCAACCGCGTAGGCCTCAGGCCGCGTGACTTTGGCATTGGTGAATTACCAGATGGTGATCAGATGCTGGTCGACGCTGAACAGGTCGATGTTGCTGCGAGCAATCAGCGGAGCAAAGAGAGTAGTGATGATATCGTTTCATGTAAGTTTTGTTCTTGCTTACTTCCTCCTTTCCTTTTCCCCCGTGCTTTCCCTTCCCTACTCACCCATAATCTGCTCCCTGTGCTGACAATTTCGTCCCCGTTTTACAGCAATGAAAGACCTGCTGGGTGAGACGGCAGCGATCGCACAAGAGGAGCTCAAGAAGAAGCAGGACACGCTGGACGAACTTCACACGGGCCTCAGAACGTCGTCCGCCAAGCTGGCCGAGACGAGGCGCGACCTGGAGGCGCTGAAGGAGAAGTTAAAGCAGCAGCAGCTCCACCGACAAAAGGTCGCCAACCTATCACGCGAGCTCGAGAGGATCCAGTACCGGATGAGCTCGGTCGAGCAAGAACACGGCTCCTCGCAGTCGAGCTCTGCCGCGCAGTGGGAGGAGGAACTCGAGAGCGCCGCCGAGAGCGCCGCCTCGTCGCAATCCGACTCTGCTCATCCTCATTCTCGCCAGTCGCAGCCCAAGGCCATTGGCGGCTTGCCGGATGCTAATATCCTCCGCGCGCGCATAAAGGCGACCAGCGATGTGCTGCATAACGTGAAGAGCAGTGTGTCTCGCCTCAAGGGCAGCAGCCGCGATATCGAATACAAGTACCGCCGCCTCGTCGCCCTGGCCGCCAACTGCCCTGAGGACCAGGTCGACGAGCTTCTCAACAACCTCGTCCGCGCCGTCCAGAGCGAGAAGGGCGAGCTGGAGATTGGCCGCGTGCGCAAATTCCTCGGCGGCGTGGACGGCGTTTAGAGCACGCTGCCCACCCTCTCTTCCGCCGCGCGTACTACTGCGTTTCATGGCCGCACGCCCGCGCTGGCGACACCCCCCGCGAGCTCCTCTCCAGTCCGTGCTGCTGCTGCTTCTGCTCCTGCCACTCCCACTGGCAAGAGGCTTGTTACATTGGCCGCGCATGCGCTCGGGGCTTCAGCTGCACTTTCCGAGGATCTACTCATCACTCCCTCAAGAAAATATAATTCCTCTCCGCTGAGACGAGACCGGGCTCAGACCGTCTACAGTTCTGGAGGCGTCTTTAATTCCGAGGGCACAGACTTCTCCCCTTCAGTCATGTTTTGCGACTGAGCATCATTGTTGCCACACGGTATTCATCTGGGGAGATAATCCAAGAATCAACAATGGATACTCTCTCTCTCTCTCTCTCTCGGGTCCGGTCTGTGTCTGTTATGGCTACTTATTTGGGTAGTATCATTGTACGGACATGACTTGGTTTAGGGTTTTGTCTTATTTCTTTCCTTCTTTCTTCTGCTTGTCCTTTTTGTTCTCATTACGATGGCGGTGCTGGCGGTGGCTGTCGTTTCACACTTGATACCACGATTCTATCAGTTAGTTCATGATCTGCCTAAAGGCCGACAGAGTTGTTTATTGCCCCATGATAGGAGGGCAGTCCGGAGTACGAGGTTGGATGCGGAAAAAAATAAAATAAAGTGAAAGGTTATTGTTTACTTATACTTTCATGTCTACTTCGACTCGGTGTATGGTTTCTTTTTCTTGACCCATCTTAGACCCTCCTAAGGACGTCTTCTTTTGTGTTCATGGGGTCAATTCATGCTCTGGTTTATAGGTATTACGGTAATTCTAGGATCTTCACCTCGCAAGGTTCATTGACCGATGCTCACTCACAACCTGGGTGCTGGCCTCACTCTCACTTGAATCCCACATCTCCAACATCATCGTATGTACTTCATTACCACATCCATCCCATCAACTATTCCCCAACCTCTTTACTACAACGACATGAGCCTAGCCTCGTCAAGTGTCAGGCACTAGTGTCGTGGTAGCAGATGGTGTAACCATGACATACATCGTGCCGACTTGGTATCCTGGGGACGTACTCGTGAGCCCCTTTCAGTCCAATTCACCACTGGACACCTGTCGTGGAACTGGGGTGGAAGGTGGGAACTCGGCCACATCCGTGGACGGCTTTCGGTGCTTCATCGACTTGGTCTATGCGCCGGTCAGTGTCGGCGTGGCTGTTGGCGGCTGTAGCTTCTCCGTCCTGGTATTGGTCTTGGTCGATTTAGTTTTGGTCGTCTTGGTCTTGGTCGCCTTAGTCTTCTCCGTTTTGGTCTTGGTCGCCTTGGTCTTGGTCGCCTTGGTCTTGGTCGTCTCAGTCGTGGCCGTCTTGGTCTTGCTCTTGGTCGTTTTGGTCTTGGTTGTCTTGTTGTTAAGCGTGACGATTGTCTCTTCACTGTTCAGGAATGGTCTCGGTGTTGCCTTGGGCGAGGCATCTTTGACGGGAGGAGCGCCGGCCAGCACGATGACCATATCGGAACAGCTTCTGGTACCGTTGTTCGAGGTACACGCTGCCTTGACTTTGAGGTGTACCGTGGCCTCGTGAATGTCGTCAATATTGGTGGCAACGAGCATGATATTGATCAGCGCAGTGATGTCCAGCTTGTCCAGGTCGATGACCACGGGGTTGGTGGTGTTGGGGACGAGGGAGACTAGGGCTGAAGATGTAGGTAGTAGGGCGCCAGGGAATCCGGCGGCTTCGGGTGAAGTCATCGAGGTCTGGGGCACCGTCTTGGTTTCTGTGCTTAGAATAGTCGTGGACAAAGTTGGGCCAATGTTTCTCGGTGTTGACGCTGGCATGGAAGGCTCAGCAAAATACGGAATCGTCATGGTGGTCGTCTTCGGAGTGTGTCCAGGAAGAGTGACGGTGATGATTTTGGATGAACCCGTACTGGTCTCTTCCACTTGGGGCTGCGACAGCTGGAAAAGCAGATCCTGTATTTCAAAGACATCAGGGGGTGGTGCGTTCAAAGTCGGCGCCGCGCTTGTGGTGCGGGTTCTTGTCGAATGCTTGGAGGTCTTGCCCGTCTTGGATGATGTCTTCCTCGAAGACTTTTTTGTTGTTGTGTTCAGCCCGGGAAGATCGTACGGTGGAGTGGTCTCGCCTTCCTCGCACTTGAACCTTCTCTTGTTGCTGCAGATTCTGTAGACCATGGAGACGTGCGTATACCGTCGATCGGTTTCTTTGTACCCACGTTGTGAAGTTGCAAAGTGGATTCTGTAGAAGTATTCTCCAGCCTGGACGATCTTGAATGCCTCCTTTTCAGTTCTCCTAGGTGGCCGGAAGCAGCAGAGTCCTTCGTCGTGCGGGCAAGCTTCGAAGCCCGTGTTCGGGTGCGGCGTTGGAAGCACCCTCGGGTTCATCTTGCCCGTCGTATTCAGCATCTCCTCACATGGGATGCTGTCGACACTGTCAAGCATAGCGCGAAAAAACTTCCAGTCTGATTCTAGAACAGAGAGTGATAGTGGAGACTGGCCACCATCGTCTCCTTGAGCAGTGGTCGGTCCTGTGGAGCAAGTCTGTCGGGCATCCAGGCATTCAAGGCATCCATCTATGCTGACTTTGACAGTCCTGGCTACAATCATAACACTGTCAGAACGAGCCGTTGATGATGAGGTTATCAACGAGACCGAGCAAAGGAGAATAACTTACTGAGGTCATAGGTGGCCTCGAGTCTGATGTCTGAGCCCTCAGGTGCGCAGCTGCAAAAAATGTATCCGACTTGAGTTGAAGACTCGCCGGGCTTGATGAGGACGCATGACTTGCAAAAATCGGAAAAGTGGCCTCTAGACAATAATAACAAACAAGGGATTAGCACACAAGAAGAGGGTCTGTCTCTCCAGTTGTTCTTAAGGAAATACTTACTCTTTGATAGGAAACAGGTGATTGTCGGTGTACTCGCTCGCCTCGGGGGTTCGACGAGGCCCCCAAGCAAGACATCCATTGAGATCGACAGTAGTGTTCACAGGTGCCTGGCCGGCCCAACTGCAAGCCCCAGATAGGATACCAGTATCTGGAGTCAGCGATAGGTCATCGCAGAGGTGCATAAAGTTGCGGTCAGGGACCAAGGCGTTGGCATGGCCTGCAATGAATGGGAGGAGCCACAAGACCTTCATCTTGACAGCGAGGGAGGGTATCGAGGGCTGTAGCCAAGAGTACAAGAGAGCGGGACTGAAGTTGATGTATTGCCGAGAGAGCAGGTTGAAATTGGAATGAATGGTATATAAGAATAACTCAATGATAACACAGTAGAGAGGGTGAGATGAAGCGAGAGGTAGGACTAGTGAGAGAGTGAATGGTCTAGAAGAGTAGAGGAAGAGTAAGGAAAAAATGTTGTAGGCTTATGTCGTGGATGCAAATAACAATCTTGAGAGCCAAAGTAGACGATTGGCACCGGCGTTGTCTTTGTGCCATCATCTCTCCCAAATAGCTCCTTCCTGCTGGGCAAGGTCTCAAGTGACTCGGGTCGAAGAAGAACAAAAAGGAAGGACACAGAGCACTCGGATGTTGTTGAGAAGGAAGGCACGGCCTTCTTCACAACTATTCAGTAGTACGGCAGCTTGACGATATCGATCGCTCTTGCTCGAGTAAATATGGGTAATAGCTATCCATCGTGTAGACTCGCCCTCAAGGAAAGAAGTAGATACACTGAGCTTTGGGCGCCTGGCTTTGGCATTGCGAATCCGATATCCTGTTGCTGGGGCAGTTTATACGTGCCCTTCAGTCTCTTGTCAGCTTGGACTCTATTCTTTTTTCGACTGTTCACCAGCAGGGTTGGCATTGTGAAGCAAAAAGGCCGATGTGAGTGTTTTCAATCTGGTGTTTATGTGAGAAGCAAGTGGGTGTTCTTGACGGGACGACACATCAAGAGGCCAAGAGGAAATGGCCAAAAAGAAGAAAACAGAATAAAATAATGACCAAGTAATGTGGATGATAGATGCTCCCTTGTTCATGGCTTCGAAAAGATTTGCCAGCCGCCCGCTGATTGCCCCTGCGCCTTTCCATCCCCAAAAAACAAAAACGCCGTGCTATGGACATTGACTCCATCTGAGTGGTGCATATGCCTGTCTTCCCCGTCATGAACCCGCTCCATTGGTGTATACACCCTCCCACCTCTCTTCGACCCCGTCGACAGCCTTTCGCAGGCTGGCGATCTCGCCGTCGAGCTCTTCCATGTTCTTGTTCAGAGCGCTAACCTCCTCAAAGCGTCTGGAGCCCCGCGCGTTGTTCACCATCTCCTTTACCAGGAAGCGTTGCTCCTCCAACACGACCAACCGCTCGCGAAGCTCCTTCTCTTCCGTCTCGAGCGCCGACACGGCCGTGCTGGCCTCGCTTGCACCAGCTAGGCTGGCTGTCTCGGACCCGGGGTCGGCCAGCTCGCCGTTGCGCAGCGGCGAGAGGGCGGCCGCTGCTGAGCCGGAGCTGTTGTGCCGGTCATTTGCTGTGAGCAGCCTCCGGTGGCTGTTGGAGGAGGAAGTGTTGCTCTTCAGCATCTTGGGTACGCTCTTCATAGGCAGCATGTATGTATGCAGAAATCCGCTGGCCGCAGTGTAGATGTTCTTCTGCAGCCTCAGCTGCGTCGGGCTGGTCGTCTTCATGTCGCGCAGCCGCTTGGCCGCGAGGTTATACTTGGTAAAACTGTCTGTCAGCCTCTTGCGCAGCTTGCTCGCCTCCTGGATCTGTGCATGCGAAGGGGGTGGCCTGTCGGACGAGAACTCGTCGTCTGGGGGCTGGAGTGCCACAAGCGCGCGCTGGAATGACGGCATGAGCATCTTGATGCCGCGTTCAAATTGGCGCAGCGTCTCGTAAGCACGTTGATCTGGGGGCTTGTGTGCCACGGATTCTGCAAAGTCACGCTTGGAGAAGATGGTCGTCTTGCAGTCGCGACACATGCGGACGTCGACGCTGATGTGGCCATCGGCAGGCGACTCCGCCTTCTCGTTCCTCGTCCCGCTGGTGACCACCGTGCCGTTGGATAGGAGGGGCTTGTTGACATTCAAGCCCACCTCTCCCGAGCAGAGCGTCTGCGTGTCTGCGCAGACCACCCGCCCACACATTCGGCAGTGGTGCCTCCTGAAAGACCACGAGAACTCCTGCTGGCAGAACGGGCAGCGAGGGACCTTTGCGTCCTCCTCCCACGTCACAACCGACTGTTCCAGCTGCTTGCGAACGTTCTTCTGTCCGGCCAGGCTGGCGACGGGGGACAGCAGACCGCCGCCGGCCCCTGCTGCCTCCTCGGGTCGGTTCGCCAGCAGCTGTGTGAGCTTTGTGAGGCGCTTCTCGAGCCGCTGGATCTCCAGGTTCTGTCGCTCGACCTTTTTCCTCCGAATATCGGCAAACGTCTTGGTGTGGTCGACCATGACGCCGTTGTGGTCGTTGTAGCCATCTCTTGACTTGTAGCAGGTCTCGCAGACACGGCACCAGCAGCCCCTAACCGGGTCATGGTTTGCGGATCTGGACAGCCTCATCTGGTACATGGTGTGGACCTCGCAGAACAGCCTGCCACAATTTCTGCAGTTGATGCTGCCAGCCATGGGCCCCAGGCTCTTCCCACATGCTGGCTCCGTACACCTGTCATTTCCCGTAGGCCGTTGCCAATGTTTCCTAGTCACCAGCTCTTCAGGATCGATCACGGAGTCGAGGGGCGGCCGGGGGCCGGACATGCTGGGAGGGGGGGTCATGGGCTGTGTCTCGTTAGACTCGAAGACGTCGAGGCCCCGTAACTTGGAGTTGATGAGCGTGAGCGGCTGGAAGCGCTTCGCCTTGAGGACCTGCTTGTCGAACCACGTCTTGACCTCATCTTGTTCTATGGCGGGAAGCTCCTGGTGGTTGTCGTCGATGTGCCGGTTGAGTTGAAGCAGTGTGAGCTACAGAAATGATGACCAGCAGAACGTCAGTATTGTTGATACTGCCCACACAAGGGTTGACCAGTGTAAATGCGAATGACCGGAAGAAGAGAAGGGGGGGGGGGTGGGGGTTTGCGAGCTCTTACCATTTCCTCCTCACAGATCGGACAGACCAGCTTTGTGCTGGAGGCATCGCCATTGGAAGGGCCGCCAATACTGATCCTCGATGCGAGGTCTTGAGGTCCAAAATCGGGTACAGGGCTGGAAGATGGTGGAGAGAAGGAGTCGCGGGAGTTGGAGTACTGGGAGACGGAGCTGGAATCGGACGGCGCATAGGGGCTCGTTGCCCTCGGGGTCCTGGCCTGCTGCTGGGGCGGTGCGAGACCTTTGCCGCTGCCGAGCACCCTCCCTCCCCCAAGCTTTCGACCCGACATGATGGGCTGCGAAGGCGAGGGCGGTGACGAGACGTCGCCCGTCAGACCGCGGGAGGGGCCAGAAGGGTGAGGGTGAAGGCTGGCTAGTCGTGTCGGACGGCTGTCTCCTAGTAGGGCTGGGGTCTGGCGAGGCGGTGATATCGATGGACCAGAGACATCTCTCCCTCTCTTGAGTTTGTGATCACCTTCTGTTGCTGATCTTCGTGGATGGGACAGTTGTGAGTGTTTCGAAAGGGGAGGGGGGAGGGGGCTGACTTTGGCGTAAGGAGTCTCGAAGGTATACGCAAGGTGCTTGTGAGACTAATTGATTAGGAACATGGCCGTCTGAGCCGCTAGGACCCTGAACCTCGCAGGGCTCATAGTGGGGGAAGGCACAAGTATAGCACCTGATCGCATCAGCTCGCAGGGCGTCCCTTGGGGCGAGGTGGTGATGAGGCAAGCGTGCAAAATAGATGGGTACCTAGGTGTCGCATACTCGTAGTAGGGAATTCATGGGTATTCTGCTAACAGTATCTATGGAATGACGCTTATCGTTATCGTTTCTTCTTTGATGATTCAGAGTGCTATGAATACTGTTTTTTTGCTTTTCTTTTCCTTTCCTGTCCCTCCCTTGAAAGCAAACATGAAGGGCCCGTCAAGGTTGTTCTTCTTAACCAATGATTCCCTCATGACTCTCCCTTTCTCTTTTCCTCCTCGGCCATCAGCAACATGAATGATCAGGACGGTGAATTTCCTGCGGTCCAAGGTGGAGGCAGCCTGATCCTCGCCTGGCAGATTAGAGGCAAAAAAGTACTTGTTGTTGGCGGCGGCGAGGTAGGTCTACGAGCAACAGTCTCATAAAGCTTTCCCTTATCTCCTGCCCTACCTACCTCTTGAAGGATTCTCATTTTTGTCCCCTGCTTCCCGGCTCAGAGGAGTGGCCTCAATTTCCTGGCTGACTCTGAATCCAAGGTCGCAGCAGGGCGCATCCTCAACTGCCTCAATGCCGACGCTATCGTCACCGTCGTCTGCCCCACGTCCGGCCTTAACGCAGAAGTAGCACACCGCGTTGCGCGCAGCCAAGTGATGCACGTCGACCGCCGATTCCAGCCATCCGACCTCGACGATCCGGCCATCAGCCTGGTCCTGACGGCCATCGACGAGCCGCAGGCGTCCACGGAGATCTGGCAGCTGTGCCAGGCGCGTCGCATCCCCGCCAACATCGCCGACGTGCCGCCTGAGTGCGACTTCTACTTTGGCAGCGTACACCGCGATGGTCCCTTGCAGATCATGGTGAGCACCAATGGCAAGGGCCCCAGGCTGGCCAGCACTATACGAAAGGGCATCGCGAGCTCGCTGCCCAAAGATGCCGGCGCCGCCATTGAGAGGGTCGGCAGGCTGCGCGCCATGCTGAGGAAGGTCGCGCCTGGGAGTGACCAGGTGAGCAGGAGGATGGGGTGGATGATTAAGGTTAGCGATGCCTACAGCTGGGAGGCGTTTTGCGACTTGACAGAGGAAGACATGGAGAATTTGCTCTTGTTCTTCTCGAGAGGTGAGGTGCCGGACCTCGACCTCATTAAATCCATGAGGGAAGTGCCAGATTATGTCTTTGATGGTTCCTTTGGGTTTTCAGTCGGCTGTTAACGACGAGTTGTACCCGAAAGTTTGGTGGGAACAGGAGGGAAAAAAAAGTAAAAAAAAAAAATACATGGTACAACAGAGGGCCCCAAAAGAAGAAGAAGAAGAAGAAAGAAAGAAAGAAAGAAAGAAAGAAAGAAATTGATACCCGGGCTGGCATGAAGGAGGCGTTCCGGTCTTCGCATCATGGGGTCCTAGATGGTAGCACGGGATGCCGGATGAGATGAACAATCCTGATTTATATTTTCCAACTTTTTTTTTTGTCTTCGACAGTTCTGTGAGAAACCAAATGGATATCATTATGTGCTCGTTCCATCCTGTCTTTCCTTTCGTGTTGTTTGACAAGCTCTGCGAACGCGGGTCGTTGTTGGACCCCCCCGAGGACAAGGTGGAAACAATTTAAGAGGCTACCGAGTGAGTTCCGCAGGGATTAATTGTCTGCCCTGTCCAACAAGCCACCTACTACAGCCCATACTGCCCTCTGCTTCGTATCGGACAGAGCATCATCAACTCCTTCACCTACACTACGTCCTGACGCGATGCCAAAGATCTTGACCCGGCTTTCAGAGAGCACGAATCCTTCACAGGCAATCTTGGTTACCCGAACGGCAGGATGGAACATGTCTAGGGCGAGATGCTTCCACACGTACCGACCCAGAGCCTCGGTAAATGGCTGTTGTGCCCGCGTGGGTTCAGCTGGCGTGGTCGCACCGGCTTGCCCAAGCCCAGAGTCCCAAGACCGCCAGGCCCAGCTCTCCTCGTCCTTTCCACCGCCCAGCCTCTTGCGCCTGACGGACCCGAACGTATCCAGGACGTCCACACTGCCCGATGCGTGTTGCTTGCCAGCAGCCTGACCCACGGCTTCGGCTCGCTCGGCCTCGGAGGCCCTGCCCACCCTGAGGAAGCGACGTAGGTCGGTGTGGGGAATAATGACGTCTATCGATTTGATCCCCAGAGGCGTCGCGGGCGGTGGGCCGTCCTCGGCCTCGTTGCCCTCTGTCTGGTCCTGCCCCTTACCCTCGTCTCGCTGCCCCTGGTGAAGCTGCGCCACGGCAGGCGCATAGAAACCCAAGGTGAGCGACACGTCTCTCGTGGACCGGTCTGTGGCAGACTTCTCGGCGTGACTGATCCACCGCTCCAGTGCGCCGACGAGACTGCGGGTGCCCAGGCTCAACGAGCTGATACGGCAGTCAAAGGTGCGGCTGACAAAGTCGATGATGACGGTCTTGAGCGGGCCGGGCATACGCAGAAGGAGAAGAGGAAGATGCAAAAAGTCGTGGTCCTCCTCGCCAGGTCTACCCACCCCAGCAGCCGGTCTCGCCTGGAGAGTGGGGAGGAGCAGGGCAGCGCACTCGGTATTCTCATACTGCATGGAGATCTGCAAGGCCCTCCTTCTGCCTGGTGGTGCTGTCCCAGGGTCCAGCGTGGAGGTTGAGTCATCAGGGTCCTGCTGCTCCTGGGGCACCGGCGGCAGAGGACTTCCTCCGCCCTCGGAGCCAACATACCTCCCAACCAGATTCTCAAGCCTCACCCACCCCATGGCCACGACCTCTAGGGCACCAGCCCGTCTCATAGCTCCGTCATCAGCGGCACGGTCCAGGCCAACCTCCACGCCCCGGACGACATCGCCCACGAGAAGATCGCGCAGCCGTTGGGATAGCACGTGAAGGCGACCTTGGACCAGAGGCTGGGAACCAACGTAGAGGGGTGAGACGCGGTGGGTGGAGAAGGTTGTGTTGAGGAAGGGCGGGATGGCGTCGTCGGTGGGTAGAGACGAGGTGGAGGGTTGGGAGGGCGATGTGTCAATGCCGCTGGGGCTTGCATTGGACGGCGCTACAGGTGAGATGGGGGGTTGGGCGTCCGAAAGGCGCCTGCGCTTTCGAGGGGGCATTGCGGGTTGTGAGAGCAAGTGAGTCAACACTGAACACCCGTACTCGGAGGTCGTCGCGTCAATTTCGGAGGATAAGTGTCAGGTGGGGCCCTCAGAAAATATCAAAAGGGGTCCTGATGAGTTTTGTCGCGTGGAGGATGACAAATATCGGCGAAAAAGGAGGTTGAGGCGGCTCAATGGCAGGGCACATGTGTCGTGGTGGATGCCCATCTAGGTGATCCAGGGCGGCGGCTTGACTGCTGTTTGGTGGTGGAGCGATACGGATGTGCACATTGCCGTGGCCCACGGTGGAACCCCTAACCCTGGCCAGGCCAGGCCATGGAAGAAGAAACACAGCTGAGCACCCCCACCGCCCCATAACCTTAATCGAACGTCCAGGCTTCTCTTCTTCTCTTCTGCTTTTTACTGCCTTGGTTCGGTGTTGATACGGACCCAAGTCGGAGTCTATCCTTTTAGTAGCGATGTTTGGGAGTTGTGACTTGATTTTTTTCTTTTACAAAAATCAAGATGTGTCATACTGAAAGTTTTGGGTGTATTACATATGGGGATAATGCCTTTTGATGGCGTTGTTGGAGGAGGAGGGGCAATAAGAGAGGCCTATTGGTTGGTCTGGCTAAACTCAGGCTCAGGCTCAGGCCTTTACCCCAACACGCCCAAGCATCAAATGGCGGCTAGGAAGGTTCCTCCCTTCCCCTCAATCACAGCTGCAGGTAGAAAGGCAAACGACGGCTTAGCCCAACTACCATTGTGCTCCGACTTAGTACAGCCTACTCGACTCGCAAAAAAGGTTACATTGCACTAATTTTTTCTTTCTTTTTCTCTTCTAAAGAAACAAAGTGGTACTGTACCAAGTCAGCAGTCAAAAACCGACACCTCGTCTACTACTGCATGTCTTTCTTGCTTTACGCCAAGAGAGAGTGACCGGCAGACTGGGACTGAGAAAGGACTGCTGTTGTTGCTACTGCCATCAAATGTGGATTCTCCTCGAGTCTTAGACGTCATACCCCAAAAATGTGAGCCGGGCTCTTAGGGGCTAGACCGAGCTTTCTCCGGGGCCGGGGCCCGCTGCACACTCCAAATGGTACTGTATCGATTGATTCCAGCGGAAAGTCAGAGAGTGTCAGGGATAACCCCTCCCGTGCTCTGCGGGGTACTCGTAACACCGGCCGCTCCTCGATCGAACGTTTTTACTTTTCACAAGAGAACATTTTGCATAGTACTGTATGTAGTACATAGTAGCAGGACTAAAAGGAAAAGAACCCAACGAAAACCTTCTTGCTCCATTCATTCGAGCCCCACCGCCGACCGGACACGTGGTGGAGGTGGGTATCCTCATCGATCCGAAGGGGGACAATTACAAATCATCCCAAAGCTACGGCAGCTTCCCATGGTGGAGACATACCTTGTGGCACACACGCCGCGCGTCTGACGCAAGCTGTATCCCTCCCTGATGACTCTATGAGCAGTACTATGACTGTAGGAGAGCAAGGACAGAGAGGCGATCGACGTATAGAACAAACGTCCAGAACGCCATGCCAAGGACGCCTTATCTCGCCCCTCCCTTCTCTTTTCTCCAGCGGGACTAGCACAGCAAAGGGTTATGGTGTCTACAGTAGCACCAATCATCTAGGTGCAGTAGTGTTCAGACCCCCAAGGAGTAGGCGGGGTTCTCGGAGGTGATTGAAACCACTGGCGTTTGGGAACCACGTTGTTTACAGTAGTCTGTCTGTCACCTGCCAGCCAGCCCAAAGTCTGAGACCCTGAATTGACCTTTTATTTTTGAAACTCCCTTCTCTTTTCTACCTTTTGACAACCCAGAAAGCAGCAGTTGGTTGGTCTCGAAACCATGTATGAGAGTATAACATGTATGTACACAGTGCACTCTATGACTGCCTTCATAGTTCAACGGATATACTATATGCACTGTTGCCATACGCAGTTAAAAGTACATGACAGCGCAATGAAGAAAAGCTACCAGGAGTACCCCACTCTGGACAGCCGTCCCCGCCATATGCCGAGCTAGGGCTCAGTGGGCCGAATGTGCTCAAACAGGAAATACATATGCACCAATCCACCCCCGGCCGTTCTTTGCTGTTTCTCTGTCGATCTGGGCTGACAGTGGTAGTACGTAGACGCAAGAGCCAAGAGCCAAGAAAACACCAAGAAACATATTACGCGTTGCGGTAGATATTGTCGATTTTTTCGTCTTTTAGTCTCTTCTACTTTCTATTGCTTTGTACGTACCAAACCTGCGGCATGCAGGCTGCCCTCCTTCCCTCTCCCTAACAGATCTCAAACGTTCTAGGATGTTGAGTTGGGGAAGGAAGGGAAGAGACGGCCGGGATAGGAGAGATGGGGAACGTACCCCGGTACTTACCCTTAGTCTGGTCATAGCGGTACACTGTGGTACCATGGTGGAATGGGCAAGAATCTTTGGACGACATGGAGCTAAACTTCCCCTCCCCCCTCCTTCCCTTTCCCCTCCACAGGGGATGACATTATACGCTTCTCTGATTCGTCTGCTTAGTGGGAACACACTGGATGACCTTTGCCTCCCCCCCCTTCCTTCCTCTTCCCCCTCCTCTCATTGCCCGTGCTTGCCGGCCTTATATATCCCGTGAGCTTCTCCCCCTCATCTCCTCTTCTTTCTGAGCCTGGCTTCCTCGTACGTTATGAACCTTTCCACCATCCGCGGGGCCAGCCACATTCAGTTCCCGCTCCTCCGTGCCTCGCTCTCTCGTACACGCCATCGAGTCTACCACTACCCCCAACACTCCTCTTCTACTGCAACCTTTAATACACAACATCATCTACGATCAATCTCGACAACTGCCGCCAAAATGGGTAGCGTCGACAAATGCCCGCTGCACAGCAATGTTGCCGGCGGCGGCACCAGGAACAAGGACTGGTGGCCTGAGAGCCTCAAGCTCGATGTCCTCCGCCTTAACGGCGCTGAGTCCAATCCCCTGGATAAGGACTTCGACTATGCCGAGGCCTTCAAGTCCCTCGATTATGCCGCCCTCAAGAAGGACCTCACTGCCCTCATGACCGACTCCAAGGACTGGTGGCCTGCCGACTGGGGCCACTACGGAGGTCTGATGATCCGCATGGCCTGGCACTCTGCCGGCACCTACCGTGTCTTCGATGGCCGTGGTGGCGGCGGCGCGGGCCAGCAGCGCTTCGAGCCCCTCAACAGCTGGCCTGATAACGGCAACCTCGACAAGGCCCGTCGCCTGCTGTGGCCCATCAAGCAGAAGTACGGCAACAAGATCTCTTGGTCCGACCTGTTACTGCTCACTGGCAACGTCGCCATGGAGTCTATGGGCTTCAAGACCTTTGGGTTCGGTGCTGGACGCCCTGACTCCTGGCAGGCCGACGAGTCTGTCTACTGGGGCAGCGAGAAGACAATGTTCCCTGAGGGTAACGAGACCCGTTACTCCAAGGCTGTCAAGGAGCTGCAGCAGAAGGGCACCGCCAACGGCGATTACGACAAGGACACAGACATTTACCACCGTGAGCTCGAGGAGCCCATGGGCGCCACCCACATGGGTCTCATCTACGTCAATCCCACGGGCCCAGACGGCATTCCCGATCCCGTCGCTGCCGCCAGAGACATCCGCACCGCCTTTGGCCGCATGGGCATGAACGATGAGGAGACTGCCGCCCTCATCGTTGGCGGCCACGCATTTGGCAAGACCCACGGCGCCGCCCCCGACAGCAACTGCGGACCTGCCCCTGCCGGCGCCAGCATCGAGAACCAGGGTCTCGGCTGGATCAACAAGCACGGCTCCGGCAAGGCTGGCGATGCCATTACCTCGGGCCTGGAGGTCGTCTGGACCACCACCCCGACCAAGTGGGGCAACGGCTACCTTGAGTCTCTCTACAACAACGAGTGGGAGCAGGAGACGAGCCCCGGCGGCGCCCCGCAGTGGGTGGCCAAGAACGCCGAGCCCAGCATTCCTGACCCCTTTGATGCCAACAAGAAGCGCAGGCCGACCATGCTGACGACCGATCTGTCCATGCGCTTCGACCCCGCCTACGAGAAGATCACCCGCCGCTGGCTTGACCACTTCGAAGAGCTCGAGGATGCTTTCGCCCGCGCCTGGTTCAAGCTGCTCCACCGTGACATGGGCCCCATTGACCGCTACCTCGGCCCTGAGGTGCCCAAGGAGGAGCTGATCTGGCAGGACCCCGTCCCCAAGGTCGACCACCCTCTGGTCGACGACAAGGACGTTGCCGAGCTGAAGAAGGCCATCCTTTCCGCCGGCGTCGAGCCCTCTCGTCTCATCGCCACTGCCTGGGGTTCCGCCTCGTCCTTCCGCATCACCGACAAGCGTGGTGGCGCCAACGGCGCCCGCATCCGTCTCGAGCCCATGAAGGGCTGGGCTGCCAACAACCCTTCGCAGCTGCAGGAGGTCCTCCGCGCCCTCGAGGGCGTCCGTGAGAAGTTCAACAGCTCCGCGTCTGGCGGCAAGAAGATTTCCCTGGCCGATACTATCATCCTCGCCGGCAACGCTGCCGTGGAGAAGGGCGCCAAGGACGCCGGCCACGACATCACTGTCCCCTTCACCCCAGGGCGCACCGATGCCTCCCAGGAGCAGACCGAGGTTGACTCCATTGCCTTCCTCGAGCCCAAGGCTGATGGCTTCCGCAACTACGGCAAGTCCTCGGCTCGCGTTCGCTCCGAGCAGTACCTCATCGACAAGGCCCATACTCTGGGCCTGACGCCGCCAGAGCTGACCGTCCTGGTCGGTGGCCTGCGTGCCCTGAACGCCAACTACGACGGCTCAGCTCACGGCGTGTTCACCACGCGCCCTGGCCAGCTGACCAACGACTTCTTCGTCAACCTGCTGGACATCGACACAACCTGGGTTGACGCTGGCAGTGATGGAGAGCTGTGGAAGGGCATTGACCGCAAGAGCGGATCCCAGAAGTGGACCGCCACCCGTGTCGACCTGGTCTTCGGCTCGCAGTCCGAGCTGAGGGCCATTGCCGAGGTGTACGGCCAGGCTGATGGTCAGGCCAAGCTGGTTAAAGACTTCGTGGCTGCCTGGGACAAGGTGATGATGCTGGATCGCTTTGATGTCAAGAAGAACAAGCAGTCGACGAGCTCTGCAAAGCTGTAGAAAGATCAAATGAGGGAAAGAGAAAATTCTGATGTTGCAGCGAGTTATTACCAGCCTTGAATCACCCCATTTTCTGTCTGCCATGCAGCAGTTCTACTCCTTGTCATCAGCATAAGACACGAAAAGATTACAAAAAAATAAAGACAGAGTTCAACGGAGAGTTACATGAACTTGCATGTTGCGTGAATGATTTGCAGAACTATGTTCATTCCCGCCTGCGTGCGTGCGTGGACAGCACTGATGTTGTCAAGATTATCCACACAACCTTTAATTACAGTGAATTTTGCCGGAACATGCGCCATTGATCTGCTACGAGGCAGCTCTCGAGGTTGTTCTGGCTGAGACCACAGTACAGTACCTCTCTGCTCGCATTTCACCTATCAGCGTCCAGAGGCTGAGACCAAGCTCGGCTGTAAATATGTCCACCGTTCTTAGAGTTGCTGCAGTGATGTGTCAAGTACCCCGCCAGACCAGGGAGGGGAAAGAGACCCCTATAATGAGGAGACACTCCCAGTTCCCCGTGAGATGTGTAACTCCCAAGACATGATTTATCCAGAAGGCACGAGACTTCAACCCCGCAGAGCTCAGACCTGACAGCAGACCCTGGTGGCAGAACTTAGGCCCCAAGTGGCTCCAGCCAGTCTTTTTGAGGGGATATATCGGGCTTCCGTCTCTCTGACGTTGGAACGGCTAATTTAAGTACTGCTCCTTGCGTCGATCCTCGGCTGCCGGGCTCAAGTTATCCCCCTTAGGAGAAGCAGCAGTTAGTGCTATCATCAAATAGCATTTGGACTCACTTTGTTCTGATTCTGTTACTTTAGTGTTATTGTTACATGAACGTGACTGTGGCCCAGCTGTCTGACCCAGCGATACTTGTCATCGTTGATTCTTAACGCACCGCAAGATTTTCCCCAGATTTTGTCCGTCATAGTCAGACGTATAAATTAAATCGCAATGACGGTCTTTATCAACGGGAACACCAAGACTGGCGTCAAGGTGACCGTGGTCGGAGCCGGTACGTGATAATTTACATGAGAAGTCCCCCTGCCCCCCATTAAATCTACATGTACTACAATGACACAACTTCATTTTACTGTATCGAGTGATTGTTGAGACCTTGTCCATTCTTCTCGCAGGCTTTGGGGGCCTCTCGGCGGCAATAGAGTGCCATAGACAGGGACACGACGTGGAGATCTACGAGTCCTTCTCGGAGCTGAAGCAGCTGGGCGACATTATCACCTTTGGATCCAATGCAGGACGCCTCTTTGCGCGGTGGGGCCAAGGCTCCGTCACGGACCAGTTCAGGCCCCTGTGCATCGACACGCACTCCTCGGGCTATGGGTTTAATATCCACAAGTGGGACACCGGCGAGGTCGTCTACACGCAGCCGTCTGTGCCGTACAACGCCGAGGCTCCCTACTTTAGTGGCCATCGTGGGGAGCTGCACGAGGTTGTGTTCCACTACGCGAGGGACGACTTGAAAATCCCTATCCACCTCGGCCGCAGGATAGAGAGGTACTTTGAGGATGAGAAGGAGGCCGGTATCATCCTGGATAATGGAGACAAGGTGTGTGTCCCTCTCTCGTCCTTTCTCAACTCGTTCCGGTCTATAAGTACTGCAAATATACTGAGCCCCTCCTCCAATTTCCAATTTATTCCATCAGGTCACCTGCGATGTCGTGATCGCCGCAGACGGGGTACGCTCCAGGGCGCGCAAGATCGTCCTGGGCTTCGAGGACAAGCCCAAGAGCAGCGGATACGCGGTGTGGCGGACCTGGTTCTCCAACAAGGACATGCTCGCCGACCCGGAGACGAGGCAGTTCTGCGAAAAGGGCGACACGTTCAACGGCTGGATCGGGGCGGACATCCACTTCCTGTTCAGCACGCTCAAGGGCGGGTCCGACTGCTGCTGGGTGCTCACGCACCGGGACGAGCACGACATTGACGAGAGCTGGAGTTTCCCTGGCAAGCTGTCCGAGGTGCTGGACGCGGTGCGGGCCTGGGACCCAATGGTGACGAGGATCATCTCCAAGACGCCCGAGGAGAAGCTTGTGGACTGGAAGCTGGTGTATCGAGACCCGCTGCCGACATGGGTCAGTCCGAAAGGCCGTATCCTCTTGCTGGGCGACTCGGCACACCCCTTTCTGCCGACCTCGGCGCAGGGCGCGGCGCAGGCCGTGGAGGATGCCGTCACTATTGCAGTCTGTCTACGGCGGGGTGGCAAGGAAAACGTCGCCCAGGCAGTGAGGACGCACGAGAAGATTCGCTATGAGAGGGTCAAAGCGGTCCAGAAGACGGGCGAAACGACACGGGACATGTGGCATAATGTAGACTGGGAGGAGGTGAAGAAGAACCCCGAGAGTATCCAGTTCCCTAGGCAAGAGTGGATCTTGGAACACGACGCTGAGAAGCACGCTGAGGAGGCGTACGAGGAGATTTCTGCTTTGTTCTCATAGGAGGAGGATGTTTTGGCATAGATCAATACAGTTGCTCCGGCATTCACCTTTTCATTAATGCATATTCGAATTCTCGATGTTACGACTTGTTTTGGTGACTATACTGTTATTTTTAGAACGACCAGTAAGTCATGATTTCAAGGTTTATGGATCAAGATTGAAATTAGAAAGATACAAGGACTTCACAATCATCTAAATTCAGTTTACAAGTATAATATAATCACTTCGTAGCGAGAACATGTCCAAGTGAAAACCCAGATGTTCTAGCCTGTCCTAGACGTTGACCGCAGGCACATGCAGCAACACCCCCTTCGATACAAGAGCGAGTCATACATCAAACATATGTATATGAATACATACGCACACATGTATCTGGGAAGCGTCAGCAATAGCCACACCGTTCTGAATGGGTATTATTGTGATTCGGCTGATCTGCCGATGTGGACAGACAAAGACTGCGGGGTAGGTGTCGATATCTTTTTCCCGACAGGATGCAAGGAACCTGTTGCGTCCTGTCACCTGGTAAGCTGGAGAGTCGGCAGTGAACACATTGCTCTGAGTACTTGATTTATTTACTTTTGTATTTACGCTGTGCTTGATGTTTCCCAGCTTCTGCAGGGAGTATTGGTTTCGTTCGACATTTGCTGGACCCCTCAGGCTTATTTTGTGAATATCGAGCTAATCCGAGGACAAATCTCTGGATCCTTTTGTGATCTTGGCAGAATTCTCAAGATCCGTCCTTTTCTAGTTTGCCTTTCCTTGCCTATCCACGCCCAGCATGTTGTCAGATCAGTTTGGCGGGCTTGTTGGGCTCATCGGTCTCCAGAAGCTGATGCAGGATGCGTCCCTGTGGAGACTTTTCAGCACAACGCTGGTGTTGGCGATCCTGGGAGTGGTCGTTGACTATGCCAGAATGTTACGGCTGCGGTCCAAAATGGTTTGTATATACATTTCATCCTCATGTTCCCAATTTCCATAACAGGATCTATTCTAATCTCCCAAGCGCACAAGCCTCCCGGACCATTACCATACCCGATTGTGGGAAACACCTTCATGCTTCCCGACCACAAGCCCTGGTTGTGGTTTGAAGAGTTGTCCAAGAAGTACAGCGCCCCTCTCGTCACGATATGGATAGGAAGAAACCCGACTGTTTGGATCAACGACGCCTGGGCAGCTTCGGAGTTGTTTGACAAGCGAGCAGGCATCTACTCGTCGCGCCCGCGCATGGTGGTCTTTGCGGAGCTGGGCGCAGGGCAGTCGAACCTTGTGAACATGTACACGTGGACCCCTGAACAGCGAGAGCGGTGGCGTGTGCAGAGGAAATTGATGCACTTTGCTGTGTATGTGTACATTGTCTTTTTAGAGACTGTCAACCACCTCTGGATACTAACTCCTGAGTGTCCTACAGAGGTGTCCAACAAGTTCGAAAGTACCGCAGCTTTCAGAACGATGAGAGCCGCGTCGTGGCATATGACTTGCTTCGGACACCGGAAGATTATGTGAAGCACTTTGAGCGATATGCCACGAGCGTGGTCAGCATCATCGGATTTGGGAGAAGGGTCTCGAGCAGCGAGGATCCTATCATTACAGAAGGTGAGTCTAAGACAACTTTCAGAGCGTACTATTATGTGATCTTTCAAGATTTGCTATTACGTACACTCATCCAGTGTTGTGTTGTAAGATCTTTCAACTAATACTGGTGAATCACTACTTGCTAGTTATCGCCGTGATGCAGCTGGCAGCAGAGCTGAACGTCCCGGGAAAGACGTTTCCGATGCTGATGGAGACGTTCCCTGCACTCGCTAGATTCCCCAATGCCTTGGCTCCTTGGAAACACGGACTCGGACGCAAGAGAGGTCACGGTTTCTTCTACGCCGTGGCAGAGGAGGCAGCACAGAAGCCAGGCCATGACGACAGCTTTGTCAAGTACCTCTTCGCCGAGAGGGAAAAATACAACCTCGACGAAGAGGAGATATCCAGCCTGAGCGGCAACCTATTTGGCGCTGGGTCCGACACCAGCAGCAGCACGCTGATCACGTTCGTGCTGGCGTGCTGCGCGTTCCCAGAGGCACTGGTCCCTGCGTGGGAGGAGCTGGACCGTGTGGTAGGCCCCGATCGGAGCCCACACTTTGACGACGAGCCCAACCTTCCATACCTGAGAGCGTTTGTGAAGGAAGTGCTCCGGTGGCGGTCCGTGGCCATCATCGGAGGCCAACCGCACTCGCCTACGCAGGACGACGTGTACAAGGGATGGCTGATTCCCAAGGGCACCTGGATTCAAGGCAACGTGTGGGCGATCCATCACAATGAAAGGGAGTTCCCTGACCCAGACAGGTTTAATCCAGAGAGGTACCTGCCGGGCCATCCAGACAGTAGGCCTTTTCCCGGCGAAAGGGGCTATATGACGTTTGGATGGGGTCGAAGAGTCTGCAGCGGTCAGGCGCTGGCTGAGCAGGGGACGTGGGTGACTATTGCCAGGCTGCTCTGGGGCTTCCACATCCAAAAGAAGAAGAGGCCAGATGGTAGTCTTGTGGAGGTTGACATCTTTGACTACACGTAAGATCTCGTTACTTGTTGTGTATTATTCACGCCCTTTTTCTGCCTAGAGAGATGGTTGATTTAACTAACCGTGTCATCTATTTATACATTACAGAAATGGCCTGAACATGCGCCCTCGCCCATTCGAATGCAGCATCGAGCCACGATCAGAGAAGATCCGAGCGACCATCGAGCGTGAGGGTCGACAGGCACTACAGGACTTGGAGCAGTACCGAGGCGAGAGCAAGTACCGCATGTCGACATTCTATAAGCAGAATGACCTGGCGATGAAGATGTTTGGCGATGGCGTGAAGTGATTGAGTCATCCTAGCATAGCATTTGCAGATGGACTGCTCCGTGTTGATTACTGTTTCAGTGACCAATGCATTCTCCTGGTATGGTCGTTCATAGTAGTAATACACATTGTCTCCTCTGTTGACTTTATCAACAACCAACCACGCCAACTGCAAGAGAACTGCATCAACCCTTACAGGCTACTTACTAACGTCATGAAGTAATCACTACTAAGTTGATATTATATAATTCTCCGTGTACAGCCAAATGTGTGTCCTTCACCGCCCCGGGGGGGGGGGGGGTCCACGACGGCGGGTCTTGTGTGTGTTTCCGGGTCCCGGAATGTCTAGTCATGGAGCACTAATTTCGGAAATCTACAGCCTCTTCATTACCTCAGAAGCCTCCACTGCAAAGCTCTATAGCCGTTAGCCACCATTCAACTAATCTCGGAATACCACCGAGCACACAACAACAAGACCCACTTTACACGGCGTTTCTCTCTGCTCTAGGTAAAGACCAAGGGCTTTCTGGCTTGCTCCACCGCTGTCTTTAGCTACATAAGTGCACAGTTTGAAGGGGAATTCAACAACCAGCAGACCCGCTACACTCGGCGCACAACGTCGAGCGTTTCCTCAACAGGGGATTCACACAAACACGTCTTTCGTAGTATAGTGGTCAGTATGCAAGCTTGTCATGTTTCTAAGAATAGAACAGCACTCGCTTGAGACCCGGGTTCAATTCCCGGCGAGAGAGATTCTTTTTTCGTTGTTGTGTTGAAGCCATCGTGAATTTTCAGAGATGATTCAAATGGTCTTTTTTTTAGTGCGCCCAGGGGTGCTTGGCTAGTTATGTAAGCGAGTTCTGGTTTGTATGACTAAGCCAATAACGACAGCCACCCAATAAGGACTCCTGAATTTATGCTATGGTCTTCTGTAGTGTAGGAGTTGATATCAGATCGTGTCAGTTTCCATCTTTCGTAGTATAAGAGTTGACAAACAAGCTTGTAAGCAAGTTAAGGGCAGTATGGCCAGGATAGCAGGGATTTTAGAAGTGTGTTGAGCTCCCAATTCAGTAATTGTATTATTCAAATAATTCCACATGCATGCTTTTTCTTATTGTTTTCCTGTTTTGAAATTGATACTTGAAGGTTTTTTTGTATGATTTTTCTCAAGCCATGGCAACATTTTATTTATCTACATCACAAGGCACAATAAGATGTGCTAGAGGATAGACAATGTTACCACTCAGGGCTTGAATAACATGAACAATAGCCTGCCTCCAGTAACTGCCACACATGCATCAAGTCATTACTTCTGCAGGACAAGTAAGTAGTTATTTAGTGTTGATATCCTGCAAAACATCCATCCGTTGACTGTTGAGTCCCAACCCAAGCTCCATATCCTATATCCATGTCCATGTCATTGCCCTCAATCTCTGGTACCTGAGGGTAGTGCACTACTGCGCAGAAAAGGACTCCGCTCATCGTTGGCAATGTTCGCCTCGTAAGATGTCCTGCGTCGATCGTCGTCGGCTGCACCATGACTACCATATGCCTGTGAAAACGTCCCCGAGACCGGCCGTGGCCGCCCAGCGACTGTCAAGGGTTCGTTGTTACCGCTGGCGTTGCTCTCAAACACATTGCGCATCCTCTGAAAGAGGTTGCCTCCCCGGCTTGGATTGTTGTTGCTGCTGGTGGCGGTGGCCTGGCTCGGGGCCGCGCTGACAGAGGACTCGGCACGGGTGCGCTGTTGGAACGGGTTGTACACTGAGCCCTTGTTGGCGTGGGTGGGCGGATTGCTGTTCATAGCGGGACTCGCGTCGCTGCGGAAGGGATCGTATTCGCCGTTGCTGGTGTTGCTGAGAGAGCTGTCGCCCCTTGGACGGCCTCCCCAGCTGGACAGATACTGCGGGTAGCCCGAAGGCGCGGGGCCGGGCCAGCTGTCGCGGATCACGGGCTCGTGCTTATCGGCGGCCAGGGAGGAGTGGATGGGCGAGGACTGCGCAGACGAGAGTGTGGTCTGGCTGTGCAACGACATGGGCACGGAATCGTTGCGGCCATGCCATGACGTGTTGGTGACGTCGCGGGGCACAAACGAGTCCCCATCGATCCCTTCATTGTTAGGATGTCTGGCAGTTTGTTGTTGTTGTTGTTGTTGTCCAGCCACAGAGGATCTGGGTTCTGGATTCCACCGGCTGTCTGACAGGCCATGGGTCTCTGCGAACTCACGCCCGCCCCCAACAGGACCATCATGAGTGGAATTAGTAGGTGTCAACCGGACTGGCGAGCGCAGCTCATTTTCATGGTTTGCCGCCCAGTCTGCGCGGACAAGACTGTGTCCTCCGAGATAGGAGCTGTCGGAGAGGCGAACAGGAGTTGTTGATCTCGTCTCGCGTGGACTCGCAAGGCTGCCAATGGATCCTCGTGACATGGGGCGCCGGGTGTCCTGAGAGCCCAGCGTGGTGACAGTACTGTGCTCTGCATTAAGAGAAGATCGGTCTCCGCCCAGATCCACAATGTTCTCAACGCCATCTGCATGGTGATACACGATTCTCTCGCTGGGCTCGATGGATACTTCGCCATAGGTAGAATCACCACCCTCAGCATCGTCGTCGTCATCGTCGTCATCATCATCATCGAAAAGGGCATCCGATCCTTGAACAGTATGCGCACTCTCGTCAGGTAAGTTGCCTACTGATTCCTGTTGGAATTGCTTGGGTGTCTCGGCACGCTCGAGCGTTTGTTCAGGGTCAGCCGGGTGGCTTGGAGTGGAATCGATGGCGGTCTGAGGCTCATCCTCCTCCATATGCCTATCATTTTCTCCTTCAACATCCACAATTGCTGCTGGCTCCGTCGCGGTGCTGTGGTCGTCTGCACCTTGTATGCTGTTGGCGGGTTGTGATGGACCAACTTCAGTCTCCTCGTTTTCTTGTGGAATGCTGGGTCCATAACCTTCTCCATCGTAATTCACTTGGGCGTCGAGAGTCGGTGATTTCTGCCCATGGATGGCCGGAGAAGGCTGGAATTGAGAGCTGTCATGCACTTCTGCCTCGTGGTTTTGATCATCTTGCGCTCCTTCAGCAACTTCTTTCGAGATTTCTGTCGGCTCAGCTTTGGGGGTGGACGTATTATCAGCATGATCGACCCCCTCAAGGCTTTCCTCAGCTGGATCACCCATGATTGCCGGGCCTTGCCGGCCGTGTTGCATATCAGGAGCAGGGGCAGGTTGAGGATCCTCCTCAGCCGAGTCAAGCTCTGCGTCGTTGGAAGGGTCGTCTGGATGGTGCAATAGAACATTGTCATCCGGTGAAACTTTGGCATCGTCATGCAGCGGCGGTTCCACGGCTGAGGCCGTGTCCTGAGACGTTTCGGCTACATCTTCACATTCAGACTGTATATCTTTGGGAGTGGCCGCCGCAGAATGATTTTCTGTAGCGACCTCTTGGGCAAGCTCTCGACGCGGTGTAGGAGGCACTGCAAATAGACCCTCGTCCTCTTCGTCATGAGCCGTGGTGGTGGCGGTGTCGGTGCGGATGGCGGGCAGAGTCTCCTCCCCAACCATGCTAGTATGGGTGTCTTTCTGGCTGTCAGCCTCCTTCGGAGCATCACTACTTGATGGCATCTCGGCATTATTTGGAACGTCATCAGGGGTCTCGTTGTCGTTGTTGTTACTGTCGTTTCTCATAATAACTTGAGGCTCGTTAGGCACGGCCGCCTCTTCTTCGTGGTCATGATCGGGCAGCTTCTCTGTGCTTGTCGATGCATTGGCAGCACCCTCGAGGCTTGTGTTCAAGTCCGCTGGTTCGTCGATCCCATGGGTCATGGTCCCTGGGATAGGCTCAACTCTATGATGATCGAGAGTCTCTTCGACTGGATGGCTGCTAAGATCTTGACTGTCACCCTCATCGGAAGGGGGTTGTTCGTGCGTCAAGGCCTCGACTGAGTTCTCGGAATGTTTGCCCTCCTTGATATCGTCATCTGGTGATTGCTGGACGGGGCCAGTTTCTTGGGAGTCGAGTGCGCCCTCTCCTCCCGGCTCCCGTCCCTCCATGACTTCGTCAGTGTCCTGGTGGGTGCTTTGCTGGGTATCTGGGGATATATCTTCGACGTCATGACTTAAGTCAACACCCTTGTCTTCTGAAACTGCATCTTGGGCGTCAGAGGTCCCGTCGATTGCAGTTTCTAATGCATGGAGGGATCTTGACTGGTCTTGAGTTGATGCTTGTTCGAAGGATTCGTGGTTTGCGGCATCATTTTCAACAACTTGGGGCGTAGTAGGCTCATGCCCCTCGTGGCTGGCCCCAGCATCGCCCAGAGAATCATCATGTTCGGCCGAAGAGGGTGTATCATGCTCTTGTTGCATCTCGGCAGGATTTGCAGCCATTTGAAGATATCCCTCGGCGGTGCCACCTTTGACAATGCCTGTCGATGAATTGGCCTCGTCGGTCTTCTCTCCTCCGGCGGGTTGAGCACTGGCCTCTTCAGGGACATGCAATTCCTCGCTCTCTAGGTCCGTCTGTGTCTTTGTCGCTTCGTGTTCGGGTACGGCTTGTTGCTCTTGAACCACTGGAACTTCTGCTTGTTCCTCTGGCCTTGGCGTGTCTTGGTGCTCTTCGCCGTGGCCGCTGTCCACGTCTCTGGTCCCTTCCACTACGCTCTGCTCAGTGGAAACAGGGGCTTCTTGGTCCTGAGGGATAGAGGATGTGACGTGATCGTCAGCATCACCGTGTTGCGCCGGGATGCTGGCCTCGTGGTCGCCTTGTGGTGGAGCAGACTTGTGTCCCTCATCGGATCCTTCACTCGAGTCCGCATGCACAGAGTCATCCTGATGAAGAGTATCCTGTTCTGGCAACTGTTCATTGGCAGGAACATCTGCTTGGTCGGGTACTGGGTCGTGGTTTTCGGGTGCAGAGTCGACTTCCTTCTCGATAGAACTGTCTTCCTCTGGTGTGACAAGATCATCCTTCGATTCTGAGACTGATTCTCCACTTGCATTGTCCCTTGGCGAAGCCTCCTCTGTCTTGGGATCATTGTCGATGGCCTGCTGCTTCCCCTGAGAATCTTCTGGCAGGGAAGGATCTTGCTCCGAAGGCCGACTGTCTCCAGCTTCCACTTCTTTAACATCAGCAGAGGCCGCAACAGATGGCTCTTCCTCCTGCTTCGGAACAGCATCTGGTTCTGATGCGGCTTCCTCCGTCGTTGGAAGTATGGCCTCCACCAGCGTCTTGTCCTGCTGCAGCTGCGACGGCGGCTCCGTGTGTTGTTCAGTGGAGGCGCCTTGGTCACCCTGCGAGGAGGACTCGGCTCGACGCTTCCTTCTTGTAGGCAATGGAGGCAAAGGAGAATTCATGTGCTCGTCGATCCTGCGATTAATGTCCTGTAATAATAATGATCGCACTTGTCAGCAGGGACATTTCGATCCACTTCACGTAGACAGTATGGCGGGAAACCACCAGGCATGGCAAGCAGTCAGCACTCACCCGTCTCTTCTCTCCCAGCTCGCTGAGCTTTTTGTTCCTCTCTTGCAGCATTCGTTCTGCCTCGTCCTCTACCTCCTTCATCTTAGCATCGGCCTCGTCCTCAGTGCTCTTCTTGGCGCCCTCGAGTTTCGTCATCCGCTCCGCATCCTTCCTTTGGTCGCGACCATGAAGCTCGTCGTCTTCCCTCTGTCGACGGGCGGCTATCTCCTCGTCTTCTTTCCGGCGCTTCTCGGTAATCTCATCCCGCTCAGCCCTGCGCTTTTGGCTGAGGTCGCCAGACTCCTTCTGGAAGACCTCCTGAAGCTCTGCAACGGCGCTGTCCCGCCACGCCTCGAGAGCATCAAGCTTCTCATCGTGCACCTTCAGGTCTAGAGATGTGATGGTGGCGTGGATGTCTTGGAGGATCTGGTTCATATGCTGAACCAAGGTCGAAACGTCAGACATCTTGTTTTCTCTCTCTCTTTTTCGTCTTTTGTGAATTACGATCTATAGCCTCGTGCTGACAAGCCTCTCAGTGCAGAACATTTGATTCTGCAGAACGAGTGCTCCAGAGGGGAGGAGGGGGTATCAAGGGGAAAAGAAAAAGTTGATTGTTCTGAAGGAAGTTGAAACAAGACTGGCGATATCCTGCTTCTTCTACCCTCCCTTGACAAGAAAACCTACGAGGCAGCCCAGTGGATTCAGTTGGGTAATCAAGATCTACCAAAGTGTTACTTATTTAAAGGGAAGGGGTTCATCCGAAGGGATAGCAGGAGGGCAGAAGCAAACAGAGTGAGGTATCGTTGTGAAGCTGATAGGTGTGTACGATCAATTGTGGGGCATCCGAGTTGCCCAATCCCCGGCCTTTCTTCCCAGATTGTATTTACTTGCATTCATCTTGGGCACGAGAAGTTGGGAGCTGACGTTAGCTGCAGACATATCTGGCTTTCTGCATAAATACTGGGTAGGGAAGGCATCAGACACGGATGAGCAGCGGGCCAGTGAAGTCGGCTCCTGATACGTTGGTTGCGGGGTTGACTTTATGCGTTAGCTGTCGATCTCCATTGTATCCATGGATGCCGGGGGTTCAGGGTGAGCTCCAGACCGCGCCTCAGTCTAAGGATAACTTCTCATTGGAGAGGCCACAGACGCCCAGCATGAATTTGGGTTGACATGCTTATGGGCAGATGTCGTTGGCAAGACTGGTCTCGACTGAACACAAACCATGGATACTGTCAGGCATACTGTCAGGCGTCAATGGCTGGGCATAAGAATGGATTACTACGTGAAAGATCATGAATGGATGCCTGATTTATGGTCACATAGGTAAAAGTAGGGGCAGATTGATAATCAGAGACTGCCCTAAGCTTCTTTGAGACATAACAACGAAGAAAATGCAGAATAACCCGGATGTGTCAACTAGGACATTTTTTCTTTCTTCTTTTCGTAAGGTGAGATCATAGACCCCAGCGTCTCGGGCTGCGGGGGTAGGTGATTCATAACAGAGATGAGGCAAGCCGCAATTGAGGTGGTGTCGGAAAACAAGGATCCAAGACGTGGAAGGGTGGGCCACGTCGCAAGGGGTGGGGAGGGGTCAAAATATCAAGCATCTGGACTGTGCATAAGGCTGAACCAATATGGATGGGCATGCGAGACGTCAATCATGAAGCAAGGGGCTAGAGGCACAGCACCGCTGGTAACAATGAGTCGTGAGCTGGGGAGGGAGACCTATGCCGAGGAACCGCCCGGCGCCTCTTGGACTCATAATTATACACGAGAAGACGGGCAAATGTTCCAGGGCCCCGGGGCGAGCCGCATGGATTTATCCCTCGGTGTGGCTGCGCCTCAACTTTCGGTCCTGTGGCGTGTCTGGGTAGGGAATTTCGCATTATTACTGCTTTGTGGCTCCTGAGTTTCAGGCTGGTCCAGATCCTCCTCCTCCTCCTCCTCCTCCTATGCCTCTCTCCTCCCTCCCTTCCCTGTGCTCGGAATCCTCTGCTGACATAACTTGACCCCCGCTGTTGGAGCCGCATTACCTCACCGGTGACGACCGCCAACCTCATCTCATCGTGAGGAACAAGACTAGGTGGACACCACAAGCTGGCTTCTGTTGATAAAATCAAAAAGAGCATGTGATTACATCTCACAATTAAAAGTGTAAACTGTACACTGCACCGTAAACTTGTCATGTCTTCATAGAAAATTCTGTCTGCTGTTCTAATTATGATGTTGCATCAAGAGGCACCTGACGACGACTCGCATCGACCGGTGATGATGAAATCACCTTTTAGGCTACGTGGTCCGCTTATCCTGTCCTTTGGAGAGGGGGAAAGAGAAAGAAGAAAGAAACCCCGGCAAATACAGATGCTGGCCCACGAAAGCTGAGAGACGAGGTTGAAAAAAAAAGGAACGAAAGTGAAAAAGGTGACCAACTGAGGACTTGTCTCGTTCTACCATCCTGGGTTTCTCCAAAGGTTCCTCTCATAATATAGACCATGACCACACACTTTCCTCTCTTGCCAAGGCTTCCATTATTTGAATTAGATCCGCCTCAGCTCGGCCCCCTTCGTAGCCATTGCCGCTCTCCGCCTGTACGTCTCGCGGTACTGGACGCGCTCAAAGAAGCCAAAGCCGATGACGGCGATACCAATGACGAACCAGACGCCCGAGACAATGAGCCCCACGGGGAAGATGAGAAGGTTGACGCCCGGCAGGACGAACGCAACCGTGCCGTTGGCGAGCCCTGCAACAACCTCGTCGACAGCAATCTGCGCCTGGGCCGTTGTCGACAGCTCAACCAGGGTAGAGAAGGCACCTGCCACGAAGGCGGCCTCGTTGACCGAGACGTTGGTGCTGACTGTGCTTCCAGCTGCGTTTTGCGCCGAAAGAGTCAGGGTGGGAATCACATATGTTTGTGCCTCAACTCTGCACGACACGAAAAAAAGGGCGAGTCAGCATTGGCGACGCGGAACGGTAAGGACAGAGACCAGAAGTTGATAGGGTAGAAAGTAAAATACGTATACACTTACGTGGACAACTCGCCGGCGGCCATCTTGCTCTGGTCGATCTGGCCGACAAATGTATATGCCTGCAGCAACTGCAAGTCCTGCCGGGTGGTGAGCATAGCCTGTGCCGTGGAGGCGCTCACAGGACTGACGCTGGCGCCGTTGTAGCTCATGGACACCTGGACCTGGTTTGCCGGGATGCCAGCGAAATCGCCTGTCGCGGGGCTGATCTGGTACAGTCGAAGGTCTGCCTCGAAGGCGCCGGTCTGAGTGTCCAAAGCTGGCAGGTTGTAGCAAGCACAGGTCCCTGATGGGTTGCTTGCCACCGTCAGCTTGGAAAGGGCGGTCTGGCAGGCGGCGGAGACCTGGGCATCCCACGCTGTCGTGTTGGCCGTGCTGTTTGTGCTGGTAAGAGTCGACGCGGACTGCCTGCTGCTGAGAACGACGCGTTTGGCGACCGGGAATGCCATCCTGGACTCGAGCACCCGCGAAGACCTTCCTGTGAGTGCGCCCTCTGCCACCAGGTCCGCCACACCTCCTGCCTGAGCTCCCACGGCAAGCAGTGCCGTCAATATCGTCTGGAAGAACATGGTGACTCGTTGAATTTCGAACTATTATCTCGCCGTGCTGTGTGTGCGCGCACAAGTTCTTCCTGTCTTTCTCTGTGTGTCTGTCGAGGTGATTATGACCACACTATTGTGCTGTCGAGAAGTCGTAGTAGTGAATTAAGATCCGGCCGGCGGTAGAGGTTGAGTATTTTCCTTCTTCTCTTCCCTTCGAAACTTGTATGGTCAATGATTGTAATGCGGCCCTGCCTTGCTATAACCCGTGTCCAGAAGGTGAGAATCGAAATGGCGGTTGCCGGGAAGGACTGGCGTAGTGAAAGTGTCGTGGAATACACAACAGGGAAGCCAATAGAGAGAAGAAGGAGAACAAAAGAGAAGGGTAGGAAACGGGCCCGTGAGAACGGGAGGAGGCTAGACTTTAGATTCGCCAAGAGCCTAGTGAAGGTCGATCGTGCAGATTAAAACCAAAATTATGAGGTCAAACGGTAAGGACGGCAAAGAAACAGGGGGGGTCAAGTGTGTGTAAGAAGAAGTGCGAAAAAGGGCACGATGGATGGGACGATTGTTGACGAGGAGGAGGGGTAGTGGAAGATCACAGAATTAAAAAAAAAAAAAATTTGGAGCAAGGACCCAAAACACCAAGGCTATATCAGACGAAGACGCAGGTACAGGCACGAAGCGTGGTTATGCAACATGCATCGTCGACATAGGCATGGGGGGGGGGAGGGGGGCTGAGTATTCTCCAGCAAAGCCGAATGCGTTGTGACAAGTCGAGTGGGTCATCCAACTGACAGGTCGTGGAGAGTCTGTGTGTCAAGATGGGATCATCGAGGGATCTCCTTGTATGAACACCTAGCTAGACGACGAGGGTGAGGGGCATGTTAGGCGTGAAGGAGGATCGTGGCGGTTGCATCTGGGTTCGAGGAGAAGAAAAGAGCGAGAGAAAAGAGGTTGAACAGCGGGTAGGACGGCGGGTAGGAGAAGCAAGGGTGGAACCCCGTCTCTCCCCCTCCCCCTGGTTGCGATGTCTGGAGAAGAGAGTCGGGACCTTGCCCACACTCAGTCGAGACAAAGGAGAGCTACCACGAGACAGACAGTGGAGAGGGATACCCTTGAGAGAATAGAAGTCCGAGCAAAGGTCCTGGGCGTGAGTTGCGCCACAGGAGAAGAACGAGTCGACGACGCTGGACTGTAGAAAGAGCTGAACACCGCCCTAGAGCAGAGTATGGAACTGTGTCGAGGGGGAAGCTGGCTGGCGGCTGTGAGAAGCGTCGAAGCCCTGGATCACGATAGGTTGCTGATGTGGTGGTAGGCAAGACGGAGGAGGCGCACCTTGGCGAGAGGAGGACGTTAGATCGCATCAGAGGCGGGCAGGGCCCTCTGAGCTTAAGGTGAATAGACTCATTTGCCAAGCAGCCAAGAAAACTGCCGAGGTTGGGTGGACAGGGGTTGCAGCGGCGCGCAGGGGCATGGCCATGTCAGAAAGTGGTCGGATGGCCGGGAACTGGAACATGCGGCGCGTCGAGCAGGTCGCAGAATCGAGACCAGTCGAGACCTCAAGGGACCCCCAGTAAGCCGCACTTCCCCTCGATTACCCAATACGCAGTCTTCGAGTCTGTACAGAATGTGTGTGTATGTGCATGAGAGAGCTTCAGACGACTTTGGAAGGCTCGTATATGGTGTTCCAGCTTGGGCAGTCAGTCAGGGGGGTTCGCACACCTTGCCAAAAGGGCCTCCGTGATAATTTTTGGGCAGGCTAGCCAGGGTGGTCCAAAAAGCCACAACCTACATATCCACATTGTCCACCGCGAGACACCATGCACGCGGTGCAGTAGACCAAGACGAGGGCGTAACGCCGGCTATGAAATCTTGTGGGACCACTCTGGGTAAAAGTCGTCCTGGTTCGTCCCAAACCGCCGCAGCCACACCCCGCATGAGGAGCGTGTTCTGGTGCTAGGTGGTACGAGCTGGTTGTCCTGCTTGTCCAAAGGGTCTGAAAAATGGTCCCAGAGGAAGCTATCGACCATTCTCAGTCCCATGGTTCGTCGGCTGGGTGGAAATAATGAAATGACTTCGTATTGAAGAACCATGGTTCTTTTGCAACGAGGTGCCGGCCCACTGATCACGACGACGAAAAGCATGCATCAGCACCCGGACTGTTAATTTTACTGTCAAGAAGGACGTAGCATGCCTAACGGCTTGTACAGACGAGGCCATCGTAGCTTCCTTCATGGATGTCTCCTCATCTCAACGAGAAAATGCCTAGGGGGCAGTTCCTAGAAGAGAAGGAAAGAGTGAGGGAGACTAGAGAGGCCCATGCACAGGAGGACATCGTGGAAGGTGCTGCTGACGCTGTGAGATGAGAAGGGCAAGAGGCTCAACCGCGCGCCTCTAACAATCTTGAAACAGGGGTGGTGAAGGGTTGGGGTCATAGCATCCAATGAGATATGCATCTGGCCCTCATACTTGGTAAGCGGTCCCACAGTACGTAATACAGTAGAGAAGACAGTCATGACACTGTTAAAAACACCGTACTAAGGTTGCACTTTGGTAAGCAGAGGCTTTTGGGGGGGAGGCGCCAGGGGTTGGGGGGGGGGGGTCCAGTCTGATGACCTCAGCAGACCTTATGCCTCCATTTTACCTTGACCATCCAATTACTGGGTCTCTTTTCGCGGCCTGCCCTCTATCATAGAGGCCTCTGTGAAACAGGCTGTTTGTCATCGACCAACTCTCAAATCATGAGAGCAATACTTCAGCACCTCCTCTTCAAAGCCAGGCCTTATGTTCAATTGGGTCTGCTTGCAAGAGTTCAGCACAGTGCTGACCTGACCACTCCTGCCCACCTTGGTGGCAGCTATCGTACTCTCGATGACAGCTTATGCAGCCCAACAGTTCTAGCATCAAGCACGGCACGCCTTTTTGTGCCACATTTAATCTATGTCAACTTGCTCTAGGCTCTTGAGGACTTGCTAGGCGAGAGAGAGAGAGAGAGAGAGAAAGAGAGCGCAGGGAGCTCATCATGGGACAGTACTCCTCGATCGTCATCACATCATGGCGCAGTGCTTCCGGGTCTGCGGATTTGGCCAATTAAGCTCAGGGTCGGATGACGGCCACTCCAGGCCAACGGCCTGTCAGCAGTCTGCGGGGAACCAGGAGTCCCTCCTCTGTCTCCTCCCCTCCACTAGCCAGCTTACGTATACACGCACGCCGTATATAGTATCGTCCAGCGCAGAAGGAGGGTTGCGATTAAAAGGGGAGAGGGAAGAGAGCACCAGGGTGCGCCGGAGCACGAGCAGCATTGCATCTTTTGTGTTGGGGCAAAAGAAGTTCACTTCGTCGCAGAGAGCCTTCAGGCGGACAGATAGTTCGTTTCCCCCGAGGCAAACGGAACAATTCGCCCCGAAGTCGTCCAAGTCAGATGACTATTCGGTTAGCATTTGGACAGCAACATCAAAGCGCCGCCTGAAATTATGTCATGAAATGGCGGAGGTCGGCGGTTAATCGGGGGACATTGACCATATCTATCCGCCCGTAGTAATCCTGCTGACTAACGGTGCTTCTATTGCATTTGAAATCTGACATCTTCAGTCGTACGGTGAGGAGCGAAGACAGCAGGATCGATGATCCAAAGCCCTGGCTCTCTCTCTCTCTCTCTCTTTTTTGGAACTTGCTCGGACCGCATCGAGCGGTCATTGGAAATGTCGTTATTATGGCTGGTTATTCAAGGTATATATAAAGTCTGAACGACTATCGCCTAGGCTTATAATAAAGAAGAAGAACTGCGCGTATCTTGACAGCTGTCTCAGTACCTGTCGCCAGTGATGAGTTTGTCTCCTTGAAGATAAACATAGTAGTGACCGACCACCTAGTAATTGCAAGCAGCGTCTGTCATCCAGATCACTGCATCCTACGATCGATTCCCCTTTCTGCCAGCAATCCAACTACTATGTCGACTTCAAAGCACCCCAAGATCATCCTGGGAGCGTCCCAGATCGGCGACAGGAGCAAAGACGATCGAGTCAAGTACGACACGCCTGAAGAAATCAATGCCTTGCTTGATGTTTTTTACGACAATGGTGGACGACATCTGTACGTCATCTGGAGTTGGGCTCATCACATGCTCAAGATAAGAAGCTAATGTGTAATTATGACCCAAAGTGACACGGCCAGGCAGTACCCACTCGGCGCGCCCACATCGAGTGAGAAACGCCTCGGAGCTGTGGGTGCAGGGGCCCGTTTTACCATTGACACCAAAGTTCTGCACTTCTTTGGAGAGAAAGGCCCCTTCAATACAGGGCCAAAAATCCGCGAGAGTCTTGACGGCTCTATTGCCGACCTCAACCTTCCAGCCGGCGTCAAGATTGGCACGCTCTTCCTTCACCTGCCTGACCGCGAGACTCCCTTGGAGGCCACCTGCGAGGCCATCGACCAGCTGTACCGGGAGGGCAAATTCCAACGCTGGGGTGTGTCCAACTTTCGCGTCGAAGATGTAGAGAAGATGGTTGCCATCTGCAGTGACAAGGGCTTTGTGCTGCCCAGCGTCTACGAGGGCCACTACAACGTCATCACGAGGGGTGCCGAGAAGGATCTCTTTCCCATTCTGCGGAGGCACGGACTCTCGTATCATGCCTTTGGCTCTTCAGTCTCGGGTATATTTGCGGGCAATCACAAGAACGCTCGGCCTGGGGGCCGGTTTGACGTTTCTGTAAGTGAAAATCATTCATCAACACCAGATGCTTCTCACAAACTTGAATCTTCTGTCCTCTTTCGAGAAGCCATGGCCAAGACCACGTCAGACTACAGCTGACTAATGACTGTTTCTTTGTCACTTTCCACATCAGAGCAAGATGGGGAAGTTGTACAATAGCATGTTCGCAAGGCCTAAGATTATGGCTGCTGTGGACAAAGCGGTGGCTGCGACGGCTGAACACGGTGTAGATGCCCACGCCGCTGCGCTCCGGTGGGTTGTCTACCATAGCCACCTCGACCCCGAGAAAGGAGATGCTGTGATCGTCGGGGCATCTAGTGTGGCGCTTCTGTCCTCGAACCTGGATCTGATCAATCAGGGACCCCTGCCTGAAGCAGTGATTCGCATCATGAGCGACGTGTTCGGACAGCTTGGGGACGAGGCGCCTCCATATTATGGTATCTAACTCTTGCATGTATGAAAATGACACGGATTCACGATAATTACATGACAACGTCTCTTTTCTCACATATAGCCCTCTTTTCCAGACAATGGAATGAATAATTGTTGCTGTACCGTTTGGCTCCTCTTCTCTTTAGCTAACACGGCTTTCTAAAATCAAAGAAGACGTAGTATGCAGGCCAGGACACCACACTTACGAAGAAAAGTTCACAATGTTGGGAAATAATCACGTCTGACTACAATCAAATGAATTCTTTTGGCGATAGAAGTGCCAACTTCTGGCAGTCTCGCCAAATTGCTGCATCCAATGAACGCGCAGCCGCAGCGAAATGTGAGTCGTCCATCAATAATAATCATACAAATTCCGAGTTGTCCTGATAAGACCCGACCACTCATTTATCCTTTATCATGAAAATGTACGGAAGCCGATCCCCAATGCGATGCCAATGACACGAGGAGATATAATTTCAGCCCTCATATTTCCTTCCCAGAGCCCAACCATGCAGACCCTTGCATAACGCCCAGCCGCCGATCCGTCGACTCGAAGAAAAAAAAAGGAAGAAAGAAACGCGAAGCCCTCTCATCCCAATAAAATTTTCACAAAGCACCCCAATTTCCTCCAAGATGCCACGCAGTGCCATTCTTGAACAAGACGAACGAAACGAGAATCTTATGTTTAGCCAGAAGGCCGAGGGCGAGCAAGCCGAATTGGAAGGTTCGCGTGGAATCCAGAGGCTCCCTGGACACCGCGAGACGAGTTGGTAGGGGGGACGGTCGGGCCTTGACGGCTGGACAACGGGACGGAGGGTGGCTGAAGACCATGAGACCGGTTGGTCGAGGAGCCGGTCGAGACCTGTTGGGAAGCGACGAAGAGTCTCTGGAGGTCAAGAGGAATACTGCGAGGGATGTCAGGATGGACACTTACGCGGTACGTGTCCAGGTCGCGCTTGTTCTCGACGAAAAACTTGCTCCGGAGCTGGGCAATCATGCGCATCATGTTGTTGTTGGGAGTCCTCCTGGAGCCGCACTCGTAGAGGACGCACAGCTTCAGAAAGAAGCTGCGGCTGATGGTTGGGCCGAGGTGACGCAGCCACCCACGCGAGGAGCCCACTCGATCCCAGAAAGGGCGGTCGGAGAACATGGACTCGTTCCAGATCATCAAGCACACGCGAATGCCGTCTGCAACGAGCATACTGACGCGTCGGCTGGTCAGTGTGCCCGTCGGGAGCACCTCCAACATGTGCATGCGGATGGTCTCGTCGGTGTGCTCGTCCACAATGATCTTGTCAGCAGCAAGGTTGAGGATCTTCTTTGGATCGTTGATAAGCTCGCCTAGGCGAGGGCCCGGCACACGATAGACTGCCTGGGGAACGATATCAAGAGGAATCGCCCGGACATCGAGGTTTTTGTTGTCGCTGGTAAGGCTGACGCTGGAGCTGCTGGAACTGTGCGTGGGAGACGCAATCTTCACCTTGGACGCCGCCCACTGCGGCTGCGCGTCTTCCTCGGGCGACGGTGCATCTTGGGACTGGACCTTGAAACTCTTGTCCCGCGAGCGCTCCAGCTCGCCACGACCAACCGAAGCGATGGCAGGAATTCTGGGGCGTCTGGGGCCAATGTTGAAGCCGGAGTTGTCGCCGTGGTGGAGTCTAGAGCCTGCCATCGAAAGCGAGGCCTTGATCTTGCTGCGGCCCATTTTGTGAAGACTGGAAGGGCACAGAGTCAAATCTTTGATTTCACTTTGTTGCTCGTCTAGGTCTCGAGGTTGTGTGTGTTTGCAGGATGCTGAAGAGTTCAGTGCCAGATGATGGAGGCTGTGAAAGGGGACCAAGTCGATGGTTGACGAAGAGATCAAGGTGAGGAGATGTTATAGGGAATTGCTGTGTCGTCGTTACAATGTTCTGGATTGTTTGTGCTCTTGCAGTCGATTTGCCCCGTCGAGGTAAATGAAGTCGTCCGAGAGGAGAGGATGCCGTCAATATGTACTGAAGGCTGGACTTTGAATGGATGATGGCAAAGAGGAACGATTCCATACCACTCGGAATACAAACAGCAGCCGACTTGTGTGTGGTTTGAAGGCTGATGTACCACGAGGAAAATTGGAAGCTGAACCCAAAAAAAAAAACGAGAAGTAGAGGATTTGTCTCGAAGAGTGTGGAGGGGTTGATCGAGCTACAGTTGTTTACAAACGGAGGGAAAGGAGAGGTCAGACGCGTTGCAAGTTGCTACGCGCCGTCAGGCATGGGCAGTTTGATTTTAGGTCCCTGCTTGGGGAGGCATCAAGAACCCACGAGGATCAACAGTTGGGGCTCAAGGCGCCTTTCATGATCCTCGCAGGTCGTCATGAAGTCCTTGTCCGTCGAGTCCACTTCTGTGCAGGGGGGTACTATGCAGTCATTGTAATTTGCTGTACCTACTGTATTGTGCTGCACAGGCTGCCTCTAATAGGACCAAAGATGCACCATGACAAGGCAGAGAAGCAGAATGAGGACAATTCTTTGTGTGGGTGAATGGAATGAGGAGGAATTCCGGAGTTGACGACCGAGACGGCAGCTTTGTTGAGAGACGGACATCAGTTATGCTGGGCGTGAACCTGTAGGTTGACGAAAGGGCCTCGTTCGCTTTTTTTTTCTTTTTCTTTTTTTTAACGAGGGCTAGTTATTGTGGATGTAGGGTATTGTTTGTAAGTCATAAATGAGAACAGACTAGACATAACGTCTTCATCACTTTGACGAAGTTGGTTGTGAGGTTATATCAGTAGTAGGTTTAATTTTCTGAGCCCCTTTCTCCGTCTTCTTTTACCATCATGTTTCTGATTATTGGTCGTGGTTATGGCTATATATTCATTAAAATTTCGTTTCATTCATGGCAAGTTTTTCATAAAATGTCTCTGACCCGAGAAGCAACGTCGAGTTTATAGGGGATGTTTGCGTGCCTGAATTATAGAGGCAGATTGCATGTATCATACTAGGTTACATATACTAATTACTTATTTGGTTTGTTCGATACATACCTACATAAGTATAGATATCAAGAAGAAGATTATGCACCAAGTGCTGTATCATCAAGTATCACAATGGACTGTCAACATGAGAGAGCCGGTTCTTTTGAGTACTTCGTATGCTGTACGGCAGTATTATGTAAGTACACTCAGTCCATACCCCTGGGGTGTTTCTAGTAGCTGTGCCTCCTGGCTGACTCAATGAAACCTCCCGGACAATCCGAGGACCTTTTCCTGGCCCCGTCTTTTTTGCCAGCGGGACACTGCATCAAGCGCGCCACGCCAGGAGTCGAGTCGGGCTGGGCACACATGCACGCCGTGAGTGACAATGAAGCGCCGCGCCCCCATTTCCCCCCCTCCTGCTTCTTCCTCGGGCGGCCAGGACGGGCCTCGACGGCGGAGACAGCCCCAGATTAGCTGTAATTTCTGTCGCTCCAAGAAGCTCAAGTGTGATCGTGCCCAGCCATGTTCCAACTGCACCAGCCGCGGCATCCCATGCGATGGCCAGTCTCTACCTGTCCCCTCTGGTGTATTATCATCTGGCTCAGGGCAAGTTTGACTTCGAGTCTTTTTTATTCCTCTTATTTCTTTCTTTTCTTCTGGCCACCTGTTGCACCCTCTCTTTTTCTCTGTCTCTTTTCCTTCTTCTTTTGTTGTTACTTCTTCGTCTTGCCTCGTCCTCTTCCTTATTTTCCTCTTCCTCTCCACCGCCCCCACCCCCTTCTCCATCTTCTACCTATATCTGAGTCTTATGTCAGATAATTCAGTGACAAGAGGTAATTACCATGTATCAATAATTAACACTTTTCTCTGTCTCTCGCCACTCTCACAGACCGCCAGCTGCCCCTGATATCATCGAGAGGTTGCGACGCCTCGAGGATGCCGTCTTTGGCTCATCACCAGCCCCGGATCGCCACCATGCCAGTGATCCTCACTCCCAGTCCTCTGCCACCGATGACACCTTGAATCGTTCCTCTTCTAAAGTTGTACTGGATCAATCACCGAGCGAGTTTGACTATAGCCATGTCGGCGAGTCATTGGTGAGTTGCCACAACTCCTTACTGTGCCGTTGCCCCCCTCCTGTCGTCGTCCTCTTCTTGGAGTCTTTGATCTCTACGACTCTTGCTCTTTCATTTCCCACATAAACAGGGAAACCCGAGCACTAACAACATAATCATGAATGCCTCTTGTGGCCAAATTACCAGGCCTTAGATGACTGTGACACGTTCACATTCCGCGTCACCAACAGCGGGGAGAATACTAGCAGGAGGCACACCTCTGTCCGCTCTATAGATCTGCCTAGCAAGGAGGACGCTCTGGCCCTGTTCAGGGACTATCTTGAGAACTCGGACTTTCATGTCGCCAACATCCTGCACCCACCTACCGTTCAGGCCATGGTAGTTGATGTCTACACACAGCTACGACGGGGCCAGAAGGTCGATCTGGGCGCCGCGGCTTTCGTGCTCAGCTTCTGCGCCGCCAGCGCCTACTTTTGGGACCTCGACTTTCCTGCTCAGTTCAACTTCTCCTCCGAAGACAGTGCTGCCGCCCAGTCCCACGCGTGGAAGTCAGCAGCCTGGGACCTCCTCGACCAGGCCCAGCGCTCTGCCTCCAACACGCTTCATCTCATCCAGGCCAGGATGATCCTCGGCGATCTCTTTTACAATATAGAAGGTGTAACGTCCCGCTTCCGCTACCTCCATAGCTGTGCGCGTGCGGCTGCCCACGAGATGAGGTTGCATCTGGTGGATTTCCCAGGGAGCGGGCCAGGAGACAGCCCACTGCTGCGCGAGATGAAGAGGAGAGTCTGGTGGTATCTCGCCGCCACGGACTGGTACGTTTGCCCCCTTCTCTCTTCCTCTTGCATTATTTTGAGTTTTCCCTTTCTTCGTATCAGTCGGGAGATCCTCTTGAAACATATTATGGTTAGCAATATCACTGATTAATCACATGTCCTGCAGGCTTCTGTCCTCCATGAATAGCAACATAGATCGGGCCTATACGGTTCATCCGAAGCACATGAGGGTAAATTATCCCAGCCATATCGTCAGCGCAGACCAGTTCAACCCTCCCTACGGTCCCTGGTCTGAGGCCTCTCTGGTGCACATGACCGTTCGTATCCGCTTGGCCGAGATATGTCGCGAGACGGTCGATGCCCTGCCGCTGGGCTCGGACGACATAGACACTCTGCCGTACGCCAAGATTGCAGCGCTCGACAGGAGCTATGAGCAGATCCTGACCAGCTGGCCCTCACTCGACGGCGATCTCTCATCCACAGACCCTCTGAAGAGGAGGATCGCCTCGCAGTGGTCTACCGGCATTCTGTCCGTCCACGCCCGCCGGGCCAGGCTGCTGAGGCCACTTCTCCAGATCAAGAGCATGCCAGAGAAGTTCAAGGTCTTCCGCAAGACCTGTGTGGACTCAGCTGGGGCCGTCATCGATATCGCCACCACTGTGCTGAGCGAGGCTGTCGAGACCCCTTCGTCCAACTACTCTTCCACCACCACCACGCAGTTGCGCAAGAGCATCATTTCACGCCGCAGTCCCCACCGCAGTGGACTGGTTATCAGCCATGTATGTCTTCTTATTTACCCCTGTTGCCCTGTCCTCATTCCTCCTCTTTAGTAGAGAAAGGTATAGAATGTCTTGAAGTTTTATCATTCCAGTTTGAAAGCGACGTACTAACGAAAAGGTTGACAACACTATAGCTCTTTATGGCATGTGCTGTCCTGGCCACAGACCCTTCGCTCAGAGGTGGAGCAGAGGGTGGCGCTGCGGGGTCTGGTCTGGATATGGAGACGGAGCGGAGGTCGCAGCTGGCGAATGCCTGTCGCCTGCTCGAGAAAGCAGGCGAGAAGAGCCCCATGGCACTGGGAATGATGCAGCGCCTGGTGGGGGTGCTGAGGAAATATCGAGTACACGGCGTGGAGGAGGAGGAACGAGAACAAGGAGATGGAGAGGACGAGGGGAGGAATGTTCCACGTGGGAGGCAAGGCCTAGATGCCTCCTTTGGGCCAACAGCAACCACGTCTGTGGCCTCTAAATACGCGCCCGCAGATCACCAAGGACAGCTATCTGGCGAGCAGCAGCAGCAGCAGCAGATGGTGACGAACCCCTCGGGACTCGGTGTCGTGGGCCAACAGCTGGCAGTTGCGCAGCCCTGGGCCTACGACGCCATGGACCCGAATAATATGACAGGAATCTGGAATGATTTCCTCGGCACAAATCCCACCGACAATGGGTGGGATCAACTGTTTGCTGACCTGGACTATCTCAACAGCAGCATTTGATGTCTTCGCAGTAATCTTAATCTAATTGTCTCATGAACCGATCTTACAATCTGTATCAGTAGATAAGGTTGCGACCGCATCCCAAGCTTGCTGGTGGGTGGCCGTTGCTATTGGCTACGTCAGCATTTTCACTTTTGATGACCTCTTTGGTTCGTTAAGCGTGCTCTGAACGATGGCGTCCGCTGTATAATGCATGCACAAGGTATGATGTTATAGATGAAAGGGGGGAACTCCATATGTCTTGGTCTCCCTGGACTTGGAAGGTCAGAGCGCCAGAAGAAGGGCGGGACGATTTGGACGACGAGCCGGTCCCGACAGTTTACTAAAATGCTTTCATGGAAGCCTATTGATTTGGTCAGCCATTTAATACATCCAAGAGACCTTTGTCCTTGCTATGATCTAGCCTGCATTATTGTCTCCAGAATCTTTGTTGAAGCCTAAACTAAGGACAAAGCTTGATCTGCAAATAATTACCACCCCGTGAGCGTTCCAAATGTTATTTTTTGCTGGGAAGACTCTACTCTTGCCCCAATTCACCAAAGTATAACGAATAAAAGCAAACCATACATTAATACATTAGACTCAAGTTTCTCAGTTTTGGCATAACTTTCCACATCAGATTTCCAGCAAAACCTTCCTATCCTCGACGGTGATACTATCATCCGATCAGCATAGATTTTCCCATCAATTTTCTCAGGGTTCATCCGACTTGCGACAGCACATTTCCTCACTAGACACTTGGTGGAAATCTGGAATATAAAGGAAGAATCAACCATGTGTTACACGGTTTGGTATCAAGTACGATGCAAACATTGTCAAGACAGACATTCCGGCACCGGCTCCGTGCCTTGTATCCAACATGCTACCACTGACCAGGAATGCATTGAGAAGACAGTCAGTGGGAAAAGAAGTACGATCTGTTGTCGGGCATGTAAATCTGGCAGTGGGCGGAATTGTTGGTGCAAGGTGACGCCTGGTCTGAGGGTTTGGAAGTGAGGGGATATTCAGATATTAGAAATCTATCCGTCTAGTAATACTTATATTGCTATAGGATATACAAATGCATTATGAATAATGGGTGCTAAAATTGCACTCGTTCTGGTCCGAGACCCTATTGTTGATTGTGGACTTGTTTGAGAGACCGCCTTCAAAGGCCTCATTTCATGCTCTATGTCTATGCTGTTCGGTGAGCTTCATATTTACAACGCCCTGTATGTACCGAGCACAGAATCTAATCATAACAAGCCCAGCCTAGAACTATGACCATGTTCCGTTTGCAGGACCAAAGTAGCCGGTCGACGGCAACGGCAACCACGGGGTCCCGTTGTAGTCCGCCGTGTTCTGCCAGACCTCGTTGCCCCACCACGAGGGGAACTCGATACCAGGCCCGTACGTGATTGCAAAGAAGATGACGATGCCGGAGATTGCAAGGCCCTGGAAGAAGAATTGAACGTTAGAAGAGTGACGCATTAGGGCAAGTGGTTACATCAGACTCACCGAGTCCAGAGCAGCAGCAAGGACGTAATTATATTTTGTCCTAGAACCAATGTTAGTTTGAGGAAACACAGCTAAATATGTATTGACAAAAACAGGAAGAGCCTAGAGATTATAGAGTGGCAATATCTTCTTTGTATGTGAAGAATCAGTTTCACTTACCACCAGGCGCGGAAGCGGTTGAAGATAATCTTGTTGAAGACCAGATTGACAATGTACCAGCTGGAATAGTTGATACCTGTTGCAGGAGGAACGTTGTATGTGCCTGAGCAACGGGGGAAAAATAGATACTGTTAGCCATGACCTCATCATTGGTTGGGTGCGACCTGGGAGATGACTTGCCAACGAAGATAAGTGGCCAGTTGGTCTTGCGAAAGAACTCGTAGTTGGTTTTCTTCCAGAGGTAATAAGTGATGGGCGGCAGGATCAGTCCGATCCAGAAGAAATGCAGCTGTTCAAGCAGTGTTAGCGGTGAAGACGGTAAGAAAGAAATGCAAAACAAGTCGTGGCGTGAACTGTTTCTGCAAATAGTCACGTACCAAACCAGAATAGATCTTTCCAGCACTGTAAAGCCGAGCAGGTCCAATCAAGCCCCAGATGATTGAAGAGCTGTACACTGTCAACCCATTCGGGCAGGTGAATCCATTTGGCTGGTCGTCGTCGCAGATCCCCTCCACATTTCCAAGCATCCAGAGGGTGACGCCAACTTGAGTCAAAGCGCCCAGGATGGTAGCAAGTCCTTGTGCGAAGAAAAGGGTCCTGGAGGGGATTTTAAGGTAGTGTGCGAGCTTCACTGTTTGGAGGGTTTATCAAGTTAGTAATGGTACTCTCACCACTTTCTCAGAGTGCCATTCAAGAGGCCTTTTAAGGAGAACAGAGAACGAAGAAAACCAAAAGAAAAAAGCATGTGAGCTTACTATCTTGAGCAAAATACAAGCCCTGACCCACCACGTCGGTGGACAGAATCTTGAACAGCATAGTGGCGACAGGCTTGCCCTGGAACATGTACCCGCCAATAAACTCAGACAGCACATTGATTTGATTTGCGTCGACATTAGTCACCGCCTGAATCATTCCGCAAGGTACCATATAGATAGCTGGAATGATGAGGGCCAGGACGATGCCGTACACAGGAAGGCCGGTGTGGAACACCTCCGTCATGGCGACAGACATGCCAAAGACGACCAGGATGATGGCAAACCACCACCAGACGGGAACCTTCTTGTAGGACTTCATCAGCCGGGCGTGAATGTCGAGCTTCAAGGTGCCCCTGAAGGCGTGGACCAGCTCGTCCCAGTGGAAAAAGTAGACGTGGGAGAGGACACTGGTGATGGAGGCAAATGACAGGCCGTAGACAAAGGCAAAGGTGGCTGGGAGATAAGGGGGGCTGTAGGTCTTGTACTTGGCCTCGTCAAAGACCGAGCCCGTCATGACCTGGGACGTGTCGTACTCCTGCCCGAAGCGGTCGTACACATCGGCGGTGCAGAACGGCATGTAAGCCGTGAACCACGTGTTGGTGTAGTACAGGGCGGGCGTGACGACCCAGAAGAAGAGGGCAAAGCCGAAGAAGACGTTCACGGCTGCCCAGTGCGGGCTGAGGAGCGGGTTCGTATTGTAGGCAACCATGGACCAGTCGAACGTCAGCGGGAAGAGCCCCATGCCCGTGACCATGCCGAAGACGTTGTTGACGGCAATGTTGTTGGGTGCGATCCAGCAGATCCAGGTGAAATACGAAAGACCCGTGAAGATCAGGCCGGGGAACCAGTACCACACAAAGGCAGCCGCCCCGACGACCATGAAGAACTTGATGCGCGTGATCTTCCAGCCGTCCGCCACCGCGTTGGCCTTGGAGTGCAGAGAGCTGAGCAGGGCCACGTTGCTGAGCACGCCCGGCCAGATCATGCTTGCCGGCTCGACTAGCCATCTCGAGCTCAAGCCGGCCACGCCGTAGCCCAGCAGCTGGCAGCACAGGACCACCATGACGCTGAAGCCAGTCTGCAGGGAGATGCCGTAGAACTTGGCCGCCTGGATGATATTGGTCGAGTCGGCAGAACCGAACCCGAACGAGACGTTGCTCATGATGGTCACCAGTGCATGTTCCTTGACGTTGAAGTGCCGGTCTGGGTTGAAACGGCTGATGGGAAGCAGGTTGGCGATACCCACGCCGAGGGGAAAGGCCAGCAGCTCAGCCACCAGGGAAACGATATGGACTCCAGGGTAGCGCAAGCTGAAGAATTGGTTGACACCGGCACCCAAGAACACGAACACCTTTTTTAGGGTTTACCCAACTTTGTTAGTCCTGATCAAGTATTTAAGTCCTTGTTTTCCTTCTCTTCTTGATATTCAAGAGCGAAGAAAGCACTCATTCATCAACTCTGTGTGTGGACTTACAATACCTAGGAACCAGGCCCGGAAGGTGTTGACTGGCATCTCTGGATCGTCATATTCAGGAACCACCGCTCTGACGGCTGGGAAAGGACTCGTGTCGGCATCCCAGTCGCCCTCTACATCGTCTTCGCCGATCACGCGGGCCAGGTCGACCTCAAGCTCGACCAGATGCCCATTGAGAAGCTCAGTCCCAGCACCGTCGTGAGAGTCGTGAATCCCCTTCTCAGATCGAACTGGGTTGGTTTCCGTGGGGGTCTCATCGCCCTTGGTGGCCATGTCGAGGCCCTTCGTGTCCATGATGATGAACAAGCCCTCGTGAGCCGTCGCAGAGGCGCGTTGCTGTGTGGCAGGGCGGGCTTGGAGGAACTCGTGCGTTCGCAGTAAGACTGAACGAAAAGGGTTGCTCGCCCGCCGAGATTGTCCCGCGACTGATCATATATACCGTTATAAGATGCAGGGTCGCAATCTACGTACGGCCTGGCCCACCCCATCTTCTTATCATGATTAGTGGAGTGACATTGCAGAATTATGTCCTGCCCTCCCTTATAGCCTCCCTCGGCTTTGTCCGGCGACACGACGACGACAGATACGCACGACAATGCAGGCACAAGGTAGGTATCTCATCTGATAGTTTCAACCCCAGACACCCCACTCTATGGTTAAAGATCTTTGCCTGTACGTATAATAACCACTATTCAGTCTTACCAAAAAAGATACAAGGAGGGCTAGGCCTCGCGCAGAAATTGCCGGTCCCATCGCCCATCCGCTCGAGCCAATAACCGCGGCTTGCTTTATCAAGCCACAATACGCCGGGTTGCAGATGTGCCCGCCTAACCACACACGGCATGTGCATATTGCCAGATGAATCGACATGTCTGAAAAATTCGAACAGAAGCTGGGTTCAAGGATACATACGCTGTATCGAGATGGCCAAGAGTCGAATGTACTATGTAAGCGCACTTGTATGTTGACGCACATTGAACTGGCGCTGCATCATACTACGTAGTATCAGATACAGAGAAGTGGGGGCGTGTGCACGTGGGGAGGGGCCCGTTTGAATGAATCGGCAATAATTGTTGCAGTAAGGCTCTCGAGTGAGCATTGAACATTGTTCTGCAATGCATTCAACCGCTACTTCGCCATGGTCAAGCGCATACTTAAATAACTTCAGACCGTTCACTCGAAATTGACGACAGTGATTGTTGTCCCTTCAAATTTGCCCCAAGGCCATATTGGGCTCATTATCTAATAGGGCGCATCGATTCAGAGAAAGAGACGATATTCGGCGTGGTGGTTTCAGCACCAAAACGTTTGCAACACTGGGCAAATATTGGAACATGGGCGTCAAAAATCCGACGAGACCTGCTTCAGGGAATTAAATCGACAATTCGACCTGTTTGATGTACGCAGTGTTCCACCTGGATGCCCATATCGTCCCTATAGAAATGATTGAATTGATGAGCTGTAGAAAGAAAGGGAAAGAGAGGGAAAGGACATTGGAGGGGGAAAACATTGAGCTGACTACTGAGGCTATCTAGATGAAAGGTCCCTGGCGATAGTTGGGGCCAGTGAGTCACTTGCCCTTGCACCAGCCACCATCAAGCTTTGGGCTGCAGGTCCTGTGGTAATTTGGAAAGAGCGGCGGGCAGGCTGGCATCCATCCATCGCCGGTCCCATGTAGTGACTTGATGGCCTTGGCTTGAGCCTTGTCGAAACTGAAGTCTCTGGAGGGGGTTTCGAGTCTACTGGAGTGTATTGTGCAAACGATGGGCAAGAGAATGGAAGGATTCCACATGCCCTCGATTCGGAATGAGGATCTGGGCGACAGGATCTTCAAAAAGAGCGTTATGTAATGTGGCCTGGCCATTCTGGCCTGGGCTGGGTCGACTGGGTGTAGCTGAGCATCGACGCCATCAGCATGGACGGGTGCATTGGGCTTCGTGCATAATCTCGAGAAAGAGAAGCACGATGTTTTGCAGAAGGTCGAGAAACAGCTTGGGGCCTTGGTAAGGCCAATTGAGGCCTCTGACCCGCTGTTCAAGGGTGGTTCATCTGATGTCGCCCTTGACTGCGACGCCATTCGCCCAAGCCTGTTGCTCAAGCCAAACCTGTCTTCGTCAATGAAAGTGTATTGTAAGTCACATACTGTGGAGCCTCCGTAAGCAAGCTTAATTCTGTCGCGGGAGACATTTGTTTCTATCAAAGCCTCTGAATAGATCTATTCCTCCTCTCTTTCCTCCTCTCTTTCCTCTCTCCGCTCTTTCTTTTGCTCTTTCCTCTATCTCCTTCCCTCTTTCCTTCTCTCTTTCCTTCTCTCTTTCCTTCTCTCTTTCCTTCTCTCTTTCCTTCTCTCTTTCCTTCTCTCTTTCCTTCTCTCTTTCCTTCTCTCTTCCCTTCCCTTCCCTCTTCCCTTCCCTCTTCCCTTCCCTCTTCCCTTCCCTCTTCCCTTCCCTCTTCCCTTCCCTCTTTCCTCTGCTCTGTCCTTCTTTCCTCTCTCTGCTCTTTCTTTTGCTCTTCCTCTCTCTCCTTCCCTCTTTTCTCCTCTCTTTCCTCCTCTCTACTCTTTCTTCTGCTCTTCCCTTTCTTTCCTCTCTTTCCTCCGCTCTTCTTTTCTGTCTCTTTCTTTTCTAAGAGGACCCCTGCTTCGCAAGCCCCCTTCCCCCCCCCTCCGGCTGAAACGAAGCTGACCCTGCTATCAGCTCCTCTTGAGCTCTTCTGCTTTCAGCCACCAAGCCAAGCAATGCCAACAGCAAAGCATACCACAGGTAAGTCCACAGGTGTTTCTGCCATCCTCATTGCACAAAGGTGATGCTGATTGTGTGCTTAGAGATCTTCCTACCACTCCCAACATGCCTCCAGCCGCGAAGCGCCGTAGAGTCGCTGAGACCAGCGCCTCCAACCTCTCCCTACCCCTCCTATCTACATAGATGATTCCGCCCAAGTCGTCGCGGGAGAGGCTGGTGACGGGCAGGTTCCTTTTCCTGATGCCCAATTGGCTTAGCTCAGCGACCTTCTTCAGTACGCCAAGGCCCAACACACTCCCGGAGAGGTCATCACTCCAGAGGAGTTGACCGAATTCAAGGAAATGATCTTCAGAGATTGGGTGTCGGATGAGATCTATTGTGCACCTTCCGCCAAGCACATCAAGCCCGGCATGGATGATGTCTCCATTCATATTGGCTACATAGCCCAAGACCTTGCCCACACCACCACCACCCAATTTATCCAAGGTCAGCCGCATCAAGAACGGTTTGCTGATGTCCCAACGCACTTCGGGCTCGGCAATCACTCCAGAGGAGTTGACCAAATTTAAACAAATGGTCTTTAGATCTTGGACATCAAAGGACATCTACTGCCCGCCGAGCCCCAAGTCGATGAAGGCTGGAATGGATGACGTCGCGATTCATATCGGATATATCGCTCAAGATCTCGCTCATATCACGACAACTCAGTTCATACAGGGACAACCGCACCAAGAGCGGTTCGCCGATGGCCAGGATCCTGGTCAAGATGACCAAGTTCGGCAAGCCTAGAATCCTGTCTACGTGACCATGGAAGGTGGCGTAAATGGACATGCTGTCAACTTTCGATACAGGGATATTCGCTACCAGCATATCAGCGCTCGTGATATGGAAGCCAACCGTCAGACGGTTGTGTGGAATAGCGACATTCCCAAAACGGAGTTCCGTGCGAAGGTGATCATGTTGCACGACGAGTTCAACATGACTGCCAAGCACGCATACAACATGAAGCTGGCCTGCTACCTTGCTCGCCGCCGAATTGTCCACTGGGCGAATAGCAATCTCCCGGATTCTCGGCCGGATGAGACCCTTTTTTTTTTTTTTTTCTTTTTTCGTTTTGGGGTTTTTTTTCGGGGGGTTCTGTTTTTCTTCTCTTGTTTTTTTGGGGGTTTTCGTTTTCGGGTTTTTTTCTGGGTTTTTTTGGGGGGGCGGGGGCGGGGGGGGGGGGTTGTGGAAAAGTTTTTTTTCTTTTTCTTTTTTTCCCTCTCTCTTTTTCTTGTATTCTTTTTTGTTCTTTTTTTTCCTTGGTTTTTCTTGGTTTTTGTTTTCCAGGAAAGGCACTGGAGCCTTGGGAATTTAGCAGTAGCACATGGCTTTTGAATTTCATGACATGAAGCATGCAGCAATGAACAAATGTTCTCTTGGAATTTGGTCCCTAAATGCTTCCTCTCTGCCATCAAGGCTTCGAATGACTAATCCTCCCACACCCTCACCTATCGGTATTATTCCTTCTCAGCATCCCGACGAGGCATCTCGTCCACCTCATTCGCTGTGTCCTCTTCTTCGCCAGATCCAGGCGCCGAACCCCCTTCCTCATCACGTCCTCGCCCCCCGGCCTCAACCACTCCTTCCGACCCCTGTTTCTCCTCCTTCCTCTGCAGTCCTTTGTCTTTGATGAAGAACATCAGCAGCCAGCAACAGCTGATGCATCCAACCCAGAAGTAGAAGACTGATCTTGATGCCAGGGTGTAGGTGTCCAGAATCATGCCCTTTTGGGTCGCAGAAAGACCTGAGAGGTCGGGAACCGAGAAAACGGACGACTTGATTTGGTTGGCTACCGTCTCTGGTATAAGCGGCGGAGACGGCAGCTTGCCGATCACAGTATTTGAGTACAGAGCTGAGGCAACAGCTAGGCCGCAGGCACCACCCAGAGACCGGAGGAAGTTCCGGGAGCTGATGACAACAGCTCGATCGGCCTTTGCCGAATGCGCCTGGGCGGCGACAAGTGTAGGCTGGAAAGTAAATCCAACCCCCATCCCCTGGATAATCAAGGTCACGATCATCCCAGCCAGCGGAAACGTCCTTGAAAACCTGCTCTCAACAATGGTCGCGGTGACCCAGAGTGAAAACCCCATCCAGATCACCTCGCCGTATCTGTTGAGCCGGGACATGTACTGGCCGGAAGCGATCGATGCCACCGACTGTGGCAGCACAACAGGGAGGATCATCAGGGCAGATTGTATCACCGTCATCTGTCGAACAATCTGGTAAAATAGCGGGAGGTAGTATAAAATGCTATAATAGCTCAGTCCACTGACAGTCAACCTATAGCGTTAGCGACTATTCTCATCATGGGCCTCTCTTACCTACTTGCATGGCGAGTCTGGGCAGAGCAGAGTCATCGAAAGCTCAGGCCGGACCGACGAGGTCCTGATAGGAAGAGGACAGTGGTCCGACGAGAGACAATGTTCAATTCACTTATATGATGAAACGGCGTCTCAACTCACATCAGAAAGTTTTGCACCATCATGGCGGCCAGTGCAGGCTTCTTGAATAGGCGGACTACAGATGAGTAAAAGTTATTTTAGTCTCCTTGCATACAACGAGGCTCTCGAAGACTGTGATCTCTAGAGATGGCGGAACTAACTTACAGGGGAACATGGGGAGTTTAGCCACCTTCCATTCGTTCAAGCCAAATAGGACGAGGAAGCAAGAGCCGATGGTCAGCATGGCGATCACCATTGGCGAGTTCGCCGCAAATTGGGTACCTATGCCAGAGATAGGGATAAGGAGGAGGATGGTGCCAACGGAGCTGAAAAAGATGCCCAGGTAGTCAATCTTGGCCAGCTTCGTCCTCAACGGCTCGGGCGGGATGGTCTGCGGCGGCAGCAGAACATAGAGAATCAGCCCTGAACAGACGGCCAAGGGACAGAGAAGCCAAAACAAAGCCCTCCAGGTAACTCGTTCAGCAAACGAGGAAGAGATGAAGGGCCCAATGGCGTTGCCCATCCCGACGCATGCGCCGAGAATGCCCATGAATTTGCCCCTCTGCTTGAGAGTCGTTACGTCTGAGACGACCATCATGGCCAGTGCCATGTTGCCCCCCGAGGCAACGCCACTGATGGCCCTGAAGGCAAATAGCTGAGGACCCGTCCTTGCGAACGAGCAGAGCAAATCGCCAAGTCCCAACAGGCCGAGACTTGAGATCAAAATGACCTTGCGTCCAAAGATGTCGGAGAGCCTGCCATACAGCACTTGGAATGCGGTATTGGCGATCAAGGAAGATGTGCCGGCCCATGTTATCGTGGATGAACTATTCAGATCACGGCCGATTGTGGGCAGGACAACGCCGATCGATTGCTGGTCGATGAAGGTGATCAAGAGTGCCGAGGCCAAGGCGCAAAAGACGACAATGAGACGACCAGTGGGGAGAATGTTGGTCTGGTCGTGCAACACGGGCTCGGGTTTGGCCATGTTGAACGGCAGCGGTGTCCCTCAGGGACGACACAGTGTGCTGAGCGAATTGTCCCAACGAGTAGTAATCGGGAAACCAATTCATCTGTGGCGAATCAGTCAGTGTGTGCGTGGTACGCGAATTTCTCCTGGCCGCTTTAAGGTATTTGGCCTGCTGCCAGATAAACTAGGAAGGGGATCAAAAAGTGATAAGAAAAGAGGGAATAGAAAAAAGAAGAAAGAAACAGAAAAGATTAAAGCCGTTGTGTGTGGAACCCCTGGCCGGTGATAAAATCCGAGCGCGCTGTGGACCCCTTCCGGATGCTGACTGCAAGCTGCCCATACTGTAAGTACTGTGCTGGGACGAAAAGCGTTGAGAGGAGCCTCCTCTAGCAGCGGGGTGGCTCATTGCAGTTTGTCTAATCCCCATTTAGCAGGACATCTAATATTTGACGTTTGACTTACGCTCAGATTTGATCATGCCATTGTGATTATGAGCTGGTTGTATAAGTCTCGAAGTCCCTGCAACTGGCTTATCACTATGGTCAACTAGCTATTAGTAATGTTACAGGCGAAAGAGGGGCATTTTCGGCGCAGTATTGTGCTACCTTGGACTCTGCACGACTTTGATTGTCCTCAAAGGAAAGCATTTTGCAAAATACCACCGTACTTCGTCTTTGGCCCTACGTACTCTCTCTCAATTATATCAATGACTCTGCTCTCCACAAGAAATTGCGGTGTGACGGACGTAGCAGTGGTAGGCCGAGTAAGAAGAGGGAATATACAAGAAATAAAGAGCCTCCACTCTCCTGTTTCTACTTATTTTTTCTGCTTGTCTTCATTTTCTGATATTTTCTCTTCTTCTTTACAGTCTATTCGGAACCGAACCGGTTTACTGATTGGACTGCTTTCTAGGCGGCGAATTGTAACGCCGGACCCAAGCTTGCGATAATCGGAGCACAATGATTTTCCTCTTGAAGAAAAATGGAACGTTATCACCGCCACTTCGGTTCGTCGGCACGGGATTTACTAATTAAAAATATGGTCGCATCATAGAAAAGAAATGCTTTTACTTGCACTGGAAAAATGCGTAGACGACATTGCTTGAAATAATGAATAAACAATCAATTGGGGTAAGTCCAACGCTCTAATTCGCGGGCGATAACAAACTAACACCCATTTTATGTTTGGTTATGTTAATAATTCATTCTACTACAGTGGACAAGGACGATAGAAGTGCCCAGAGCATTAGCCAAGCTGACCAAACCATGTCACATCTCCAGGGAGCCCACCGTCCAGAGGTTATGGGCTCCCACGCTTTCTATTCTCCTCCCACGATGTGTAATGGTCGTTAAGGGTCTGTTCAAGTGACCGATAGGTCATGCCCAGCTCGCTGACGCTTCTACTATTGTCGGCTCTGAGATGTATCCCGAGATTGCGAGACATCCATAGCTGGGTTAGCCCGAACAGCGGCCCGACGATCCTGGTGACGACTGAAGGGATCTGGTGGGCGGGCAGCCAGATCGAGCCGTTCCTCAGCTTCTTGAAATGCTTCGAGATGGTCAAAAAGGAGGTCGACTGGGGCGGGCTGATGAGATAGCGACCCGCTGCATCGTCCACCTCGGCTGCCTTGATATGGGCGGTAGCAACATCGCGGATATCGACGGGCAGAAAACACAGGTCAGGCACCCCGTAGAACATCCAGCCTGCCAGGAGTTCACCCATGAGGAAGAGGCTGCCGGACTCGGAGGCGGATGTCCTGGTCGGTCCAAGCACCAGGCCGACGCAGAGGGCGACGAGGTCCCACCGCCGGTGTTCCTGGGCTTCGAACAGCCTCCAGGCCTCCTTCTCGGCTAGGACCTTGGATTGATGGTAGGGATTGTGTTTGGCGGAGCTGGTCTCGTTGAAGTACCTCTCGCTGAGCACCTGGTCGTCCATCTTGTCGGGTACATCTCGGTAGTCACCCGCAATGGCCCCAATCGAGGAGGTCAGGACGACCCTGGTGACGGTAGGCGTCTCTTGCACTGTCTTGAGGACATTCCTAGTGCCATGGAGGGCAGGCTCGATCATCTCCTTCTGCCCATCGTTGATCTTCTCGGCCATCTTGAAGGGCGAGGCAACGTGGTAGACGACGTGGCAGCCCTGCATGGCGGGACGGAAGGAGTCTGGCTGGAGCAGGTCGGCCTCGAAGAGCAGCAGCTGTCCTTCGCCGTGGGCATCCCGCAGGTCGCGAAGAGGCTGGACCTTGGCGTGATTCTGGAGGCTTCGTACGGTCGCGTGGACGGTGTAGCCCCTGGACAGCAGCTGCGACAGAAGCTCGAGGGCGACGAAGCCAGAACCACCCGTCACAAGGACAGGCCCCTTTTCCTGCGCACTGGTCATTGATCAATTACCACTAAATCCTGCTAAGGGAGATAGATCTGCTGCAGGAAGTGGAGAGAGGACGCGTCGGCAGCCGAGAGTGTTGAAGAGTTGGGTGATTTAAAGAACATTAGCCTCAAGAAGATTGCACATAAGCAGTGAGATAGATGCTGTAGAGGGTTAGGGCTTGTGGGCTGATGGCCTCGGTACCCATTTCATCAAGCAAAATTGAAGGGAGGCAGGCACTTTCTGTGAGGATAGGATGAGAGTGCAAGGATACTCGGACTCAGAACATGCATTGTCAAGATTAAGCATATATATAAAACTGAACAAGACAAGGATGTCAACATAGCTGCTTGTACTGGGTACCAAGTGATACAAAGCAATGTCTCCATACAGTAGTACACTCTGGTATGATACTTCCTCAGAGAAGTTGTAACCCATGCTGTATACAGTACACACATCTGAATGCTTAATCAACAAGTAACTTGAGATGTAGCATTTGTTTTCCATTTATCGTTTGGCCCTCAGCGGAGAGAGGGTATGGACACCCTTGAGGTTGACCTGCAGCACACACCACACAGCCAGGGCGGTTTGCTTGGCAGGGGTTACAGAAGGGTGGTGTTGGGCCCGAGTGCCTGGAGGTCGGGGGCTAGCAGGCTTGGTACGATCCTTCTACTTACCATAGTACAGCACTACCATAGTACAAGATACACGATACATAGTAGTAGTAAATAACCGGGGAGGTGGGGTTACTAGCGACATCCAGGCAGTCTCCACTAAATTTTCAAGCGTGCCCCCCCCCCGGCCCGGCCACCGGCCCAATCGCGGCAACCACGATTCCAAGCAGACTCTCTGACTCTCTCCCTAGTAAACAATGACTGTTCATGGATGGCTGCTGTTTCCCTTCTCCCAAACATAATATCAACACCTGGCGACTCTTGCCAGGTTGATATGGGCCAACCTCGACCGTGACACAGGTTGACATCACCAACATGGCCTCTACGCCCCCCAACGGCTCCTCCTCCAACTCCCACGTCCCTTCAACCCCGAGTGGCCTACGCCAGAGCTACACAGGCTCGTCGTCGTCGTCGTCGTCGTCTTCCTCGTCTGTCGCAGCGCCGCCCTCCGCCCAGCGCGCCCCCACCCATACCACGTCTGGCCCTTCTTCACCTTCAAACCACGACAGGCTTCCTTCAGAGACCACCGCCCTGCTTGGTGACACCTTTTACCGCGACCACGCACACGAAGGGCCTTGCGATCACGGCACCTTCTCCCCGCGGCCAGCCAGCCCCTCCACCAGCAATATCCGCTCCAACAATGCCTCGCAAGACATTTCTCGCGCTGCCTCCCCAGGTGCCTCCTCCGAGAGCTCCCTCCCCATCATCGACAGCGTCGTCGCTTATGTTTCCGCAAAGGGCGCATCTGATTGGAGGAGACGTTGGGCGAGGAGGATCAAAAGCAAGACCATGAGCCGGTCTGGTGAGCTGGCCGAGAGGCACGGTGTCAAGGACAGCCCGTACATGTGTGTTTCTGCCGCCCTTTTCATCATCCACTCTCCTACGTCTTTTCAGGATACCGTTCTGGCTATAAAAGGGTAAAGCGAGGAGAGAAGCGCAGAGAAAGAAGAGAAAGAGAGAGAAACAGAAGAAAAAAGGGGAAGAAAAAGAGACAAGAGGTCTGACCAGCGACCGTCCAACTCTAGGTACCTCTCCTATTATCTGCCGTGCCTCATCTGGATGCGCGAGTACAAGTTTTCCTTCCTCAAGGGCGACTTCATTGCTGCCCTGACCATCGCCGGCATGTATTTGCCCATGGCCCTCTCCCTCGCCGATAATCTCGCCCACGTGCCCGCCATCAATGGCCTCTACGCCTTCGTCTTCAACCCCTTCTGCTACGCTCTTCTCGGCAGCGCCCCCCAGATGATCCTCGGCCCTGAGGCTCCCGGGTCGCTACTCGTCGGCAGCGTCGTCAAGGGCAGCGTGGACAGGGGACGTGGCGCAGACGACGACGCCATCATGCACGCCAAAATCTGCGGTGTGATTGCCGGCACGGCTGGCGCTACTATCCTTTTGTCAGGGCTCTTCCGCCTCGGCTTCCTCGACAGCGTCCTGTCCAAGCCCTTCCTGCGCGGCTTCATTTCCGCCATCGGCTTTGTCATCTTCGTCGAGCAGCTCCTACCCGAGCTAGGCCTGGCCAGCCTCGCTGCTGATCACGTCGGCCACGGCAGCGCAGTCGACAAATTGAGCTTCATCTTCAGCCACCTCGGCGACGTCCATGTGCTGACCGCCGCCATCGCTGCGGCCAGCTTTGCCATCGTCATGACGTGCAGGGAGATGAAACGTCGACTTCAGCCTCGCTATCCCGGTGTTGCCTACATCCCTGACCGGCTCGTGGTCGTTGTCCTGTCCGCGGTACTGTGCTATTTCCTGGAGTGGGAGAAGCACGGGGTTGCCATCATGGGTGATATCAAGGCGGCTTCTGGCCACGTCTTCACCTTCCGCTGGCCCTTTCAGCTGTCCCAAATGACCCATATCCGGGACGCCATGGGCACCTCGTTCCTGATCGCCCTGCTTGGCTTTTTTGAGTCGTCTGTAGCCGCCAAGAGCCTGGGCCCCAGCAAGGATCTCCCCGGCATTCAGCTGAGCCCCAACCGGGAGCTCGTGGCGCTGGGCACCGCGAACCTCATCGGCTCCTGCTTCATGAGCATGCCCGCCTTTGGAGGCTATGGGCGGAGCAAGGTCAATAAGCAGACGGGCGGGAAGACCCCCTTGAGCTCGTTGTTCCTGAGCGGCCTGACCGTCATCACCATCTTCTTTATCCTGCCGTACTTTTACTATCTGCCGGTGCGTTGTAATTTCCGTCATTAGTTCTTCTTCTTTTCCCCTTGACAAGACAAAAGTAGTAAAGGATCTGGCCACTGATGAACACAGAAACCGGTCTTGTCTTCCCTCATCACAGTTGTGGCCTGGTCCCTGGTTGAGGAGGCGCCTCACGATGTGGCCTTCTTCCTGCGCATTGGTGCGTGGCCAGAGCTCACGCTCATGCTGGTGATCGTTGTGACGACAATCTTTTACTCCCTCAACCTGGGAATTGCGGTGGGCATCGGCCTCTCTCTGCTGCAGGTGATCCGTCATGCAACACGACCGCGCATTCAGATCCTGGGCCGCATCCCTGGTACGCAGCGTTTCGAGAATGCAGAGACCAACCCGGAGCGCCTCGAGTTTATCGAGGGCTGTCTGATTGTCAAGATCCCAGAGCCGTTGACCTTTGCCAACACGGGCGAGCTGAAGACACGGCTCAGGCGTCTGGAGATGTATGGGACAGGCAAGGCGCATCCTGCGCTGCCCCGACTGCGGCACGAGGACTCCAACAAGAACGTCATCTTCGACATCCACGGCGTTACATCGCTTGACGGCTCCGGGACGATGGTTCTCGAGGAGATCCTGCGTACATATCGGGAGCGCGGTGTGCGTGTCTTCTTTAGCCGGTGCCCAGGGCGCGATAGCAAAGTGTGGGCGCTCATGGTACGCAGCGGGATTGTAGAGCTGGTGGGCGGGGAGGATCACTTTGTGGATGACGTGCAGGATGCGCTCAAGATGACAGAGGTGGAAGACGGAGGGGAGGCCGTGGTCGTCGGCGAGAGGGGGAGGACGATGGCGGAGGGTGAAGCTACAGCCGATTGAACTCTTCTCACGGTATGATAACGGACGGAAGACGGGCTCCTTTCTGTCGAGCATGTTTGTGGGATGGGAGACAAGACTATAGGGAAAACTCAATTGGTTGGATGATAATGAGCACCAAAAGCGACACATGGAGTGGGAAGTGGAGGAGGAGGAGGAGGAGGGGCAGCATGGCGTCTTGTATACTTAGAGCGCATATCACGGCAAAAGATTTTTTTATAGAGATAGCATCGGCGTTCTGATCAGCTGTTACATCTGGGAATTTGAACTTTATAGAAATTGCGACACAAATGTAAAGCGTCTCTTCTTGACTATCCCCTCTGTACCCTGATTTATCGTGTGTCATGTGCTTAATTGTACGCAATCTGTAAGTGCCTGATCCGCTCTACCCCTGTTGAAACTGGTGAGAGACGGTTCAATGGTTTAATCTCCACGCAACTTGTGACTGAACCAATTCGTCTCGATCTCCCAGTTCATTGCCTCCAGCATGCCCTGGAAACTGTCGCGCCATCTATCCCGTGGTGGGATTGGCGATTTGTTTTGAAACGATAACCGTTGGGCCCATCTCGTCTTCCCGTACGCCTCGCTATCGGGGGGGTTGGTATCATGTTGAGCCGGAAAGTTACCGACCTCCAGGCGGACAAAGAAAGTCTCCTGCTCATATGCCGTTTCTTTTAGGCGACGTGAGTTGGCTGCTTCGATATCTATCGACCCAAACCCAAACTCCTCCCTTGGCTGACTGTTGCGGAACTTGATGTCTATCGCAAACTCGGCAATTTGGCGTGTCCGCAGACTGTCCTCGAGATCCTCTTGCCGGGTGTCAACTTTCTTCTCTGCTGTGCCTGGGCCGTTATAATCCTCATTGAACTCCCAGTCGAACTCGCAAACCAAGAGTGTGCCGGGTCCGTCAGACAGAAGTTTCAACTGGACATGGTTAGTTTTTTTTTTCTTTCTGTTAGCATTGGGAAGAGCTGTGTCTGCTGCGGCGAAACTTACACATCCGACGCCATCCTCGCGGAAAGCAATAGATCTCCAGTTGGCACGGTCGTCTGGTGTCCAGTTGTATTTGGTGCACAGCACGGATGCAACAGTCTCGCCGTTTCCGGCCTGCTCCAGCTTCTGTTCTGTCGCCATTTTGGTTGAATAAGGTGATAAAAAACGAGAATCGATTGGAAGGATGAGAACAAAGATAATCTTACGCAGGAAAAGATAATGCATGTGTGGTGTGAGGACGGGCAAATGTTCTTTATATACAATTTCAGCAGGGCAAGCGGGGCTGTGACACCTTGACTGTGCCACAAAATGGGTAACATCAATTCCTCATTTGGTCTTAGTTAATGACGCCGCAGACACATGAGACGACGCTGCCTCCAGAGTCTTGGCCGTTACTGGATTTCTTACGCTTACGCCAGACTTAATTTTACAAACGAGCGACTACAGCAGCTTCAGGGGCTGCAGACAGCATTGGAGCTGAACGCGGTCATACACCCTCATCTACTTGGCAATGTCACCGTGGAGCAAACTCAGCAAAGGTCCCACCGAATACCTATTATTGGCAGGCGGGCAGCTGGGCGACCAACCGGTGCGAACGGTGTTTCCGACCCTTCTTGGCAACTCGCGAATAGCACAACTAACACACTGTAGGATTCTGACTGATACTGGCCTGTCCCAGTGCCCCCACGGGATGCTTCAAGCATGGTGGGTGGAAATGGGAATACATCTGACTACATGGCTTATTCCAACATCTGGTCGGTTACTCACATAATCATTATGCTCCACTTCTTAAACAGGAGTTTCCGCGGCCCAACCGGGTCTTGAGACGTGCCGCCACTGGGCTTTGGTGCAGTATTTGATGAGATGATTGATCCCATGGTATGATTTAAGCTTCAAAGCTTATCTTGTGCGTTGTGATCTATGAAACAAAAAAGCTCCACGTCTTATTTTAATCACTGACCAAACTGGACGGCCTGCCTGAGCCTCGTGCTGTATACTGCTTCCTACCTGCGTGTTTCAAAGCAGGTTATGTGAGTAAGCACAATCACATTGCGAGGCCGACCCACTGTCCTTTGTCTGTATCGGTGCAATACTTGCCCAAGGGAGAAAAATATGTTATGCAGGTTTACTGCTCAAACCATCGTCCGGACTGGCTATAAGAAGGGTTGTGCTACATGTCTTTCTCTCGTTCCTAGAAAGCAATCAACCAGAATTCTACATCGACTAAGAAGTTACCAACATACACTAAACCGCAATTGTACTTTATCTTTTTTACCATTCTCAACTGCCTCTTCCTACAATGCACGCCACACTTACGAACATTCTGGCCATCGCTTTGGCTCTTGCTGGAAGCGTTCAGCCGAGTGTGATAAGGTTGGAACAGCGGGCTCCATTTTACTTTGGATGGCATGCAACGACCCAAGTATGTACATAGATGGTGCCAGCAGCATTGATACATACTCGTTGTTGTTGAATCGCCCTAATTTGCTTGTGGAATTTAGGCAAAGGCTGAGCAGATGCAAAAAGCCGGCACAATGTTATATTTGGGAAACTCACAGAAAACCAACCAACTTGGTCCTGGCGTATACTTGTCGGAAAAGCTGGGCGCATGGTCGGGTGAAGTGTGAGTCACCTCCATGGATAAATATATTTGCTCTCCTGGCCCAGGTGGAGATTGCATTGCAGCGCGTGCGTTGCTGACACGATTTTCAAAGCGTATGTTTATTTGCAGCCGACGAAAGCAAAGTCGCTGCGGCGGAAAAAGTTAAGTACCCGGCGAAAAACAGAGCAGGCAAAAACATCCAGTGGGATTGGACCAATTATGAGGGGAAGAAACAAGGGAAGTATATCCAGGAGTATTTTCAGGACGTTGGGGCGGACATGGCAACGTCTTTGAGGCTTTCGGACTGGGACAATGGCATCCAGCTCAAAGTCCCTGAAGCAATGTGTGGGACAGCGAATCCGCTGGAGATCACAATTGTTGAATGTGCCCCTTACGCCGACAAAGACTCAATGAAGAACAAGGATGTGGTTGTGGACTTCAAGTCCTGGCCTGGCTGGAAGGGTTGGCTGGCTAGTGAGCCAGTGCCTGCAGCAGACGAGGCCGAGGCATGCAAACTCGACGCCCGCGGCAATACCAGCGGCAGCGGATGTTCGTCTTCCCAGACATCTTCGTCCACCAGCGCAGCCCCGTCTACCACATCGCCTTCGTCCACCAGCGCCGCCTCGTCAACCAAAGCAACTTCATCCACCAAGGTCTCCACATCTACTAAAGCGACTTCAACCACTAAGGTCTCCACATCTTCTAAAGCGATCAAGAAGACTACTTCGTCGAAGAAGCCTAAAAGGACACCGGCATAAACTACACACCACTTCCGACTCGGCAATAAGTCTGAGGGTTTTGAGCTGGCGTTCAGTTGAGATATCCGCCTCAATTAACTCTGAAGACTAAGAAGTCCTAGAAAGCGGTCTTCTGAAATGAGAGGGGGGGGGGATAGGGAGGCGTTTGGTCTGCTATTCTTGCATTTTCGTCATATTCTGACTGTTCGTACGCGGGATCGTATAGGCATTTTGTATTTGTTTTTGGTTATGGTAAAAGAAGGGTGGTTAGATTATAGAGCGGACAGGTCAATGAACAAAGTTGAGGCGCTGGGCGTTAGACGTTGTTTACATAGGTATCTTTCCTTGGGTTCCCCCTTGGGTGATGCTCCACTGAAGCAAACGCTCACCTTGCGTTCCTAACGTCTCTGACTTGTGTGCTCTCGGCTTCGAAGCAAAGCAACACCGACCATTCTCTCAAAGTCAGACAAACTTCTCTCTGCCGAGACACGCTTGAGATCTAATTACGAGACACTTGTTAGGCTATTAATGCTTTATAGATTGTGCTAATGTTCGTATAGCGGGGGTCGTTGTCTCTTGTGAACAGTTTGTTCGTGATGCAGAGCTGACGGCCCGATGGTACTTCGCGTAACCTGCAGGTCAGATTATAATGGAAGATCGTAGGCAAGGGATACATTGGGCGACTAAGACCGCTTTGGGACTTTGGCCGTCGTTGATGGGTCAGCTGGCCCTGTTTGTAAGCATCTGCACTTCCTAGCAATGCCACTGCATCGCCCCCCTCATGCACACACTTTGGTGAGTGGGGCAGCTGTACCTACGGACCAGTGACAGACTCTTCGTGACAAGGGTTCAAAGCAGGCTGAGGCTATTTCTCCGCATCCTCAAACTTCTCGCCCACAAGTCTACCTCTCTCTTACGTGCTGGATTGATCGATGCTTGGGTCCATGCTCTGGCTGGGAAATCCCTATCTTTCGACATGCCCTTACTGCCATGGAAGAGGAAGAGGCTTTCCAACGGCGCCGAGTCGCCGAGGCCGGAAATCCCTGCAGCCATTCAAGAAGGAGGCTCTTCTTGTACGACCTCCCTCGCAACAACGATCACACCTGACGAAGAAACTGACCTAAGCATTAATTTCGTACTAGCACCTAGGACCACAGTAACACAGGACACCAGGAACAACGACACCTTCGGGCTGCATATTCTGGAGGATCAAGATGACAATGACCCTGACGCCGTTGACATTGTAGCACTACATGGCCTCAATGGCCACTGGGAAACAACTTGGCAGTCCACTACCTCCAGCGTGAAAGGTAGACCTGTCATGTGGCTTCGCGATTTCCTACCGGAACAAGTGCCGCGGGCCCGAATCATGTCTTTTGGGTACGACTCCGCCCTGTTCTTCGGCAAGTCTGTATCGGATGTGGACACCTTTGCAGAGCAGCTACTGGAAGCTCTGCTGCCATTACGGCTTGATGAAGTTGCTCGACGCCCAATCATCTTCATATGCCACAGCCTTGGGGGTATTGTGGTTAAAAAGGTTGAGCAGACCCTATGTTTGGTATGAAACTCACTAACTGTTTGCTCTCTGCAGGCCATTATCAGAGCGCACGAGAAAGATCGATACCAGAGTCTCCTTCACTCGGTTCGAGGTATCGTGTTCTTCGGGACTCCCCACCGAGGATCGTCTCTCGCGGTCTGGAGCACTGTTCTCGGCAATATTGCAAGCGTAGCAACCTTTGGCAGCAAAACCAACAGGAAACTATCTCAAGACCTAAAGATGGACTCCGTGTCACTTCAAAGCATTTCCAAATCCTTTGTCGATAGGGCCAAGAATTTGCAAATCATTAGTTTCTACGAGACCGACAAGATGGATTACCTAAACTGCCGAGTAAGCACGGCGACAATCATCCGAGGGGCTTTTGCGCGGTGACGTTACTAACCAAAGAAACAGGTAGTCGAAGAAGACTCTGCTGTCCTTGGTTTCCCAGACGAAGTCAGTATCGGCATCAAAGGGAACCACCGTTCGATGTGCAGATTTGACTCCATCCTCGAGCCTAGGTATCGATGTGTTTGGACAAATCTTCAGAACTTGGCTGGCTCTGCATCCCGTCCAAGTAAGTTGTGATTTTCTTTTTCACTCTTTGTTTATTAGATTAGGCACTTGATGCTAAGCCAAGATTAAAGAGACTGTTTTCGAAAGTGATGGGCCAAAGCGAACTGGCCACGGCAATCGCTCACTTACCAAGAGTTCTCAATCGATCCAAACCGCTCTTGAGTCTCAAGACGATGTAGCAGAAAGCATCAACCAGCGCGAGTTGGATCAAGCTAAAAAGAGGAGAGATGCTCGAGACAAGGAAGAAAAGAAGGCGCAAGCTGCTTGCTACAGACTCCTACGAACATCGAACTATGAGGCTCACAAGGATCGATACCCACCAGCCGTTCCTGGCACCTGTCAATGGTTGTTACACCACGAGAAATACCGGGAATGGGGACAAAAGCAAGCTTCCGACCTCCTCTGGATATCGGCTGATCCTGGATGTGGTAAGTCCGTCCTGATTTCTTATCTCATTGACCACCTGAATGGGGCAGAGAACAGGATTCAGGTGCCAGAAGTTGTCTGTTACTTCTTCTTCAAGGAGGACAACCATGAGCAGAACAACGCGGTCCATGCAGTGTCGGCTATACTGCATCAATTATACACCGCTCAGCCATGGTTACTGCAACACGTCACGCATTCATTTCTGGACCATGGCAGGGATGTTTTACAACAGTTCAGTTCGCTTTGGAGCCTGCTTGATGCTTCTGTGACCGATCCAGCCTCACGAGACGTCATCCTGATTTTTGACGCCCTGGACGAATGTGAGACCACCACGCAGCGTCAGCTTCTGCAGTCCCTCGTACGTTTCTATAAAACAAAAGAGGGGGACAGTCTCACACGACCTCCCTTCGTGAAGACGATCATTGCTAGTCGACCCGACAATGAGATCAAGCACGCCTTTGACATTCTACCGACCATCAGATTAAGAGGAGAAGACGAGCCTGAGGCCATCAGTCGCGATGTAGAGCTGGTTATCGACCATCACATTGAGAACGCCGTCCGTCGCGGGCTTCCACGAGGCATCCTGGAGGAAGTCCGAGTGGGCCTGATCCAGGGCGCTGACCGGACTTTCCTCTGGACTACCCTCGTCATCAACCTTTTGGAAGCCAAAAAGGGTGCGTCGAAACGGGAACTCATGGAGATTCTTCAGGCCCGAGGAGACATCTTTCGCATATACGAACGGCTTCTGGAACAGAGCACCGACGCCGTGCAAGCCCTGAGGTTGCTACATATCGTCATGGGCGCGGTGAGGCCCCTGACATTGACAGAGCTCAGCATTGCGATAGCGGTAGACCGCACCCAGACCACGTTTGAAGATCTAGAACTCGACGTTGTCCACAATTTTGAAGAGCGTGCCAAGGCGCTGTGTGGGCACTTTATCCGCATAGTACGTGGCACCGTATACTTGGTGCACCAAACAGCGAGGGAGTTTCTCCTCGACCATAGCACGGAGGCGCAATACTTGTCAAAGAACCCCAAGACGAACTCTAGGACTACAAACTGGCAGCAGTCTGTTATTTCACGACGCGCTCATAATGAACTGCTGGACATATGCCTTAAGTACTTGTCCTTACTGAACGTGGGCGGCTCCGAGCAATCGCTGGCGGCGACCATCTTTCGAGATCAAATCGCTATCAATTTCCTGCGGTATGCCGGCCATCACTGGACGTATCATTACCACCAATTAGCGCCAGACCTGACGGAGACTCAGCTCGACAACTGCGCACGGCTTTGCAATGCGAATACACTTGGGTTTGGAAGCTGGTTCTGGAGGTCTTCCGAATCGGCTCGCCACCCAGATCACAAAGTGAAAGAGGGTACAGCACAGCGGGACATTGCATACCATCTAGGACTAAACGAGGTGGTCAAACTGATGGACAGGATGCTCATGCCAGAAGATCTGGAACAACCGGGCCTCGAGCCGAAAGCGGCCACGGGGCTGCAATGTCCAGGTACGGTTACCTTCGTTCACATTTTTCCCGCAGTCTTTTTCTTCTTCTTCTTCTTCCTCCTTTTTCTTTAATATAAGAAAAATAAAAGAAAAACAGGTTTCGTGATCTTAGAAATGCTGAAGAAACTCTGACAGGTGCCTTGGACATTGCATCCCCAACACGCATGCTCTCTCCCGATGATGTTGTCCACCCTCACACGATCTCTCCTGGACACTTGTCACCGTCGCCTTTCAGTGAGGCTGTGGAAGTTGGATTTCATTTGACTGGGCGCCGACAGTCTCTGAAGAAAATTGATTCCAACTCCTCCGTGTTTGTTTCGAGATACATGTAATGTTTGAAGAGATTTGTTCTCAAGCACGATATGAAGATGTCTTGAAAATTTATTGTCTACTTTCCATTGAGCTGTTAAAAGTTTGGATAGCTGGGCGGGAAACAAAAGTAGGGATTGGTATCTGCTTCTAACACGAAGGGGAAAATCGTCAAAAAGAGTTCAGCGTATTGATTAGCAAGAAGCATATGTGTGGCGGGATGATTTAATGCCATTAGAGAGATTTTCAGTGTTTTGCCATAAGATAGCTATCAGGGACCTCGGGTTCAATGTTGTTTGCATGTAAGTCTATATAACATTGACGTATACTAATGCTTCTTAGATATCCGTTACACAGTAAATTCAACTGATTGCCCTCAACACCACATATTTACAGAACAAGGGGAGTTTCCCTTTTCTCTCTCATTTTACCCTTCTTTCGTGTCATCATTACCACTATCAAACTTGATTAAGCGCTTGCATCTGTCAGGATTGACTCAATCTCTCTGCTATAGAAGTCGCGAGAGTGCTCAAAGTAGCATCCTGGCTGAGAATAGTAAGAAAAGGCATATCGACTTTGAAGGCAGTCCAGATCCAAGTTCGAAACTCGGAGGCGATCATGCTGTCCACGCCAAACTTGGCGATGGGCTTGTCGTCTTCGATTTTGTCGAGTGACATCAGAATCAAGGAGGAAAAGCGCTTGCGCAGCAGGTTCAAGATGGCCTCATGGAGAGATGGAGCGTGTGCCTCGGCCTGGATAGCCTTCTGAGCGGTCGCAGGCACGTCGGCATACCAGGCGGACCGGGCCAAGCTGCTGCTGCCGTTCTTCAGCGCAGCGTCTCCGTGTTGCTCTCTGCCGTCTCTGGCGTCTTGTTCAGCCGACAGGGCGGCAAACAGGATGGACGCCCGCGGATCATCCATCGAGGCATGGGTCACGTCAAAGCCTTCGTCCTTTAGACGCAGCACCCCGAGCGGCTCGAGCCCTGTGAGGATATGAGCGGAGCCTGACCACGCGTCTTGTTGAGCCAGCTGCTGCTGGCTTGTGCTGGCGTCATCGTCGTTGTTGTGGTCAGCGGAGAGGGCGAGGTCGATGGTCTGCAGAAACTCTGCCTCTGTCAGGGGCTGGATGCCTCGACGCAGAAGCAGGGCCTCGATGTCTGGGTTCTCGTGTAGATAGCCCACCTCGGAGATCATGCCGAGGCCGAGCGAGATGGCAGGCTTGCCCTGGGAGCGGCGCCACCTGGCGAAGGCGTCGAGAAAGCAATTGGCGGCGCAGTAGTTGCTCTCAGTGGCCGTACCAACGCTTCCAGACACTGAGGACATGAGTAGGAAGAAGTCGAGGGCGGCGTCGCGGCCTCCAGCCGAGAGGGCGTCATGCAGGTTCCAGGTGCCCGTGACCTTGGGCTGGATCCCCGTATGCCATGCCTCGCTGGTCATGGACGAGAAGAGAGCTTCGTGGAGGCCCATGGCGGCCTGCACCACGCCGCCCACAGGCTTGCCTGTCGCAATACAAGCCTCGACAGCGGCGTCGACGTGGGCACGGTTTGTAACATCGCCACGCACAACAGTCACGGTCGCACCGCCAGCCTCCAGGCGTCTGACCATGGTCTTGGCGCTTTGCTTGTCGGCGCCTGAACGACCGAGGAAGACAAAGTTGCGGGCGCCGCGAGACAAGAGCCAGCGACTGAGGCTGCGCCCCAAGCCGCCAAGGCACCCAATGAGAAGATAGGTCTTGTTCGGGTCCAGGGACGCGCTGTATCTCGGAGGAGCCAGCTGGAAAAGGTGACACAATGTTAGCAATGTTGCAATAAGTTATTGTATTTTGTAGATACATATTTCGATGGTTTTTTGAAAGGAAAGAAGAAACAAGAAAGAACCCAATTGTGCCCTTGGTTTCTTCTTCCCTTTTTTTTTTTTTTTTTTGAAGGGGGGAGGGGAGGAGGACGGAAAAGGTGCACCTGTCTGGTACATTCCAAGAGTTACTTACCGGAATAAGAGAATCCTCATTTTCAAAGGAAATGACAATCTTGCCGACTCTGTCCTGGGTGGAGAAGTAGCGATATGCCTGGACAATATTGGCTACATCAAAGACCGTCGAGGGCGGCGGCTGAATCTTGCCAGCACGGTATAACTCCACGACCTCGCTGCTCAGCCTGGAGAGAAGAAATGAAAGATTAACTCATGTTTCGGGTCATACATATAAGTATATATATATATATATATATATATATTCAACTGGGGTGAGGGAGAAAAAGAGGAGGAGACGTACTTAATCCAGACTTGGCGGTAGTGCTCGTCTTGATGCATTATCAAATCTGTTAGGTCAAAGGCGGTAAAGGTAGCATTGCGCAGGAAGACGTCCATATCCAGGCGGCCGCCGTTGACGAGATCCTGCTTGCCCACCTCGACAAAGCGGCCGAAGGGGGCGACACAGCGCCAGCTCTCATGAAGAAGGTCACCCACGAGGAAGTTGACGACCACATCAGCCATGCGTCCGCCCGTGGCCGTCCTCAGCCCTTCGACAAAGCCCCTATCTCGTGAGTTGAAGACGCGCTCGGGAGGGATGCCCAGCTCCTCGGTGATGAACTGCCGCTTGCTGGCCGACCCTGCAGTAGTGTAGACGACCGCACCGAGGCGATGTGCCAGGGAGATGGCGGCGAACCCCAGCGCGCCGGCACCACCATGGATCAGCACAGTCTCGCCAGCACGCAGGTGGGCGCGGTGGTCGAGGGCGTACAAGGCTGTGGCGTACACTGTGAGCATGGTGGGCATGACAGAGAACTCCTCTGTGTCGAGCATCTTGTGGGCGTCGGTGGCGTGCATGCGCATCGTCGTCGTGAGCTGGGCCGGTGCTAAGCCAAAAACGCGGTCGCCAGGTTGCAGGTGCGTTACCCCTGCGCCGACTGCGGTCACGATGCCGCTGAACTCATCCACCGTCGAGGCAGCCACCGTCTCCACGCGGCCACTGAGGGCATACACGTTCTTGGCGTTGAGGCTGACAGCCTTGACCAGCACGTCAACTGAGTCTGCTGGAAGAGAAGAGGAAGGTGAAGAGAAAGAATTCTCCATTGCTTGAAAGTGTATTGTGTCGGTGACGCCGACACGACCGATGGACAGCTTTGCAGGCCGAGCTCTTCTCAAGGGGGTGTGTTGGATGATTGATGAGGATGAGGATGGCGACGACGACATGAGCTCAGCGCCATCCTCATGGATGGTGCCATAATTGTAGTTATGATTATTATCATCATCATGAACATCTCGAGTGTGGCTGGACGAAGCAGCTCCCCCGAGACGCAGGCGGCGGTTGAATGTAGTATTCAGCACAGGATCGGGCGTGAAACGGCTGATGTAGACGAGACCGTCATGTTGCACATATTCGCTGTCGCCAGCTTCCAGTGTGTCTGTGCCTGCGTCCCTGGACAGCAGCGCTGCGAGCACGCTCACAATGTTCTCGCGCGTCGATGACATGTCCCACTTCTCAGGGGTGCCGATATCCAGGACCAGGAAACGAAGTGCTGGCTGTTCCAACATGAGTGCGCGTGCGAGGCCGTTGCAGAGCGTCAGGTCAGGCCTCGGCGCGTCTCCCAACATGTCTGCACCTGTGAGCCACAGCAGGGTGGTGACGCGCCCAGTGACATTGCGGAGATGGTTCATGTCGTCCTGGCTCATAGTGGCCAGGAATGGGTCTGCCATCTCCAGGAGAGAAACGCATATTGTGTCCTGGCTCAACGACGCCTGTCCGGCCTCCTCGAGCGGCACTACGTCCACCACAATGGATGTGCCGATTTGTTTCTGCAGCTGCGTCACCATGGCCTTTGCAAACTTCTCCGAGAGAGAACACGGGGAGGCTTCGCGAGTCTGTGCAAAGATGGTGGTTAATGAAGAAACAAAAAAAGAAAGGTCGTCAGCTTAGGGCAAGGGTGAGCTTCTCGTCTGTTTCGTTTCTTACCAAAATTACAAATCGCTTTCCTTCAAGGGACAGTACGCCTTTGCCTTCAGGACGGATTCCAAAGATCAAGTCGTATCCCAACTCGACCTTGTCGAACCCTGCCTTTTCCAAGACAGTGACACTGGCGCTTGTCTTGCGGGTTATGACCATTCCTCCTTGGTTGATGAGAGAAATAATTTCGTTAGGATGTCTCTCCCAATATTCCCGACTTTTCTTTCGCTATTTGTGTCGAGAAGAAAGAAATACAAATGTTAGCAAAATTATCATCATGATCATGATCATCATGAACTACCAAAAGACGATAAAATCCTCTTATGATGCATGCACAATGAGGAGAAGAGAGACGGAAAAAAGAAAAAAGAAAACAGAAAACAGAAGGAGGAAGAGCAGGCTCTGGAGAGTACGTACGCTGAGAAGAAGCACAACATCAAAGACAGCTCGCCCCGGAGTCTGGCCGTCATTATTATCTTCTTGATGTTCGCGAGCTTTAGCAACAGCAGCAGGCCCGTCGAGGTCTGGGAGGGTCGTCTTCCATGATTGATAACGCTGACACGCAGTTTCCTTGCCCAGCACCGCCATCCACTGTCTAGCCTTGCAAGTGCAATCCTCACCCAGCTCCAACACTTGCATGCGCGGGTTCCGGTGACCTGCTAGGTCCAGCAGTGCCGCGACCGCCGTCCCCGTTGCATTGTCGGCTAGATCTTCTGTGTCTGGGAGCGCACCCAAGAGCCTGTCCAGGGAGCCGGCGAGGTAATCACGCAGTCTCTTCGCTGAAGAACCGCGCAGGTGCGTCATGTCTGGCTTCCAGGTCACGCGCAGGCAGGGCTGGCGAGGGATGACGGACCCAAGGTCGAGATGAGGCATCTTGGCGCTGTAGTGCGACACGAGGACATCTTGGAGGTGGATGAGGGGCGCGGCACTGTGTGGATGGCGGAGGGTGGCATCGACGCGGTGGGTCGACACGCCTGTCTTGCGGGCGCGTGCCTGGATCATGCTTTGAACAGGTGGAATGGCGTCCTCCTCGCTGCCACTGCTACCAATGCCACTGCCGCCGCAGTCACCATGGATCCAACATTCTCGGATAGAAATGGGAAGATGTGCACCCAGGATGCTCAGGTCCCCGCCGGCTGTGGACATGATACCTGCCTGGATGCAGGCATCGATGGTGATGGGATGGATGGCATCCTGTTCACGCTCCTGCTGGCTGAGGTGTGCATCTGCTGGTACACGCTCCTCGTTCTGAGGCCTGAGAAGGGTAGTAGCCACGAGGATTTCAGGGGAAGCGGAGGACTTGTTGTTTTTGTTGTCACCATTGTCATCAAAATCATCAGTGACGACGCCAGTGATGGACTGGAACCAAGGACCGAGGCACAACCCCTCCTGTTCGAACTTTCGATAGTACAGTGCGGCTGATCCAGTGGCTCCCTGCTCTGTGCCGTGTCCTTGCTGCTGGTGCTGCTGTGTTGTGGCAGTGTCTTCTACTAATGCGGCACTGCTGATATCGCTCTCGGCCTTGTGTGGCTGGATGCTTCCGGCGCAGTGCACCGTTGCCTTGCCCGCCACCCAAGACGAGATGGAGAAGTCGTACCAGCTGGAAGACATGGTGGTCGAAGACAGAGCACGCGGCGAGATGACAGTGTGTAACTCTACTGTGTGGTTTTTGTCTGTGTTGTTGTGAGAACTGTAGTGGTTCTCGTTATCATCTTCGTCATCAGGCACCACGAGCGCAGTGCTGATGCTCACGTTGCGGAACTCGAGCCAGCAAGGACGTCGGAATTTATCATTCTTGTCGTTATTCTTGCTGTCGGCGTTACTGCCAAGATGCAATGCCTGTGACAAGCCCTCGATGGTCATGGCGAGATAGCCCGCTGCTGGAAAGACAACCTGTGTCTCGACCTTGTGGTGACGCAACCAGGGAATCTCCTTGATGCTCAGCTGGTTTTTCCATTGCCAGTCGAGGCCGTTGCCGGCCACACGGAGCGAGCCCAGAAGAGGATGGCGGGGGAACGGACGGTTGCGCATCTCGATGCTGGTGCGGGACTCGGTCCAGAGGAGACCACCAGAATAGTCCCATGGGTAGGGAGGGAGACTGACGCGCAGATCAGAGTCTCGTTGATGTTCTTTTTGTTGCTGCTGCTTATCTAGGAATGCTGGTGATGGCGATATGTGTTGCCAGGACAGGTTTGTGCCGTGGAGGAAGAGGGTGCCTGCGAGCTTCTTAGCCGAGAGCTCTGCGTCCTGACCTCTGAGGAGAGCGCACGAGTAAGGGAGGGCAGCCTCGTCACGGCCCATGTGGCGGCGTATCTGCTGCAATGGTCCCTTGAGCGCACTGTGCGGGCCTATCTCGACCAGATGGAGAAGGCCGTTTTTGCCTCCTCCTCCTCCTCCTCCTCCTCCTCCTCCTCCTGCAGTTGCTTGTCGCTCCTCGACAAAATTCGTCATGTTCTGTACCGCTCGCCAGAACTGGACCGACCTCTCGAGGTTGGCCCTCCAGTACTGAGCTGTACTTGCTGATTTTTGGTCCAGGATGGTAGACTCTTCGTTGTTGCCGCCGCCCTTATCGCTGTCAACATCCACAGATGAGAACATGGATATGGTTGCGTTGTTCTTCTGTTGCTTCTGCTCTGCTCTTGAGCCGAGATATGGTGCGAGTAATTTTTCATACAAGCCGCCCACCTCTCTCATCATAAAAGAGTGGTATGCCCTCCCTCCTGTCTGCAGCTTTCGGGCAAACTTGTTCTGCTCCTGAAGCTTGACTAGGAGACGCTCGATCCCCTCGGAAGAACCGCTAAGCGTGACGCTGTCGGGCGCGTTCACACAGGCAACACTCACACTCTCGTCCAGACCGCTGTCCCGCACGAGCTGCGAGGCAGCCTCGGGGCCCATACCGGCCGCCAGCATCGCACCTTGACTCTGCAATGTACCAACCGCCAAGCCCCTGAAAAACGCAACCAGAATGGACTGGTCGGCGTTCAGGAGCCCTGCTGCGTAGGCAGCGGCAATCTCGCCCGAGGAGTGGCCCACCACAGTTGTAGGCTGAACCCCCCAGGCAGCCAGCATATCGACCAGGGCGATCTGGAGGGCGGTGCAGACTGGTTGGCTGCGGACGACGTCATGAATCTGGCTGGACGCGGGCGGGTCAAGGAGTGTCTGCTCGATGGTCCAGTCCGGAGCCTGCTCCCTGGGCAGTCTTTGCAGGACACTGTCGAGGCTGCGGATGGTTGTACGAAAGATCGTGCTCATCTCCAGCAGCTCCTTGCCCATGTTAGCCCACTGCGCGCCCTGGCCAGTGAAGACAAAGCCAAAGGGTAGTAGGCCGGAACTGTTGTGACCTGTGACTTCTGGTGCCTTGATATGATGGATCATCTCATCTTCGCCACCGTCGCCTCTCATGGTTGCCTGCATATTGACCAACAGGGCGTGTCGAAAGTCCATGTGAGACCTGCGCTGGCTGAGAGTGTAGGCTATATCCTGCAGCTTGTGCCCGACAAGCGGATGATCTGTCTTGTCCATCTGCGTGAGGACTTCGGTGATCTGGCTTACGCGGGCATCTAGAGCCTGTCTTGTCGCCGCTGAGATAGGAAGCAGTATATGGCGGTCAGATTTTTGTTCCTCTCTTTTGTCATCATGATTTTCTGACGGCACAGCAGCAGCACTTATGCGGGCTGGCAGCACATCCTCCCGGAATCCTCCGAGGTAGCTGTCCGTTGACTCGAGAATCAAATGCGAGTTGGCACCGCCGTAGCCAAATGAGTTGACACTGGCCCTTCGAAGTGCCCTCGGCCAGGAAGTAGGCTTTTGGACAACTAAAAGATTGCGGGCATCGAGTTGCACTACAAAACGGCAGGCATTAGTAAATGTATACCTCAGAGCGAAAGAGGAAGAACAGGAGGCACAAGGACGGTGAAGAATGCAGCACAATAAAAAAAAAAAAAAGTCTCCTCTTTTTTCTTCTTCTCCTGATACAATGAATAAATCGTCCACTTACACTTTGGATTCCACTTCTTGACATCACAGGTCGGGGGGATCTGACCCTTTTCCAAAGCCAGCGCAGCTTTGATGATGGCCGTGAGCCCGCTTGCAGCCTCGCTGTGGCCAAAGTTGGGCTTGGAGGCACCGATCATCAGCCGGGTCGCTCTTTTTTGTGCAAAACACCGCGCTACGGCTTCGACCTCAATGGGATCACCAATTGGCGTTCCCGTGCCGTGGAACTCGACGTAATCTGTGTCCAGAACATCGAGCTTCGCCGTCGCATACGCCTTGTTGATGACGGCCGCCTGGCGGTCTGCGTTGGGCTGCGAGATCCCAGACGTTCTGCCATTTCTGTAGTGCTCATAACCATTTGGTTAGCACATTGTGTCTGATCATTCGCTCATGACCGCAGTTAGAGAGGGAAAGGGAATGAGGAAGTGAGCAAGAAAAAAGGAGGCAGAAAGAGAGGCAGAATACTCACGCATTGACTGCAGTGCCACGAATCACGGCCCAGACTTTGTCCCCATCTTGTAGAGCTGCAGACAAACGCTTGACATAAATTGCATTGACGCCCTCGGCCCGTGCGTACCCGTCTGCTTCGGCACCAAATGTATGGCACGTAGCAGTGGGTGATAGGAAGCCCGCCCTCGACGTTCCCAGGCATTGATCCGGCGACATGATCAGGTTGGCGCCTGCAACGATGGCTCCGTCGCACTCGCCGCCAAGCAAGGCCTGGACGGCATTGTGGAGGCAGTACAGAGACGACGAGCATGCCGTATCCAGGACCTGGCTGGGCCCTTGTAGGTCGAACACGTAGCTGACACGATTTGCCAGCAGACTGGTCCCAACCCCAACGGCCGTGTACCGCCCGATTGTGTCCGGGTCTTTCAACTGCATTGTCGCGTGATCGACCGTGAAGTTGCCGACATAGACTCCCGTGTTGCTGCCCGCCATGTCATGCAGCGTAGCCCCAGCGTGTTCGAAGCACTCGTAGACTACCTCGAGCAGCTTCCGCTGCTGAGGATCCAGCCCTGCCGCCTCGAGGTTGTGGACACCGCCCAGGCCGCCAAAGAAGCCCGCATCGTACTGTCGCACATCCTCTTGGAGAAAATATCCGCCTGGGACATTCATGACCCCGGCACGATTGGCATCGGGATGATACCAGCCCGAAAGGTCGAAACGGGACTGCGGTACTGGGCCACTGTAGCACTGTTTGTTCAACAGAGTGTCCCAGAGCTTAGACGGCGAGTCGACGCCCCCTGGTAGGCGGCATGCTGAAATGGAAGAAACGTATGAGCTTCGAAAACAACACAAACGCAAAGCAAGGGAGAGATGCCAGTATTATTGATTGGTTCTCCATTCATGAAAAGACACGTACCCATTCCTACTATACACACAGGGTCGTCGTCATTGTTTTGGATATGAGGTTCTGGCTCACGGTTGTTCATCTTGGATGAACTCATCGTGGTTCCGTTCTGCAGGTCTCCAACCTCATCGTTCTTTGTCCCTTCATGGACTGCAACGTATTTTAATCCCATGACGAATACATAGGAGGCATGAGATCTGAATGTGTGAGGAGAAATGAAGAAGAGGAGGAGGAGGAGGAGGAGGAGGCAGAACAACAAGAAGAAGAACAAGAAGATGGAGGGCGGGGAAGGGAAATGAAGAGAACAGTGATTGAACTGATTGCCAACGATATAAAAGTAATAGTAGCGGCCGCCGTTGCGCATTTTCTGTAGTGTTCTGGTTCTGAGCAATCATATTGAATATTTGATTATCGAGATATTATTCACATGGCGAGTTCTACAGGGTTCCTTTAAGCATATCACACAGCATAAAGAGTCAGGGATCCATTGTGTTGACGAAGTGGCGCAACTCATATCACATGCACCTCAAAGTACTCTCTACATTAGCCCTTCTTCCAAAAGTAATACAAGTACACCACTCAGTACATGACATGCTCTAGTACATGTACTATGTAGTAATAGTGGGCTGCATCTTGATATGTCTTGCAACATCCGTGAAGAAGATGGAGAAAGAAGAAAAAAAGACAGCGTCGCATCCAAGCGGCACCGTTATCCATGAGCTAATGACGAAGGAACCGACATGCACCAACTAAGCCCCTCCACCTGCCCCTCCCCCCACACCAACCACCCAATCGTTGCGGCGTTTCCACGGAGGACGTTCCTCTTGTGTAGAATTAAACAAGTATCCGCAATTCATGTCAGCTTGTAAGCGTCGCTAGAACTCAAAGCAAGGTTTAGTACTGTGGCCGTGTGCTTGCGTGTGCCTGCGTGTGCTTGCTCTCGGCGTGGAATCCTTCACCGCGGCTGAATGGATGTCCGGCTACTTGCCTGTCATCAATTAATAATAATGAACAAATTCGTTGCTGTCTTTTTTCGGTTTCCTTGGCCCCAAAACGCAATTATGCCCAGACGCAGCCTCTGCCTCGGCTACGAGTGTGAGTGATCGTTCATACACAACGCTGGCGGCTACGAAAAATGGCTCAGAGAAAGAAGTTTGCTCTTGTGACGGGGTACGTGCTTGGCTTTTGTGGTTGATTATGCCCTTTATCAATGTCATCTGTGCTAATAGAAGAGAGTTCAAGCTGTGGCCAGGGAGGCATCGGGGAAGCACTGGTGAAAGAGTACCAAACGCATGGCATCTCCGCCATTGCCACTGTCCTCCCATCCGAGTCGAGAGTGCATCTGACCGAAGCTGGCATCACTTGCTTCTCGCTCGATGTTACCAAGGAAGAGTCTGTAAAAGAACTCAAAAAGATTGTGGCCGCTATCACGGGCGGTCATCTCGACATTCTTGTCAACAATGCGTTTGTAGCCTCCAGGCAACTGAAGCTCTCGAATCAAACATACAAGCTAATCATTGACATAATGACCCGAAATGTAGAGGCATAGGTGAGCAGCCCTCTCCTTCACCTGGCTCAAGATTGGTTTTTTCCCTTCCTTTCGTTGTTCCCTTCTCTTCTGACAAATGACCGACCGCTTTTCCAGCGTACACAATGACAGCCATCGACACAGATGTCAAAGAGGTTCAGTATATGTTTGACGTCAACATCTTTGGTCCCATGAGAATGGTCCGCTGGTTCCATGACATGCTTATCAAGTCCTCTGGCACTATCGTCAATATTGGATCGGTCGCCGGCATTTCTCCCTATGTCTATGGATGTGAGTCTTATTTCCTGCTGCTTCGCCATGCTAAACCATATCGGGTCCGAACTGACAAGCCGGCGTGTCAGCTTCGTATAATGCCACTAAGGCAGCGCTCCACCACTGGTCGAACACTCTCCGGGTGGAGATGGCGCCATTGAAGTAAGGAACTCGAATCACTGCTGCGCTGCTGTGATAAACTTTGCAAGTATATCTCTGCTAACGCCAGGATTCCTTTTTCTTCTGTGTGAATAGTGTCAAAGTCTTGACGGTAAGTGAGGCAAATATAGTCGTTTCTGGACAAAATTCAATACAGCTGCTGACTGATGACCACACAATGAAAGATTATATCTGGCGAAATCGGAACAAATATTCTGAAAAGAGACACGTCGAGAGAGCTTCCCGAAGGTGTGTACAGCTCTATGAGTAGCAATAGAATCTACCTGCACTTGGGCATTGTTGCTGACTCTGAAATATCACAGGCTCCTACTTTGCCCCACTTTCGGAAGAGTTCAAAAAACACGTACAGAGGATTCCAAGTAGGGTACCCGCCCAAGGTCTCGTGATAAATTCATTTTTCGCTCAGTATATTGATACATCTCTCAAAGACACTACAAACCGATTCGACTACGCCAGCAAAGTTGTTGCCGAGAGTATCAAATCACAGCCTACAACCTGGTTTTGGTATGGGAAAACTACGCTTATTGTCCGTTTCTTGGACACTTTCCTTTGGAGGAGGGTCTGGGTATGTGCCCCTCGTAGTCTTTCTATTGTATCGCAATGTCTCTGTCAAAAGTCAGTCAGATTAATAGCTTCTAGGACTACATGTTTTGGAACACGTTCAATTTTGCAAAACTGCAACGCGTTTCTCTCGAGGCCAGAAAAAAGATTGATTGATAATGAATCTGAAATTGGTGAATTTCTGTTCAACTGTCTACCGTTCGTTGAGAACTCAAGTTTTTATGTTCAAAACAAGAGTCTCTAGTCTTCAGCTACATACATATTGTATACAATTTTGTTGATTGAAAGTCCTCTTTCCGCTATATTCTGTCACCAAATCTGATAATGTAGATGATGCACCCATGTGAAGCTTTATAGAATGTTGGCAATTGTCGTAAATACTTGTCTATTTAAGTGTCGACTCAGGACTTCAACGTCCCTGATAGTATGGAGCCAGATCACCCAAATCCTCCACTGCCTCCTGGCCGTTAATAATGATAGGCTTGCAGTCAAGCAAAACCCACAACATGCGGCCTGGCAGAGTACCGTTGCCAGTCAGATTTCGCCAAGCATGCATAGCCCCACGGTTCACGCAAAAATCGCCCTGGCGCATAACACGTTTCTCTCCAGAGTCCAAAGTCAATTCAAACTCGCCCTCGATGACAACACCGTAGTCCAGAGAAATTGCTCGGTGAAGAGGAGAGGAGACCTTCAACACGTCAGATTCACGTCAGATTGATTTGAGTGTTTAAATGACTGGATGCTTTACTTACCCCCGGGCCAAAATCTACCATTCGCACAACGGTACCATTGTGGTAGTGAAGAGGAGGCTATTTGGATGTCAGGACACCTCATGCAGAGGAAACAAGCAAAGGATCAAGATAGTGGGAGAAGAGGCTCTGTGATTATGCATCATGATTTATAATTACCTCTGCACCCTTTGCTTTGGCAACGTCAATATCCCCTCCCATGTCCACTGGGGACTCCTGGGTAGAGTACAGGATATTGGCGATGGCCTCTTCTTCACCCATGACGCGATGATGGTCGCCGCAGTCTGTGGAGAGGAAAATGCCCTTCCCTTCGGTGTTGTGGCCTGTAATGTACCGCACCGTCCGGCGAAGGCCTGCGGCCGGGAAGCCATGCGTAACGTACCCGACGCCCAGGCCGGTCTTTTCTTGTTTCGCGGGCTCAGGAGTGGCAGCCATTGTGGTATAATGTTGTGATCAATGTGTGTGTGTGAGAGAGAGAGAACAAGCAGAAACAGAGGAGGCAGGACTGGTCCCAAGAACACGAAGCCAGGCGAAGTTGGCTGAGAGAGAAGATTGGCCCCCTAGGACCAATGTCACAACAAGAATAGTTTGCCACATCTAATTATCCCCGGAAGCCAAATGTGCTCACCCCTCCCTTTCCTTTCTTTTCCATTTCCATCTCCCCTCTCCCTCCAGCCCCCAAATTGGCTCAGAACATAGAATCAAAAGTCAAAGTACTTGTGGGGACCGATCCTTTCGAGGCCAAGCCCGTGATCACGACCTGCATCTCTGATAGAGCAAAGGAGCACCCACAATCGAGGGTACAATGGTACACATTCACATCATGACCAGCGTACACAGTACTTCTGATCTTGATTGTTACTAGTGGCCTAGATCCCAAAGTTTGCCTTCTCGCGTAATATTTTAAACCCTAGTAAATTTATGCTGGGGCCACCGATTGCAGCAACGCGTGCTGAGATAATACGCACTATACAGAGGAAATGAGCCAGCGAACTGCATATCTTGCCGAAGGATTCAATAATACTACAGTGGTCGGGCTTGATTAGGGCTCCGTTGGGGATCAATAGGCTTATCACTACATACATTGTGTGATGACTTCGTCAGCACCTTCTGGGCACTAATTTGAAATCCTTCCGAAGTGGAAGCGTAGGCCATGACCGCCAACCAGAACCCTTCATCAAATGCAGTCAGCAGCATTTAGCATTGTTCTCACGGAGCGTTGTGCCAAGACTGCGCTTAAGCCCACTGTTTCCTCCAATCCCCACCCCCCACTTCACCCCCACCCCGTCTCACCCCGTCCCCACTCCTCGCTAGCCAACGAGCCCCGAACCTTGTCCAATCAGGCGCTCAACGGACTCAACATCGTGCCGCCATCCATGACCAAGGCGGAGCCCGTCATGTAGCTGGATTTAGGGCTGCAGAGAAACAAAACGGCGTCGGCAACCTCGTCAGTCAATGCCATGCGGCCCATCGGCACAGCAGCCTTGATCGCATTGCCGAGCCCTGGCACCTGATCTACCGCTCGCTGTACCATTGGAGTGTTGACCCAAGAGGGGCACAGGCAGTTAACTCTGATGCCGTACTTGGCATTATCGAGAGCTATGAGTAGGCGAGGAGTTATGGTTAGCATTGGGTTTTTCTCTTGTTCCTCTTTTAGGGTTCAACCGCAGGAGCAAACATACCGGCATTCCTAACCAGCCCCAGCACCGCATGCTTGGACGCTGTATATTGTACCATCCGAGGCTGGGCTCCAAACGACGCAGCCGAGCCCATCAAGACAATGGCCCCACGCGTCATACCACGTCCTGGGGACGCAGTATCGATCTGTCTCGGCTCTTGGGCCTTCATAAGCGCCGAGATATGCTGCGTAATGCGGAAGCTGCCCGTGACATTCACATCCATGAATCGGCTGAAGTCAGCCACGGACGCCTCAGCAATCTCAAGTGCGACCTCGATCCCAATCTGCATTTGGAGAGAGTCAGCATCTCATAGCATCTGCCAAAATAGAAATGGAAAAAATGGACAGAAAGGGAGAGGGGCTTGCTCATAGCAGTAAACGCCGCCGCCCTGCGTTACACTCACTCCTGCGCTATTGACACAATAATCGATGCGTCCGAATTTCTGCAAGGCGTTCTGCACCATCAAGCTGACGGATTCCTCTGACGTTACATCGACATGAAGGGCCTCGGCGTCAAATGTACCCGCATCTCTAGCCGCCGTCTTGCACAGCTCGACCACTGCCTGGGCCGCTCCGATATTGATGTCGGCTACCAGGACACCCGAGGCACCCTCTCTGGCGAAAGCAATGGCGCATTCCTTCCCGATGCCACTGCCTGATAATGATAATAGTGGATGATGCATGTCAGCACTGGTTTGACTGGGATGTAATCGCCGCGGGGTGGGGCAGGCAATGAAAAAACTGACCTCCACCGACAATTAGGGCATATCCTTCGATCTTCATGTTGGATCCAGCCACTTGTCGGCTATTTACTAGCAGATACGTATTTGGGCTGTATACGCACTTATACTTTGGGGGCCAAAACGGGGGCCAAGAAACGGGGGCCAAGAAACGGGGGCCAAAAAATGGAGGCCAAAAAACGGGGACGTCGTCAAGTTGTCGTTGTTTGGGCTTGATCGTGTGCGAATGCGAGTTCAGAGAGGAATTCGTACAATTTATAGCCAAATGGGGCAGGACGGGCTTCTATGTACACGCACGTGAAAGGAACAGTTGAGTAGATAGTCCAATCCAGGATCCCATGACAAGCATTATTCAAATATCAGAATGTATTTGCTTGTAATGGGGTTTCATGGTGTTCGAGTTTTTTTTTTTTTTTTTTAGTTTTTTTTTTTGGTTTATAAGAATATAATTAGTCGAACCGCTCCATCTCACTTAATGAACATTTACGATTGCGCTTTGATGTATCGGCAATGATTGACTTTATAATGTTGGTAACAATGATGTACAAAGACCGTCACTCGTCACAAACAAATAAATTCAGACACACTCGAGATTATAAAATATGATTAGTTGTTATTATTTAAATAGACACTAATTACAACAACACATAGTCTACTTGGCCAAGGCTAAAGTTGACCGTGTACAGTGCTACTAGGGGTACGATGCGGGAATAGGATTGTAGTAGGAAAAGACATGATCAGGATCCCACTCAGCCTTCAGAGCTACCAGTTGAGGCAGTTTCTCTTGGCTGTACCACGCCTCAGGCGACTCATCCCCGTTCGCATAATTGACGTAGCAAGCGAGGCTGTCGTACCCCGATGTCGCAACGAGTATGTCTCGAAGTTCAGGGCCAAGATCAGCCACAGCCTCCTGCGCGCCGCTGTTTGGGTCTTCCCAGTTGAAGACGAAGGCACTGCAGTTCAAGAAAAAGTTCAAATGTTAGCAACGAGTGATGACTTGGGCATAGCGAACACAAAGAGATAAAAGACAAACGTACACATGACCCAAGGCGTCCCTCCAAGGATACGCCGTGCTGTTGTGGGGAACGGCGTTTTGTGCTATGTTGGAAAACGTCTCGACCTGAATCGTACTTCCACGCGTGTCGGGGATGGTGTTGTAGAGGTTTGTCAGCTTCTCGAATACGGTTTGATAGGTCGAGGCCGAGTAGTTGCGAAAAGTGACACCAAAGTAGTCGATCGTCTGGTTCTTTTGGCAAAGAGCTGCGTTGATCTCGCCAAAGCCCTGCGCCGATAGGATCTCATTCCAGGGAACCATAGTGGTCGAGATGGTGGTAGGGTTCAGGGCGTATACCGGAGCCAGCAACTCCCGACCCTCTTCTTCAGAACCCATGAAGACCCAGTCACCCAAGACATGAGGCTGATAAATTCATAGCGTCAGTACCATCATTATACCAAGTTGGAGCTGTCGTGCAAGCTCAAGACAAAAGAAAAAGCGCGCACTCACCTGGTTTGTTGTGGTGTCCCAGCCCATAGAGGTGATTTGAGCCAGATTTGCAGGCAGTGACCCGTTGGCTTGGTAAGATTCGACCAGTTCAAAGTAGGCCAAGCTCATGTTGGGCGGCAACAAGAGATCTAAAAGCATGACCTCTCCACGGTCTTCTGGGCTGTCGGCGATCCTTTGCAGCTGGTATGTGGCAGATGTGACGATGCCAAAATTGTGGCCGGCACCACGGATGGCCCAGAACAGGTCTGGATAGGAAGTATTGGAGACGTGCAACAGCCGCCCGTCGGCCGTGACGAAATTGACCGACAGCAGAGCATCGATTGTCAGGCCATATTTCCCCGTGTAACGACCAATGCCGCCTCCAAGGGTTATGCCCAACACTCCTGGACACGAACAAGTGCTTTCCTCTGGAAAAAAGGTTCTCTCATCAGTTCTTGCTCTTCTGTAATAGATGATCTGTGTGTTGAGGAGGGTTGGTTGTTGCTGGACAACTTACGCATCTCGAATCCGGCATCGTATATGGGATCCAGGATGTCATTTACAATAACACCGGCACCAATGGTCAATGTAGCGTTGGTGTCATCAACCTCCACTGTATCGAGTTGACTCAGGTCGATCTCCAGGCCCTGATCCAGTGCTTCCAGAGTGGTGGTGAAGCCATGCCGGCCCCCAGTCGCCAAGAAGGGCAAATTGTTCTGCCTGGCGAGCTGTACGACCTGGGCCACGTCGGCCTCGGTCGCGGGGCGGATGGCTCCAGCGAACGACGGAGCATCAAAGAGAGTCCATCTCTCCGTTAGGTTGGCAAAGCTGGTGTCGTTGGGGAGCACCAGTACCGTATTGACGTCCCATTGATAAGAACTTTGGTCGAAAATGGCACTGAGATTGGCAGCAGTGGTACCAGCAGCAGCGGCAGCGACTTGAAGGAGGCTGAGCCAAGACCAAACTATCCCTGTCAACTGCATTTTTGCGTTAGACCTGAGACTCCAGACGTCGCAAAGAGATTGTTCAGGAAGGGGGTTTTTTCTGCTGCTTCTTCTCTCTCTCTCTCTCTTTCTCTCTCTCTCTCTGTATGTCTCTCTTTTTTCTCCCTTTCTCTTCTGATTAGTGACCAAGTGGCTCCCTAGCTTTCACTTATAAGGCTCACATTTCGATACGTGGGGAATCCCCCAGATCATCAAATTTCACCTTGTAAGACCGCCATTAGACAAGGGGTTAGGGGCGGTCAGCCCAGCCAGCAGGATTCAATCGGTCAGAATTTTATTTAGAAAGAGATACTTCCCTATGCAAATTAGATCCGCAAATTTTCCCTCTCGCACAACTTTGTTGTTGCCTAGTACGAATAGCATGAACGGACTACCAGCCTCACTCCACACCACGCGCATGGTCTCCGTTTCCTCCGTCTCCCTCTCCTTGATGATATTACGCGGGTATACTATGTATAAAATTGAATCCCGTGACTAGCTGAGATTGTACTATAGTACAGAGTAATCACAAGTAGCGCAGGAGCGGCGGGTCTGAGCCAAATCCTTCTGCGGAACCGTCCATTGCCGTGGATCCGCTATCGTGCATGTCTTTTAGCTCGACGTTGGTTCCAACGGTACTAGCCCTGTTCAGTCAGAAAGGTACCATGGACTTTGGAACTGGAAAACGCCCCCTGTCCCAAATCACTTGGCTGTACCAAGTATCGCTTTGGCCCCCAAGTTGCATGCTCAGGGTTTACGACGCGATGCAGCACCGCCTAGACCACAACATGCTGTACCACTGGACTAGATTCCAATGGTTGACATGTCGGTGTATATTTTGGGCGCGTTCCCCGGACACGTAGCAGCATGCATGGGTTTATTCTAGCATAATCTCAGCCGCTTCCGAACCCCGCCTACCCCATTCAAACATTTTGATTCCCCTCTTCTTTTCCCATTGATGCTTTGGAGCAGAGCAGACCTATGAAGAAGAGAACAAACGAGAGATAAAACAAAAGTAGCAGAGAAAAGGAAAAGAAACAGAAAAGAGAGCAAATCGAAAAACCCAAACAGAGCTGCCCCCTTCCTTCACCTGTTCAATCATCCCCCAAAGGTCCTCATTCTCATCCTCAACTCTCTCAAGAGGGCTCTTTATTACGAGTAATACCCGTCTGCGCTCAACAAAGAGACTGGTTTGACAAGAGCTTCCTTAAGGATCTCCCGTCTCCGCTTTCAGTCTGCTGTGTTGTAAACGCTATCACCTGATTGTTTTTCTCTTCCACACCACTCTTTCCCCCTAATTTTTTACCAACACCAAAAGAAACATGGCGCAGTCTAAGTATGACTATACTCCCGAGAAATTCGCGACCTTTCCTCAGTGGGCGCGGAGGCAGTTGTTCGAACATCCCCGCCCTGTGACCGGTGTCGACCTGTCGGGCAAGACAGCCATCGTCACAGGTGCCAACCAAGGCATCGGCTTTGAGATTGCCGATCAGCTCATCACCCTGAACATCAGCAAGCTCATCATCGGCGCCCGCGATGAAGCCAAGGGCCAGGCGGCTGCCGACAAGCTGAAGGCCCAGCACAAGAGCGCGAAGACCGACATTGAGGTCTGGAAGCTGGACATGCTCGAGTACGACAGCGTCACCAGCTTTGCCACGCGCGCGAGCCAGCTAGAGCACCTCGACCTCGTCATCCTCAATGCTGGCATCTACAGGATCAAGTTGACCATCAACCCCTCCACCGGCAATGAGGAAGACATACAGACCAACTACCTCTCCACCGTCCTGCTGACAGTGCTGCTCCTGCCCACCTTGCAGGCCAAGAAGCGCTCGCCTGAGTCGCCGGGTCGCCTGACCATCGTCTCGTCCGACACGGCCGGCATGACCCACTTTGTCGAGCGTGACGCAGACCCGCTGCTGGGCGCCCTTAAGGACACCAGCGGCAAGTGGAAGTGGGACATGCAGGAGCGCTATGGCACGTCCAAGCTGCTGGGCCAGCTGTTCCTCACCGAGCTGGCCAAGCGCGTCCCAACCTCGGTCGCCATCATCAATGCCGGCTCGCCCGGGCTCTGCGCCGGCTCTGGCCTGTCCCGCGATGCTGCCGGCACCTTTTTGCGCTTCCCCCTGGCCATCTACTTTGGCATCTTTGGACGCAAGTCCGCCGTCGGTGCCCATGTCGTCCTCGACGCCGCTCTCAAGAAGGGCGAGGAATCACACGGTGAAGTCATTGACTTTGACAAGATCAGGCCGTACGTTCCTTGTCTTCTTCTTCTTTCCCCCACCCCACCCCACCCCCAATCATATTATATTTCTTGTTATGATGGCGCGGCAGATCTCGCTAACAAGGCATCCTGATTCTAGAAAGGGCCCGTTTGCGTATTCGCCCAAGGCTCAAGAGGTGACGGAGCGTTTGTGGAGAGAAACCATGCAAGAACTCGCCTTTGCCGATGTTCAGACCATTGTCCAGAACCTCAGCGCCAAATAGCCTCGTGACTGATAGGACCGTCAGGCTTCTGGTTTGTGTGGAAAAGTTAAGGCACATGATATGTAATTATTTACGACGACTGGTTTGCAGAGCTGCAAGCATGCTGCTTATAGTTATGGAGTAGAAAGTTTGCCAACATTAATCTTCACTTGATATCAAAACTCGCTCCTTCTTGTGGGCCGTCGCTTGTTAGAAAACTTATGAAATGATGTATTGGTCCCTGGCGCAAGCTTGGATGCGATTCAAAAGCGTAACTGAACTTACAGTTACTGCGTTGCAGTAAGTCCGATTTTCTGAGCGAAAAAGGATTTTCAAAAGTGGGCTCAAAGAAATATATCTCGCGATGCGTATTACTATTGTCAAGGGCAGACAAACAAAGTCTCTGAAAAGTATGCATACATTCCTAGAAATCTACTCTCATAATCTCTACTTGGCAGTTTTGATTGTATCGTTGCAACAGCTTCCTAGAAGCCATCTTTCCACCTCGCTAAAAGAGTCAGTACTTAAATTATGGACACACAATGGCAGCATCCTGGCTTGATCCAACTCGGCATCCTCAAAGTCCAAGTGCAGAAGCACCAGCTTAGAAAACTGTCTCCCTCATTACTTATGTGAAGAGTGTTCACCAGCTGATTCTACACCACTCTAGGCATGTCTGGCGGCATTCCCTTCCACTGCAAATTCTCGTCGAGGAATTCCTCAGCCGCCTGGTTCCACTCTGCGCGAATCTGCCGCGCTTTATCAGCAGTCCTGGGGGCAATATTGGCCGGAAAGGGAGCAGGCATGACAAACAGGCCAAACTGTAAGTTTTCCTTGTCTGGGACGATCTCAAGTCCGGTCTTGTCGTCAATAGCCCGATTAAAGTCAAACGCCCATAAGAGGCGCGACATGACCAGGAAGAGATTTTGGTCGACCAAGTTCATGGCCAGGCACATGCGACGGCCGAAGCCGAAGCCAAAGTGGTCCCGCTTGCCCACCTCCTCATTGGTAGCTGACTCGTACGAAGTGGAATCGTCGTTGGCCCAGCGTCCCGGATCGAACCTGCGCGGATCAGGGTACCGCTTTGGGTCGTTATGGAGGGCCCTGGGGTGGGAAAAAGGGCTCGGTCAGTATTGTATTTGCACTGAAAGGTACTACGGATCAAATAAAACTCTTTCAAAGGGGGGTGGGGGGAGCGAGGAGAGACAGAAAAGAAGGAGGGGCGGTCGGGGTGTGTGAGGCTTACCAAACATTGTAGATGATGGTCGTCTTTTTGGGAATCCTGTATCCTGCATACAGTTCCTCTTCATCGGCCGAGTGAGGGACGCCCAAGATGGTTGTCGGCATCCAGCGTAGACTCTCCTTGATGCAGCCGCGAATGTATTTGAGGTCATTCCAGTCCTCGATACGAGGCATGCGATCACCACATACGCGGTCGATCTCGGCCTGGGCGGTCTTGGCCACTTCGGGGAAGATCACCATGGCCTGGACGAACCCAGTGATGGTGGCCAAGGTCGTTTCCATCGCCGCTTGAAGGAGTGAGCCCGAATAGTAGGCCATGAGTTCGGGCGACACTTGCTCCTGCTCCTTCTTCTGTACTTCGATGAACATGACAGTAGCACACGGCTATCCCCGTCGTCAGTAGCAGCTCCAATATGAACTAAGGTGTTGTAATGATAGATGTGCTCTTACCTCGGTAGTGCCTGCCCGCATCTGAGTCTCTACATCTTGATACAAATCCACAAATAGCTTCTTTTCCTGCTGGTGAAGCTCCCACCCACGCTTTCGGCCGGGCAGGCAGAAATCCGGCAGCCGCCTTAGAAGGGGAAAGATATTCAGGATATGCGCTGTCTATTTTGGGGTCAGTGACAAGGAACGAAACAGGCATCCAAGTAGTCACTATGTGTGCATGCTGTGTGAGACATGAGTGTAACCTACGGGGGTGGCAGAAACCTTGGAGAACTCTTCAAAATGCTAATTAACGGAGCAAATGTGGGAGGAACTCGAAGTCAGCAAAAGACCCAAATGAGCTGCAAGCATCAGATGTGGTCAGAATACGCACGTAAACAATCTTCTTCACTAATGGGTGATCATGGGTCGGCGTTCGGAAACCGTAAGTAATCTGGGTGGAAAATGAAAGAGAAAAGCGTTGCAGATGGGTCATGAAATCCTCAGGCTTCTCCAAGAGACCCAAGAGCAACGCTTTGCCCTCCAAATACTGGTATGACAGGTATGTTTTCCTGACGACATCCTCAGCCAGTACTCTGCGTGCAAGCTTCCGTGCAAGCTTGAGATGCCATGAATATTTCTGTAGAAAAAAATAATTAAGCCAAAGAAACTCATCACATAAATCGGACATTTCTCTGTCTCTTTGTTGATTCGTTTTTCTTCACGATGACGGTGACCAAAAGAAGCTAGCCTGCTACAGCTTGTTTCCAGAGACCAACTGTGTGAACCTTTGGGGATATAAAAAGCAGGACATGATGAACAAGTACTTACCATGAAGATAACGCGCAGGCCGCCACTGAGGACGTCATGAGCCATGTAGTGATCTGGACGGGATGAGAAGTTGGTGCCACGCTTGACAAGTAGATCTCTGATCTGTCGCTCTTCGGAGAGGACAATGGCGGGCTCGTTTGGCCCCAGCATGAGAGTGTACATTGGTCCATATTCTTCTGCCCATTTCAGCATCTGCTTGTGGCCCGTCTCCAAGCTCAGCTGGTGAAGATTGCCGAGAATGGGTTTCGTTGGCGGTCCTGGGGGGAGGCCTTTGGGAGGACGACCAAGTTGCCTAACACGGTGGACGAGCCAGAACAGCCCACCAAAAAGGGCCACGTAGAAGAGGAGAGTGACATTCAACATTGTGACAGGTATGGTTGCAGATTCCAACGTAAGAAAACTGCTCGGTAGAAGGGGAAGATACGAGAAATAATTGGCAGAAGACTGACAGATGGATGTCGTGAGCAGTTTGCAGAAGGTCACTAGTACATATATGATCTCTTTTCCTACTTGTTGTACAAATAATAGGGGGTGGGTTGACCACTACTACTATAGCGTCGTCAACCTGACCTAAGTTAATTTTGAGAAAGCCTTTATCACTGTGAGAAAAGCCAATGCCGCCGCTGGACCGACTGTTCCATGGATGACAAAATCCTCCATTACCAGTATCTTACGATTCACGATTGGTGATTTCCCCTTTGAAACACTAATGCAAGTTCCGGGCCAGAAGAAAATAAAAGAGAGACATAAAAAAAATAATAGAAAAAAGGATTCCTCGCAGTGGAGAATGTCCCCATCATGAGGGCGGCTGAGAGTGAGACTTGGGCACTGCGGATGTTTCTTTGGATGTACCATCGTAGGAGACCTTGTGGACTGCTACATTGACTGCTACCGGTGCTCATTGCCCTCCAAGGAAGGTGGTCTCGGGTCGGACCCACCATCTCGCATAGACCTGTGAGGCCAATAGACCAGTGGGTCGCTTGTATGTAGGGCTGACAACTGAGAAAACCCAAAAATACTTCCTGAGGAAGTCCAGGAGACTTTCGGCTGACCTCCCATGCGGGTCTGTCTTCTGCCCCGCCAATGAGGAGGGATCTCAACTGACCATCACTCACTCTGGGAGATGGTAGGATTTTAGCAAGCACCCTGTAGACAAGCTTTTTCTCAGCCCCGAACCTAACCTGGGCTGCCAAACTGGCAGCCTAGGTTGCGTGATCACATCTCGGTAAATATGTATGTATTGGATGACAGGCATAATAAGCTGAGAAAGCTATATAGTACATAGCAGTGCTCGTGAGAACGTCACAGCTATTACCCTGGGACCTAATTAAGTACTATTGTAATAAATATATTTGCTTTATACTGCTTTAATGAATATTTCATGAGGAAAACATGGAAGTAATATAATACGTCTCCTATCCTTGACTTCAAGTGGTGATTACTGCACAATTCACCAAGGCTTTGGTAAAATCGCAAAGTTCAATACTATGCGAAAACATCAAGTTGAAACAATCACAGTATTATACGTTAGAGCAAAGAATTTGGACAACTGTAACAACTTGAAGAAAGAACCAAGCTGAATATTGAGACAAAGAGGAGGGGGAGGGGAAAGGTGAAGACTTGTGTGTATGTTACGACGAGCAGTCAAAAAAAGGGAAGAGTGAGGGACTGATTTAGTTGTACTGTGTACCGCGCTACGAGTGCACGTGGGTATTCAGTTGTACCGCGGTACGAATGCACGTAGGGACTTAATCACACCGTGCCATCCATCTGTTGAACCTTGCATCTGACCTTGCATACAGACGAGATCCAACGTGCATATTGCGATAACTTACCAAGTATCGCTACATTCCTCCGAAGACCTGAACGTAACAGATAGCACTGAGCCAATGTGGGGGACAAAAGGAGAGGTTGGACAAAGTCCTATGTGGGGAAAACCGGACCTGTTGTCCCAAAGCAAACGCTTCCAGATACTACATAGTACTGACCCCATACATTTCTTGTCGTTGATGTTATCGTAAAGTTTGAATCCTGCCAAACCATCGAATTGGCCAAGAGAACAAAATACATACGCATGTATTTATTTGGCTCAGTACTTACTTCAATGTACATGCCATAAGTAGGTAGGTTATCGTAGTAGGATCGGGCACATCCTTGCTGTCTTACCACACCTCAGTGAAAACGAACATAGTAAGCTGCCTGGCTGCTACCTAACTATTTTGCTCACTAAGAATAGGTACCCAGTACCCCACTGGAACAACAAGGTTGCGAATCCTGAGAATCCTGCATTGGACCATGCCATCCTACTTCCATCGTGCAGCCTCATGCTATGATTGCTTGGTCACGAGGCGCATTCTTTCGCCTGCAGCTGCAAATCGCTGGACAATCTGCATGACAGCAGTGAGATAGCTTAGTGTGTTGTCATTCAAAACCAACATCATCAGCCCGAGCTGCTTCTACGTCTCGATACTGTCATCACTCGTCCCCTCATCAATTTCTTGGGTTTTTTTTTTTTTTTGTGATCACACTCCCTTGTCTTCAATATGGCTTCCTCGGTCGATCCGTCGACCCTAACTCCGGAATATGTGGCCACGAATGAGGCGCCCGAAGTGCTCCGAATTCTGACCGTCATGACTGCTATTTCTACTCTCTTTTGCGGGTTGCGCATCGCAACTCGCTACCACCGGTCTGTCGAGAGCATAGGTCTCGACGACTGGCTTTTGGTTGCTGCCGTTGTTAGTACTACCCGGCCTCTTTAAGTCTCCAAGTCGCTCCTTGTCACCATGGCAAAGAAACCACTGCTAGTGATTCAGAACTAACTCGGCTCGCCGTGTTTGTAGGTCTTCAATTGGGTTCTTTACGGATTCGCTGTCAACCTGCTCATCATAAATGGCGGTATCGGAAGGCACTTGATTGTGGTGGAGGAGGAGAACCCGATGCTGTTCCAGAACGTGTTACTTGTGAGAACTTCCCCCGCAGACCCCTCCCCCATTTCAGCTCTGGAATGTCTGATCGAGACAATGCTACTTCAATCATCTTTGGAATACCCTACACAGGTGAAGAACTATCAGAACACGGCGAGGCTAACTACCATATGTATAGGGTCTCTATGTAGGCGGATTTATCTATCCGACCGTTATTGCGACGATCAAGGCCAGCGTCCTGGCCATGTACTATCGCATCTTCCCCACCAAATTCATCAAAACGGGCGTCATCTGCCTGGGAGTCTTCACAGCCGCCTGGTGGGTTGCCGTCGTGCTGGTGACCATCTTCCAATGCAACCCCATCTCCGCAGCCTGGGTTCTCGAGCTACAGCCCTCTGTAAACCCTACCTCCAAGTGCATCAACAACAACGCCTTTTTCATTGGAAATGCCGTGCCGAACATCTTCACAGACCTGTGTATCATGTTGCTCCCCCTGCGAGAGGTCTACAAGCTGCATATCAGGACATCACAGAAGATTGCACTGGGTGGTGTTTTTCTGCTGGGCATCATGGTTATCGTGAGCAGCACTCTCAAGCTCAATGTGACTGTGCAGCTGTTCAGCGAGGAACATGCCGACTATACTTGTAAGTTGTTTTCTCGCCGCCACGCCGCCACGCCGCCACGCTTCCCCCCTCCCCCCCCCCCGGGGGGTTTTTTTTCTTGTCTTTTCTTTTGCTTCTCGTGACCATTGTTTCACCGTTGCGTTGCATCATCGTGTTCATAGCTAGTGCTCGTACTAATACCAACATGTTCTAGACGGTCTGAAGGACTTCATTATCTGGGCTATGGTTGAGACCGCCGTGGGCATTATCTCTGCTTCGTTGCCTCCACTCCGCCCTCTCCTCAATGCAGGACTACGCACACTCGGAATTTCTCGAAACACCTCCAAGAACCGGAGTGGCAGGACAGACCTTGTGACTATCGGCGGTGGTAGCGCCAAGAAGTCGTCCAAGAGCAATGGCAGCACTCTCGTCAACACTCTACCGGGCGCCGACGACCTTGGTATGGGCTCATTCGAGCAACTTCGCGACGACCATGACTACGAACTCGGTCGCCCTGTTCATCAGTGGCCGAGGGCTTATCACTCTGGGGTAAGCACTACAGTAATTGGCTGAGACTTAGGAATGGTGTTCAGGGGTAATTTGTTTCTGAAATTGTATAACCGATATGTAGTAAAGAGTTACCAAGACCGATAACGAACATCGAAGAATTTCAAGATGTGTTTATGTTACAAGACCTCTTCGGAGTCTAGAACCAATGAAGAGAATAGATCTTCATTGTGTCAAAGTTTCTCCAAAATTTGTTGTACATTACGGGATAATTTAGCATGTGGTTTCACATGAAAAAGCATTCGAGCCCAGCGAATCATGAAAAATAAGGGAAACCAACAGCTTGGTGATGTTTGCCTCTGGTCTGGAGATTTCCCAGAACGTTTGAACGACTTCGGCCACCGCCTGTACCCTGAAATGTGGTGAAGTCCGGGATAAGGTGATTCGCGTGAACTCGTTGCTGCACTGTTCGTCACCCCATTGTTGGTCAAGGAGGGGTAGAGCGGCGATACGGCCGTAGAACTATAGTATGGAATACAACATTGTGAATCATAATACTCAGCATGTTGATCGAGTGAGCCAGGTACTTGATTCTTATGAGGCTGTCTAGAGACATGGTAACTACACTGGCCTGGCTACCTTCGCCTTTGCGGTCATACAAGACTTTCGTGCAAAACATTTGTCCATGCCCAAGAGAAATTCTCTGGAAACGAAGTGCAGAGCAGCCCGAAAAGACTTCTTCGCGTCGCCCCCCCCCCCCCCAAAAAAAACCTATCAAAAGAATGAAAAGGAGTTCCTGCAATATGCGCCTTACTGAGCTACATTGATACATTGGCCGTGCACCGGCTAATTTTCTTGGATATTCAGTCTCTTCCAAATATTGTGAATAACTATGACTGCTGTTGGAGTTTTGACAGAATGGCTTTGAAAGGCCCGAAAGAGAAGTCCGAATTAGTACGTTGAAGGTGGCGTAACAAACATAACACACAGACTGGCAATCATCTTAACATGTAGACTCACCAGATATGTGCTGCAGCTTTGCATTAGCTCGACCGGCTCTGAACACATATAAAAGTAGAGGCCGCCTGCTGTCACGCTGTCAATGGAGTGTCAACTGTGTTTACTTCTCCTAGCAACTTCCAAGCCCCCCCCCCCCCCCCAAAACCACACCCCCACAGTGTGTTCAACCACAGTGTGTTCCGCTGCCTTATAATAGCTGTCTCATCCTCCCCAGGTGTCTTGAGCGGCCAAGAATGCTTGAGTAAGAGTAGTATTTGGATCCAGAAAGCCTGAAGCTCCTTCAAATTCTATGAAATAAAGATGACAAGCAAGAGGTAAATCGTCGCCAGCAAGATGCATGGAGTTGACCCGACTCGTCCTCAACTGAGCTTTCATTGAGGCATAAGAATCGTACTAATTACAAACCCCCGAGACACTGCTAGAGTATCATACTACTTAGTGTCGTGTGTTTCGCTTCAAGGACTCTGTGATAAGAACCTTGTAGCCTTCGACTGCAGCTTCCAAATCTGAAATTTTCAGATGTTCGTGATCAGAATGAGGCACAAGGACGCTTCCCGGGCCGTAGAGATATCTCTTATGATCCCCTTTCAAGCTTGGGATATCCGTGCCATATCGTGCCACAAATGTTTCAAATCCTAGGCAAACATCAGTCTCTGCGGCAGAACAAATGTACAAGGAGGACATGCTGCTTACCATCAATATCGTAGTCGATGGGAACAGGCCCAATACCGACCCTGAAGTCGATTGTAACATGTGGTGAAACCTCGGTGACAGTTCTTCTGATCAGATCTTGTATCTCTTCTGGAGTCCCTGCTGCAATCCTGACTGTGGCTGTCGCCACTGCATCTTCAGGAATAACGTTGGAGGCCACGCCACCGTCGATCTTGCCAATGTTGATCGTTGTGTTGCCAAACCGCTCACTCCATGGAAGTTGGACATCCTGCAATGCAGCCAGACTGCGAACGAGGTGGTCAATAGCATTCCTGCCTACTTCAGGGTATCCCGAATGGCCCGCTATCCCCTTTGCTCGTATGGTTCCCCCAGTCACTCCTTTGTGGCCCCGAGCAAGCTTGAGGTCTGTAGGCTCTCCAAAGATGACCGTCTCCCAGGTCAAACCAAGGTTGTTCGCCGCTTTCATGCCAGCGCCACCGCTCTCTTCACCAACGACGAAGAGCAGGGCAACATCGCCTTCCTTGATCTGGCTTGCTTGAACAAGCGACTCGACCGCGATGATTTGGGATGCCACGCTACCCTTCGCGTCGACAGTACCACGCCCCCAAATCTCATCACCCTTTCTCTCATATGGCCAGAAAGGCGGGACCGTGTCAATATGCGACGTCACGAGAATCCGAGTATTTCTAGAGTCGCCGAGATAAGCAAAGACATTTTCTCGGTCATCCACAACAGGTTGGATCTCCACAGTAAACCCCTTCTCCTCCAGGTAGCTCTTCAGGAACGGAGATACATTGCCTTCCGAGCCAGTGATGGATGGACGCTCGACAAGAGACTTGTGTAGTTCGATTAGTGCGGAATCGGACGAAGCGGATAAAACCGAAGATGCGCCTCCCAGTGGCTGTTGGATGCCACCTGCGGCGCCGGGCGGCCAGCCGGCCAGGAACGCATAGATATGGAAAAAGCCCAGACCTTTCATCATGAAGACCGAATGCAAGTGACAGCTATGAAATTAGAGATGAAGAGCTGTTCAGAAAGGAGGCTTATCTCGACGCGGTTTGCCGAAAGTGCGCCGGATATATGACTTCGTCTAAGCGGACCGTCCGCACACACAAGACGAGAGCTACCCATGCTTTAATGCTTGTAACGTTCCAAGTTCCCCTCACCAGATATCGCCATACGACTCCACAAAAGCGACATGTTCGCCTTGGTTCTATTGTATTACAGCCAGCCGGGCGCGATCGCGCAATCCGGTCCCAAGATAATCAATTTATATCCGCCAACCAAATTCCGGGTCGGGCGATCACAAAGCTGGTTTTCCCCACGCCTTATCGAAGATTGCGATCGGCTGAAGATACTAAGGCTGTCTTGTAGAAAGATATATGAGTAGACCGAAATACAATATTCTCTCATAGCGGCCTGGGCTATGAGTGGCACCGCTTCAAATCTTCTGACTCTTGTCCAATGATCTCCAATAATATCCTGACCATGGCAAAAGAATCCGAGGGCAACCATGGCCTGACCGTTTCAACCGCTATTGAAAGCCTTGATCATCAAGGACAACTGCAAATCGTGTCTCGTGGTGATAACGCCTTGCCCGAGTATAGTGATGCTCAGGAGCCGATCATCGGCTACGATGCTGATCTCATGAGAGCCAGAGCAACGCTGAGTGCCGAGGAAGAGAAGAAACTCCTCAGACGCATAGACTGGCACTTACTGCCGCTTTTGTCTATAATGTATATGGTTAAGACCATTGATGCTGCAAATGTACGTTGGCTCTCTCCCACTCACATGTAAACGGTACACTAAAGTTCTTCTAGGTCTCCAACGCCCGAATCATGGATGAAGGAACGTCTCACAATATCCTGACGGAGCTTCATATGACCTCGAACCAATACAATTTTGTGACACTTGCTTATTATGTATGTGGTCATCGACTCTTACCTACTTTGAGCAACTGCTGAAAAAAAAAAATGGAAAGATTCCTTATATCCTCGCAGAAACGCCATCAAATCTCTTGGTAAAGCTCTTGAAGCCTTCGGTATGGCAGGCTCGAATTATGGTATGTATTCTGATCCACACGCTACGACCCATCATTGATCCGGGATTTAGATCTCCTGGGGTGTGACTCTCTGTTGCCATGCCGCTGTGACCAACGCGGGTGGCCTGTACACAGTGAGGGCCTTCCTTGGGCTGTTCGAAGCTGGCCTGTGGCCAGGTATGCTTCTGCACCTCTGTTACTGGTATCGCCCAGATGAGATGGCTCCTCGGATCGTTTTAGTTACCATACTTGGAAATTTTAGCACCGTCATCAGCGGTGTTCTGGCCTTTGCTTTTGATGGCGTAGAGGCAAGAGGACTGTCTGGCTGGAAATGGTAAGGTAGCCTGAACCCCATCTGCAAAGAGACTGTTCTAACATGGTAAACAGGATGATATTGACGGAAGGTGTCTTTACCATTTTTCTTGGGATATCTGTATACCTGTTCCTCCCTGACTGTACGTTATTCCGATCTCACAATCTCTGCAGAAAGCCACGTTGACATGTAACGACAGTTCCTTCAAACGTGACCTGGATGTCGGAGAAGGAGAAGACCTTCACAGAAGCCAGGCTCCCTATGAATGCGCCGAGAGCTGCGGAGAAAGATTTCAACTTGCGTGAATTCTTCGCGACTTTAAAAGACAAAAGACTCTGGCTGTTCCTTCTTTGCTGGGCCTTTTTTACTGTCGGCACAACTGGCCTCACATTCTACCAGCCCACGGTGATCGCCAATCTTGGATTCACGTAAGCTATGTTTGTCCTTGATATCTGCGCCAAAAGACTTACATGTATATTGTCCAGGTCGATTGCTCAAGCACAACTTCTCAACATACCGCCGGCAGTGTTTGCGTGTATTTTGACTGTGATCTTCGGCATTTTCGCGGATACGGGACGAATCCCCCAACCATCCATCCCCCTCGGATTCATGATAGTGATTGAGGCTTGCTACGTGGTGTTGTACATATTTCCCAACTCTGGGGGTGTGTACGCGGCGACGGTAATTGCCGGAGGTTTCTCCACGGCTTGGTATAGATGTCCTCACCATTTTCTTTCTCGTGACACCTGTAGGCTAACAGGATGCAGGTATACAATGATGTGGCCCTGGAGGGTCCAGACCACAGAGGGAGCGACGGGTTCGGCCTTTGCCATAGCATTTGCAAACAGCTACGGACAGATAGGCGGCGCTGTTGGCTCTCAGCTGTTCAACTCGAGATATGCTCCTAAGTACACAACGTCGTTTGGTATAGCCATGGGGTTCATTGGTATGGCCATCGTTATGAATATCATCACTTGGGGTTTCACATGGAGAGTTGATTCCGACACGAGAAAGCTTAAGAGAGCGAGAATTAGGGCTGCAAAGAAGAACCAAGCTATATTAAACGATATTAACATCCATAGTAAGGAAAGGGCTTAAAGACAACTAGTAATTGACTTTATTTCTGATCGATGACATACTGCAAGTGTGCAAATCCAACGTTTCGCTGTGATATACATCGTAGTGATACTCTGCTACCAGGTCCACACGTGCGTCGAGAGGCCCGGCTCTGAATGCCTCCTATAACAAAGAAACCAGCCAGCGAACAGGAGACGGCTAAGAAATCTAGCTGTCTCGCCTCGAATGATTTGAGCAAGAACGACATTGGTTGGTTCTAATGCCTCTGGCTTGATACTTGGTTTGCGGGGGTGCCGTCCAGTGAAACAGGTTGAGACCGGTGAAGAGACCAAATCTGACAAGAACAACCCATGAAAGTAGTGCACCGGGCTCAGAAGTCCAGGCGGCATGGGTAGCCAAGAATATGCACAGCCATTGTACGCAATCAAGCACTTCCGACTGCAACCGCAATATTGAAAACCAGCGGGGAATCCACAGCCTCGCTGTTGCCGCTACTAGTAGATTTACAGACAGCAACAACATGGCCTGTGGTGTTCGTTTGCCTCTGAGGAATAACAAAGCCAGACTAGCTGCTATTTTGAAAGCTAAAAACATGAGTTCCAGCATTTGAATAGGACTAAGCGAAGCGGATTATGGTGGCCCATTCTCCAAGTGTTGTCGAGTCTGCCGAGTCGTCTCCTTCGTCGTCCGAGGCAACTGGTTAAAATCCCTGGCTCGAGGGAGCATTTTCCCGCAGGCAAATGAGTCGAAATTAGACAAGGCCGATGTTAAAATTTCAGTCAGGGGATGATTGTTCAATGTAGTGATTTCCATTGCATTCCGAAATATGACCATCTGTCCACCAAGAGGATGGACAAAGCAGAGTAGGCATAGCTCACGGGTCTGAAAATAAATGCGTGATGTGGAGAGCCCTTCAAATATTAGTTCAACAGGTTTGGCGCATACGATCTGACGAAATCCTCAGAAGATAGTATGTAGGCAAAGTTTGAAGATATCTGAAGGATGTGCTAGTAATCGTTTACATCGAAGGGTTGGAGCATCAAATAGGCAGCTCGGAAAACCTATGCGTTCGAAGAACTCGGTAAGCAAGACATTCCACTTCTGTTCAAGACGGAGAGCGGAAAGGGCGGACTGGCATTGGGAGACGTCAAGACTGGGGACGAGGTGGTTTTGTGGGAAGGCGTCGCGTACTCGGTTGTGATCCGTAGGCTAAAGGGCGATATGGCCTCAGACTCGGATCCGGAAGAGCGCAGCTGCAAGATTGTCTCACCAGGTATAGTGGCGGCTCGCCTGAAGCCCAAAAGTGAAAAGTGGGAAGACGATGAATTGTCCAAGTACGAAGTTGTATAACTAATCAATATATGTTGTTCTTTGTGTAGCTAAGCTACATTGTTTAGACCTTTTCAAAACACGACTAACTTGTTTTAACTTGTCTAGTGTGCGAGTTACGAATCGATAATCCACAATGAGAGAAGAAGAAGAAGAAGAAGAAGAAGAAGAAGAAAAGGCTTTCAGAGCTGAGCATTAGCAACCTTGGAGAAGATAGTTTCTAACACAGGAGCAGTAATATTTCATAAGCTCTGTGGGGGGCGTGAAGACCCATGCATGAAAGACAGAAGACAAAGGGTGGTGTGGCCAAAACCACCTGCTTTGCCTTGGAATAAACAAATGATAGCTCTTCGCATTGATGCTGTTGCAAACCGTGGGCTGAGTATCACCGCAGCGGCATCGGAGGCTACAGCAATCGCCAACTGCACATGTTAAGACGCGGGATGTAAGACAGTATCAAGTTGGTAGTCGCAGGCAATCCTATCCAAGAACTACTGGAAAGTGTGCATGAAATCCAGGCACGGGGTCGTCTAGAATTGTTGAGCGACCATACAAACTGATAACCTTTCTATTCACTACTGCTGATTTATGACGGTAGCTCAGAACTGCTGATCCGCGCGGTAGTATTAGCTAAGTAGGTACGCGCACATCCAATATGTCAGCAAAATGATGCAACATTGACCGGCAAGATGAGGCACACAGTTCTGCAACGGCAGCACTGTTTCAGTCTATCTGCCGCGATTCTGTCATTGGTGCGAAACATGCATACCCCGCAGACCTACATGTATAGAATCCTGCCATGCATTCAATCACCTCCAGCCCGATGCCACGATACCAACAGACAAACTATTGTTCAAGGATCTCTTGCTGGTTATGCAGTTGGTAATTAGCGGTCGCAACAACCATGGCTTCTCCTTCTGGGACTTTCGATTTCATCATCGTTGGTGGCGGGACAGCGGGTCTTGTGCTGGCCACACGCTTCTCCGAGAGCCCGGCACTGGGTCGTGTGCTCGTGATTGAGGCTGGTGAAGACCTGACTGAGGACCCACGGGTGAATATTCCTGCAATGGGTGCTGCCTTAATGGCGAACTCGGCCAACTGGGCGCTTGCGGCTGTGGCTCAGGTATGTAAAATATTCACCTTGTTTTGCCTGCTGCTGAAGCTCTGACTGTGGTGCAGACGGGACTCAAAGGCCGAACTGCGTCAGTGCCCCAAGGTCGTATGCTTGGTGGCTCAAGCGCATTTAATGGCTTTGCTTTCATGCCGCCCTCGAAGTCGACAGTCGACATGTGGGCCAAGCTTGGCAACCAAGGCTGGGACTGGTCTAGCTTTTCCAAGTCAATGGCTCAAGCGTACAGTGCCGGAGCCCAAGGCCAGGGACCTATTCAATTGTCCATTCCTAACGAGGAGGACTGGAAGTGGCCAGCCGCCTGGCGCGATACTCTTGCCGGACTCGGATACCCAACGACGAGTAATCCATATGATAATAGTGGAAGTTGCTTTGGGGCGATCTTGGTGGGCGACTCTATCGACCCAGACACGAAACAGAGAAGCTACGCTGGCAACGCCTACTATGGTCAGGCGAAGTCTCGGGACAGCTTGACGGTATGGGTCGGAATCACTATCGAAAAGATCTTGTTCAATAAGAACAAAGATAATCATGGACGTGTTCGAGCCATCGGTGTCCAGTACAAAGATGAAAATGGACAGACCAAGACCGTCACTGCGGACAAGGAAGTCATCCTCGCCGCAGGCGCCATCAACTCCCCAAAGCTGCTGGAACTTTCTGGTATTGGGGATGAAGCACAGCTTCGGCTACTCCAGATTCCCGATATTGTCGTTCATAACCCTTTTGTTGGGGAGAACCTGCAAAACCATGTCATGTGCTCCCTGTGCTTCGAGGTCCGCCCGACCAAGGACCGAGGGTATGAGACTACGGACAGCATCATTCGACAGGAGCCAGCTGCCCTTAGTGCTGCTATGGAGGCCTACGGGAGGCAGACAGGTCCACTGGCTAGGAGCGGTACAAATGCTATAGCTTTGCTGCCACTTCCGGGTATCGAGAGTGAGCAAGGCAAACAAGAGATTCTTCAGATATTGGAAAAGACTGTTACACTTCCCGGAGCCAGCGCCGGGGACGGGAAATCACGGCCTTTTCTCAAAGAGCAAGAGGATTTTGTGCACAGGATCCTCAGCTCTCCGCACGAGCCATCTGGCCATTACATAACCTTCTCTGGCTTTGCTGTAGTGGCCGCCGATGGTTCCATAGCCGGTCCTCCTCCCGGAGACGAGCGTTATTATACTATTGCCCCGTCTCTATCACACCCTCTGTCTCGAGGTTCAGTTCACGTGTCATCAGCGTCTGCTTCTTCAGCTCCTACGATCGATCCCAACTATCTGTCTCACCCTCTAGACATCGAGGTCCTTGCGCGTCACTTCCAATTTGCGGCCTCGAGAATCGCCAGCACCGAGCCGCTTGCAAGCCATCTCACTCGAAAGCTGGGAACCTCATCTGATACAACCCTTGATGACTTCATACATCTAGACAAGACGAAAGAGTATCTTCGCAACAACGCGACAGGTGCTGTTCATTACGTGGGCAGCTGTTCTATGATGCCCCGGGAACTCGGCGGCGGTAAGACAAGAAATAATTATATTGCTTCAAACTTTGATCAAGTCTGCTGCTGACATTCATGTATAGTCGTTGACTCCAAGTTGAGAGTTTATGGATGTAGTAATTTGCGTGTCTGCGATGCTAGCATCGTGCCTATTATTCCGAGCTGCAATATCCAAGCAACAGTATACGGGGTTGCTGAACATGGGGCGAGTTTGATTATGAGTGACTACATTTGATTTTATTTCAATCTAAACCTGTAGCACTTTTTCCTTCTTCTTCTTCTTTTTTCCTTCCTAATTTCATATCAAGTTATTCTTAATCACTTCCAACCCAGTGACTGAGCATTATGACATAATGCTGTCCCTACAATCCAAGCTGCTCAGTGGTTTTCCTACCCCAGAGTTGACCATCTTGTATCACTCTTCTTCCTTAGTCTGATTGTACCGCCCAACAACGCGTTTGATGCCAAGAACCATCCATGGCAACAAGTGAACGAGTATCTTGCCCGATACCCAGGCTCTCCATCCACGCAAACAGCATAGACAGAGTGACAAGAAGAACCGGGCGCCCTACTGCAGCCACGACTTCCTCTCCAGATAAACGGGGAGAAGGCCCTTTCTCATAAGCCATCTCATTTCTGAGCCCGACGGGCTGGAAACATAATGGTCCAGGCCGAAGTGGGAGAATGTCTTCCAGCAAGATTCGTTGTTCGGATACTAGAGGCGCCTCCAAGCAGAGAAGTAGAGGGCTGATGCGAATTTTTATTCTTGGGGTGCTTCAGGTGGGGTGGTCCGAGTTACTTTGGAAGTGACTGAAGCAGAAGGTAGAAGTATGTTGAGGAGAAAGAGTCCTACCGCTGCCCTGCATCACAATAGTCCCGTAACACCGAATCGTGAACATGGTCTCTGTAGTGGCTGTTCATAGCTGGATCCTATTAATGGATAGTGAATCGTGGTAGACCTACTCGGAGGATGTATGGTGCGCATGAGAGCTATGTACGCTATATATAAAGGCCTGGGGCATTTTCAGATTCACTATTTGAAAAGGGCAGATGCGGTCATCACATGGTATTTGAGTTTATCATGTTGCTTATATTTGGTCAAAAAGATGAACAGAAAAGAACAAACAAACCCGAACGTAGACAATACCGGTGTATTCTATCTGCGTCTGCCACGTGAACACATTTAGGTAAGTTTAAAGCCACCCGGCACGTTTTTCTGGAATACACCCTCAGGATCAACCTTCGAGCTCGTGCTTCGCAACCTTGCCACGCTCGCCTCGCCATAGCTTGCAATTGGATCACCTTGCCACCCCGCTGTATTGGCGTAATTGAGATAGAGAAAAGGGTCGTCCTCTCCCAAGCCTTCTGCTGCTGTTTGAATATCTCCATGAAGCTTCTTCGCTGTCGCTTCAACAACGTTGTCGTCGGCCGCGTCTGTCCACTGTGCCGTCAAAAGTCCCACGACAAGCGTTCCGTTACGGTCAGAGAGGCCAAGTGAGTTGCTTGAGCTGCGTGCGTAGATGGCCGGTGGCAAGGGCTCGAGAGAAAAAGTCCAGATGATGCCTGCCACTTTCGAAATATCGGCAATGCTATCACTCCAGGCCTGATACACCGCGTTCAACATCGATATGCTATTGCCATGGGTGATGGTCATAAAAAGCACGCTGTGTACCATGAAAAGAGAAGGAAACATGTCAGTAAACGCGCTCGTAGCAAGGCAGGTGTATCGGATTCGTTGCAATTTTCGAGGTCATTGAGAACTCACCGACTACCACCAGGTGATAACGTCGCCAACTCCTCGGCAATTCCAGCCACGGTGTCCAAACGCATCGTGCTATCGATCGCTGGGATGGCCATCAAGGGCTGAAAGACAGGTGGATAGATTTCAGCCTTGGTATACTCGATCGCATTCGCAACTAGGGACAAATCCAGGAGTCCATCGTAGGCAAGCGACATGATCAATGACGAGTAATCATCGTAAGTATCGGCGTTGCTTATATTGGCAAAAGCTTGAAGTTGTGAATCGATGGTGTCAATGGAGTAGTACACGTTGCCTCCCCAAATAAGACCTTGTTCGATAGCCGCAAAATCGATGCGCGTGACGATACCGAAATTATTAGAGCCGCCGCTGAGGGAGATGTGCAAGTCTGCGTCGTCCTGAGAGTCCACGATGCTCCCATTGGCAAGCACAACTTCGTAGTTGAGGACATTGTCGCAGGAGAAGCCCACGCGAGGTGACAAGAACGAGATGCCACCCCCTGTTGTTAAGCCACCTACACCAACACCTCCTGAGCGGCCGCCTGCAACAGTGAGATTGACTAGATCCAGGGTCTCATAGACAGCAGCCCAAGTACTACCAGGGTTGATGGACACGGTAGACCTGTCGTCGCTAATAATCGTGCCTCCTAGTTGGCTAAGGTCGACTGTAACGCCGCTTGCGATATTGGCAGCGCCTGCATTAGGACTGTGCCCACCAGAACGGATGGCAAAATGGCATCCTTCGATTGCTGTCATCGTTTTGATCGCAACAGATACATCCTCGGCTGACTTTGGCTGGACGACACATGATGGTTCGACTTCGGCTTCTTGCAGTGACCAGTAGGATGACTGCGAGGAGTCATATGAGAGACTGGTTGGGGAGAACGTCAGGTCCCCCAGGACAGCCGAGAGAGCTGTACACTACAGGTTGGTCAGTAAATCAATTAGTCAGTTCTATGGTGCTTGAAAGAGACTTACACAGGCGCGGCCGTTTGCCATAGCTCCGGAGGTAAGGGAACAGAATTATAAAATTGAAATGTAGGAGGTTTTTCCTCAGCGTCTCAGGGGCCGAGGTATGAGTGGAAAGGGTGACGGCAGCTAGGGAGACCTTCTTCTTGTTCAGAGTCTTTCTTTCAACTAATTAAGCTGTCTTATGTATTCTGAATGTATGGGCTGCTGTTCTTGAGTAACGTTGCTGAGAGTAATGATTTGTTAATAGCACAGGTTCGTATCACGACAAAATCGGACGTTACAGTCAATAGATTAAGTCAATAGTCTGGATATTCTGCGAAGCTATTGCTTATCTTGGCGCGAGGAATCGAGATTTGAGGATGTACATGTGATATCATGATATGTGATGGCCATACCTGAGAGAGCGAGGGATGGGGGCAAGAAACGAAGCTGAAAGTGATGGGGATTGTGCTTCTGGCGATGACCTGGCATCATTCTCAGCTGATTAATAAATGATTTGCTCGCCTCGTCAGTATTAGCCGTTTCCTCTGGTCTTCGCTGTCTGCAGGTGTGCCAATGAAGGAGCAAGTTTTTCTTTTATTTCTAAGTTCAGGCATAACTTGGTTGTAACAACTATAGCCCATAGTAAGCGAGTCACACTAAAGTTCTTTCGGCTCTTTACGCCTATAGTGTCATTTATCTCAGGGCCACATGGCCCCTTTTTACAAGCAAAGAGATGATCGCTCATGCATGTACGGACCTCAAGCTCTGCTGTCCCACTCCAAAAGCCTCGTCGGCGAGTGGGTAGTATACATGCTGGAGTGCAACCCACATGATATGCAGTACGCATACATGTCGTACTGCATTGCAAGGATCTCGAAGCAGCAGTCAAAATTTGCAGTGTAGCTCATGCAATCAGAACCACATTGTTTGTGTTCTCCAGAGTTCTCTCTTTCTGAGCCGTGATCAAAATAAACTTTCGCATACTTAGCGCCGCTTCCTGCTTAGGCTCAAATAGTTGGCTTACAGCCTTTGGATTCAGGCTGACGTGACTTACTCGGCGCAGTATGCTCCACTTTCCCAGCCTGTTCGAGTTTGTTGATAGCAAGATCGACGGCTACAGCACGGCTGAAATCGTTTCCGTTGCCAACTGCGACCCGCCCATTACCATTCGCGGCGGTGGACACGTTACATAGGAAAGCATAGGCAAAGCTTGAACACGGGAAACCGGCGAGCTCCGCAGTGCCAACATTTTTCGGGCAGGCAACTTGTCAGTAATTAGTGCAGTAAGTAAGAATGAGGCATCTATGTACCTGCTTTTGAATTGCATTGAGTCGCAAAAACAATTGAAGTTTGGTAAAGAAACGACCGAGGTTTCGATACGGAAACAGGATGAGTAAAGCAGCAGAGGTTGGACTCCCAAGCTCTGTTTCGTGCTAATTGGGTGAGCTTGTTTTCCTTGTCATACAGGATATGGACTCCAAAGTTAAGCACCAGTCGAAGACTGTCTTGACAGTACGAAAGTGTTAGCAGAGGATCCATAAAAAAGCATTCATCTCTGGCGAGCCACGAGTAAGTCGGTCAATGGAACTCTTGCCAATGTCAACTTGCCACCCAAGGGCTTACGCAGACTCTCCTTTCTGCAGCCAAGTGCGGTCCCCAATATGAGTTATCTTTCCAGAAAAGTCAAGTTATTGGCGTTTGGATTGCCTGCGACATGCGTAATTGCTGCAGCTACCTATATTAATTAACATACATACCGAGAAAAAACACCTTCCACAAGCTTGTAGAGCAGGTCAGCGAGTAATCAAAGCTTGACGTGCTTAGAAATACAAGTTTGCATCATGATTCCATATTATAGAGTTTGGAAGGCAGACGTGCAGTTATTGCCAAGACTGTGGCTCCTGATTATAAGATAACATTTTCAGATACACTCTTGACCTCGGGCTTCATATCGCTCTATAACCTAACTTTTGCTCCATTATACTGCTCTTGAAATGCGTCATCCACATTCGAATCCCAGTTTCTATCATCCAACTCCATAGCAGCATGATGATCAGCAAAGCCTTATCCCCCACGAAGCCACTCCTTACCACCGAACGCAGGTCGATCCTGCCTACGATCATACCCACTCCAATATCTCCTTTCTGCTGTATTGACCCGATTCTGCTGCTTAAACTGTGTGATAACCATTGCTCTTCTTTCCGCTAGCGAGAGATGCAAGAGCGCGGAGTGGTCGCGGGCAGACATTTTGGAGAGTGCGGTGGTGAGAGCTGATCTATGAGATGCGCGGAGGCGGCTGTCGGCGCAACTCAGTGCTTGGAACGGTGGTTCCGGCGTTGACGATGAAGGATTTTCCCCTTCGAATTTGTTGTTATCTGTGGGCGTAAGGCTGGGGAGAATATTCCTTTGAAGGGAGTCGATGCTACACCGGGCACGCTGCGGCTCAGAAAGAGGTCTCCGATGGTGGCTCTTTGGAGCTGGCGCCGATCGATGGGTTAGTACCTTGCCGGATGCGAGCCGAAGATCGCTGCTACCGTCGGCCAATGGTCTTGGGAGCCTTGATGTTTTGGCGTGACGATCGCCACCTATTTCCTCAGACTGGCTCTCACAACTCCCTTCCTCATTCACGAATTCATCGTCTCCATCTTCGGGACTCTCATAAAAGTCCCTCCACTCACTAGACTGTGCCTCAACGTCAATCCGGCAATGCCCCCTCCCCATCATATGCTGTTGCACAGCGTGTACGCTGGCTCTCTGTGTGCCGCAAGACAAGCACTCGTGGTACTCGAAGATGACTGCATGCATGTAGCCCACGATCGTCTCGGTATCCACAGCCAGGCTCAGAGTGCCGTTATCGATCGAGCTCGGAATAAAAAGGCCGTGGGCCTTTTGCATGTGGATCAGGTTGGTCTCGTAGGTGGGTGAAACGCACCGGCAGAAGAGGCAGACTGTCGGCGTGAAGTGGGCTGAAGGGACCGCACTGCGAATATCAGTACTGCCAAAGTTCGAAGCAGTCTGCTCTTGTGCATTCTGATCATCGGAGTGGGTCGTAGGCCTGGATCTGTATTATTTGGGTGAGTACTGGTGGATCCGAGAAAAGAAGGGAGCGCGTCGAGCGTAACTTTCAAAAAAAAAAAAAAATATAATATAAAGAAAAAGAGGAGATCAAGAACATGTACCTTGTTGATCCCACAGTACGTGCTATCGCGATCTCCGTATTGTGGATTGTGGGTGAGTTCTCGGATGTAGCCGCGGCTGGGAGGGCTGTCGTCGCCGTAGTATCCGTCATAATGAATGCAATAGTAGTATGAGGGCTGGCAATCGTCCAGTCTGTTTCGATAAAGATTGCTTGAATGGGTACCTTTTGGTGAAACACAATAATGAGAGTGATCGACTGCAATGAGCTGGTTTTCCTGCTTACACAACAATCCAGCCATCCAGCATAGTACTTAGGTAGGAATATATATCTGACTATCAATGCTCTGCATATAGTATGCTGATTGGCTTGGGCTGTATTTTAGAGAATATGCATCATTCAAACCTGGAAATGAGATGGTATGATTCATAATAAGTCAACATTATGGTTACTGTGTTGTTAGTTGGTTCGTTAACAGAAAAGACACTAATGTGGCACAGAAAATGTTAGTGTTTGTCGGTTTCTTGGAGTGGGGTGTGGAACTTGGCAAGCGCAAAATGCTATCGAATCATTCAACCGAAGCATCAGAATAATCTACAAATCAGACGCAGCTACAAGCATGGAGACTAAGAAGCTTGAGTCCCAGAGCAAAAGGGTGTCTTATGGTGCAAGCTGAACAGCAGCCGGCCGAAATCGATCAGCAGGTCATCAAAAGAAGAAGTCGAACCCAGCTGCAAGATTTGGTGTGTTGACGAGATTCGCTAGGTGTTCTCCTAAACCCGCTCATCCTTGCCGTCATCCGCTTTGCACATATATTTGAAGCGAGGTGCTTACATCCTGCGATTACTTACAACGTAATATAACGCTACTCCGAAGACCATTTAACCCCGACCCCTATTCTTTGGGGGGGGAAAAATTGGTTTCAGTACCGAGTTCATGGTATCGGAATTGTAAATGTCGCTTTGCATCTATATCGCCGCATAGCGTAATAACAGCTGTGGTTGATCTCCTGGAGGGAGAGCGAGGAGAGCGATAACGAGGGTAGCGATAACGAGAAGGAAAGAGGAAACAAGGGTTCATGAGGAAGAAGCGATGAACAAGGATATTGAAAGGAGAGAGGAAAGGAGGAGAACGATAACGAGAGGAGCGATAGCGGGAGCAGCGATGATGAGGGAGCGACAAGCGCGGAATAAGGTGGAAGATAGTAGAGGAAAGGAGAGGAGAGGAGAGGAAAGGAGAGGAGAGGAAAGGAGAGGAAAGGAAAGGAGAGGAGAGGAAAGGAGAGGAGAGGAGAGGACAGGAGAGGAGAGGACAGGAGAGGAGAGGACAGGAGAAGAAAGAAGAGGAGAGGAAAGGAGAGAAGAGGAAAGGAGAGGAGAGGAAAAGAAGAGAGAGTAAAGAAAAGGAGAGGAGAAGAGAGAAGGAGAGGAGAAGAGAGGAGAGGAAAGGAGAGGAAAGCAATATGTGGAGATATGAGGAGGACGAGGAGGAAACAAACTCCTCCTCCCGCTCCCCTCCCCCTCAAAAAAAGAAAGAAAAAAAGCTATCTGGCAGTCTGAACGAGCGCTTATCAGCATTATAATACTCAGCTCAGGCTTAAGATACTCAAAGCTCAGCCTCTATAGATTTTTCCTGGTTACTACTCGCATATGGAGGCGAGGGAGGGATTGAACAGGCAGCACTGCTATCGCTATCATGGACATCGAGTCGCTGAAAAAAAAGTCAGCTGTTCCTCACGGGATAAGCGGATGTATGCTTAGCTTGGCGCGCCTCGTACCCTTCGGGAGGTTTTTCAGATTAGATAGCATCGCTTCTCTTCTACTTGGCACTAGATAGAACAAATAAACAGACAAACAGCTGTGGTTGTCCTGAAGTACTACTGAACCAATCCGCTTTCCAGCAAAGTTACGCAGCAGTTCAATCTTGTACCTCTGTTATATCAAGCAAGAAGTATGACTCATTGACACAGGTGATTTGTAAAGTCTAAATCATAAAGCAGTCTACATGAGTGTGTCTCAAGCATGCTAATAACTAGATAGTTTCTTACATGCAGCGAAAATTTGCCGAGGTTTTGGCAGCGCATAAGTGACATGATCCGCACCTCCATCATCCTCCTTCTGTCATCCTCCACGTGCACCTCTCCTTTTCCCCGAATCGAATCTTTGCTAAGCTGACAAGACAACCTAGAAATCTTCCTAAACACCCAAAACAGTTAATGCTATCAGTGGAAGCCCCGCTTTATGGATGCTTCATCATGCCAACGATCCTCCTTCCTGGAATCTTTTCGTTGTCCGAGAGCTCCAATGGGTGACCAGCGTCAGCAAACCAGTTAATTGCGAGATGGGGAGTCCGAACGAGACTGCGTAATTATCAGAAAGTTTATCAGGATTAGCACAGAGAACCATACAAAGGTAAAGATACATTATATATGCTCTTTGTGGCCGAGTTGACATCAACTGGATGGCTCGTTGCCACGACTAAACCCCATCGTCCATATTCGGAACATCCTGCAATTTTACTTGACCGTCCTAACCTCTGATTGCTATTCTCCACCTTCCGTCAAGTCATCGTCAAATACAAGTTTTCAAGATGGCGCTAATGGAATATACATATAGCGAGATCGCGATGGACTACTCTTTTCGCATTCTCTGTGTACATGGCAACAGTGACCCCAAGTCCGCGATCTACTGTGAATTGATTGAGAGACCACTCGGTGCCGAGGAGCCCACGTATGAAGCTCTATCCTACTGCTGGGGCGGCCAGTCGCTGACGCAGGAAATCTTCTGCGAGGGCCGGCGTCTTATGGTTACCAAGAACTGCGAGTCCGCGCTTAGGTACTTCCGTCCGGCAGTGAACGGCCACGTGCGTCGCCTCTGGATTGATGCGATCTGCATCAATCAGGGAGATATCTCTGAGAAATCCAACCAGCTGCAGTTGATGGGTGAGATTTACAGCGGAGCTTCTCGGGTTCTGGTATGGCTCGAGGACGACAGCGTTTCAGCCGAACGAGCCGGGCCACCAGGTCGTGATTCATACGACAAAGGCTTTGCCTGGCTGGCTAGACTGGGTGAAGCCACTGCTGCGCCGGATCTTCACAGCAAGGAACTTCAGCTGGCACGTGTGGCAGAGGAGTTGAAAGACGAGGCAAGTGAGGTCGACGCCGCAAGTGAGTCAAGAATCCTCCTTCACTCGCTTAGTAACCCCGGCCCGTCATGGATTATTGACATCGGTCGAACGGCTTTAGCTATCGATGGGACTATCGTCCTCCTACCGTGGTTCAAGCGCCTTTGGATCGTCCAGGAAGTCGTTTTGAGCAAGAAGGCGACTTTGGTATTTGGTGACCGTGAAACATCGCTGGATGCTATGCTCGAGGCTAGGAAGATCCTGTCGTCGTTGCAGAAACGGGGACAGCACAGCGTCGAGCCCGCAGCAAGCGCGCTCTGGAAGCTCTTCGCCGTCCATCTCCTCGGAAAGGCTTTGCTACGATCAAGCCAGGGTCGGCAGGGGCCTCAAAATTATGCCTTGTATTCTTTCCTCTCGGAAGTACGGTTTTCTAATGCCACAAACCCGCGCGACAAGATCCTTGGCCTAGGTGGCCTGCTGAGTAAATCTGGTATAATTTTACCGCCGCCAGACTATGGAAAGTCCACAGCCACGATATACCGGGAGGCGATGGTTACTTTGACAGAGGCGACCAAGAGCTTACAGCTCATACAACAGGTTGACGGCATAGGCTTCCTGCCAGACAGAGCGTCTTGGGTTCCGGATTGGTCTGGCACGAAGCACAGCATTGGGCCATCTGCTGGCCCCTGTGTCGCAACTGCAAACTCGGAGCCTATCTTCCGCTTCTTGGAGAATAAGTCGATGCTAGCCCTCATGGGGCATAAAGTTGATGAAATATCCCGGCGGTCCTCCTTTTCGTACATGCACTTCGGAGAATTACTTGGTGAGCCGATGGAATATGCGAGCTGGACCAGGAACCCTCCGATCCATCATTCCAGTTGGGCGCAGAAGCTCAGGCAACAACCCCAGCACAGCACCGCCATACTGTTTCTTTGGAATGTCCGGGTCCTGTGCGACTTTGTAACTACCGCCCTGGACGGATCCCCAGCTACAGCGGGCAAGCATTCCGTGCTGGCTTTGTACTACTCATTACTGAGCCAAAGAGGAGGACACGAGTCGGCGGAGCTCGGACTGCAGGACTCAGATATCGGAGAACGTCGTGCCCGAGACTTTTTTGGTGTACTTTTCAGTGACTCTGAAGAGGACGACGATCTTGGAAAAGAGGACAGCGGTTGGATATTTGGGCATAATTATGCTCTCAAAGCCTTGAGTGATCCAGCGATGAGCAGCCTACTGGAGTCGGAGGAGTACGCTGCTATACGACGCATCTCACGAAGCGGTGTCCGCCGGCTGATCTTCGATGCTATTGTCAGGATACAGTACATGACCGTTTTCACAACCAAGCTAGGTCGTGTTGGCATCGCGCCGTGGCCCATCAAGGCTGGGAACGAGCTAGCGCTCTGTTCCGGCCTCGGGCTGCCGATAGTGATGCGACCGGTCGGAGATAACTTCCAACTTGTAGCCTGCGCGTATGTGCACGGTATTATGCATGGCGAGGCTTGGACACAGAATCCTGACCGAGACCTCCGCGAGCTGAGATTTGTTTAATGGCAGAACAGGCCGCAGACAGCGCAGGCGCATATTTGACACAATTAATTTGAAATAGGCACAAAATAAGGATTGGTATGATCTGCAGCCATTTACACTATCATTATTCGAAATTAGTGATTTTAGTCTAGTTAATATAGAAATTATTTTATTGAGTCAACCTGTAAATGTAACTATTACCCTCGCTTCTACAATTGAGTTGTACGTTGATTCCCTAGCACTTAATCTTTGTGGGCTGACTTATACAAGAAACTTCCACAGAAGAATTGTACTGGGGGAAGATGATTCCAATAAAAATACACAGTTTATAAGTCAAAATGTCTCAATACAATGAGCTTTTTTTTATTTATTTAGAAATTAAGTAGAGAAGAGAGCTGGATAAATTATCTTTTCTAGCGGGTTGGGTAGGGGAAGGGGCTGAGCGAAGTGAAGCGAGAGACGGGCCTGCGAAGCATGGGCCCCCTTCGGGAAAAAAAAGAGAGGAGAAAAGAGAAGGGAAAATATGAGAGAGGAGAGAAGAGAGGAGGGAAGAGGAGAGGGAAGAGGAGAGGGAAGAGGATAGGGAAGAGGAGAGGGAAGAGAAGAGAGCAGAGAGGAGGAAAGGAGGAAATAGAGAAGGAAAGAGAAGAAGAATATATGAAGCTATTCAGAGTTCCTGGTAACAAATGGTTCTATTCTCATGGAGGTTCCACGATACCTCTTACCTTGGACAGCGTTGTACTAGATGTTCTTCCCAAGCCCGTGCCCCATCGGCTGCTGCATCATACCCCCAGAGCCACTTCTGAAAGTCCGGATCCGCCAATTCGTCTGGACACCCTTTTACAGAGCCCAAGGCAAGCTTCCCATCCCGCTCCTCTTGCTCTGGCCCATCATGAAGCCCATACATTTCCTTCCTGGCCAGCGTGTGGCTTTTGACTTCATTCGCTCTTGGCTTCCTCAGCTCTTCAAACACCTCAAGCGCGTGCGGTATTTGCATCTTATCTGACACTCGTGCAAAGATGGCCCCCAGAACGGCAGCGTCCTCAAATGCCTGGGCAGCGCCCTGCGCCAAGAAAGGCGGCATAGCGTGTGCAGCGTCACCGATCAGAGCAAAGGAGCCGCCCTCGTGTCTCCAGTTCTTGACATCGTCGATCCGTAGCAAGTTCCATTTCGCACAGTCAGTTTCTCCTGGCACACCTATAAGCGCTTGGAGAGCCGGGTCCCAGCCGTCATAGGCACGACGCAACTCCTCAAGGCTCGCAGGGCGCGGACCGTACATGACGTCCTCTGGCCGCTGAGTCTCGTCCTTGCGTATCAACACCACATTCAGGATGTCGCTGTTGTTGAGAACGTAGGACACAGCATGCGCGTCGGGGCCCATCCACACGTTTATACTCCCGGGCTGCATGATCTCCCGTGACGGATGGTTCTTATCACCAAGGATGTCGGAGCGTGATACGGCGATGCGGAAGACAACATCACCAGTAGGCTGGGGAGGGTCAGGTCGCCCGAGAAGAACATCCCGGCAGAACGAACGCTCGCCGTCTGCACCGAGGATGACGTCTCCTTCGATACGGTCCCCATTGGCGAGATACACTGCGGGCTTTTGGGAGAGCTCGAGCTTCGTGACTTCGCAGCTAAGCCGAAGAGCGATGTCGTGCTTCGAGGCCGCGGTGATCAGGGCCTCCAGGAGATCGGCACGGTGCACTACAACGTAAGGGTACCTGTAGATTTCTTTGATCTTCGAGGCTGGTGGTAACGCCGGGGACAGAACAGCCCCGTCGCGCCAGGCACGTAGGCCGCCTGTTTCTGGCTGGTAAGCATGGGCAAGAACATCCTCGAGAACTCCCCATTCTTCCAGAATGCGGGTGGCATTGGGAGACAGCTGTATCCCAGCGCCGACCTTGGTAAGTCATGGTTAGTGTTGGATGGTGCCTTTTTCAGGTGCTAATGGGAATATATATCGCTATACCTGTCTGATCTCCGGCGCGCGTTCCAGTAACGTGACTCGGTGTCCCGCCTGCTTCAGTGCTAGTGCAGAGCCCACACCAGCCAAGCCACCTCCTATGATGATGATATGACATGACCAGACAGGTTGACGACCGCCAGTGCTGAGATGTGCCATCGTTGCGAATGTGAAGGCCCGCTTGCAAGGGGACTGATTTGCAGCAGGCCAAAAAGAATTGCAAGAGGAAAAATCAGACCACAATTACTTTCTGTGGTAGTGCGTAATGCTCGACCTTTATTTGTAGCTATGGGGTTATCTTCGCCCCTAATCTTAATGTATGCGAGGAGAAAAAGAACTATATTGCTGTGCGCTGAAAAGAAAAGAGAAAGGAAGAGAAAAAGCCACGAGGGCAGCCAACTGAGGCTATCAATGGGTCTGGCTGTTGGCTGGCTGGTGGGGGCCACGCTGGCCCTCGCACATAATGTATTAGCCTACCTGGGACCGTCTACTCAGGCGTTTGTCTGGATCCACTGTTGCTTTCCGTTGCATTCGGAAATAACCAGAGCGTAATGCTGATCCATTAGGCAACCGGTTCCGTTCCGTTGTAAACGAAGAGGGACAATACAAGCCCACCTCTCTCGCGCGCGCGCGAAGGATTCCTACGCTCAATTAATATCAGAGTTTTTGTAACTTTGGTAGTATACAGGATGAAGGACATTGTTTGGTATGCTGATTCTTCATCAACTTCTGGGACCATAGTCGTGTCCTAATTCGCCCATGCTCGAAATTACGTGTCGCATGGCCCCCAAACTTATATATCAGTCAGTTGAAACTTGCTTTCTTTTATCAGCTTTAATAGAAACACTCTTGGTAGAATTGACCAATTTAAGTCCCTGATATTTGTTTTGTCAATAAGGAATAACAAATGTCGTGAATTGGACTATCTGGATATCTGACCCTCTGCGCATGAAGCTTCCGGAACAATAAGTCTGTTTTCTCATTTTACTAGAACACCTTGAGAGCTGTTTCAGAAGGGACCTTGGAGTGGACAGGTCGTGTTGTCCCAAGGTCTTCAAACCTCGCAAGCTCAACAACACCCCTCGGGCTGTGATACAGCTCCGGGCACAAATACGTCTGAATACTCAGGTCAGGCTTTGTGGGGTTCTTGCGAGCCAAGCCAATGAAGGTGAAGATTCCAGACTTTTTGTCCAATGAGCGGTGTGTGAAGGCCTTTGTTACCAGGTCTTCGACTGACGAACGCTCATCACAACTCCACCCGTACTTGGTGAACCAGGTGTCCAAGCCCTGCGCCACCACCGTGTCATTTACCGCAAAGTTGCGTGCACAGAAGGCAATCTTTGGCGAGGGAATGGCAGTCCGATTGTCTATCGAGAAGTAAAGAGTCGTAAGTTTGCGACGGCTGTCCGTTTCGATGCCTTCATCTTTGCTGTTGTCTCCGGAAGTGCGGGAGGCGACACCGCCTAGCAAATCTATAAAGTCGCGGTACTTCTCCTTGTCTTCTTCTAGCCCAGGAATCCGCCCACCGAGAGTGAAATAGTCCCAGATATCTTCAAAGTTTGTGCTGGGGCAGCGCAAATAGATCTTCAGGCGCGCCTCATCTGGTGACAGAAAGTCGGTGGCGAGGAAGCGTGCACCGTTCATCCAGTCAAGTGGCTTGGTTTTTAGGTAGGCCTCGATAGCACAAAGAGATGAAAGGATGTTGGGTCTCGCGTCGATGTCTGGTATGGAGCGAATGGCGGCACAGATAGTGGCAAAACGCGTGGTCTTCTCAGCAGCTGCCGCAAAACATGGGAGGAAGTAGGCCTTGCCTACAACGGGGAGCGTCCAAGGCGCTGGGACCTCGCGGCCGATGTCGAAGCCAACGAGGAATGGAGACATGTGTCCAGCCTCGGCGCACAGTCGATGTTGTTCGTCTGCTGGCAGGTGTGAGTAGTCGAAGTGCCGTTTGAGTGCGCGGTACCACGTGCTGTCGAATCCAGGGGTACGAGATGCAAACGTCTCAATGAGCATGTCCGTTGGCAGCGGACTAAGCGGATTGGATGCATCTACCGGGCGCAAGCGGCAGGCGTCGAGCACGAAGCGGACCTCAGGTTTGTCGTCCCCTTTCTTAAACTCAAAGCTGTACTCGTGTGTCGACCCATCCCACGTCCAGCTCAAGGCCTGACTTGGATCACTGACGTCCGGGGCATCGCCGAGGAGGGGGCATATGGCATCACGATAGTATGATAGAAAGGCATGTTGTGTGGCCTGTGGGTAATCAGCAGCGCGCAACATGTTGGCTATGTCACGCCCCGTCGTCATCCACCAGTACTGCGTATTCGCATCCGAAGACGAGATCATCCGGAAAACGGTCGAATCCTTGATTCTTGCTGCCATGGTTTCGGCGTGTGTATGGTGGACGGGCGGTGCTTCACAATAAGACGGCTGAGGCACAGGAGGGGGAGGAGGCCGCGCTACTGCTAACGTCCACTACATAGTTGGGCTGGTTCGGCAGGACGAACCTACCGAATATAAACTGCCTGCTCAAGGATCTGCTCTTCTTTAATCAAGAGCAAAAGGGCTCTCGTGTGACGGTTCTGGGACGGTGCCGTGATGGTGTCAGCAACTGATTGCAACCAACGGTGTCAGCGCCCGCTGACGGCACCTGGGTTATCGCCCCCATCAAGAAACGTAGCTGTACCATTCACGGGCCAGCCACTTGGCTTTCAGTGACTACCTGCACGATCTTGTCTCAGACAAATCGAGGGTAAAATACAAGAAGGGTTGACCAACACGCAGTCTGGGCCGCTGCGCAGTTGATGAATCCGAACCCAGCGTAAGGCCAAGATGATAACTCGCTTGGCAAGGGCTAATGCATGTGAAACCACTGTTGGTCCAGTCTTATTCCTGGAAACAGTATGCCCGAGATACAGGTATGCAAATATGTTATTGGATGTGTGGACGGGATGCTTCACATGCCGCCGCTGGCGGCAGGATAGTAAGCGTAGGGTGGTAGTAGGCAGTCACACCGCCCAGATAGCGGTACGAGTACCAGTCAACGTACAACTTTGTACTTTCGGAGCCAAACTGCCTATGACTGCATCCTCGGACCAGTTTCCAATCTTCACCTTCCTGTTGCGAGAAGTCTTACGTTGGAAATAAGACTACGAATGAATTTCTGCCAAGGAAAACCCAATGCCACCCTTTTCCCTTCGCCTTCTGCGGCTGCGCCATGTGTCTGAGACCTTCCGAAGAGACTCCAAAGTTTAGGTCTGACGCCAACAAAAGGCTAGCAGCGTTCTGAGCAACCTAACAGTTCCCAGAATTATCTCCAATCAGGTCCTCTGCTAGTATATCATTGATGTACTCTGTGTTGGACAGAATCGTCTCCCCGTCCCACTTCATAATCCATGAGTAGGTTTGGTTGTACTGCACGCCTTTGAAGGAAACTCAAGTCAGCATCCAGCCCTGTTATGACTGCAACGGAGAGCAAACGAGAAAACCAGGGTGAACAGCTAGCGTACCGTTTGTCCCTATGTACCCGTTGGGCACATGAGCTTGGACACTTGTATATGGACCGGCGCTCCCTTGGCTCAGTACAAGGTCGGTCTCGATGATCAATGGCGGGTTCGACAGCAAGCAGTTGATTTCACTGAAAACCTCAACCATCTCATCATAGTCGCGTACTCCGAACCCGATCGTGTTCCACGTCGAGTTAGGAGAGAAGAGATCGAAGAAGTCCGTAAAGTTGCCTGTTGTCAGGACCTCGAAAAGCTGGCGGACACGCTTCGCCGAGGGAGCAGCGGAGGTGGGGAGAGCTAGTAGGAGGGCCACCGAGAGGAGGGTGGCAGTGGACGGCAAGTACATCTTGGGCAGTGATGCGGCTAAGGATGCAGAGATGAAGAGAAGGAATGGGGCCAGAAGTGAATGATGACAGTGGAAGCCTAGCTGATGCGCATTAAACATTCGAATGCAACAGTAGAAAGATTTTGATCTACTTCATTATATATTTCTTGAGACAACTGATTCAGACGTCCTTCCTACAGTCGGTTGCCCGCTATTCACAGCTTGCTGGATCCTACGACTCGATCAGTGCCGCATTGCAAAGGGCTAACAGGTATCTAATCAAAGCTGAACTGGTCTTAAATGAAGCTATCAATCAATAGAGAAGAGCAGAAGGAATCGTGACCATCCTTGAGACAAGAACAGTAAGCGCTTACTCTGGCGTTCGGTGCTACCGACCTTGATTTCTAAGTGAAATCGGCCTCATTTCGTTACACCCGAGTTGAACTAGCTTCTCATGGCTGTCACGTAAGAGATGACGAGTGTTCCAGGCATGGATAAAGCGCCGCCATAGTCTAGATCTGCCTTGCACTAAGTTGGGTGAGAAAACTGACATTTTCTAGACTCTCTAACCCTTATTGTATCATTTGCCGCTGAAGTGTTGTCCTGTGAAAATTGGGGAAGTTTGGTGTTGTGTCTTGTAACACGAAAACTGTCGAAATAATTGTCGCGAGTCGGCAATAGCATCATAGGAGGGCAAATCTCTTGAAAAAAAAAAATGAAAAAAAATACGATATCTTCTATCAGACCGATGCAGCCACGACTGATACTTCCCCCCCCCCCCCATGATATACCACCAATACCATGAGAGCAATTCACACCATCCACTATCACTCATGGCCCCATGGGTGGCCCCCCTTCTGCAGCTTCGCGTTCAAGTATGCGAGCTTAGTCCTCCCTTCCCGCAAGATCTCATCTTTATGGGCTTCCAGTTCCTCAATATCCCCTGTACGTTGTTGTAGAGTGATGGTCAGTGTGGCTGAACATAATTATAGAGAAAAAAGTCATATCTGATGCTGGTCAGGTCAGACTACACATACAATTCACACTGACAACACCTCCTCTCAACCAATCGGCACGCGGGGTGCTGAGGAACAGCGTCATGCCACCGGACAGCATTGGATCGTCGCGTGCGAATGGGATGAAAGCCTCGGCCGTCATAGCTGTCTTGAGTAGGCCCGGGAGGAGCGTGAAGCTGCGCACAGCCGGCTGCTCTGCATGCAGGATCTCCATGATACGCGTAGATGCCAGCTTGCTAGAGATATAGCTGCTCATGCTGGGCAGTGAGGTTCCCGCTGCACCGGTGTTAAGCGTGATGATTGTGCCGCTGGCTGAGCTTTCCTGTTGAATGAAGTGATGGATCATGAGATAGGTACCCTTGACGTTGACTTCCTACAGAGGCACCCAAGAATGAAGACAAAAAGTGGTCAGCTTATACGACAATCTCAATGACCGGCAAGGTAATGAGAGCGTACATGATCCAGCCACCACTCTGACGGCTCTATGCTGCCGATGGCCCCCCAGTTCATTCGTCCCGCGTCGTTGATCAGCACGTCAATCACCCCAACCTCAGCACGAGCCTTGGTCCAGAGTTCTTGAACTTCATTCTCGGACCGGAGGTCGGCAGCGTGGGCGACTATCTTCGTTTTCTCGGCGGCTGGGATCTCTCGCAGCTTGGCGGCGACCTGCTCCAACACATCGGTCTTGCGGCCTGTGATGACAATAGCGGCGGCTCCGGCTGTGGCCCAAGCCTCGGCAATAGCCTTCCCAACCCCGCCCGAAACTCCGGTGATAAGTACTGTCTTGCCTGTGGCCGAGAGCTCGGGGTTTGACGGCTCTAGAAGCGGATACATGTCCCGATGTAAACCTTTCGTGAGCTGGGCTGGCCAGGTCACGGCGTCGAGATCTGTCTGATCCATCTTATGGGAGGGCGTGGGAAGACCCGGTCTGTCTGACAAACCTTCTAGTAGACTTGCTGCGGCGGGTCTGGTACTGCACTGTACGATAGCAACAGACGAATGAATAGAATGTGCGTGTCGCAGGCTACCAGACAGCTATCCAGCACGAAAAGGGGACTCGTCCTTTGGAGGGAACTAGGGTACTTAACCTCATTCGAACTGCTCTAGTCAGAGGCACATCAATTGTCGCACAAGAATCACGAACTTGATGACTCAAATGTTGGGGGGTTACAGGCGGTTACAGTTGGTTGCAGTGAGAACAATGGGAAGCCAACGAGTCCCGCGCTCGAATGGGTCAAAAGCAACAAAAAGACCTGTCAGCAAGTACATGTAGGCTACCTTGGTACATACATCAGAATCCCGAAAGATGGTCAGCCGGACTAGCATATGAAGCGTTGGGGGCTAAGGCGCAGCACCTCTCTGGGTAGCATTGGAGGATTATTGTAACCCAGCAAACAACAGCCTCTTTACGTTGCATTAGTCTCGACATTAAGTCTCAAATCTGGCCCTCAAATCAGAAATAGTATCCAAGTTGCGTGATATCAGCCCCTGTAAAATGTGGCACGCCAAGCTTATGGACAATGAATGAGCCAGACCAAATTGAGTTGAGCGTGTGGGAGGAAAGTGTATGGTGGCGGCAAGACAGTATAATAGATATTTGGGTAGATCCACCGGCTCTGGCCACGATTTCGTGCTAGCTCAGTAAAGAATCATTGAAGAAGTTGGTTCCACGTACTCGTCGGCAGCCAGAGCACCTGGAAAACGCATTCACCACCAAGATCGCAGCTCAAATGTCTTTGTTGTCAGCAAACGAGTCGGCCCTCCCGCCGCCCGAGGGCCAAACATCCAACTTCACCGACCCGACCACGTTGATGCCAGCAGTCATCGTAACAGCTGTGCTGGTGTACTTCATCACGACGGCATCAATATGTGCACGTCTGCTGACCAAGATCTATATCATGCGCGAGCACCATATCGAAGACTTCTTGAGCTATTTCGCCTGGGCTGGCCTGATGACCTACACGTCCTTATTGGTCTACATTGAGAATTACGGTCTCGCACGACACATGTGGGATGTACCTCTTGTGGAGCTCCCGCACATGCTATACTACGTCAATATACTCTACTGTCTCTACGGCCCAACTACAGCGGCTGCTAAGCTGTCGGTGCTGTTCCAGATCAAGCGCATCTTCGCGAGCAGGAGCCATAATCGAGTGTGGTTGGTTATGGTAATTTCGATTGTGCTGAACGTCATCTTCTATGTTGGGTTGTTTTTGAGCTACGTTTTTGAGTGCTGGCCGCGCGAAAAGATCTGGAACAGCGAACTGCCTGGAACATGCATAAATGGCAATTCATCCAACCTCGCAGCAGGAATCTTGAACTTGATATCGGATACCGAGGCTCTTCTGTTGCCTGCATGGGCGATTTGGCACTTAAATATGCCCGTCAAACGCAAGTTGAGTGCATTCGCTGTATTTGCCGTCGGCTCTCTGTAAGTGAAACTTGGTCCCCCATCATATCCACTTTGCTTCTGACTAACTTGACTATGCTACAGAGCAATCGGAATCGGCATTGGCGGCATCTACGTGCGCGTACTCGTCCTTGAAAACGCCGACTTTACATGGATAGGCACCAAGCTCGCGCTGCTGGTCATCTCAGAGATCGCCGTCGTCATCACGGTCGGCTGCTCACCTGTCCTCCCACGCTTGTATGTTTATCTGCGCGGGCCGACTCGTGCAGGAGACAGCGAGGATATCGGGGCAAACAAAGGCATTCGAACAATCGGTGGATCCGGCGGCACCGAGTCCACCGGCAAAGGGAAGAAATCTCGGAAAGGAGGCACTCTCGCGAGCTCACTAGCCAAGTACATGGGACCGGGGGGCTCTACGGGAATGACCACACTTGGGTCGCGCGTGGACTTGGAGGAGGACCAGTTTGAGCTCAAACCGTATGCCACGACGGGCATGGTCGAGGTGCCGGATAACAGTAGAATTTGGAGGACAGTAGAGGTTCATCAAGAATCTGCAGCAGCCACAACACATGGTAGCCAGGTGCCAGGCAGTGTGCCACAGGTCGTGCCTCATGGTCTCGGAGATGAAGGGGACAGTTCTTGGTCACGAGCACACACCTAAGGCGCTGAAAAGACTACAGTTTAGTACTCTTACCGAAGCCCACAGTTTTTCTCTCAGTCGAATTATAATATATCTGCTTTTTTTTTTAAAAAAAAAAACTCCTATTTGCTGATTGGTTCACCCTAATCACCAAAGTATGACATTTGCATCCAATATCCGATTACTTTTATACTCGTATCCGCGCCGAAATCGATGCACTGATATCCCGCCTTTCAGCTGGGTTTTTAGCTAAATAGAGCAGAAAAAGGTCATTCGTCTAGTGGAGATGGGAATAGGTGGGCTGTCAGTGCAGTACAGGTCGAGATCAGTTAAAAAAGGGCTGTGGCTGTATTCTAGCGTGGGCGGTTCCCAGGTGGCTACATTCTTCAGCCGCCTAGATTCATGTATATAGCGAGAGGAAGCCCGAGTAGATCATCTATGCTGCTTGTAGGATTCAGCGATGTGGGCTTGTGGAAGCTGAGAATGCTCTTGTCATACAGTGTATCAAGTAATACCGATCTCGGAAATCCGGTGGTAGGAAGCATACTCATTTTTCCAAAGCACAAGTTGATGTGCGTCGGATTGAACTTCCTCTTGACTCTGAAGGCCAATCTGTCGATGCTAAACTGTTGTCACGGATTATTCGTTCGATCGCTCTCGTCGTTAGGGCTGGATGCACGCTTCCCAAGTCTCCAGCTCATTGTTAATGCGCTCGGGTCGTTGGAATTGGTAAGTATCTACGAGAGTATTTCATGGCTTTTATAAGCATTCATCGGCATAGAGGAGGTTTGGAGCGCTCACTTGGCCTGCGAATTAGACCTAGCCGATGTTGTATTTCGAAAGAAGAAAGATCTCTTTTCTAGACAGAGATCTTGCTGTGACAGCCACCTTAACAGGCAATCCGCAGATACGCGCAGGATATCGCCCCCCCCCCCCCCTTCCCCCAAAGAGGAGGGATTATTCAGAGAATGCAGTCTTTAATGCTTCCTTAAGTGTCATTGTTCGATATTTGGAGTGGTGATAATTATCCTCTGGAGTTCCACAAATCGACAGGTTTCCACCCGACCTTCTTGTGAAGGCTTGGTCACAAAGCTTCTCAAAATTTATCGATGCGGTCATCGACTGTGACCCAGTGCTATCAGACTGCCTGTACTCGAAGAATATCAGCAGTCTGTTTCTAATTATGAGGTTTTGAAGCTGATGATTAGATTCACGAGATCATCCTAATTCCCATGATCAGGTCGAAGAAGCACTATATATAGATTGAAAGGCCACTTGAGAGCTATTCCAATATTCTTCAGGGCTTGCAACTCAACGATACCTCGAATGCCGCCCCTGAGGTGAGTTTCAGCAAAGAGCACAGTCGTCCTGATGTTTTTGTGGAAGGCTGAGACACTGATCCATCTAAGGCTATCATGCGGATCCCAGCTGACCTTGGCTTCAGCTGAAAGGTCTAATTCGAGAATGGAAGCCTTTTGGGCTCTTGATATCAGAAAAAGTTCCCATGTCACACCTTAGTGTCCCATACAATACAAAACACTGTTCACAGATCATGTGGCCACATGGCAGTTGCACCTCTGCTTAGTCAAAAAAGGCAACAGAATCAAGCTGCTTGACTGTACATATCATAAGGACAATCCTCACCCTGAGATTCTAAAGTACACAAGTAGTTTATAATAGTAAGAGAAGTATCATATCAAGGGATTCCATGAGTAGAAAACATATCAAGTAGGTAATGTAATGCAAGTGCTCACTAGCAGCAAGGGTATTGCAGTATGCCATTTTTTAAAATGGTTTTTTTATCAGATATAGCTGCACAGGAAAAAAGTTAATAACTAAGAAAAGAGTAGGGAAAGAGAGCAAAAAATGAACATGAAGATAACCCACAAAACTATTAGCTCTCATTGGTCGGGATTCGGCACTCTAATTGGTTCAGATTTCGCCTGGCCTGATCAGGAAGGTGATTTTTTTTAATCAAAATATATAGTTTTCAAGTTAAAAGATTTCAATCAAAAGAGCATATTTTTCCAAGAGAAAAGTAGAGAAGAGAGCAAAATGAAGCATCTTTTAAGCGGGGGAATGCGGGGGGTGGGGGGGAGGGGCGGGAACTGAGCGAAGCGAAGCGAGGGGGGGGCTGCGAAGCAGGAGCCCTCTTAGAAAAGAAGAGAAGAGGAAAGAGAAAGAAGAAAGAGAAAAGGGAGGCGAGAAAAGAACAGATAAGGGAACAGAGATAGAAAGAGAAGAGGGGAGATAGCAGGGAAGAGAGGAGAGAGGAAAGGAGGGAAGAGAAGAGGGAAGAGAGGAGAAGTAGATAGATGAAGCTATTCAGAGTCTCTAATAGTAACAAATATCGCTCGCGACCGAAGTAAGCTTGCTCACGGAGGCTCCATGGTATATGAAGTAATATTGACTAAAATTGACAACTAAAGAGCTATGGAAAGAATGTGTACTTATATATTTAGCGCAGTAGACGAAATTGACAGTGGATCCGTACTGTAACCCTACAATCCGAGCTACCTACACAGTAAGCTGCAAGTCAGATGTTGGTTCCTGATATCTGTCCCGTGGCCTGTTTTGTGCCCTGCATGTTGGATGGGTTATAATACTCTGGCCTGGGCCTACGACGTCCAACTGGAATTACGCGAGGCTCCAACAAAACTCACAACTGAAGCGAAATGGCGCTCCTACAGTCGGAATTTCGCATCTGCATTATTGGAGCGGGTATCGTAGGGCTTGCTGGAGGTATCCTCTTGAGTCGCCATGGCTTTCAGGTCACTATCGTCGAGAAGGACCCTGGCCTGCAAACCGTTAGTACTCATCATCAGACCAGCCCTCAGGTGGCTATTTCCAGAGCATACCAGCTGATCGAGGCAATGCCTCCTCATCAAAGGTCGGCGCAGGCATACAGCTCCACCCCAACGCCCTTCGTGTGCTCCAAGACCTCGGCGTCTACGACGACGTCAAGGCCGAGTCCGTCCTGACGCCCACCATCATGTTCAAGGACTACGCCACGGGCAGGACGCTCCACGCCCAGGACGTGCGCGGGGCTGAAGAGAGGTACGGCGCGCCCGTGCTGACGGTGCACCGCGCACACCTGCGGCAGGCGCTCTACGACCAGGCCCTGGCGGCGGGTGTGCATTTCGAGTTTGGCATCGTCGCTCAGGCGGGCGGCGTTGATCTTGCTGGCGGCGCTATCACGTTGCACGCAGCCGACGGCGGGCCGTCCAAGGTAGTCTCGGCAGACCTCTTCGTAGGTGCGGACGGCGGCACCTCGGCCGTGCGGGAGGCCTTCACTGGGCGCAAGCTTTCGCTCGTCCCGCACGGCAAGGTGGTCCACCGGATCGTGCTGGACGAGGCGCTCATCCGGGCGCGGCCGAACCTGCGACACCTCGTGGACGCGCCCAACATCATCGTGTGGGCGGGCCCCGCGTCCATGGCAGTCACCTATAGTCTGGCAGGCCGCTTCAACATTGCATTTACCCGACCCGGCTCGCTGGACCCGGCGGACGCCTTCTTCCGGCCCGAGCCCGTCGACCTGGACGGGTTTCTGGCTGAGCTGGCCGTCGAAGGCTGGGACCCCGAGGTCCTCGAGCTAATCGGCCTCGCCAGTGACTGCATGCGGTGGATGTTCTTCGAGCCCCTGATCGACAATGAGACTGTGCCGTGGGTCGACGCTGGGGCTCGATTTTGCATTGTTGGTGACGCCGCGCACCAGACATTGCCCTACCTGTAAGTCCGAATGCCATCTCCTACCTCCTCCTTCGTCCATGTCCAAAGGCTGTCAGGAACCGAGACTTTTTGAATAGATGGTTCAGCAAGTAAAGGAAAGCTGACTTGGCATGACTGTCCTTTTACAGAGCCCAGGGCGCCGCCATGGGCCTCGAGTCCATCTCTGTGCTCGCGCAACTGCTAAGCAAGGCGCACAGCCGGGAGCAGGTAAGAGACTGCCTCGACGTGTATCAGCGCCTACGAAAGGAGAGGACAGGCCACGTGAATAGGGCAGGCTTAAAAAACGGGGCGATCTGGCAGATGCCCGACGGTCCGTTGCGGGACGAGCGGAACAGGGTTCTCCTCAACGAGACGCCGTCGGTCGGCTTTCCCAACCCTCTCGCGGATCCTTTCTTCCAGGTTTGGCTGTGGGGGTTTGATGCACCTACGGCGGCCAACGAGGCCTGGGAGCTACACATGCGCCGTTCCAGCCGGTAAGCCCTGCGGGAAGGAGTAGTGGTGCTGGTCAAGGACCATTACAGATGGAGAAAATATCAAACCTACGTGTGCTTTGGACAACATGGTTCGTGTCATCCGAGGAATGTAATAATTATGTGCATTAGATTCTATTAAGACTTATATCTTGTAGCATTACTTGCAACGTATTCTATTCCAAGGATGAGACTAGGAAAGGGGGAACCACTGGTCGAAGCGCCCCTGGGGATCGTACTCTTTCTTCAGGGTCTGCAGCCGAGATAAGCTATCGCCGTAGATGTCGGCCAGGGCCTCGTCGCCATGGGCAAAGTTGACGTAGCTAGCAATGCCGGTCAGCAGGCAGGTCAGGTTCGCATGACGAGAAAAGAAGAAGAAGAAGAAGAAGAAGAAGAAGAAGAAGAAGAAAAAGAAGAAGGAATAGAGACTAGTGTTTACTTACGCGCTGAAGGTGCTGGTTCCGGAGGAGGCGGACAAGATGCTTCTGACCTTCTGACCAAAGTCATTGGCTGCCGTGTCAAGGCTTGCTGACGTGTACCAAGGAATGGTGATGGCGTAGCACTTGATGTCGCGCCAGGGATACGCTGACTGCGAGTCGCCAATCTCGAGCATCTTACCTGTCGAGTAGCACTCGGTCAGGAGGGTGGTCAGATTGGCCTCGGCATACGTGTCGTAGAAGTCAATGTATTCGTTCCAGACCTCGCGCCAGGCCGTGGGGTCAAGCGTCTTGAGGTTGGTCTCGTACGAAGGCTTCCGGCCACCGTCGGCGCAGAAAGCGTCGCCCGCAGCATTCCAGGTATTGTAGGGGACGACCTCGGTATCGTCCACCTCCGGGCCAATGGCGAGGATGGAGGCGAACTTCTCACGGCCAGTGGCCTCGTCGCCGATGTAGAACGGCAGGACGGCCACGACGCCCTCGGTGAAGTAGAAGTCGAGCTGCATCTCGGCCTCCAAGGTGAGGTTGTTGATGGCGGAGATGATGCTCTCGATGGCGCTGTCGTTGAAGTAGAGAAGCCCCGTCCAGGCGGTATTGTCGGCCTGGGCCACAGGGTAGCTCTGATAGACGGCGGAAGTGACAATGCCAAAGTTGGGGCCTGCGCCCTTGAGAGCCCACCAGAGGTCAGGGTTGCTGGTGTTGGTGACGGTGCTCGCCTTGCCGCTGGCGTCGACGTAGTTGACCGAGATGAGCTGGTCCAGCCCCAAGCCGTAGAGGCCAGTACCTCTGCCCAGGCCGCCACCCAAGCCGGCGCCGAGCACGCTAACACAGTTGCAGGTTCCGGTAGCGACGCGGGCGTTGTTGTCCCAGGCGGCCGCCACAATATCCTCGATCAGTACGCCCGTCTGGAACGTCACCTCGGTGCGGGCCTCATTGAAGGCGATGCTCTTGAGGTTGGACACGTCAATGACGACGCCGCTCGTGTTGAGGTCGAAGGTGTCCGCCCAGCCGTTGCCGCCGGACTGGAGGAGGAAGGGCACGTTGAGCTCGTTGGCGATGGTCACCACGGTGGCGACGTCGGCCTCGGTGCCCACGGTGATGATGGCACCGGGCTGCGGGGCGGCATAGTCACTCCATCGCACGTCCTGGACGCCGCACTGGATGGTTGAGTTACGGGACAGCACGGTTTGGTACTTGGTTACGACGTTGCAGAACGACGTGACACTGCTGCCCTTGCAGGCTAGGCCGAGGCTCAGCAGGCTGGCGGTTATGCAGAAGCCGCGGGAGTGCATGGCGGTAAAAATGGGCGCTGTTTTGTGTGTTGCAACGAGAGCTGGTACCCCGAACAGGCCTGCAATGACACGTGGGAGTAACAGTACCGGAGTACATGGGCTGAGCCCTTTATACCAATCACTACTCGGACCCAAAGGGGCGGTCCTTCAAAGCCAGGCAAATCTCGGCTGCCTCGAAGGGCTGACGGGGCCCAAGTCATGACACATTGACAATAGATTGGGCGCGCGCCAGTTGGCCCAAGGGTGGGCGTGGGCGTGATGCTCTGCCCGCAAAATACATAGTCTTCTCAACTGGGGCGACCAAGTACGACGAGGGTTGAGCCCCAGCCCGGCTTAGTATGACTTGCCCTGTAGAGTCTGCCGAGATTTGTAAAGGATGCTGCAGTCCAGTCTGTATGCGACTATGGAATCAATACCTGGGACCATTGGTGCAAGGGAGGGCCGGACACAGGATCCCTTTTGAGAGCAGAGCCCCAAGAAAGGCCAAGCCCCGCATACCATCGCACATTACACACACAACACAGTGTAGTGTCGTGAGTGGAGGGTTGATGCGCCATCGGGAGGGACTTCCAAGACCGACCAGTAAGACCACACGTTGCTGAGGGTGTGGCACTTTTGTGTCGGGCTGACCCACCCACTATCGGCGTGGCGGCGATCCTGCGGGATCAGTGTCATCCCATTGGCCTTAATATGAATCCTGCAGGATTCAGCTCCCAGTCTGCTAACTGCTACTCCTTCTATGGATTGGTTAACTACATAGTATGTAATGCGCGCCTTCGGCTGTTGGTCATCCGCATGCACCGCAGCGGAGCTCCTAGATTATGGTATGCAAGTGTTTTGGTCAGCACCAGCCCGACGAAAACCTCGCACGTACTTATGGGGTATGATGGGTATTTTTGGTCTCCCGAACCAGATAATTCCCATCTACCACAGCACAGACCACGGGTACCAGACCGAGGTGCCATGTTTTTTTGGTATACGATACCGTACATAGTAGTAGCATCGACGGTTTATTTTCTGTATGTAGATGAGCGCCCCGTCGATACTTTTTGGACGACATTGTCTCGACGAAACGGCGACCGCGCCCCTCTCCAATGCACACAGAACCTTGATCTTGCATCATCTTGGCCACACCGTATGCGAGGTGAGTGAGATAAGCGGCCCAGCGCTTCGAGTAACCCCTGTCCAAAGGTGGCCTGGAATTGTGGGTTATTCATCGCCCTCTTCTTTTTCCAGTTTTTTTTTTTTTCCTCGCTAGTCACATTTGTCACACGTGGATGGACATCTGTCGGAGAATCTTTGGTTGCACTGCAGGATGATCTGTTCTATTACTGTGCATATGCACCGCACCATGTTTGGCTGTATTGGTTCTTGCAACAGGAGCTGGAGGATGACCGGATGTCACATACAAGTACGTAGTGTCGAGGGCCTAGAAGTATACATGGCTATGCCCTCCGCCCCAGCTCTCGCTTTCATGTGCCCATAACAACATGTTGGCGGTTGTCTTGTGGTGCCCCCATTGCCAAGTCTGCCCAACACAATAACCCCGCGCCTACAAGAGCAGCAGCAGCAGCAGCAGCAGCAAGCCACCATCCTTTGGACCTGCAGGCTGAGATCTCAGTGGGACGACCCTTCATTATGGAGAATCCGTACTTCCATCCCGACTACCAGCCGTATCCACGGTCTGTCCTCATCGGGACGTCCATATTGTTCATCATCACCCCAATTGTCTCCGTGGGCCTCAGGTTCTACTCACGGTCGCTGGTCGCCGCCCATTTATCCATCGATGACTGGATCACCATCCCGTCTGCGATTATCTGTGTAGGGCTGGCCATCAACCAGCTCATTGGTGAGTTTGATGGTTCCGTCAGGTGGATTGGGTCTGTGATGTGTGACAGAAACAAGAAGAAGAGTTGGCAGAGCAGGCGGCTGACACAGTCTTTTCTTGGGAAACCACCACAGCGACCACAATTGGAGGGCTTGGGACTCATCAGATACTTGTCGACGGCCAGCTCGCCCACACGCACCAGCTCTATGTCTACGAGTACACCAAATATACCTTTCACGTGCTCGGGACCATCGGCCTGGGCATCATCAAGCTCTCGGTCCTCTTCTTCTACCGAAGAATCTTTGCAATCCGGGCCTTTCGCATCATCAATAATGTCTTCATCGTCATCACCATCGCCTGGACCATCGCCATCACCTTTGCGCTTGCCTTCCAGTGCTACCCCGTGCACAACTTCTGGGACCTGTTTGAGAGCGAGTACACGGAGCACTGTGTCGAGGTGACGGCTCTATACCTCGCCGTGGCTGTCTCCGACATGGTCCTCGATATCCTGATCTTTCTGCTGCCCGTACCTCATCTGTATTCTCTGAAGATGCCGCTGGGACGGAAGCTCGCCGTCTGTGGCATCTTCCTGCTGGGATCGATGTGAGTTCTCATACCCGTCGTCATGTGTCTTGTTTCATTCAACCTCCCGCAAGAGAGAGGAAGAGAGAGGGAAAGGGAGGTGGGAAAAATAACTACAACCAAAACATGTACTGACTTGAACAGCGTCGTCGCCTGTGGTGTTACCCGCGTCATCATCTTCGACTGGGTCATCGAGTTCATGAAGGTGGACCCGATGGCCTGGGTAATGGACACCACCTGGTACTCGTCGGGCGTGCTCTTCTGGCACATCACCGAGAACGTCGTGGGCCTGCTGGGCTGCTGTCTGCCTACGTACCGGCCGCTGGTCAGAAAGTTCCTGCCCAAGCTCAAGATGAGCACCGGCGGTGGTTCCTACGACATCTCCGGAGGTGACAACTCGGCCAAGCTGAAATACCACCAGCAGCACCAACACCACCACCACCACCACCCGCCACGGGCCTCCTACCGCAGGCAGCAGGAGGATGAGTGGCCCCTGGCGCCCGGGGCTGATGGCAAGTCGGCAGCCACGACGAGGGTTGTGGGCGCAGGGTCAGATAATTACCCGCTCGATTCCCTGCCCAAAGACAGGATTATGGTCCAGAGGGACTTCCAGGCGGAAACTTCAATGGTTTGATGATGTGAACCAGGAAAAAGGAGGGGAGGGGAGGGCGGGCAAAGGGAACAAGTGTGACATGAACTTCCGATTCGATATGACGACCATGTGCAATAGATGCTATTCTAATTGATGATAGACCGGAGCGCTGGTTCATTGCTTTCTACATGATTGACTAGGAGAGAGGCACGTCGACATCAGCCTGCCGTCCTCACACGTTACATTATGCATTCACCAAAAAAAAAAAAAAAAAAGGCGTCTGAGGTAGCCCATGATTCTACAAAGAACCATAAACGGACTTTGTACACAGTGATATATATTTCCATATCAGACTCTAATTAAACGCCAAAGGCTTGATTTGTCATGGTTCACAAGTGGGCGAACCAAGACAGTTGGCGAGGACAAGGAGATTATGTCAAGACCTCAATTAATGCAGATTTCAAAGGGCACAGCAGGTCTCCAAACTTCGTGTTCTTTGTTTTTTCCCCCTCTTCTCTCTGTGTATCTCTCCATTTCTTTTCAAATTCCAGCGCTGTGTTTCACACGGCTTCCTACATCTTGTACGATGGCTCCTTTTCCTCTCCAGCACGGCTTCCGTTCCAGTATTCTGCAAACAGTGCAGCGCCCGTGGTGCCGCTGACGATCAGACCGCCCCAGGCAAACCACCACCCACACACGTCCGGCCTCGACCGTTTTACCGTTCTAGCCATGATAGTCTGGTGAAATTCTTGATCAGCCAGACCGCCTTTGCCAGGGCAATGAAAGTAGTATGCGGGAGCATAGTAAACGGATTTAGAAGAAGAAAAAAAAAGGGGGAGAAAAAAAAAAAAAAAAAGAAGATGACCCTACCAGCCACATGGCATTCCCACCGACGGCGCCGACCCAATAGATGGGGGAGAATCCGCCCAGGACGCCCGTGACAGCCAGGCACGCAACCTGCGCAGCCCCGAGCGTGGAGATGAAGGCCGTCGTATTGTGGTACCGGACGGCCATGCTGCGAACGCCGGCCTTGACGTCGTCGGGCGTGTCCTGGCAGGCGTTGACATAGTCGAAAATGGTGGTCCAAATGTAGTGCGACAGTGTCAGCGAGGCAGTGGCCCCTGCGATAGCCAGCGAGGACATGTCGAATGGGTCCAGGCCCACCGAGGCCGCGGCCATCAGGACACCTCCGGCAATCGGGGCGCTCAGAACCAGTTGGGGGAAGCTGTCGGCAGATGGAAAGTGGGGATTAGCAGAGGGTTGAAGCATCGACGGAAAAACGTTCTGTGGAGACCTTTGTTTATTTGGAGAAAGCAAGATAGATCGGCCGCCTCTTCGGTGGGCCCAGAGATATCGCCATATTACCTGAGCTGTGCGCTCTATACGTCAAATGAAAAAAAAGGGCTCGCAGCAGACTTACTCTGTGAAGCGCTTGCATAAGGGATACAGGCTGACCACCAGCTGAATGGGAACTATACAACCACATTCTTATGCTTAACCAGGAAGAACCATCAGACGAGATGAGGGCGGAGGAGAGAGGCCAGGACAGGCCTTGGCCCAAGGGTAGACCAAAATCCGCCCGCACAAACTTACCTGCGTAGCCAAGCGCGAGCAACGGGTTTGGCAGACAAGCGATGGCGGCGCCGGCGCCGACAGTCTGGGCCGCATACCAGATGTAGCCCTGGGCGGGCGTGACGGCGCCACGGGCGACAGGCCTATGGCGGCAGCGGGCGACGCGCCTGTCGTACTCGCGGTCGAGGATGTCGTTGACGGTGCAGGCCGCACCGCGGAGGAAGACGTTGTAGACGAGCAGGATGGCGGCCGTCGACGCCAGGCTGGACGGGGCGACCGCTGGGGTGAGCAGGCAGGCGCCGTAGCCGAGCCCGATCACGTAGGCCATGTAAAAGCCGTACAGGCCGCCGGGCTTCTCGATGCGCGAGAGCTGGGCGTAGGGAACCCATGAGGAGGGCAGCTTCGAGAGGATGCCCTTGGTCGGGGGCGTATACGGCGGGAGCTGGTCCAGAGGCGTGCTGGGGGTGACGGTGCTCTGCGGCCTATCCTGACTCCTGCAGATGGTCTGCCTTGGTGAGCAAATCTTCAGCGGATGATATGTTTGCAGTATGAGAGCAGAGTGGGACGTCGAGGTAGAAACACGCCACCCGTGTCTTGCCCTTGCGCCGGCGCTCTGTATCAGAGGTCGCATGGGCGCCCGAGATACTATACTTGGCAGCATAGTAGGTTCGAGGAGCGAGTTTTTGTAATTACTTGTTGTTGTTGTTGTTTTTTCCCCTCTCTCCTCCTCCTCTTCTTCTTCTTCTTCCTGGTCTCCTTCTATTGGGTCGTCTTTCCGTACAAGCTCGGTCCCGAACGCCAACTCACATAGGAAGTCAACATCGACAGGCGGACGCATTGCCGACACCCGCGCAGCACGAGTAATCACTTATATTAACTTTATATCTTGCGCCGATGACCCAGCAGATGGGCCGACCAAGCTCACTCCGCTCCTCTGGTCTGGCCTACGACACCACAACGGGTGAGCCTACCCATATTCGGCGAGTGCCCGATCCTGATAACAGTAGGCCATCTCAAGCAGAGGATCACTTAGTCTAGTAGGCTGTGAACTTTTCAGCGGGCTCGCCCGAGGATGCCTGGATATCCTGGGATAGTCTGGCTTCGGCCCGCAGTAGGGTCCATGTAGTTTTGGTCCATAGCTTGAGTGTCTGGGCTGTCAACAAGGTGTGGCTGCCGCTGTCAACAGCTCCACAAGTGGGACCCCATCGTTCTCTCCTGGCATTGACTGCAGACCCCGTGACTGTCTCGTTCCCTGTGGCATTCGGCCTGTCGGATCGGGCGCCAGGGAGAAAGGCACAAACAAAAAAAGACAAAAAGAAGTGTAAAGAGAGAGAAAAAAACAGGCAACCTTGGGACAATTGGTCTCCCATGCGACCTGCCTCACTTGAGACGCACACATTGTTACACAATTGGAAGACACCCCGCGACTATTGTTTTCCCATGCGACGTGGATGCTGATGCGCTGCAACCTGAGCATGACTGCGTGGATGCTCACGAAGGGGAAGAGACAAAGAGACCCCGGCAGATACTTGTACCACAGTACGTAACTATGTACTCTACTATAGTAGTACGCTGACTAGTCCGCCGATCCTCTCTCGAAATGCTCCAGTCCTGACTGTACTAGTACTGTCGATGTGCACTGTGAGGCATTTGTACAGCACTGCACTGACGGAATCAGTCGCCGTAGCAGAACCAATCAGGGTTTGCCCGAGGTTCCGCCACCCAAAGCGGAGGGCCGTGGACCTTTTGTCATTGGCCAACGTCCCCACCACCGGCAGTTTGCAGGTAGTGGCTATGCTTGGCACTCAGTCAGTCCACTCTCCCCCTCACCCCGCCTGAGACTTGCTGTGCTTTGTTGTGTTGGTCGTACCAGGCCGAGAGACTAAGCAGTAATGCAGGAGGTGCAACGTTGGGGGCTTGGTCGCTCGCTCAGTATAAATGGTTTCTCGAGGGCTCTCTTTCAGTTGTCATGGCTCTCCCTTGTCCCACCTGCGCTTGAAAACGAAATACATCCTAGAGCGGTGAGAATCAAAAGAGAGAAGCCAAAAAAAAAAGAGGACGAAACCCCCCACCCCCCCCCCCCCAAAATGGCTCAGAGCAAGTTCGAAACAGAGCTTGAATCGCTGCAAGCGCAGCACCCGGACATCAAGCTCCACACCCCCGCCTCCCCCGACTATGAGAGTCTGAGAAAGACGTACATCGTCACCACAGCCAAGCCGGTGGCCATTGCTCGGCCCCAGACTGCGGACGACGTGCAGGCCCTGGTCAAGGCCTGTGTTGACAAGGGCATTGACTTCAACATCAGAACCGGCGGCCACAACTGTGTGGGGCGTTCTCTAGTTGATGGCGCTCTCTTGATCGATATGCGCGATATCGCCTATGTCAATATAAGCGAAGATAAAAAGACAGCCAAGATCGGCGGCGGCATTCTGGCTGGAGGTTTACTGAAGGCACTTGGAGAGCATGGTCTAATTACGCCCTGGTTTGTTTCTGCCTCCCCCCAGACATGCAAGATCAAGATATGATAGCGTCTTCAGAAGGCTAATGCTTGTTATATAGCGGGTCTACTGCCTCAGTCGGATATGTCGGTTGGAGTACTGCTGGCGGCTATGGCCCATTCTCGAGTCTTTATGGCCCTGGTGTTGATCAGATTGTTGGAGCGAAGCTAGTAAACTATAAAGGCGATCTTATAGATGCTAGCGACGAGTTGCTCAAGGGCATACGTGGGGCAGGCTATATCTTTGGCGCTATTGTCGAGCTGACTATCAAGGTCTTCCCGCTGAAGGAGGTGAGTAGCAACGCCCTGAGAACCAACTTGTCTTGACAACAGCGCCTGCTAGCAACTCAAACTGACTGCCATTTGGCTACACAGATGCTGGTCAGCACTCTGATCTATGAATCGAGCGATATGCAGTCTACTTGGGCCACTCTGACTAGTGGTCTCAAGGGTCTGGACTTGCCGCCAGCCTCCTATGTTCAGCTGTTCGCTATGGACTTCCCGGGTCTTGGCAAAGTGCTTGCTGCTATTGTAACCTGGGTTGACGATAACCACGACGAAGGCCGCAAGCTGGTTGATAAGATCGCTACCTTTGGCACTTGCCTGGTAAACTCGACTGAGGCTAAGACAGTGGCTAAATATGGTGAGGACAACGAGCGGTTGGTGACATACGGCGTCCATGGACGCTCCTATGCCATCAATCTCAAGACATGGACGCCCGCTTCTGTGGGCGTCTTGGGCAAGTATAGCGCTGCTGTTCCTGCTGGCAATGCTATGATCTCTGTACACGGCCTCCGGAACGTTCGCCCCAACGAGCATTCAGTCTTTGGGGCTCGTGAAGACCACCATATGGTCGAGATAGTCTCTATGACGGCTGATCCAGCGCTCGAGGAGGCGGCATCCGCCTGGGGCCAGGGCTTGCTGAGGGAGCTAAGGCAGAAGGATGGAGACAATATACTCGACAGCGCCTACATCCCGCTACTTGACTACAGCGATACGGATCTGAAGAAGGTCTATGGTCCTCACCTCGAGACGCTCATCTCGCTGAAGAAGAAATACGACCCGCAGAACGTGTTCAAGCACTCTCAGCCGAGGGTGCTTGGGTGAAATAGCAAGATCAGCTTTAGACTACCAAGATCAACAGAGTCTGTTACCTAAAAACAGCCCTAGTTCTTTCAAGTGATGAAGTACAACCTCTCAGAGCTTGTACTTCGCTATATGTTTTGTATGCCGTTCAACTTGTGCTATCGTCGAGAACATGACCGCTATACTCGAGCCGCTGGGGGGTTGAGGGCGGTGTGCAAGTACAATATCGCTAACACCAAATATTATTCAATGAGAATCAAGGGTTATTCATCTGCATATTGAATAGTAACCCCAGTACATCTCTACTCACCGTACTTGAGTGCTGATCAATAATGCCTTCTTCTTAAGTATATACATACCACAATGATAATCGAGAACCCAAAGGTAGTCAGTCGGAAACGCCGTATTGCAATATATAGGAAAGCCTTTTTGTCAGGCCGCTCGTTGATGCACAGTAGAAACACAAGTCGTCTGTGATAGAAATTCGATCAGGGTTTCGGGCTTTTGACTTGTTCGTCGAACTCGGGTGGTCGATGGAGTCGAGTTAGCCTCCTTGTTAAAGTTCTCCTTGGGTAGCTTAGACCCGCTCCAGGTTCGCCGGTCTTTTGGGATTTTCCAATCCTTATGTCTAATCATCAATATTAGTACAGAGATCGTATCGCATTATTGAGTCTGGTACTATAATTACGTATGTTATTATAATGGCTGCTATCCTTTGCTACCGGGTAGGTCAATCGCTATGTTTGCTACGTTTCACTGCTGCTCGAGCCATTAGGTGCTGACGAGCCTAGACACGGCTGCCTTTGAGGACTAGATGAAGGCCCAGGCTAGTAATTGAATAATCACCACGTATGATGAGCCACCCTATGTAAAATTGCAGCTAAGAAGATATGCGCAGAAGGTCTTGGACCTCGTGATTTGACTGTCTTATACTACATAGAGAACTATAGCTCTACCCAAGCGACTCATCGTCGTCAAACCCTGAATCAGAGGCCGAAACACCGTCGGACTCGTCTCTACTGCCATCGTCTTCATGTCTAGCTGGCAGCTCAGCCTCTCCGGCAGCAGAACCACTTTCGTGTGAAGCGTCACTTGAAACGCTATCATCGCTCCGGGTCGACTCGTAGGGAGAATGGGAATGCTCCTCGGGCTCGTACTTCTCTCCTATCTTTATAAAGTCGTGGTTCTCCTCCGGGTGGAAAATGTCCTTGTGCATGTAACAAACGAAGCACAAGACGAAGTTGGGGCACTCCATCTCCTCTGCACAGTGCCAACGTATGCCACGACAAGTCTGGTTTGCAGATCAGCACCACATTTCATCGACTCTGATGTAGTAACTTGTGAAGAACGTAGTACGCTGGAATATTTGTTTCCAGCACAAAGGTGAACAAGAGAAAAGAAAACTCACGCAAAAACAACCGGAACATGTCGATGTCTCCCCGATCCAGCCTGTTTTAGTCACATGGAAATCGTCATCCCATCTTTCGATGCTACCATCTTCGGCTTCTCTTTGCTTCTCTTCGGGTACCAGACGCCGCAACATAGCTGGGTCTGTAGAGATCGGTGATCTTATATCAAAGTACCTGGCCGTCTTTAGCGGCGACCATTCGTCGTAGAAACCTTTTCCCCTTGCCCAAGGGCTCGCACCGGCCTCAAGCAAGCTGTCACAGATCTCATCGAAATCGTAAGTGCCACCGCGGCACACCCAAAGTAGTGGCGTCCACCCATCGCAGTCGGGTACGTCCCAATGAACCCTGCTCTCTCCGGCGTCCTTGAGCATTGTCAGGTGGCTGAAGGATCCTACGGAGGCCACATAGTGCAATATGCCGCGACCTAGTTTATCCGTTGCCTCGACGTCCGATCCAAGGTCGAGGAGCGTTTGCATAAACCATGTTCCTCTTAGCACACTATAATGAATAGGCATGCGTCCAGCTTCGTCTCGGGCGTTCACCTTGGCTCCGTTCCTGACGAGCAATTCGGCGATAAGCTCGCAGTCTATATAGCCAGAGCGGGCGTTATTAATCATAGGGTGCTTGTAGCGGCCGCCACCCAAGTTCACGTCGGTCTTTTGCTCCTCCACTAGGTATTTAATCACAGCTTGAGAACCATGCCGGTCAACCATACACGCCTGCAAGATGGATTCGCCGCTGCGTTGGTCCAATTCGTTGACGTCTGCACCAGCCTCCACGAGCAGTCTTACTAACGGAAGGTCAGCATTTCTGCAGGCCATCCTCAGCGGACTGCCAAGTCTAGGGCTGCCCAGGTGGATATCTGCTCCCTTGGAAATCAGGTAGCTGGCCGCGTCACGGTGGCCTGCGTCCACAGCTTTCATCAGGTGCGAGTAGTCGTTGTCGTTCCGGGCCGAGGGATCCAGGCCTATATTCACAAGACACCGGACAACGGAGACGGTGTGCCAAGGCCCGATGTGATGGAGGACAGTATTCCCATCGTTATCGCGCTGATTCAACTCGGAGGGTGACAGATACTCCAATATGCTCCTAACAGCGTCCTCGGCCATCTCGCGCGTCTTCCCGTCGACATCAAGCCCGAAGCAAAGCAAGAGTGGGAAGCTCCCGGACCGCGTTCGATGTGTCGCATTCGCGCCCGCTTCCAGCAGCAACCGCATGATGTCGACGCGGCCGTTTCTGCAGGCGAAACAGAGCGGCGTCATGCCATCCAGATGCGGCTCATCATCTTCCGAGGTGAACTCACACTCCAGGTCGAGCTTCTCTTTGCCCTTGTAGTCCACGAGCGCCTCGACGACGTCCCTGAAGTTCCACCTGGACGCGAGGAGAAGAACAGTGCTGGCAGAGTCGGAACGCGAGTTGATATCGGCCCCCGCGTCGAGGAGCGCATTCAAGGCTGTGACATTATCGTACGCCGCATGGATCGGCCTCCAGCCGCGGGGGTTTTCTGCCCGTGCATTCACATCTGCACCGTCCTGAATCAAGCTTTTGACCAGGTCTATGTCCACATCGCCTCGCCAGACGCTTGCAAGGAGTGGCGGTCGTGATCTCTCGCCGCCGTGATTCACATCTGCACCCCGGGTCCGGAGGTAATCAAAGACTTCCCTGGTGCTGTATGCCGCCGCTGATGCAAGAGCTGTTTTGGGATGGTTGTCTGTCTTGCTCTCCCCCTCGATATCCGCGCCGTGGTCGAGTAGAAGCTTCAACATGGCCACGCTGTCCTGGAGAACGGCATGGACGACGGCAAGCTCGATGTCCTTGGTCGTATGGTTCGGTTCACAGCCCTTCATGAGCAGCATCTTGGCGATTTCAATAAAGTCGCGTTCCACTGCTTGTTGTAATGGCGACATGTCTGCGCCCTCCGCAGCCTGCACATTTGCACCATGCTCGACGAGAGCCCTGACACATTCGATATACCCTCTATTGGTGGCGAAGATCAGCGAGGTCTCGTTTGGATTCGTCCAGTCTGTCCAGCGCGTCTCAGGAGAGGCTCCTGCCTTGAGGAGGGCTTCTATGGCCCGAAAGTTTGCGTACTCGCCGGCCATCTGCAAAGGATTATGGTAGCAGCCTTCTGCTGAAGGGATGGTTTCCCCAGCATCAAGCAGGAGTTGTATGGTTTCTGGATCGCCCCATCTCGCGGCCTCATTGAGCGCCGACGTGTAACCCATCGGAGACGTGACTGTCTTGTCGGCTCCAGCGTCGAGCAGGAGTTTGGTAATGGCCTTGTGCCCTCGGCGTATGCTTACATACAATGGTGGTCCTTCCAACCGTAGATCTTCCTGTCTGGGATTCACGTTCACTTTCAGATCGATGAGTAGCTGCACAGCTCCGACATGCCCCAGCCAGACGACTCGGAACAGGATGTCATCGGCCCATTTGTCGCCCTCTGGCCAGTCACGGAAGTCGTCCATGTTCGAGGCTTCCCTGATGAGGTATTCAATAAGATCACCATCTCCGTTCGCCGCAGCCGCATCGATCGCCTCACGCATGTAGGCGGCGCTGGGCTTGGACGTTGCCATGAGGAGACGGACCAGGCTCTTGTTCCCGTGTCTGGAAGCCTCAACCATTGCCAACCAGCAGTCAGCACTGAATCTCTCGGCGCCGTAGGCATGCGACTGCACCTGTGACTGCATGCCATTCCTTAAGTGCTCTTCGACCAAGCCAAACAGTCCTGTTCTCCCCAATATCGGCAGCACAGTTGAATATCCACGGTGAATCCTAGTCAAAGGGCTGGAGAGAGCATAGTAGGCCTCAGACCAAGCTAGCATGGTGGTACGTTCCTCGAGGAACTGATTGATCTCTGCCGACAACTGTGTGTCATTCCCTGCAAGCTGGTAATGTTCAGGAAAGTACCGAACAGCATAAGCGGTCCAAGTCTCCCGTGAAGGAACCGCCGTATCCTCAACGTCTTCAAGCTCTTTGACGAGATCTTGCATCTCTGCAAGACTTGAGGGCAGGCGCAGGTGCCGCAGAGCGAGTCTCACAATCTCTGCGTGCGATATGGAAAGTGATGTGTGCGTGGTCAACGAATGCATCAAGCAGTCGTGGGCGAAATGGAGCTCGTTGTCTTTGACGACGAATTGGCCTGGAAATATCACTTCTTGAAGCAATTGCGCCATTTCCCGAGTAGACCACCCGGCGACATCCCTCTCTTCATCGCTACTGACTAAGACCTCGTCCGTGACAAGAGCTGAGGCTAGCTCTTGGACAGTCAGCGGGTGCAGAACATGCCTGACTAGCTTGACTGCCTGGTCTCTCAAGGTTTGCCATTCGGACGGGACTTGCTTCCCAAGAATGTCAAAGACACCGGTTGCAGACGATGCACGTGCAGCGCATTCTCTGAGGACTCTCAAGGAAGCCTGAACACAAGACGGCGTCTTTTTTCGTGACTTGAGCCATGCTAGTATCATCAGTTGGAGCTGGGAATCGTGGCTCAGGGCTTCCAGAGCGTCTGGAAGGGCTCTTTGAAAGGCAGGTGCACAGTCGAGAAGCAATTCTTCTCGTTGAGTGGCGACGTCAGCACCGCTGATTCTCTCATAAACAGATCTCTCGGGAAAGTCACAGATATCGACCGCGTCAACACCTTCAAGGCTCTTCTCTGTTGCGTCGGACCCTGTACCGGTGACCATGACCCTGAAACGCCACTCAGACAGAGACGCAGTATCCCGGATGGCTGTAAAGACCTGAGCTAAATCCTCGTCGATACACTCATTGATGCAGCTGAGGATCCAGCAAAAGTCCTCTGAATCTTCCAGCCACCACATGTCCTGGAAAAGATGTACAATATCCGTGAGGCAGATGGTGTGCTCTTGGCGTAGAAAGCTCGTAACCCTGGCTACCTTACGGATAGCAAAGGGCTGTATACGACTGGCAAGCTGCGCCAACAAGCTGATCATCATTCCTCGGGTGTTGTTGAAGCGACAGTCATGCCTCCGAAACCTGAAGTAGAAGCAGGAATTCCTCCAGTTCTCTTGAGCTCGATCGCTTCGATGCCCCAAGATCAGTCGTTCCGAGAGGAGCGCCATGTCGCCTTGGTCCCCACGCAGGCGGAGAAATCGAGTTCCTCTTGTGTCTGGACGGGCCCAGGTTTTATACAGGTCAAGATTCTTGAACCACGACCAGAATGGATCCTTGGAGATGCCCCTGATCATGGGGATAGTGCGGATAGGTGGACAGTGAGACAACAATATCCGACGACCAAAGGTGGAGTCTTCGGCCGAGTTCATCTGCAACCTATGCAGATCGAAGTCGGAGATGTTTTCGTCTGCCATGGCTTTGAAAAATTCATTACATTGGTCGCGAATTTCGCTTGTGTTCTCGTCGTTGCTCTTGTCACCATTGCCCTCCCCACTCATGTGTGCGAGGAGACTGTGTGGTACTAGTGTTCTGTATTGGCCTTCGAGCGGATTGGTGGTCACCCCCTGAGCCTCCTCGAGCGGAAAGCAAGCATTTCTGTCAGGCTCCTTGATCTCAAGTTAGCGGGAGCACTTTTCTTTCTTTAATATAACGGAAATTAGGAGACGCAAGACGAGAAGCAAGACTACGGTCGTGGAATTACCTGACTGGTACTAGAAACCACATTCAAGGTTCTCGCCTGGGCAGACATGTTCATGTCCACAAATTCATTGTTGATTGCATAGATCTGCTCAGCTAGACGCCTCGCTTTGTACGCGAGCCCTTTTGTGATACGAGAGCCGGGCATAGTCAGCAGACGAACTGCAACGTCCTCAGCCTCGCCAACACTACCGACAGTGTGAGGACAGTTGTAAAAGACCAGGCTTTTCGTGTCCGCAGCAAGCCCCGGGTATCGTAGAGGGGATCTCCGAGCTATGCATAATGCCTGAGAACCATATGGTGTTAACGACACTACTAAAGTCTTCTCTCGAGGGTGATATTTTATCAACCTTACCCTCTTGACAATCAATCCCCCCAGGTCACGCGAGACGAACGCCAGGGGACGTTTCTAAACTCGTGGTTCAGTTTCAGAGAAAGACATTCAGCCAAAAGAACTGTCTGGATACGTGACGGGCGTCTCACTAACCCTGGTCTCGTTGCGAGTTTTCTCGCGAATATTTTCCATTTCATCGAGGAGCAATCTTGCGAGCTTGTCGATACCATCTGTTTCCAATATAGGCATAGTACTCGAGCTCTTCGTTTCGACTTCGTAGTAGAAAAATAAACTGTTCATACTTCCTACACCCAGATCTCTCAACTCCCTTTGGGGCCATAATTCCTTTGAATCGGTGAGGTCTCTCCAGACAGACTCGCGGTCGTCACAGATTCCGTGAACGAAGGCCACGCTAGTTACCCAAGCAAAGCATGAGAGTTATTAGCAGATCCTGCTCATTAACATGTGTGTACATGTACTTTGGCCGTGGCTCACTTACTCATAGGCACACCAGGAGGCGGCAACTCCTTCCAGGTCAAGTGCGGGCACCTGTCGCGCAGGTTGTTCAGAATCCTCGACCGAAGTGACGTCTTCGCCATTCGCGAGGACCACGCTCGAGGCCTGGGAGTTTATCCTGACCTCATCGCTGTGATGAGATGAAGATTCGGAGCTCAGATCGTCCGAGGCGTCGTCGTGTTCATCAGCTGCTTTGTGGCTTGCACCGCCAGGCGGAGCCGACAAAGGGTCTTCTTCTGCACTATATTTTACTGCTTGTGATATTGTCGCTGAAGCTGAGCTTACCGACATCTTGCGAGCAATCAATAGATCTTTTTCTCTTCTCTTTTTCTTGTTCTTCTTCTCCTTCAGCTTGGTTATGTGCCTTTCGCCAATATCGCTTTTGATTGTTACCAATAGCCGCCGAGTTCTTCCTTCAACGAATAGATAGTTGCTAGAAAAGTCTTTTTCGTCGTTCGGCACTGCACAGCAGGTTTGGCCTGATTTCCAAGTCATCGGCAGCTTACCATGTATTTCGCGGCGTCGTATCGTGCGCGGAGCTCGTAAGCGGTACTGTGCGCGTAAGCACCCACTCACCCACAGGAGCGCTAAAAGGTCAGCTGAAATGAATGAAATAATGGATGGCTACCTGACTGGCAGAAGGTTCGGGCTTACTGCCTAATATAGACTCGTAGAATCCCGGGCTGGTGTGCTATCCAATGTAGCCGTACGGTATGCCGAGGAACGTGTGTGCAGACATAAATCTTTGCATAACAGGCTGCCCAAGGACTCGTTGAAAGTTTCTAGATTGTGACTCGAAAGCAATATGAGACTCTTCTAAGCGTGTGCGTGCTACAGCGAGAACATACATATTATGACCACTAGACCAGTTCTCGAGAACAAAAAAGGAATGGACGAAATTTACACTGGACTTGAAGATGCAGGGCAGCGTCTGGAGGACATGGCAGAGGACAGCTCTGCGTCTGACGATGATTTCGATATAGAACCGGAAGGGTCAGCCTACGAAATTAGTCTTCAGCCAGCTGCTGATGAAGGGAGCGGATATGTAAGTTAATTATCTCTGTCAACCCACTTATGGCGATGTTACTATCCTTCAATCCTGGCTGGTAGATTCGAAACACGTGATTCGGGATAGCAATATGCTGCGAAGCTAAGATCTCTTTTCTAACGCCGACAATAGCATACCAGGAATGACCCGCGCCAGGGGCGTCAATGGCACCGTCAAGATATCAGCCAACGCAAGGGTGCCATCAGCTTCCGCTGCAACATGATCGACGTCGTTCATGGCAAGTGGGCTCCTGACAGCGACGACTACGCGACGCTTGTGGTCTTCCTCTTCCGCTTCGACGTAAAGAAGCGGTCACGGCGCATCTCACGTGTCGAAATGACCTTCAGCTTCTTTGGCGCCAATGACGAGGACCCGTACTCGCGACCTGCCGTACACGCCATCTCATTTGATGGGTCATTTAGCCTCGCCGAGGAGAAGAACTCTGAGTCGACCACCAAGGGCGTGGAGGGGACAGCTGGGCTGACGGGGGCTCAATTCGCTGAACTATCAAGCACACTCAAGTGGGAGCGGACTGTGACACGAGATAAGAAGACGTATACGACAGTCGTGGGCAACAAGTACAGGCGCAACTACGAGTTCGGGCCAGACGACCAGGCGAACTGGGTCCTTCTCGAGAATGACACCCTGAAAACCGGCGTGCCGGTAGCGTTTCGCGCTGCGGTACTGCTGAAGAGGGAGGACAACTTGCCATTCAAGTGTGAGACGACATTCAATGTTCAAGCAGACTTGAGACACAGGCTTGAAGATTTCTTTGCGTCGAAAGTGATCGACGATCCTGTGCTGTTCAACCCACAGGTCAAGGTGGAGAGGGACATAACGCTGAAAGCCGTAAAGCACATGGACGGAAACGCGATGGGTAGTTTTGATGTCGAAGCGGTCGGCGACGTGACTTTTCTGCGTATTCGCGACAAGGCAATCAAGAATGAGTGACGATACAACTTGATGATCGTGTTGACTAGGGGCATATGATTGGCATGATACAAAGTGAAGGACCGACTTTCGATGCACCCGTCCAGGGCGAAGATGGATTGCTTCAAAGATGCGTTGCTAGGATGCCTAGGAAAGAAAGAAAAAGTTGCGTCATTGTACACCGAAAAGAAGCACCTCGAAAGCGGATACAGGAGAACATTCCACTGAAGCAGACTGTGGACAGACACTCATTTTAACGTCCATCGGTATTGAACAATCCTTCCAATTGTTTTATGCTTGAGGCATTTGTTCCGTCATCAGTAGGTGCTCGCCCTTCGGGGTCCAAAATTGAATGGCACTTCAACAAGCCCGGAGGCTGTACTGATCAGGTGTTGATCCACCGATATCCCACGCCTCAGCCTTCAAAACTCTAAGCCCGTATCAATCATTTCTTTGCAATCATTGGATGCTTGAGGCGTGATTGTCAGCTTGTCATCTCCTCGTGCATCTGAGGTGGATCAAGATCCTGGTCTGCGTGCGCAATGTGTATGGCGTGGGATTCGCACTGTCAAAGGCCCCGCTCATGCTGCCTCAATGTTGGTGTGTGATATCGCGCCAGAGAACACAGTCATCAGGTCACTTGGAAGAGGCTGAGATCCAAATCTTGGGATGCCCCTCTCTTGCATCTCTCAAACTACACTTGTGCCTGCGAAACTTCAGCCACAGTGAGCATCTCAGGAAATATGACGGAACTGTCCCCCATCGACGGGCCCGAATTTGCCCAGAATAAGGCTTTCGCCTCACAGACAACAGATGATGATGATGATGACGCCAAGAACGGCTCGTCGTCAGACTCAGAAGAAGAAGATGATGATGAGGATGAGGATGAGGATGAGGATAACGACAACGAAAAGCAGATAGAATCGAGACTGGACCAAGCCCTCGACGAATGCATAGCGAAGGTACCTAAGTACGACTTCACCACCGCCGAAGGATATGCAGAATTCTCAAATGTGTACACGGGAGTCCTCGACAAACATGTGAAGAACAATATGAAGGGCAACATCCTACACCAGATCGTCAGAAATGGGGCGGACAAATACGATCATATTGGACATGCGCTCGCGGCCATCGTGGAGCATTACTACCCGCTTCTTGACGAAGTTGAGGGACAGGATAGCATTCGTGCTCCTCTAGGTCCAGTGTTCCTTGCCGTACAACAGGATAAGCCACGGATGGTCTCGGCTATGATCAAGGGTTTTCAGAGGCTGGCAGTGACCAAAGAAAAAAAAGACGTCATGAGGAGAGTGTTGTGTAAGCTGGCTGAAGGCGAGACGTGCCTGCATTTTGCCATCAGAAACAATCTCAGAGAATCAGCAATCCAAGCTTTAGTGTCGATGGCAACTGAAGATGTCTTGTCGATTCAAGACAATCAAGGTCGCACGGTGCTACATCACGCTGTCAAATACGAGGATTGCGGCATATCAAAGAGGGCACAGACGGTGCAAATGCTTTTACAAATGGCCAATGATTCGCTCACTCTGGAGGATCATGCGAAACGTTCTGTATTTGTGCATCACGTGGTAAGCTCCCCCGAGAAAGCAAATTTGTCTTCTTACAAGCGTTTCCCAAATCTCAGAACCAATGGCCATCTCACCGTCCCGAATCTCAAGGTCATACTGACTTAATAACAGGAGACACGTAAGCAATTCAATCTCAAGTTAGAATTTGAGCTCGCGAGGCAGAAGAGCGAGGAAGAAGCTGCCGAAAAACGAGGGACAGATCCCTCGGAGAAGCTCGAGCTCAAGACAGGTCTTGACAAGCACGGAGATCGACCCAAGGAGACGGACGACACGAGAAGTCCTGCTCCCCCCAAAGATCCAAAAAGTGCCGAAAAACAGCAGTCCAGAAGTGGTAGGACCGTAGCCAAACCGGATGCGCCAAGCAGAGAAGGCCCTACCACCTTGGCGTACAACGCCCAAAAGGATGACCCCAAGGTCCTCACGCAAGGGATGGTCCGACCAAACCAGAGTGCCCGTCGTGAGTATGACCTCCCGATGACTGGAATCTCCCGGACACGTACGGATCATTTTCCCGAGAATGAGCAAAAGGCTGCCTCTCGGAACAACTCTCAGACGCGACGGCGTGAGATTGAGCTGCAAAAAGAGGAGGAAAGGAAGCGGACAGATATGAGAAGGGAAGATCAGCGCAAAATAGAAGAGGATAAGGTCAAAAAGGCGCTACAGGAGAACAAGAGAAAGAAGAGGTCCAAAGAGGAGAAGGAGGAGAGCAAGAGGAGGCGACTTCAGGACCCCGTCAAGCTCGAGGCCAGATCAGCCGAGATCCAAATGGATATCAAGCTGAACTGTATGCGGAAGCGGTCGCCTGAAGAGACCAGCCGAATTCTCTATGGCAAGAACCCAAATGGTGAGCGACAACACATACCGTGGGCATGGTAGCAGCGTGGAATACTGATCTGAGACCGGAATCCCGTCAGATGTGCAACTATACTTCGACTTCGCGGGCCCGCCAAGCGTCATGATGAGGATGTTCAAAAAGACCTTCGAGCATGTCAAGTTCGACCCAGTCTTGCAATACGTGGCCTTCCCTTCTGTCAAAGTCGAGGAGAAAGTCGACGACACAAGCATCTCCCGGAGATCACTAGGAGCCGGACGAAGGGTAAGATTTTATTCTCTCTATATACGTGCCGGTAAATGCTAATCAATCGTGAAAAAAAAATAGGACATGGTTCAGTTCTTCAACTGGCTGCGCAAGGACAAGAAGGTAACTCGGATCATGAAAGTTATTGTGGATGACTCTCAGCAGCCAGCGCATAGCGATGAGGCTATCATAGAAGCCCTTCGAGACTTCCACGTAGAGGAACTTCACTGGCTCAAGACTGATCTGGACCCAATAACCATTCGCACCGCTAGCAGTGAGATCCGCGAGCTTAAACTCCGGTGGAGCGGCAGTAACGCCACTCTTCGGGGCTGGGGTGAGCCTGATGGTCTCCCTAAGCTGGAGAATCTCAGCACTCTATATATAGAGCTTGTTCACGAGCTGGTAAGCCTGTCCTCCACTTTTTCTCAGAACCGAAAGGATAGAGTTTTTGGTCTCGTCCATACGTACATGCTGACTTGTGCATGTTTGCTAGAATCTCGAGAGTGAAGAACGGACAAAAAAGAGCTTAAGTGCATTTAAGAAAAGACTCAACTCAGGAGAGACATCATCACCATCAATGGGAAGAGATGAAACGGATGGTACCCAACCTGGGTCGAGTATTTTGAAGTCCCGAAAGATCAACGTCAAGTCCAACGTCTCTCGAGATGGATTCTACTCGACCAGCGGTCGCGGAGGTGATGGCTCGGCGTCAAAATCACGCGGTTTGGGCGAGGACCGCGACCATCAATGGCTGGACAGTATGGACAACTTTGCACAGGATCTAAACAGCACATGGGAGTATGCGAAGAAACTGAAGGGGGCACAGCAACTAGCTTCACCGGTAACTGTGGCCCTGATCGACGACGGCGTGGACCTCGTCGACCCATCGTTCCAGGACCGGCTGTACGAGGGCAAGTCCTTGAGTTTCGATCTTATTGGTGAAAACGACCCCAAGACCAGCCAGCGTGTACATTCGTACCACCACAGCGAAGGCGGTCACGGCACGGTCATGGCAAACCTCATCTTTCGTGTTTGTCCGATGGCAAAACTATACATCATCCGGATTGAGACACACAGGAATCGTGAAGGCCAGAGCCGGTTTGTGACACGCAGTGCTGCAGAGGTAAGCGCTCCTTGATGGCAGTCCGACTTTCTCTGCCTTTGTATCAGAAGGCAGTGATCCGGTACCCATTACTAAACATATACACCTGCATGATCTAGGCTATCCGCGCAGCTATTGATAAAAAAGTTAATATCATCTCCATGTCCTGGACCGTTGCTATGGATCTGGCGAAACCCAGCGATGATATGAAGGACTTGCAGAGCGCCGTACAGGCTGCTCACGATGCCAAAGTTCTCATGTTCTGTTCATCCAGTGATGGAGGCCAGTTTGTCGAGGAGACATTACCAGCCTCTGGTAACCGTGATCACGTGTTCCGCATCGGTGCGGCCAGTGCTGACGGTACCCCATTCTCGTGGGCAGGCCCTGTTGAGAAGTTGGACTACATCCTGCCCGGCGTGGATGTCGTAAAGCGGCGACCTGGTCACGGCCGCGGCAGGCTGCTGAAGGAGAAGATGGAGGAGATGAAATCTGACACAGGCTCATCAGTAGCCACAGCACTTGCAGCTGGACTGGCGGCCATGGTTCTCACGTGCGTCAAGATGGCGGCTATGCACACGGCCAGCGCGCCAGAACAGCACAAGCTAGGAGTCACCGAAGACATGGTCCAACAGCTGCAGGAACACGTGAAGATGAAAGCAGCACTGGATAACCTGGACCTCACCCCTAACAAATACTTGCAAGTGTGGTTCAAACTGAATACCTCTCAAATCTCGAGAGGGGTGAGATTCAGCGACTCCGGAGAGTCAGAGAAGCTTGAACGCATTAGCAATATGGTTTTAACGAAAGGTTTTGTTTCAAAGATTACATAATAGCTAGACTAATGTCACAATTTCCGCAACAGCACGAAACAAGTCAAGAGATTGTGAGCTATACTACTTGCTATGTGCTCTACACCTGGCATATTGAAGCATTCGATCATGATCTATGACAGATCATCCCGGATCTATAGTTGAGTAATTTATGCGTGTATGTTCGAAGTCCCTCTTCTTCAAATTATTGACTTGCGGGGACATGGGGGTTGCTCAGAGTTGGCTCACCAAACTGTTCCTCCAGCCTGCCGTAATGCAGCGCGAACGTTTTCTTCTGATTGACATTATAGAAATAATGCTATGGCCCACTTAAGGCCCTTTATGATAAACTTCGCTCGACGGAAGGCCAGACGCGATCAACGAGCTCTGAAGAACTTTCGCTCTCTAGAAGTGGTGACTTTCGAGGAGAAAGCAAGACCATCAGCTTGCCAGTAGTGCTCAATCCACACACCATAGCAAGGAGCATAGCTGGATTCTCGGCAATATCAGTTTTGATAGGAGCCGCGTTGAGGACTCGTCCATCTGGCAGAATGAAGAGCTCCACAATCAGCCCTACGAAGAGCCAAAGGTCCGCTCCTTTTCCATGACGCTCAAACAAATCTCCCATCTCATACTCCGCCAGCTCGGGAAAATTGTTAGAAGCGGGTTGCCAGTCCTCCAACTTCTTTTGACGCACTACCACCAGATGATATGCGCGATTGACAGCGACATGCGGACGAAACTCGACACTGGATGGCGGTGTAGACGAAGATATGGCCAATCCTCCTTCTTACGAAGAAGTTCCTGTGATAAAATGGATACCTCCGATGCTCCAGTGATCTGACCAACCCAGGTGTACTGGTCAAGCATGTTGCCTACCCATAACGGAATGCCTGAGCCAGCTTACACAAGCAAGTTCAATGGGCGAAGCGTGGGAAGCCGATGCTGGTTCTCATCAAGTCAGAAGTCGACGCAAACCTCAGGGTATACAAAACACGACTGTATATTTCCGTGGCGGCTGCCATGGTCTCAGCGGACCAGTCATAAACCTTAGGAGCAGTGACTATGATGTAGTCGAAGTAGACAGCGCAGGTCACATGGAAAATGAGACCTGCATACTGATAGTCGCTAAAAGCAAACAAGACACGGTGGTCAGTTATGTGGGCGCAAAACCAAGGCTGCTGCCCCAATTCGAGCAGCTGCTGGTAGGTACCATGCTTGGATGCCGACCCTGGCCGTACAACAATGGGTTTCGGAGCGGTAGTCAGGCTTGATATCTGGAAGATCGAGATGGGCTGATACGCAGCTTGGATAGTGTCTTCCGGAAGATCATAAGGATAGGGAGATGCGTCGGGATGGTGGTGAGGGCTGAGCCAGGCTTCGATATGAGGCAGATCGAAGGTTCGCATCGGGCGTTGTATGAGAACATTCTCCACTGCCTTGGGGCATGGGTCAGGCTTGAGGAAGGTATCGCAGTCCATTCCTGTGAGAGCCTGGAGAATATAGTCTGTCTCTCCGAAAGGCCGAATCTAATACATCTTTGTCACATCAGCAGGCTTACCCACGACCATTGAATTTCATGTCTTACCTGTCTGCCAATCTTGGCCGCAGCCAAGATCGATAGTATGCCGCAGAGGTCATGGCGTGGCAGGCAGGCTGGCAGAGATGACCTTGGGTTCGAGCGAGATAGTTCTGTGCTTCCCCTACAGTCCTTTCGAGCCAGAAAGCACAGCGATCCACGACTTGGACAACCGACCATATAAAATGTCTTGAAATCCGTCCTTCATGTCCGTTGTCCTGGAGATGGACATGAATGTACGGCAAGGTGTTTCCTTCGCATGCTTAGCGATGACAACGTGAAAGAAATCCTGAACATATTTGTGAGACATCTTCGGTTGTGCAAAATTTTGAGTAAGGGATGGGATCAGGATATCAAAGGGAAGTGCAGTTTAGTTTCTCTCGTCAATTCCAGACCGGAAAACCACTAGTTTTTATACCCCAAACTCGAATCGATCACATGTACTCCGTACGCTTTTCTTCCATAAACACATCATGTACTCCGTTCTATACCCTATAAAATTTCACCCCTGTTTCGGGGGCTTGGAAGCCTCAATGCATCCCTGCCCACAAATTCAATAATTACCCTTACTGCAGATATTCGCACTCCAGGGGAAAGCCTCATTACAATCCGCCTTCTGCTTGTCCATGGTCAGAGCTTATCCCAAATTTCATCAGGTTACTACAGTGCTAGTTGCGGGTTTGCTTATTACATCGACCCCATAATAAGCGCTTATAACTGTCAAAGGAGGCTTACTTTTCAGGAACTAATACGTCAATCTACTTACAGTACAGTGGTAATCATGCCTACAAGCTTGACAACGCGAGACAATCACTTTTCTACGCTCATGGATCGACGTAGCCACTGAGCAAGAGCAGGGGCACAAGCTTGAGAACCATCTCATTGCTCTAGTTGTAAAATAACTTTCGGTCTCCTGGCGAGGGATCCCAGATGCTATGCGCGCCTGCATTGCCCACCTATATAACTGCGCATTCTTTTTCTCTGAAGTCTTTGGCAGTCAGGCCAATGATTAGGCTACTTACACAGACTTAGCCGTCCTAACGATGAAGTCTACCACGACCTTGGACTGTGTGATTGGCGCCATGTGGCCAGCATCGCAAAATTCAATTGGTGAGCTCTTTGCACCTTCAGCAATCTGCCTTTGGAGCGGGGGAGGGAAACACGCATCCTTCTCGCAGACCAGATAAGCACTTGGGATTTCTAACCAGCCCGCATATTGAATTGTGTTGTCCCAGCCAAAGCCTGACTGGAAGGAAAGCTTTTCCACCTCTGATTGAGCCTCCTCGTCGCTGACAATGTCATTGAATAGGAGATCGCGAGGAGCCTTGCAGAATAACTTGTCTCCCTGTATAGTTTTGTCAGTATTGTATGCATCCTAGTGGGATAGATGTATTGGAAATCAGGCATTCCGTTTACCTGCACGTTCATGAACGGAGCTGGCCCATGCTCGTGCCCGGGCGGGAAAAGTGCCCCTGCAATAAATGCCAACTTGACAACGGCTCCCGCTCCCGGCTTGCCACCCTCCTCGCGGGCTTTCGGAGTGAGGTTCTGTAGGGCATGAGATCCTAAGAAAGCGCCGGCAGAGTGCCCTACCAGCACAACGTTCTTACCTTGGTCCACAATTTCTTCAATAGCTTTGCGAATAACGTCAATGTCGTCGTACTGTGGAGCCCAGGTTAGCAACTGAGCGTTGATGGAAGGCTCGACGATATCTCGTTGCGTAAAGAAATATATAAAAAACACGGCGTACCATGGATGGACTTTTAGGAGACTCTGAGGCAGGTGTGCCAGTGCTGAGGAGCTTGATGGTCGTAACATTGAACCCGTCCTTCTCAAGCCCAGGGACCACGCCCCGCCAGACCGTGGGACCTTCCCAGTAACCAGGAACGAGAACAATGTCAGTAGTAGTAGGCATGATCAGTACTTGTATCGAGAATGAGAGCAATATGTCCGAGTAACGAGTCCTTGGTGTATAGCTTTGACATGACGACGACGAACTTTTGGTCCCATTGATCTATTTAATCAGCTCTAGGCAGCATTGCCTTCGGACTCCAGAGAGAGTTAGTTCTCATCGCCGATCTCTTTAAAGCCACCAACGGCCATGCTAATACACATTTAAGTTTAGGCCCCAAGTGTGACACACGGTTACAGTACCGTATGAACCTTATTATTTGATGCCGCATAGATACTATGATGGGGTAAGATTTTAGTACACTGCGAACACAGCGGCCCACCTGCGTAGCAGGCCTCCAGATTCAGTAAGCCAACGCAGCCAGCCGCTAGCATAATGAGGTGTTGAAAGACTGCTCACAGAGATGGAGAAAAGACCTCCGGTGGAGGTAACGAGGGCCGTGTATTAGATTACACTGCAGCATTGTCTAAGCAAAAAGCACAGCTACGACCCCTTGGACTTAGTTGAGGTCGCCTACGCCGGTTGTATGGACACAAACGTAATGTGATCTACAATATGGTTGCAACGGGCCTCTACAAACTTGTTTGCATCCAACTTGCATCCAACTGCATATTGATTGGGGGTAGCAGGAGTTGTTGGTTGGTTACTAGCCGGGTAAGTTAATGTCTTTCAATCTCTCGCTACATCCCCGTTCAGTATATCCTGGCAAAGGCGTGCGTACGTAGCTATTTCATCCCTGGATAGAGCAAATATCGGATTCTATTAGTTTAATGGGACACAACTGAGATATCAGAATAGGCAAAGGTGGATAAGTAGCTGCACGTTAGGCCTGTTCCCCGGGGGAAGGGGGGGGGGGGGGGGGGCGAAGGGCATCTAGATCGTATGAAAGGGGCCGAGAGGGGCAGAGAGGGGTCTTATACCTTGCTGTTGGTGCCGTTGATATGGCTCCCTTGTGTTGTACCCACCCGGCCATCCGGATCCCGTTTGTGCGTAACGACAAGTACCTGTCCCATACGTACACTCATACCCTGCTGCGGTTCTTCCATAGTGCCGTTGTATAACTCGACCAAATTCATGCGCTCCACAATCTTGAGATCCAGCTTCTACAAGATCTCTCCCAGAGAACTAAAGTAAATCTGACTATCTAGTTGAGCAAGGTCGTCCAGAACAAGATACTGCTCACCGACCACTACCGACTAAGCATCTAGGTAGTCAAAGATAGAATCTGAGGCAGCCCCTGACTACCCAAATACTTTGCTCTTGTCAGATATTTAATAGGCCTACACATGTAACACTACGGTCCCAGTATAGGGCAGAACTTACTCTAGATTCATCTTAGGTACACCTTAACTTTTCACCGCTTTATAGATCTTAATGTAGAACTCATCGCATTTGGCTCGTGGAACGGTCTCAGACACAACGATTCAGTGAGATGCTCTATATCTACCTCGTTCCATTGTAGATAACCGCCTATTTCTACAAAGACGTCAACTGTAGATATTGCTTGATAACGAATGCCCCCTCGTGTATCAGGAGCTTGCTCTACTGAGGAGCTTAGAATATTGTTCACTAGCCCTGATGGATCTCCTCTTATAACTCATACAACATGCAGGTCACGAAACAGTTGCACGGAAGCTACCCAGAATAGAGGCTGCAGAGCTCAAAAGTTCAACACTTGGCTGCAGAACCACAGAAAGGTTATATAACCCAGGGTTAGAGTTATGACCGAGGGCGAATCTGAGAATCTGCCCCAGATCCCCGGAGTCGCGATAAAGAGCTAGAATATATGATTATATATTCCTTCAGTTAATACTCTAAGTATCAGGTTATATAAGCACTCTGATAGCTCCAAAGACAGTGAATACTTGCACTCAGATATTGTTTCCTATTTAAGGCCTGTACTTGGCACTGCTCTTGTTAGCACAAACCTCTCGTGTACTCAGGTATCTTCAGATTACTGCATTGCTCATTATAGTTGGATAGATTATAATAACCATTATGCTATTTCTACATTCCTTAACCAGCTGCCTGATCTTAACATTGACACCTTATATCGAGATATTGACTGCTATCTTAGTATTAGCACTGAAATATAAATGTGGTTATTTCTTGATTATTAGATTAGCTTCCGCTGCTAGCTTGAGGCCAGTAGCAAAGCGTCGTGACAGCTGACCTCAACGTGTATTCTGTGTCTCATGAGCGGACCTGGTCCACTCCGGCTTGTTACCGATGCTGACACGGTCTTGTCTTGAGGAGCTAGGGCCGGAATCGATTTTCTAATTGCTTCTATAGTAACTCTCATCCCTTTCGAAGCGATCACTATAGTCTTGTCGAGTCGCAACATGTGACCAGCCGGAATATCCATCCGAGTCTCGCCCTTCCTTCATCTTGCCGCGAGACTTCTCGGATGGCATGGTGTACACTGGACCGAGGACCGACCGAAACCGGATAGACAGGGTTGATATTGAGTTTCGAAATGAAATTGTTATGATGATGTGAAGATATTTGAGCAAGAAATGCACAAGAGCAGAAGAACAGACAAGTAGGGAGCCTGAGCTCAACGATCCTTTATATTCCAATGAGGCTGCTGGGAGGCCGTTTTGGTTAGAGCTAGCTGGAAACCGGAACGATTTCGGACCCGGGGCGAGACATTCTCCTCAAAGATTAAGGCTTTCGATGGTGTATTGCGCTGTCAACTTATTGGACAGACCTCCTCCGAAGGATCTTTTCTTCGGGCACACCTCGATCTTTTCTCATAAACGAGGCTTGTGGTGGTGTGGGACGCTTTGAGCTTCTGGGGCGAAGAGCTAAATTATCTGTATGAGGGTATGCGTGTCGTCAGCTGACACCCAAGTCATAAGACGCTATGATGAACGAGGCACTTGGTCTGATTCTGGGTCAGGCTCTGGGTCAGGCCTTTTTGTCAAAGAGGAGGAATAACCCCCGGCAAATTGGAGCATTTACAGCGAAGAGCGCTGGTCTATTGGAGACTCGTATGCAGCCCAGACATGAAGAGAAAGTCGCTATCCAAACAAACCTAACGCAAATTTGAGAGGGAATCTGTCATGGAAACGAGCGTGATTCTCCCAAGGAAGGAAAAGGTCTTGTGCCTGTTGTCACTTGGTCAGTATCCGGACCCGGACAAGAAATCATTGTCAGAGTTTCTTGAGAGTCGGCACTGACCGCTGGTTATCGCAGATGGTGGAGGAATTCGAGGCAAGCATATTTTGCTATCAGTTTGCTGTTGATATTCTTACTGAATGCGCTATAGGCCTGTCTGAGCTCTTGATACTCGATGAGATCATGCACAGACTGCAGATGGTCTGTCAAGTCCCAGAGATTCTACCAGCCGATGTTTTCCATCTTATGGGAGGCACAAGTACAGGAGGGTGGGGTTGTTTTCTTCTGTGATGTTCAAAGCACCGACACCATTCAAATAGTTTTATTAAATCTCACGTGAGATAGTCTCATTGTGCTTCTTCTTGGACGACTATGGCTGAGTACCAAGGCCGCCATATCATGCTACTGTAAAATCGCAAATGAGGTCTTCACGACATCAAAAATGGCCTGGAAAGATGGTCGCTTCAAAGCTTCTACGTTGGAGAACTCGATCAAGAGAGTCCTTGAGGAGAAGCTGGGGAGCGGGCACGCCGACGATTTGATGTATAACCCCGGACTAAACTTTCCGTGTAAAAGGTACGTGCGCATTGAATGAATCTTCCTCTGTGCCCGTGGCAAAGCCGAGCTCATCATGTTTATGTAGTATCGTGTGTGCCGTTGAAGCTCGACATATGAACAAAACCCCGACGAATTTCCGCGACTGGCTACCGACCAAAGACGCAAATTACAACTGCAAGATATGGGAGGCTGCTCGTGCAACCTCAGCAGCCCCCCACCTCTTCAAACGCGTCACGATAGGAGAGCCTCTGAGACAGCAACACTTCGTAGACGGCGCTTTAGGATGCAACAACCCAATCCGACACGTTCTTTCCGAGGCCTTACGAGAGTTCATGGGTAGTCAGGAAGTAGGCTGCATATTGAGCATTGGTACCGGTATGCGCCTGACAGCAGGGTTCCAGCCCCTCAAAGGATACCAGCGAGTCCTTCCCAAGGATCTGGTTCAGGCTATAGCGAGAATGGTTACGGACTGCGATGAAGTAGCAGACCAGATGACAGAGCAGTTCAGAAATTACGGCAGAATGTATCATCGTTTCAACGCAGGGTACGAGCTGGGAGCCATTGGACTCAACGAGTGCTCTCGTCTCGGAGAAGTGGAGGCTCACACGAGAGCTTATCTGCGGCAAAAGAAGTAAGCATTCAACTTGACGAGGTGGTGAAGGCATTGTTGGGGTGCCCTTCTCAGGTTTTACCTGCCAAATCATTATGTACGTCCAATGACTAAGTAGCTGCCTTGCTGGGTAGCTGTGTAGTAGTTTCTTGGGGAATACTTACTCACCTATCCAGTTCAGTGTCTGCCAGTGTTATACCATCGACCGACAACCTGAGTGCCTTAAAGTTACCACCAAATAGCCTAGACAGGCCAGTGTCGTTCCCCAATCATCCCAGAGATGAGTTCAGTTTCGTACGCAGGACTGAAATGTCCCAGATAGACAAACATTTCAAGAAATTCCGAGATGCCCAACGGCCATCAAGATTAGTGCTTCACGGTAAGGGGGGGTCTGGGAAAACCCAGCTCGCGTTGTACTATTGTCGCCACTCCGGAGAATTGTTTTCAGGGGTGCTCTGGATAGACGGGACATCGACGGCGACGTTTCATGGAAGCTTTGTCACGGCTGCCAAAGAATTCCTTCCCGGAGATCTCGAAAGTCAGGACCCAGAGCAGGTCAAAGCTATGGTGTTCAGGTTTATCGGCCGTTCAGATTAGATGGGAAATGAACTGTATTGGACTGCGCTTAGGGAAGGAAAAGGAAGGAAAAGAAAGGAAGAAAAAAGCTGTCGTTGAACCTGGTTTCCGGCCAAAGTGCAACTTCTGACGCTCAGTGCCGTCCTTGGCCCAGCGGCACTCACCCAGGGGTTATTCGTGGCTTACTTCTACAGTGATCGGAGCAAACCAGCTTGGACAGATATGTTCTTCGACCTGGAGTCCCGGCAGTTTGACTCGTACATTTTCACAGAATGTATATGTGAAATGGGGAATCTTTCCTTAATCCAAGACTACCAGTCAGACAAGGGAGGAATCGCATGGCAGCTGCATCCCGTGATTCGGGACTGGATTTAACACCGACAACCGGACAACGAATGCCGGTCCTTTGTCGCTCTAGCTGTTGAGGTTTTGGCCTGCTCATTGGACTCGTACGGACCTGAATGGCCTATTCTCCGAGGTCCATCCCGGCAACATCATCTGCTTCGGCCCCACGTCGAGGGATGTTACAACAACTGCGAGAAATGGCTGCCAGAGCAGGATGTCAAGGTATCTGATCAAATCTGGACCAGGGCTTCTTCTGCTCTGATGCTAGCCAACTTCTTTGCAAGCGACAATCAGTATAACTTGGCCGAAGAATTACAACGTCGGTATATAGCTTTGATGCGTTGTAACAGTCCGGAAAAACGATCAGCTCTACGCCAGCTTAGTAAGACCATGTTCTTAAAAGATCAACTATCCGAGGCAAGAGACATTCAAGAGGCTATTCTCAAACAATCTGATTTTATCGTTGATGACATTGAAGGAGCTCTCTTGCTGGTAGATTTGGCCTTGACTTATAGAGGCCAGGCGTACGAGGCAGAACTTGGGAAAATGAGCGACCAGGCTTCCGACCTTCTCGACATGTCCTTTGAGATGCGTGTCCGCGGGCTTGAAACATTTCGATCTCTGAAAGGTGCAGAGAGCAAAGAAGCAGCATCAGCCTCTGCGCACTTAGCGACAATCGAATACCATAAGGGAAATTTACACAGCGCAAGGGAGCTTGAGGAGGCGGCGGTGGCTATCTTGACAAAAACGAACGGAGAGCGTGATTTGAGAACGTTGGAGGCCAAACAAGAGCTAGCCGTCACCCTAGCAAAACTCGGTGAAACGAAGACGGCGATAATGATGCACCAGGAAGTCTGGGATGGTCGCTCGCAGGTGCTGGGGCCGGAACATCCCAAAAATCTCAGGTGTGAGATAATGCTTGCCCGAGCGTTGAGGCTAGACGGTCAATTAACGAAGGCCCATGAGAGGAACGAGAACGCCTTGGCTAAGATGTCAGTCTTGCGCGGCCGCGATCACGCAGAAACTATACAGGCAGGCGGTAGTTTCTGGAGATGTTTAATTGCTGAAGGACGGATTGAGGAGGCTGACCAGCTTCGGGACGAATACGGCATTGCTCTGACAGCAATTGAGGAAGACATGCGTGCCCAAGCTATTAATGATCAAGCTTCGAGTAACTTAATCAAAACCTAGTTAGTATTAGATTGCAAGCGTAACACTGCTTTTTTTTGTTCTTTTTCTTTTTGTTACATAATTCATATATTGTCAATAGCATGTATCAATAGCTCTTAGCTACGCAATGCATTCAAGTACATTATAGAGGGCATACTTGTCTGTTCTCTAAGTAGCTGTTTTGAAGCAAATGGCTTCGGAATAACACACTCAGGGTTAGGGCTTTTAATATTTAATATCCATAGAGTAATCTGCAAGCAGAGTATCTTGTGTTAGCTTAGCCAACTGCATTATGCTAGCCCAAATTAGAGCTAATCTTCCCTTACGCCGCTTCTCTTAGAATGTTTCTTCCAGATGTCAACTGCTGCATGAACGCCCCAAACTATTATCGGCGTTTTATTTCGGTGTATACCTTGGTACTATGAAGATCAATGTTGCTAGTATGCTAGGGTATGCAATTCGCTGGAAAAGCCGGCGATTTCTTGCGATTGTGGTTGGCTGCATCCAGATGATCACTCAAGTAACTTTAGGAATCCACTCGTCGGAATGAGCCCGATGCTGAAGTCGGCGCTGACGTTTAATAATTTCTACACGTCCAGAATGAAGCTGCCTAGTCTCGTCAAAACTCCACGTAGAGGCCATCAACATATCTAGGTATCTCCTTGTTAAAAGTTGCATTGAAGTCCTTTTTCCCAACTGTGAGATTGTTGCATTTACCACTGAGATATACATTCTGTCCTGTCGGAAGACGAATTTGTAATATGTTCTCGCTGCTCAAACGCGTGTACACTTCTTTCAGCCCTCCTGAGGCTGAGAAAAAGAAAGATGCTATCAGATTTGGTGTCTTTGGGGCTGCTAAGATCACGTGAGTTCTTTCTTCACGTGAAATGTCTCTGTACATCATGTATTGACATGCAATGAACACAGGCCTATGGCGTTGATTACGGCGGCCAATTCACATCCTGAAGTTATTGTGCAAGCAGTCGCCGCTAGGGATCGTGCCCGTGCTGAAGAATTCGCCAAGAAACACGGTATCCCTGATGTTCGGGATACTTATCAGGGTACGATGTCCTGCTGGATGCCGACCCCAGGTTACTCGGTATCTTTTGGACCAGCGGACATTCGATCTCAGCAGACCCTAACTAAGCCCCTGAGCCTGGACCGTTCTCGGATTGAGATTTGTGCGGAAAGGGTGAGACTGACTTGCATCTATCACAGACATTCTGGATGACCCAGACATCGATGCCATTTTCATCCCACTGCCTAATGCCCTTCATTACGAGTGGGCCGTCCGCTCTATTCGCGCGGGAAAGCACGTCCTCGTCGAGAAACCGTCTGTCGATAATTCTACTGAAGCGAACATGCTCTTCAACATACCGGAACTGTCGGCCGAGCCCAACCCCCCAGTGCTTCTGGAAGCCTTTCACAACCGCTTCCACCCCTCTGTGCAGAAATTCCTGACCTTCGTCACCCCGGCGGACGTTGTACATGTTTACACCGACTCTATGGTCCCATGGTGGTTCGTGAGCAAGGATGACCTGGAGTACAATTACAATATGGGCGGTGGCAGTATCATGGCGTTGGGGACATACAACTTTGCGCTGATGCGCATGATCTTTGGGGGAGAGCCAGAAGAGTGCCTAAGCTGCGATACCCAGGTGCTCGGCGACGGTGTCCACGACCGGTGCGATTACACTTTCAAGGCCCAGTTCCGGTTCCCCAACGGTATCGGCGAGGCTACGACCACCATCCGAGGCCCCATTCTGTGGAAGCCATCTGAGGCTAGGGTTACGCATAAAGAAGTTGTCGTGCCTGACAAGACGCTTCTGGACACACAAGAGAAAGTCCGTACGGTAAGAATCTGGACTGAACCCTTGATTTTCACATTTTCCTGATTTACCTCCTTCGCCACACCGCTGTTTCGGCAACGAAGCAAAGAAAAGAGAGCAAAGAACAGATAAACCACCAGCCTCGCAAGGTCCAGTGCAGTGCTCTCTACGATACTTTGGAACTTCCTCCTGCCTTGTATTCATAGACAAGCTAGTTTGATACTAACAGAACTGTTAAACAGCGGCAGGTCACGCTCCACGGGTGTATGCATGCTGTCCTGTGGCATCGTATTGACGTCAAGGACTCGTATGTGATCCGAAACAAAGCGGATGGCCGACCAATCAGATCGTGGGTCGAGTCAAACTCCTACAAGGCCTACACTCATAGGGACGCTGGTGGTGAATTCGCTGACCAGGCTGGGGAGGATTGGTGGATGTCCTATCGATACCAACTCGAAGCCTTTGTCAACCGCATCAAAGGTCGAAAGACTCATTATTGGGTCACTGGAGAAGACTCGGTGAAGCAGATGAGGATGGTTGACATGGCATACGAAAAGAGTGGACTGGGGGTTCGGCCCACGAGCTCGTTCCGCTAGCATACATGGTGGGCTGGCAAGGTGTACTGTGTGCAAACACCCTAGAGGGACGGGAAAAGATAATTGGGTAGAAGCATTAGATCGCCTCGATCTACACTATTTGGAAAGTTTCCAATGTGTATTTACCTCCGGATCATGTTTTGACGCCAATGGCAGAACGACCTAGGAAACACTTGAGCCCCAATGACCTTTCAAGCTCCACTACCACCTCCCACCTAGGCCCAAGCAGGAGGAAGGTTCACAACAGTTGAACAAAAGGTAAGGCGACAAAAGTGGACCGTTTAGCTAGAAATTAGGGAGGGGGAGACCATGTAAATTACAGCCACTGTGAGTTGGCCTTAATTATTCAATCATGCATATGCACAGCTACTTTACTCGTTGATTGCATCCTTGAGTAGTAACAATAAAAGTCATTCTGGAGTCGGGATAATTATGGATAGGTAACTAGCGATCCAACCTGCATCTCTTGGTGTAGATTCTCAGCTGAGATCACCCAGATTTTGATTCACGTCGGATTATGGTTAAATTATCGCGAAAGAAACATGCAATCTATGGATCTTGTATTGTTCAGCTCCAAACCGTCTTGGATCTTGATGCTGTTCCCTAAACCCATCGTCTGAAGCACTTGGGATGGGACATCCGGGGCGCCTTTAAGCCTCTCCAGAAACAGTCAGGCTCCCTCATCAATACTAGTAAGCGATATCATTGCCGACCTGGACCAAATTAGTATTTTCACTGAATACCTAAGCAGGACTTGCCAGGCGGCGGAGCTCTTTACAGGGTGGATCTTACAATAAAAATGTCCACGCCCACAGTTGAGCTGTTCCCGGTTCCGAATGCGGCACTGCTGATTGCAACCACCGTATTGAGCCAGGAATACTTCTCGGAACCAGTGCTAAAGGTAACTGAACCGTATATGGTGTCGGATGTCTGGTAACCATGATCCCGCCAGAGGATCTTGGCACCGTCGCTCGTCTCGAACACTGAGATGCCGTCTGGGTAGAATTTATTGTCTGCTGTATACAGGCCGGCGTCTACACCCGTGGCCGCGATAGTTCCATTAAGCAGTGGCCCCGAGAAAGTCCCGCCGTTTATGGGTAGCGCGACTCTGGTGCCTCCATCTTCGGGTCCGACGACAATGGTGTCTCCAGCGTCAACGTGGGCCGTCAATAGGTAGGTCAGTGGAGGGGCGACAGGATCGGCATTGGTGTTGGTGATTCCCGCCGCAACCGTCAGAGCGTACAAGATGGATGTAGGAGCTCTCATTTTGGCGTTGTTTTGTTTTTGTTTTTTGGTTTGTTTTGGTGTTTTATTTTATTGTTGGAGGGACGACAAATCTCAAGATTCACAAGCCGCGCTCAACAATTTGCTACTTAACATACGTGATAATATGGAATACTTAAACACCAATCGGGTAAACATACACTGAAGTGTAATGTACAGCTCGGTAGTATGTCAATCTTGGAAGGAATGTTGAGATCAGATCTCGAACTCTGTTTTCCGATCGCTGACTTATGACGCAATAAGTCAGCGAGGACGTGACTTCACACAGTGAGAGGACTGCTTCCTTCGCCCCAGGCAGGGTAACATGTAGCAATTCCTGCACGTACATCAAATTCGGTAGCTTTGAGCTCTTTAATTTCTACCGAGCTTACAGGTACCGCAGGGCAAGTGCACATCGATCAAAGATGTTGCTTGTAAAAGTACCGGTGCCCACAGATTGTTGTAGATATGACGATGTCTCCTGTTTATTTTGTTCGAAGGATTATCAACATCACCGGTGACTAGTTTACTACAGTTTACCTATGTAGAAGCTTTGAGGATGAATTATTCGGTTATTCCAGCACAACGGACCCAGCTTTCTTATATATATTTGAATACAAGGAAAGCATAGAAGAAAATCGGAATATTCAAATATAAGACAGAATGTTTTGTGCATTTTCATGGTAGGAATGCTTTCGTGCTCGCACGCATTCCTTCATGTGCGTGTATCTGATAGCATTCCGTATCTGGCTGACTGTGTAGAAAGTCTAGGGTGTGCAATCCCAAGCCCCCTTCAAGTGAGAACTAAGGGGTTTCGCCAGGCTTCGCTTCCCTACGGCCACTGGTAAGCTCAGGCTTTCTCATCTAGTTGTACTAGGAATAGAGCCATGTCTTGTCCAAACCGGGTTATAGTTATTGGCTGAAAAGACAGCATTGGATGAACGAGTACACACTAATTACGAGAAGAACAAGTATGCATAGATAATCACCAAGTCATCCCGTCGGCAGCTTCATACCCAAGCAAATGAATGAAAATTGATGTTCATTGATTCCGGCCTAGTATCTCAGCCCTCTAGAAACGTAGGCCCTAGCGAGGTAATTATATCAAGCTCAAGGTAGACAGAAGTCTCTACGCAGCGTTCTTGAACGGCCATCCGACAAGGTCAATGCTGAGAAATTGTCCGCTTTCGATCTCCTTCGCTCGAGCCTTGAGCTCGTCTATATCCCAGTTGCACCAGAGGAACTTGCTCTTTAGAAACCGGGCTTCAGGGCTTGCAAGCCACAGATTGAAGCTGGCAGGCAGGGACACTGAGAGAGAGAGGTCAGCTTGATGGACAACCTTGGAAGCGGGAGCAGGAAGTTTTTACTTACCGTCGTCGGTCTTGATGTCCTTGAAGCTTTCGGCGCCTCCCGTGCTCAGGTTCATCTCAGTGAGTATGACGCCAGGCTGGGTATGGAAGATGCTCAGATTCGGGTGCGCGATGGCCACGGTATCCCAGAGCCGGTATACGGCCATCTTGGCGACGCAATAGGAAGCAAAGAAATCGTTGAGACTAAGGTGGGCGCCCCATGAGTTGATGGCGACGGCGACACCATCCGAGGCCGCATGGCGGATGAAGGCCTGCGAGACGTACAAAGATCCGGCGAGGTTGGTCTGTATGGCGTCAAGGAACGCTGGGCCGTCCACGTTGGTCACGGCGTCCTTGGGTCCAATGGTGGCGGCGCTGTGAATCAAAGTGTCAATCTTGCCGCTGCCGGCAAATTTGGCAAAAGCCGCATCCACGTCGCTCTTCTTGGTGATGTCGGCCGAGATGATGACGACCTCGACACCCGGGTACGTTTTCTCGATGAAGGCCTTGTTCTCCTGGAGAGGCTTCTCCCGGCGGCCGAGAAGCGCAATCCGGGACGCACCAGCGGCGGCGAAGTGGCGCGCCGTCTCTCCACCGATCCCGGTGCTGCCACCTCCTGTGACCAGCACGGACTTCCCTTTGGCAGACAGCTCAGGACGCTTGTATGATGCAGAGGGCTGGGCCGTCGTATGCCACGTCTTGGTGGGGGACGGGTAAGCTGGAGCATCGGCCATGGTGGGTTGTGATTCGTAGGATGGAACGGGTCAGATAGTCAACGACATATGATTCCAAAGGGAAAATGGTCCGAGGATAACAGAATTCTCTGGGGCAGTGAGGATATTTGTAAAAAAAAAAAAAAACAAACAGAGTGTTGACACGGGGTTCCCAGCACTCAACATTGCGATGAAGCGTCTCAAATGTTCAAATTTCTATGGCATGTGATAGCAAAACAACACTCAAGTGCTGCAAGCGTGCTCTGTAGCCGGAGAACTCTTGGCAGGGGCGGCAAATAACATTCTTGGTTGGTGGAGGCCGTCGCGACGTCAACGCGGCGCCGTTGCAAAATTGTCCCGCCCGTCGCGGCGGACATTTCAATTTGACACTATCCGACAAGTGCTGACAAAAGGTACACAGATTGGCAAGTACTTTGCCTAAACCGGACATACCCGGACGCATGAGTCTGCTTACACAGCAGAGTACAAGGTGTTCAGGGCCCTGGAGCCATTCCTGTTTCGTCACATGGCAGTGTACCGCCGTAGCAGTGGCGTGACCGAGTTGTTTCATGGCCCTCGGGGGGATAATGAATAAGCAAGCTGACGGGGATTTCAAGAAATGCTACACTTCCTGTCCTCTGCAACTCTGAAACTGCCCAAGGTTGTTCTTCCTCTGCAGGTTCCGCCATCTTGTCCGGTCTGTTTTGAAATGAATGCATCCGATGTACCGTCCGTCCTGCGGTGCGGACAATGCAGCAAGCCGTTTGATAAGCGTGGGTTGCTCAGCTCCCCCCCGCCGGGCAAAATTGAGACCATGACTGACAACCTGGCATCCATGAAGAGTCCACGCTCAAGAGACATGTATACTATTGTCGTTCTCGGGGCGCCACCACGACCAGCCGACTCCGTTCTTGCATTCCCTGCGCGAAGGTGAAAGCGGGTTGCGATAAGAGGCATCCAGGATGCTCGAGATGCACAACCAAAGCCATTGAATGCCACTATCCAGCGGGCACCCCCAGAGCTGCGTCGTCAGGAACCCAGCAGACCGGTAGTGACCCGGCCAGGCAGCAGAACATGACGCTTACCCCTTTGACAGGCCGTCCTGCTGTCGGCGGTACCCAGCAAGTAAGCAGCAGCGATCAGCTGCTCCTCGATGGGGCTCTTGCTGGGCTGCCGGGCCAGGACTTTGTAAACCTTGGAGGCGACTTTCTCGGGTGGAATAACGCCGGCATCAACTTGCCTGACTTCTTGGACACACACACTGACGACTCTTACCTTTCGCCGGAATCTCCAAATTTGTTTCAGCAGTCAGTGGCTTCGGCATTCCAGCCACGACAAGGCCTATCCACTCCAGAGTCTTCGATACCAGCCACACCCTCGATACCGAACTCACCGACGTCCACAGTTCGATCACTGGTCCAGCGCCCAAACATACAACGTGGGACACAGAGGGTTGCCAGTCTCATTCTTCATACCCTCAAGTCTTATCCTGTCATGATGCTGCGTCATAATGCCCTTCCGCCTTTTGTTCACCCATATCTGCTGTCGCTCGACATAGAGAGCGTCCATATGGAACCACTGACCAACTGCATAAGCTTGGTGCACATGATCAGCAGCGACGTCCGCGGGAGTCGGAATCTTTTTTGGAAGAACGTGCGGATGGAATGTGAACGCGTCATTGCAGATGTATGTTGAACCTGGTCGAGACCCACACTGCTGGGGGCCAACTGAGGTGCTGACGGGCGGTTCATCTTCTAGTATCAGCAGCTCAGCCGATGGGGACTACTTGCAGCCATACAAGCCCTGTCCATCTATGTCCTCATCAGGTTGAACGAGGGCGAGACTGAGCACAACAACGTTGACTTCTTGTTGGTGAGAGCGGTTACCGTAAGTTTTCACTTTGGTTCCCTTCATATCACAATTTCTTGCAGATAGATGGTATACTAATGTATGTCATCGCAGCTAACGGCCCAGCAACTCACCCGAAGTGAGGTTACCTGTCATACCCAGTGTGCGTCATGCAACAAAGGATTACAGACCAGCTGGGAGGAGTGGATTTTTCGAGAATCTAGGCGAAGGTCTGACCGTCTCTCCAACCTCTTCCTAAATGGACCGGTGATGGAATCATCTTACTTACTCCATCCAATCAAAGGCTAGCCGTAGTCTACCGCGTAGTCAACATGCTCATCTATTTTGAGCCCGGTGCTCTTTGCAATCTCCCCTCGGGCCTCGTCCTCGCCCCGCTGCCGGCGAGGAGGCAGCTTTGGGAAGCGGCAGATGGGTTTGCGTGGAAAACCGAAAGCCAGAAGGAGCCTGGTCTCCAAATATCTTTTGGGCTGGCTCGAGACGGCGAGTTAGTCAAGGTGGATGAAGGGCGGCTGTCTTGCAGTGATGCATGGTTATCTCACGACTCTGGGGATGCAGAAAATTTGTCGAGGAGCATCGCGAACTGGGAGGACTGGTGTTCCGGCATGGACGCCTTTGGCGGACTTGTCATGCTTGCTGCTTCTTTAATATCCTAAATTTCCCCTCTAAAATAGTATGCCAGATCTCGATCGAAGAACAATCACGTTTCAGTGCGGAATCCTAGTGTGAATCTGTAAACAGCAACATGCAAAAAGGAGGACTTTTTTTCCTTCCAACTACCGAGGCAATTACCCGGTCTGCAGCGACCTGCCCAACTTTAACAGTAAATATCTCAGACAACCCCGACTGCGAAACCAAGATATCACGCGTAAAATATTCATTTTGAAAAAGAAAGAAAAAAAAAGATGTTTCTATTATCCCATAGTTTCATAATAACGACATTTAAATTTCCCAGACATGGTGCCCAAATGATACTGGTTGTCGACCTCAAACCCAGCTTTCGGCGAGCCTTTGTGCCTTGAAATAGACCATCGGCGATTTCAGATAGCATTAATTCTTCCAGGATGTCTATTTGCTCTAGATGCTGGTCTCTACCCTGGTAGGTAGCGTAGATCACAATGCAGCGCACGTGGGCCAAGCATTGAGGCTCAGCTGCAGGTATCTCGTTCTTGGAACCACCTGTTCATGCGTGGCGAAATCTTATAAGGCTTTAGGCCTCTTTTTATATGCTCGAGTATGATTCCAGAAACTCGTCTGGCCAGCCCCCGGCTCTCTTTAATTTTCTAGGTATGTAAGTACATTCCATCCAAGCCACATATACTTGAGTCTTACTCATTCAGAGACTGGCACAACCGCGGCTCCAGCAGCAGGGCTAGGGTGAACATCCTTCGGTGAAATTCGTGATTCTATCGACTGTACTATCAGGCTATCAGCGCATAAGCTGATGCCTTGGGGCCGAAATTCACGCAGCCCTCGCGACTCGACTCTAGGGGGCGCGATCCTAAATATCTATTAGCGTAGGATCTTTATCCTGGAATTAAATGTCCAAGAACTCCGGTGGTCATCAGTATGTCAAGAGGCAATTTAGGCCTTACAATTTGTCAAAATCGTAATGCCACGGATCTAATCGCTTTTGCCCGTGTGCGTAGAGTCCCGTCGTGATATAAAAATGCTAGCATGAAGAAGTCCTGTGCAAATCCCAAGCCATCGATCTGGACCCAGCCACGTGGAAGATACCAAACTATTACGGTCACATTTGATATTTGGTAGACACTGTTACCTCAAGCCCCGCATACAACATGTACAAGCAGTCGATACTTTTGCTTGCTTCATTCTTGACCGGTGTTCTGGGCCAGAACACGTCGGCAAAGTCCTGTAAATGCGTACGGATCCCCTCGTCCAAGTTGTGCACTACTATATCTAACGTTCCAAAAGGTTCCTGGTGACGATTGTTGGCCCTCAGAGTCTGCTTGGCAAGGACTGGATGAGGTGGTGGGCGGCGGCTTGATCAAAAGCACGCCTATAGCCAACGCATGCTACCCAGGCCAGGACGAGGACTTGGTGGATTGCGACTACGTTGTGAACGAGTGGCCTGTCGAGGCCTTCCAAAGGGCGAACCCACTCGGCAGGGTCTTGCCATACAATGTCACCTGCCCTCCTGTCAACTACACGGCGGGCGAGACCCCGGGGGATTGCATATTGGGCATCAACCCTGTCTACGCTGTCAACGCAACCACTAGAGCGGCCATCAACGCCACGTCGCAGTTTGCCAGACAGCACAACATTCGTCTGGTAGTTACGGGAACCGGCCATGACCTCCTGGGCCGATCAGATGGCTATGGTGGTCTCGAGGTCTGGCTCAGGTACTACCGGGCCGGCATCGAATTCCAGAGCACCTACACATCGTCCACCCACTGTAGCAGCCCAGGCTGGAACGGCAGCGCGATCCGAATCGACGGCAACTACGAGTGGCAGGACGTCGCGAAGGTAGCCGCAGCCAACAATGTCATCGTCACCACCGGCGGCTCGATCGGCGTCGGTGCCATCGGCGGCTGGCCGTCCGGGGGTGGCCATGGTCCCGCAACTCACGCCTACGGGTTCGGCGCAGACCAAATCCTCGAGGCTGAGGTGCTTCTGGCGGACGGCAGGATCGTGACGGCCAATGCGTGCCAGAACTCGGACCTGTACCGGTCTTTGCGAGGCGGCGGGCCGGGCTACGGCATCACCCTCAGCAGCACCGTCAAGACATATCCCAATGTCGATGTTGTGACGGCACACCACCTTACTATCGTGCCCCCTACAGAGGCATCGAATACCTCGGCCCTTCTCGAGTCCATCGCATTCATGTTGCAGAAATATCCGAGCCTTATTGATGCCGGAGTCGGCGGCTACACCTACTGGTACAACCACTACCCTACTGTTGTTGTGAACAACTCCACGTCAGGGTACACACACAGTTTCTGGACCATCGGCTCGGGTGAGGATGTAGCCCGTGCAGCTCTCGATCCCGTAGTCGAAGAACTGCAGCAGCAATATAACTCGTCGCTCCTCATCCAGGACAACTACGTGACTTATCCAGACTACTGGTCCTTTTACGACACCGAGATGGGCCTGGACAGCCCTGAGGGGAACACGCTCATCATGTCATCTCGCTTGATTGAGCGCAACCAGACCAGCAACTTCTCAGCCGTCCACAGCGCGGTCGAGACTATCAGCGATGCTCTTCCTGGGCAGTACAACAGCAACTGCGTGCTTATGGTCGGCGGCGGCCAGGTTGCCAAGGACGCCGCGGATCAGTTCTCGGGCCTGCTCCCGGCCTGGCGGCGGGTCCCGTACGCCATTGTTACTATACGGGAGCTTCCTCTTCAGACAACCAACGAGGAGCGACAGTCCATTGAACAAGACATGCTAGCCAAGGGCGCTTACATGAAGGCGTTTGCACCTGGAACGGGGGCGTACATGAATGAAGCCGACCGCAATGATCCTGACTACATCGAGGACTTTTACGGCTCTCTTTACAGCACCCACCTGGCGACCAAAAAGAAATATGACCCGAATGCCCACTTCTACTGTCCCACATGTGTGGGAGCAGAGGAATTTGTGGAAAGCCCGGATGGGCCATTGTGTACAGCTTGAAGGCGAGAGTAGTGACTAAGGGACCTGTAGATAATTATGCAAATTCATGTACCCAAACTAAACAACTTTGCAATTTTTCATTTGCCTTAGTCCATGACGAAGGTTCCGATTCCTGCAATGCGTTGCTATCATTGGAAAGCACCGTGAATGACATGTATTTATTTTTTTTATATTTTTTTTTTGGCTTTATAGTCTGTTATTTGAATGCTCTCCGGAACTCTTGGAATGTCTGGACAGACTCCTCAAGCATAATTATACAAAGGTTGATCATCGAAGAGCCAAAACATGCATCACTCTTCCAATCGTGCCAATCTATCATGCCAATGGAGATACTTGAGTCAAATTCTACGGCACCTAAAACTAACTTGGGAATCAATCTATTCTCCAAAGTTTTACTCCCGTCCCAGCTTGATCTCCACATCTGGTAAAGGCACAATATCCAGCACCAGAGGCTTTCCATCGGGCCCGAACCGTTGGGCGTCGGTATGAAGGTTCCTCGAGTCGCGCACCGCCTGTCCGGCCCTCTTCAGCATAGCACTGTTGTAGTCAGCTACGGCCTGCTTTACCGTGGCGATGTCTCTGAAGCCGCTGGTCCCGTGCAAATCACCGAGCACCTTGCTCAGGACAATCGAGTCGACAAGCGTATGATAGCCGCCCTCGCCGCGGAAAGGGGTCATGGCGTGCGCTGCATCCCCCATCAAGATGACCCGGCCAGCCGGCAGCCCGCCCTTGCGGTCGAGCTCGAGGTCCCTCCAGACGTGGGTCTCATCGCGGATCTGCTCGGGGCGGGTCATCTCGAAGATCTCGCGAAACTTGGGCGGCAGAGCCTGGATGGAGCGCAGAACATGGTCGAGCTTCTCCTGCCGGCCAGCCGTCTTCAGCCAGTGGTCGGGCCTCGCAACATCCTCGTCGGACTGGAGGAAGTTCCAGTAGTAGCGGGCCGAGAGCCCATCCGGATTCACATAGTGCAGGCCCGCAAAGCCAATAAAGCCCAGGTCTGGGCGGATTAGCATGTAGCCGCTGTGGCCGAGAGCCAGCTGCCTCCTCAGCGCCTCGCCTGATAGCTCGAGTTGGCCCACGACAGTCGCGAGCGGCACGACGGCCAACAGGTCCGCGGCGGGACGGCCCAGGAGATGCTCGCGTACTGCATGGAGGCAAGGTAACATCAATATCCATCCATACAAGATCTCACAGCTGCCTGCGTCCAGAAAGAAACATGTGATATCGCCTTACCCACGCTGTTGATGCCGTCTGCACCTATCAGAATGTCGCCCTTGGCACTGCTGCCGTCCTGGAAGTATACGGAAACCCCGTGGTCGTCGTGCTCGATGCGCTGGACATGCTTGCCCCACTGCACGGGGATACTGGTCGACAGCCAATTACGAAGACGACGCCGCTCCGCGCGAATGAAGGGAAACCTGGGAGAATCCTGAAGAGGAACCGCCGCGCGACTCAATCAGTACAAGAAATCAAGTCTTCTTTTGAATTGTCACGGGAGATGAGATAAGGAAGCGCACCTGGAAGCCCCAACGGTCCTCCCGGCCGGGTGTATATAAAGCTAGCTGGGCAGGAAGGTTTAGAGGCAGTAGATGGTTGGTGGAAGCCCTGAGGTCAGGCATGTCGGACGGAAATGTCGACAGCAGTGACTCGACAATTCTGGAGGGTTGGACGCGTCAGAACCGTTCATATGACAGCCCAGAGTGAAGTGTATACTCTTCTCCAGAACGGTTTCGGTGTGTACATACGAATGCATGGCGATGGCCCATCCTTGGAAACGGGCGTCTGCATGGTCGTCGCGTTCGAATATCTCAAAGGATATGTCCTGTTTTCGCAGCGTCTGGGCCAGGCTGAGTCCGCCAACACCCGCCCCAACAACCAAGACGTGCATTGTGTTTGAAGTTGCGAGGCAAGATGAGCGCATGCACGTGCTCGATACGAGTGTAGAGTGAGAGAATAGACCTAGATTTTCAGCCGTATACCCCTTCTGTATACTAAGTAGCCTTGCCTCAAAAGAGCGGCTTTAAGGCAACTGCTGACAACTCGGGCTTCATAGCAAGAACTTGACCTCAAACATGCCCCCAGCTCACCCTACTCTCCAAGGTTATGAGCAGCTCCGATAATGATCGTCTGAACTGCTCACTAATCATTCAAGTTCGTGCCGAATGACGTGTAAGCTGCAGTCCACTCTCTCGAAGGAACATGCCCGAAATCCGCAAAGTTTGTTGCGTGTCAGACAGCGCCGAACAAATGCAGCGAAGATGTAGCGGGTAGCCCTTGAACTATATCAAATAGCATCAAAATCGCCGAAATTCCGACTTCCGCGGCCTCATTGTTTGATACGTCTCATCATGCCGCGATGAGGATCCTTCGGAGAGTACCTGAACCTGAACCTCCTCGTTACGTCGATGGTGGAAGTTGGCAAAGATGATCCTTGGGGATATAGTTCAGTGTCTTACTTTTTGATGAAAATGCATACGCTACTCCCATTTCCACAGTGCAGCATCGATTTTTTTGTCCCTTCTCCACGCCTGGCCGCGAATTCTAACTCTACAAGAAAGACGAACGAAGCAGCAAAGGTTCAAATATGTCATCCGAAGAACACGTCGCACTGCCAATTATTGACCTGAGCGGGTACTTCCACCCAAAGTCTCCCGAGGATCGGGAGCATGTCATCAAGCAAGTATGCGACGCTGCCAGCCAATATGGCTTCTTCCAGGTCAAAGGCCATGGGGTTCCCCTGGGTCTACAACAGGATCTGATCCGGTGCATGGGTAACATCTTCAACCTGCCTGAGGAGGTGAAGTTGGAGATGTCCTTCCTCAGCAACCCTTGTCGCCGGGGCTACGAGGCATCCGGCATGTCGCATCGGGAAGGGGATGCGCTGCCCGATGCCAAAGAGGTAAGTCGACAAGTTAGAATTTTGACAAGATGGCTGAGAGCAGTTAGCTGACCCGCCCGAACCTGTTATAAAGTGCTTCTTCATTGGTCCTGAGGGCCCGACTGTCGAGCTGGGCGGCATCTACGGACCTAATGTGTGGCCTGACCTCCCAGACGCTGACTTCCGCGGGCCCGTCTGGACATACTACCAACAGACCAGCAAGTTGGGCAAGGCGCTATGGTCAGTCCTGCTCGAGGGCCTTGGCCAGCCGGTGCAGCTGGTAGAGCAGTTCAGCCGGCGGCCTATCGTGCCCATGAAGATGATCCGCTACCCGCCAAGCCAGCAGGTCGCCAAGGGTCAGTTCGGCATCGGTGCGCACACCGACTTCGGCGGCATCACCATCCTGTTCCAGCAGCCGGGCAAAGACGGCCTTGAAGTATGGCACGAAGGCCAACGCCAGTGGATCGACGTTCCCGCTCTCGAGGATGTCTATGTCATCAATTGTGGTGACATGGTGCAGCGCTGGTCTGACGGCGCCTACAAGAGCGCACGCCACAGGGTTATCAACAAGTCTGACGGCGAGAGGCTGTCGTGCGCTACGTTTTGGCACGGTGATGTGAATGCCACGAACCCGCTTAGGCCCAACGACCCCAACAGGGAGACGGTCGGTCAGCTGCTGATCAAGCGCTTCCGCAACCAATATTCATTTACGAAAGAGCTTCTGGCTGAGGTTGGGGCCGCGTCATGAGGTCGATTATCATAGCACTTTAGCGGGAGCAACAACTCGCAGTACCAATATATGCACCGTGCTGTTTCTATATTTCGATGATCCAGTGCTTCTGTATAACATCCAAGAGATTTCTGACTCCTTCTTCGCTCATGTAACCCAACTCATTCAGCCTTTTATTCACATGCGTAGCTTCTTTTAAAGCCAGATCTAGCACTACTTGATAGCTCAAAATCAGGGGTCGTTTTCATACACCTTGTTGTTTTACTCGTGGACATAAATAACGCAGTGCTTGACATTTGATAAGTTAGTATTAATATCTAGGGCAGAACTGTAGAGGACTGCGCGACGACGCCCGGGCGAGTGCATCGAAGAGAGGTTATTCTCATTTACGGCTAGCTTCAACTTGACAAAAGAAAGAAGGACGTAATAGTATTAGATCTCTGCTGCATCTACCATATCTGTCATCTTCGTGATACAAGCTTGCCCTCGTCACTCTGCATAGTAGCCTCATGCGATGCCAGTACGTAGCCGAACCCCAGTGCCTTGATCCGACCCAACCACTTGAGGAGTGGTATTGTGGTGAGCTCCTTTTCACCCTTTCTGCGCCGTCTCTGTACAGTAAGCTCGACATGTGCCATCAGCTCGTCTACCTCAACGGCGGCTGGGCTTTCGTAGTGCAAGAATCGAGGTTTCGTGGTCGCTGGCTCAGCCAGCTGAGACGTGAGCACCGACTCGCAAAGCCACCGAGCGGCGAGGTCGGCAGGGATCAGGTCCATACGGCCCGCCCAGCCCTCGGGGTCGGGCACCACGCCGGCTAGGTCGATGCAGCGTGCAAACTCATCTAGAGCCTGCTGTTTCAGCAACTCAGGCTGTGTCCCCGCCGCCGACAGAGGGAGCATGCGGTAGATGAAGGATGGGACCGCAAGGTCCGAGGCCGAGGCGGCACGCTCAAGGACATGTTCGCTGGCCCACTTGGTGGCGACATAGCCCTCGGAGCCGTCAGAGGGCGGCACGTAGGCCGCAGCCGAGCACGCAGCCTCCTCCAACGACCCTTCCGGCGGCAGGACGCCCGCCGTCGACAAGAAGTGGATAGGTATGCGGCGTGCTGAGGCAAGCTTGACCAGCTCCTTGGTCGGAAAGACGTTAGAGGCGCGGAGGGTATAGTAGTCATCGAAGAAAGACCGTACAGCGCCCAGGTGCAATACCACGTCCACCTGTTCGGCCAAGGTGCGAAACCCGTCCATACCAAGGCCGAGCATCGGGAGAGACAGGTCGCCGACATGGGTGACAACCTTGGGATCCGGGAGCGGCCACTCCTGGCGTTGCTTGTCCCGCACCGCGACGCAGTGGATCTTGGCCACACGCGCATCCGCCAACAGCAGCTGGAATAGGTGTCTGGCAAGATTTCCGGTTGCGCCCGTCATCAGGATCGTCTTGCCTCCCGTCTGGTTCACGGGAGCAGGCAAGCCTCTGAGGAAGTCCGGTGTGGAGGGCGGCGCCGTCTCGTGCTCCCAGTCGATGGGGCCGACGCTGGGGCTTTCTTTGATCTTGCGTGCCATCTGGTCGAGCGTATGGGCGCCGAGGAGATCGACGAGACGGAGGGCCACGTTGAAGACGTCTCGGATGCGCGACTGGAGACGGATGGCCAGGAGTGAGTTCCCGCCGACTAGGAAGAAACTGGTCGAAGGGGTGATGGCAAGTCCGAGCCTCTCGCTGCTGGGAAGAAGTTGACGCCACACATGGCGCAGTTGGATCATTGTCTCCGTCGTCTCGCCTGTATCGTTGTCATCGTCAAGGGCACTATGAACTGATGGAACGCGCTTGGGTAGTGGGAGCTCCCTGATGGCCTTGCGGTCAACCTTGGAGTGACTGGTGAGAGGGAGCTTGTCGAGCGAGATAGCAAGCACAGGTACCATGTACTGGGGAATGGGGAGATGGCTAAGCAGTTGGGTAAGGAATGCATCCCTATCGCCCACGTCTTGTCGTCCTGGAGTGAAAACAACATGTGCGACGAGATAGTCGGGATCACCCTGTCGGAGTGTAACCACAGCCTCTTTCAGCGCACCGCCTGCTGCCGAGACGATATTCGTCTCGATATCGCCCAGGTCGATGCGTAGACCTCGTAATTTGACCTGTGTATCACCTGCGATCCGGTTCCGGAAGATAAGACACCCATTCTCATCAAGATGTCCTATATCCCCCGTACGGTGCATCCGAGTCCAGCCGTTGGCTCTCTGCCAATCAGTTGCAAAAGGGTTCGTGACAAAAGTGCGCGATGTTAGTTCTTGGTTCGTCAAATACCCCAAAGATACACCGGCGCCGCCGATGGCTATCTCTCCTGGCATGCCGACAGGCAGTGGTTTCTGGTTCTCGTCCAGGATGTATGTTGCATAGTTTGGCAAAGAAAATCCACACGCCACGGGCCCATCATCCGGGGTTGTGCCGAGTGCCTCGCCGCGATAGTCGATGTACCCTTTGTGTGATGCAATGGAAATCTCGGCTGGTCCGTACGAATTGTACAGACACAGCTGCCCAAGGCCAAGTTCGGAGAACTGTCGCAGGACAGATCTGGTCATAGGCTCACCGCCACCAAAGGCAAAACGCCACTCCGATGCCTGGCGGAGATTGTGCCCACCGTACTGCAGCCACATGGAGTACTCCGACGGCGTGACTTTTGTATAAGTAATAGACTGCTGCTGCATAATCTCCGTAATAGACAGTGGATCGCCACGTTTGCTCCAGGGAACTACATACACTCGGCCCCCGTTCACGAGGCCTGTGAATATCTGGTCGATGGAGAAGTCAAAGGTAAAGGCGCTCTGCTGGAGGACGGCCTCAGCGCCTAGCTTGTATGTCTTGGTGTAGCCCTCCATCTCATTGCGAATACCTGCGTGCCGGATCATGATACCCTTGGGAGTCCCTGTAGAGCCGCTCGTGTACAGAATCGCTGCAGCTGCCTCTGAATCTGCAGAGTTGGCGATATGGGCTGAGGGTGCATAGGATACCTTGGATATGTCAATGATGATGGGCGCATTCAACTGAGGCGCGTCAGCGATAGTTGTGCTATCAGCTAGCACGGCGCCGGGGTTGCAGTGATCCGCCTGGGCTGCTAAGCGCGATATTGGATTGCGGAGATCGAGCGGCACATAGACGCCTCCAATGCGCATAATGGCCAACATGGAGCAGATCCAGTCAGTCGAAGCATCCTGGAACACAAGCACACGAGATCCACGGCCCAGGTTGGCCCGGATCATCGCCTCAGCCAGTGCCTGGATACGCCTTGACATGGCTGTGTATGTAAGACAGCTTCCATGGCCATCTAGCAGCGCTGTCTTGTCTCCATTCTCCTGAGCGACCTGATCGATTCGATGGGGCAGCGTCGCCGGCCAGTCAGATATCAGATCAGTCCCCACTCCGACCTGGACGGCTTGGGCCAGTTGCTTCTCACTAAAGAGGGGCGTATCGTCCAGAGAGAGCGTCGTGTTCTTGGCAAGGGCAGACAAGAGGTGCACGTAAGTTTCCAGCAGCAGGTTCGCCGCCGTCAGGCTGTAGAGACCTTGCTGCACCCGGACTGTGACATGGACATTCGAGCCGAGGTCGGCCACATCTAGTGAGATGTCATATGCGCTTCTCCCAGGATGCATCTCGTCAAGTCGGAACTCACAATCACACCAGACCTCCCTGTCCGTCGTCTGCTTTCGGTAGTCGAAGAAGGCCTGGAAGAAGGGGCTGTATGATGGAGAACGCGCCACGCCAAGCTCCTTGAGAAGCACATCAAAAGGCAGCTGCGAGTGCTCGAGAGCCCCATAGGCGGTATCACGAGCCTCCACCATGGCATCCACAAAGGCCTGCTGCGACTTGCGCTGGAATCGCAAGGGCAGGAGGTTGAGGAATAGCCCGATGCTTCCCATGACATCGCCATTATTGCGGTTGGCGTCAGCAATACCGATAGTGAGGTCCTGGATGTCTGTGAAGGAGAAGAGCATTGTCTTGAATGCTGCCAGGTAGAAGTGGAAGGGTGTGCATCGTTGTGCTCTGGAGAGTTTAATCTGCTCAGCCAAGGATGCATCAAGCTGGATGCCTACTTGGTGAACAGCATAGTCTGTCATTGTAATCCTCGAGTTTGAGCGAGCCATGGGCAGCAGTGGTAGGACTGGTGGTTGTTCGCCAGCTGGGAATACGCCCCGCCAGTACTCAAGCTCGTCAGCCAGCTCCCCGTTCTCGATCTCCTGCCATTGAGCCACCGAGAAGTCAGGATATTGCATAGGCGGCGGCCCAAGTGGTTGTGAGTTATATGCCTTCTCCAGTTCTGCTGTGAAGATCTGGAAACTAGCCATGTCCATGATGATATGGTGGTAGTTGACCAACAGGTAATGGTGGGTTGGCGAAAGCGATATGAGCATGAGGCGCAGCAAGGGGCCACTTCCCAGGTCAAACTCATGTGCTCGCAGCTGCGCGTACACTGCCGCAACCTCTTCTACCGAACTGACTGTCATGTGCTCTAATCGGAGCGTGGAGCGAGCCGATACCTTCTGGAATGCTTGGTCTGCCTCGTCTTCATCTTCGACAAAGCATGTGCGTAAAGATTCGTGCCTTGCCGTCACGACGCGAAGAGCTCTCTCGAGATCACCCACGCGCACGTTACCCTCCAGGCGGAACTTCAAGGCCACGTTGAATGTGGTACGGTCCTGGACCAGGAGGCGGAGGAACCAGAACCTGGACTGTCCTACCGATATGGGTCTGCTCTTGACGAACTTGGTGGCGGCCGAGTTGTCCTTGTGCGCTGATCGCAAGGAAGGTAGGGACGTCTGCGGTGTGATGGCAGATGTTGGAGTGTTCACGGCCGATGCGGACTTTTGACTTGCACTTGCATTTTCGCAATCGGATCCGGAGTTCGATGCCTCTATGCTTGAAGACATTGACTTGGAAGCGGCGGGTGTCTGCGAGGACGCGACGGGCTTTGGCGGCGTAGCACCAACACCAACAGCAGCAGCAGCATCACCACCACCACGGCTGTTCCCAATTTGCGCAACGAGGTCTCCCGGCAATTTCTTCAAGGCCATTTCACAGATCTCATCGAGAGATGACCCACCGACCAGTTTCAACACCGGGATGTCAACCTTGAGCGTCTTCAGGAACCAGGACCGCACCTCGACGGCAACCAGTGAGTCGATGCCGAGCTCGACAAGAGGGGCGTCGGAGGCGATATTATCCTGGTCAGTGCTATGCAAGACGACACGCAGCTTTGCCAAGAAAGATTCTATGTAGATATCTCGGGTCAGTACCTCTTTTACCACTAGGGTAGTTGTAATAGTCTTTGCTTGACATACCTTTGAGTATTTCCGAAGCTACTTCCATCGTTGCCGCCGCCGCCATCTGATCCCATATAGGAACAGTGGCGGCTTTCTTCTTGGACTCATTCCCCGTATCCTCGCCCCTATTTTCAATGACCAGGTGCGAAAACACTGGGTTTCCATACCACACCATGTCTGTCTCGTCCGCCGTAATGGTACGAAGGCCGCTCGTCATACCAGCAGCGGGTAGAGCGCCTGGCTCCTTGTCTTGCATGGTCGCATGACCAGCGTAAATGCTTTCTGCGAATGCTAGGCGGAGGTCCGACTCGGAGAGAGGTGTTATGCCATACTTTTGCAGGGAATCGACGACATGTTGGCCCGCGACTTCAGCCACGCCTATTCCGAGAATGAGACCAATGTCAAGCGCCGAGGCAGCCAGGCCACGTCTGCGTCTCTGCCGGGCCAGGCCGTTCATATACCCGTTTGCTGCCGTATAGTTGGACTGGCCTGCAGTCCCGATCACACGGGATATAGACGAGAACAAGATAAAGAAGTCTAGATCATCATGATAGAATGCCTCGTCCAGGTTATTTGAGCCGCCAATCTTGGGCCCCAGTGCTCGTAGCATCATCTCGGTGGACATGCTATCGAAAGGCGTATCGCTGAGGACATTGGCTCCGTTGACAACGCCAGCGATCATGGGACAAGTCCTCCTGATCGTTCTGAGCACGCTGTCCAGACTATCTCTGTCGGTGATATCGGCTGCAAAGACCTTGACGGTCGCTTTGGTTCCCTGGAAGGAGTCGAGCCATCTCTGGTCAACGTTGGGGCGGCGGCTCGTCAAGCATACGCAGCCGGCGCCATTGGAGACCATCCACTCGCAAAGCGACTGCCCGACCTGGCCGCTGAGTCCAAACAGCACATAGGTCTTATCCTTGAAGAACAGGTGTCGACCATCCATGGGGCGTACCTTCAGCTCGACTTGGCCATCTGCCGGCCACTTCAAAACAGTCGTTGTCCCGTGATCTCCAAGACGGTCTGTGAGCTGGTCAAGGGGGAGGACTATGTCCTGAAACCGTGTCTCCTGGAGGCAAGGCACTGTATTCAAGGATGCCTTCACACCGGCAATGGCATCCTGCAGGTGGGTGACCAATACTGCTCGGTCAAATGAAGGAAGGAGTGAGGCCTGGCGCCTGGAGAGTATAGACGGATCCAAGACACTGCATTCTGAGGGCAGCGCCTTGACGATATTGAGGCAGGCATCACTCGTCGGATGCACACCCGAATACCGTGGCGCAGTCAGGTCGAGGAAGTGCGTGGGCTGCACAGGAAGCAGCCTCCGCCGCACAGCATGACTGGAGGCGCGAGCGCTTAGCCGGATCCACGCCTTTTCCAGAGACTCTGCCTGGTAAGCAACGCACGAGAATGTGACGCGAATGGAATGCGTGGTAGCAAGCCGTGAAAGGGCTGCAGCGAAGAAACGATCCCTTTCTGAACAATGGACCAGTATACTGCTGCCCGGAGCCAGATGCCGGACCAGGGACATGGCAAAGACTTCACTTGTGACGGCAATAAGCACACGGTCAGCGTCAAAGGCCTCGTCGCTTACTTGGACCGGGACTGGGACTGAGACGATTGGTGCCGTCTTGTGGGAATTGGTCGTCGACGCTGAAAGGACGAGTTGTGCTGTAGGGCCGGGCTTCCCAATACTGAGGAACACAAACGTATCGGGTGAAGCATGGAGCGCCGCCAGACTTGAGCACTCAACCCTCAGCAAATCCTTTTGGTCATCAAGGGATGGCTTGCGCGGCAGGACGTCTTCCACCAGACTGGGCAGCAAGGCGGAACTCCCGAGATCAATGGAGAAGTTCGACGTCGTCACTGGTGCTTTCTTGGTAATGACACGCCTGCAGGCATTAAGTCGAGCGTTTTGGTTGAGATTCGGCAAAATGCGGGGGATGAGAAGCTTCCCATCACGCAAGAAGGTCTCTGGTTCCTTGGACCATAGAAGCTGTCGTGGGTCTCGTTCCTCGAGCGCAACCTGCCGCAGGAGCTGCTCAGCGATGGTCCTCGAGATGTTGCCATCTACGCCGGAGATATGAAGTGTGTTGAAGTTGATATGGGCTGCCTCGTTGCTAAGTGATCGGACGAAAGCAAGACTGGCCTCGTGGTAGGCCTCCTCGCTCGACTGGGAGCCGCGGACGAGCCACAAAACATGCCTGGCCAGATCCAAGACCCGCTTCAGGCCCTCCATCGTGTCACTTGTCAGATTTTTGAAGATGGGAGAGTCGAGGTCCACCAGGTTGACAAATGTGCCCATCGTGCCCAGGGCCTGCGCCTCGGCCTCGGTAGGGAGGCCCTCGAGAATGGTGATGGTGCCGCAGAATCGCCCGAGGCTGTCCGAAAGCCCTTCGGCAATCCAGGCGCTCTCGAGGGTCTGAGTGCCCATAATGACCAAGTTGTTGATGAAGACGTGAGGAGATGACGAAAGCGGCCGTCGGAGATAAAGCACTTGCTCGTCAACAGCCTGTACTGTCATGACGGAGAACGGCCAGGCCAGGCTGGGGCCGCCCGTCCTTGGTGTAATTGTGTCGATACCACCAAACCCAGCCTTTCTTAGAGTCGTATGCCAGACCCCTGGTGCTATGGTAGGTGCGTACTTGCGGCCCTCCTGCACGCCGAGCCACCAGGCAGGAAGACCTCCCATGATAGTCGTGAACCGTATCGGGTCGTTGTTGGTCACCTCCAGCAGCACAAGGTATCCGCCGGGCTTCAAAAGCTGCCGGGTATTCTTCAGACTCTCCAGAAGCGAGGCCGTGGCACTTAGCACATTGGAGGCGACAATCACGTCATAGGAATGCTCCTCATAGCCTTGAGACACAGGCACCTGCGTCATGTCTAGGGTTTTGAATGTCATGTTGTCGCCATACTTGTCGAAGGCTGCAGCGGCTTTCTTTATAGCGTCTTGTGACGGGTCAGTGAAGGTGTAATAGGGCATTGCACCGCCGCGAGTCGAGATAGCCTCATAGATTGACCTGGTAGCCGCGCCGGTTCCAGCACCTGTTGCGATGAGTTCGTTAGCCATGGTGTAGGATGAGGTACCAAACACTCCCCGAGGCGGTGGAACGGCTTACCTATTTCCAGAATCTTGGCGTGTGGATATCGGTGCGTAATCTTCTCAACCATGCCGGCCAAAAGCGAGTGGTACTCGGCCATACCGAGACCATTGTTGTAATACTCACTCAGGAGGAGACCGGGGTCAAAATGCTCTTCTAGCGGCGTTGTCTGCGCTCGCAGAGCACCTGGGAATCTGTCTCCGACTGCGGAAATGAGATTGATCGTCGGGTCGCCGGGGAACCTAGAAATCATCGCGTCGATATCTTGACTGCTATCGTTGATCCATGCTTTCTTCAGGGTCGCATGCTGCCCAGCAGAGGTGAGGGAAAGCGTGTGCTCGATAAACTCTCGAACATGTCGATAGTATGGCTGGCTATTCTCCCATTCGTCATGGGCAATTTCTGCCTTCCACTTCCGCAGATAATAGAAAGAAATCCTTTCACAGGCGACTGCCAGCTCTGTTTCACGTGCAGATGGGATGGAGAGACCCAAGCCTACAAGAGACGACGCATCGGGTACCGCAACATCAAGTTTCGTGTAAGAGTACATCCAGCGGTCCTCTGCCTCGGTGGCGGGGGCAAAAGGCCTGAGAATGAGATCCTCGACCTGAATCATGCTCTGCTGGCCATCCTCACTAAAGACATCGATATTTGCCGAGAAATTCTCTGGATCATTGTCGAGCGTGGTGAAAATGGGGACGCGGGATCCAGAGAGCGGTACTGAAGCGCACACCTCAGGGTTGACGGAGATAGCCCCAATATTGGTGGGGACGTGGAGAGACCAGAGACGTTGGTCCCCTGGAGACGAGTAAGCAAGCATGGCCGACTGTATGGCGACATCAAGGGTACTCGGGTGCACCAGATAAAAGGTAGTATCGTCTTCTGCGTAAGCATACGTATCTACGAGAGCAGAAGCGTGATTAAGCTTACGCTTCATCGACGACATGCCTCTGAAAGAACCAGTATAGCCATAGCCCAGCTTCGAGAAGGTGGTGTAGACACGGTCGGCATTAACCTCGGTCATATTATAGTCTTCGATCGCGGCACTGGTGTCGGGCAAGGCTGCAGTACCTGAAGCGCCGATCGAGATCCTCACAGATGCGCTTGCCACGAGTTCGTGGTCGTGGTTCAAGGTGATGCTCGCATTCTGGGCCGCATAGACCGAGAAGTTGGCCGTCACAGTCTGGTCTGCATGGCGCTCGATGGAAGTCAAGGTGGTAAGAGTCTCGACACCAGACTGGTCATCCTTCTCGAAAGTAATGGCCCGTGAGATGGAAAGGTTGTGCAGTTCGAGGAGTTGGATCGACTGTTCACCAGAAAGGACCCGGCAAGCTTCCAACGCCATCGACACATAGCCTGAAGCAGGGAAAACAGCGATGCCTTGCAACTGGTGACCCTCCAACCAAGCAATCTCAGACACTTTGAGAACATTTGACCAACGCATATCATGGCCATTCGACTCGGGGCATAGTACACCAAGCAACTCATGTGGAGCCTGTTTCCTCTCGCGTATCTTTCTTGATCTGCGCGATTCACTCCAATGTACTCTGCCATGGTCCCACGGATACGATGGAAGATCATAAACCAGTTTGTGAGGCTTTGTGCTCTCACCCACGACCTTATCGAAGCACTGGAGATCAACTGCCTGGGGGCCCAGGAGGGTCCATAAAAAACCAAGGGCGTCCGAGAAAACCTCAATGTCGTCATTTCCTCGACTCAAAACACCAGAGTATGGAAGAGGTGTGGGCCGCACATCAGCAATGTTTTGCGTCGCTGGGCCCTTGAGTGCTGGGTGGGGTCCAATCTCGAGAGCTATATTGATATGCTCCTTACTAGCTAGAGCGTTCTTGATAGCATCAGCAAACAGGACTGTGTTTGCCATGTTGTCCCGCCAGTATATGTCCCTGAGATCGTCAGAAGGCTCCATGCCATGGGCGGTGGGGTTCACACTAGAGAACCAGGCGCAAGCGGTGTTTCGCTCACGATTGACGCGGATCCCGCAGGTGCGCAGAGCGCGGATGTATGAGTCGCCACAAGGGAGCATATGGTGAGAGTGGTAAGCAGTATCGACTTTTAAGAGCCTAGCGAACTTTTTCTGCTTGTCGAGGATCTTTTTGGCGTGGACAATCGCATCGGCATCTCCAGACAGGGTAACACTAGCCGTAGAGTTATGGGCAGCGACGGTCAGCCGGCCCTTGAAGGCCTGTAGATTAACAAGATCCTGAGCATCTTGTAGAGATGTGCCCACCGCCAGCATAGCACCCTGCTGACCTGTAGCCTTGTTGCCAGCCAACCGGGCATATAGGCCACGGTAATAGGCGATTCTGATAGCATCATGGGCAGAGAAGAAGCCCGCAGCATAGGCTGCAGCGATCTCGCCCGAGGAATGACCGACCACAGCAGCAAAGGTGATACCAGCAGCGCGCAACAGGTCGACGAGGACAATCTGGATAGCCGTACATAAGGGTTGCGAGAGGGCAGCTTCGGCGATGCGTGAGGTTTCGCTTCCTGCCAGCATCTCGTGGCGGAGGCTCCACCCCGGGCGATCAGCAGATGGCAGAGTAGCCAGAGACTCTTCAAGATCTTGGACCCTCTGGCGCACAAAGGCTGAGGAGCGGATCAAGCTCGCACCCATTGCTGGCCACTGTGCACCCTGGCCCGTGAAAATACCCAGGATACAGGACTCTGCATGTCTGCTGGCGGTACGGGTGCCGATGGTGGTAGCAGCATTCGCCTTGACAGTGGCAAGCTTGACGTCGATCTTGTCTGTGAGTTGTTTTATGCTCAGGGCAGAGAAAGATACTTTCACAGGCAACTGGCTCCTGCGAGAGTGCAGTGTCCAGGCCAGGTCGGAAGCATCCGTGTCGCTATGGTGAGTCTTGAGGGAGTCGGAATATCGCTCCAGGAGGGTGATCAGAGACATCTCGGAGTTGGCTGAGAATACAAAAGGGGTGAAGGGGCGCAGAGACAAGCCCTCGAGGGTGGAACGTGCGGCAGAAGGCGGCAGGTCGACGTTGACGTGTTCTTCCAGAATGGCATGAGCATTGGCGCCACCGAAACCTATGTTTGATGTCGCCGGTCGAGCATTTTGTTAGCTAGCCGCTCTCGCAATGTTGCTCGGAAGTTTGCAGGAAACCCTAGCCCTGGGAACTTGCAACATTTTCGAATTGCTAGTGAACAACGTACCAAAACTGTTTACGCTCACGCGTCTACGACCTCCCTCGGGAAGTTCGGGCCACTCTGTCAGCCTCGTGGGCACTTGTAGCCCCTGATATACTGGCTCAATCTTGGGGTTCAGGCGGTTGAAGTGCAGGTTCGCAGGAATCAGTCCTTTCTGCAGGCCAAGAGACGCTTTCAGGAGGCCTGCGAGCCCAGCCGCGCCCTCAAGATGGCCGACAATGGTCTTGATGGAGCCCACATACAAGGCATCACGGCCCCTATTCTGACTGAGTCCGAACGCCTTGTGGATGGCCGCGGCTTCCCTTGGGTCTCCCGCCTGAGTCCCTGTCCCGTGCGCCTCGAAATATTGCGGCTGGTCGATCTTCTTCTCCGGGTCAAGGCCCGCCTTGGCATATGTCTGCCGGATCAGCGCGGCCTGCGCTTCGCTGCTGGGCACAGTCAGCCCGTTTGAGAAACCATCTTGGTTAGCGCCTGTCTCCCGGATAATGCACTCGATATGGTCGCCATCGGCAATAGCATCGCTCAGGCGCTTCATCACAATGGCCGCTACTCCCTCGCCGCTGCTGCGTGTTAGATCTTCTTCTAGTTTTCAAAGACGTATGATGCCCGGGAGCGAGCAATATGGATGAGCACACTTACCGAGCATATCCATCCGCATCTTCATCCCACATCCGCGACCGACCATTGGGCGACAGCATCTTCAGCTTGCTCTCGCCGATATACATGTCGTAGCCCAGGAGGACCTGCGTGCCACATGCCACCGAAACCCTTGACTCGCCGCTCCGCAGTGACTGCACCCCTTGATGCACAGCAATCAAGCTGGAAGAGCAAGCTGTATCGATAGTCATGCTTGGGCCATGCCAGTCGAAAAAGTACGAGACCCGGTTCGAGATGATGGCCCTGTTGATTCCGGTTGCAAAGTATTTTGGAATCGTGTTGTGGTCTCGTAGGAGAGTATCAAGGTAGTCGACCGCTACAGGAAACGGACATGTTAGTCATGGATGCTGGTTGCAGGTTGCAGGAAAGGGGCTCTCTCATCCAGTCTTTTGCGGGTGACCTGGGATTCGAAGAGACCTGGGGGTTGGTCAAATGGACGTACTCATGGTTCCCACGTAAACCGACGTATCAGACCCACGTAGACCTTCGAGCGTGTGTCCACCCGCCTCAAGGGCTTCATACACGATTTCCAGGAGGAGACGCTGTTGCGGGTCCATGGCTTCGGCCTCGTTGGGGCTGATGTTGAAGAAGGGCGCGTCAAACACACGTACATCCTCGTCCAGCAAATACGAGTGACGAACGTTGGTCGTCCCATGTCTACCACCGTCGTGGTGATAAAATCCTGTTGTGCTGAATCTATCCGCCGAGATTTCTCTGCACAGATCCTGAGGGTTCTCAAGCAGGCTCCATAACGAAGAGCGAGAATGAGCACTCCCTGGAAATCGGCAGCCGCTACCCACGATAGCGATGGGCTCCGTGCCTGACGAGACAGTGTGTGTCATTTCGGTTGCTGGTAATATGAACTTCCTGGGTAACTTTGCAACAGTTGGAAAGGCAGATTGCAAAAATGAGGAAGAGCAAATATGCGGATTAGACGAGGTTCATCCAACTGAGGCCGCAATGGTTATGAAACGAATAACCTGCTCGAGACAACATAGAGTACCACAAGACTCTGATCTCAAAGGCCTAAATGTATGTAGCCGATTAAACACTGATTCTTGACTTTCTTCTTTATTTTCTGGTAAAAGAAATCATTCATGCCTAGAATCACCGTCTTCTAACTCTCCATATAAGCCGTATCTAAGCCTTATCTACCTTGGTAGGTATATTTTGCTACATACCCTAGGTATCTGCGAAAAAACTTTTAAAAAAAATTTTTTTTTTCAAAAAGAAATGATCAACGATACCTAGGTATTCGGCGCTCTGAAGATGACCAAAGATCTGCCCGGCCCAAAGAGCGAATTTAGTCCCTCCTAGCCTTCATGGGTACCCATTTACCAACATAGGCAAGTTGCCACTCGCATGGTCCCCGAGATCGCAAGGCTGACGAATATAGTTCGGGCAGGAATCCTACCGAACGGTCAACCCCACCTTCGCTTAATAAAACCCTATGCCAATAATCATGATCATCATGTCGCCGATGACTACTTGCATACAGTTTGTCCGTGGCTTACGCTTGAAGGAATACATGCTCATCGGGCCACGCTGGCTACGCCGAACCAAGCCTGGTCGGCACTCCTTTTACCTGCACTATGGGAAAATGGGTAGGTCCAATGCATAGAGGTGATGAATTCATGGATGAGGAATGATTGAACCCTTTGTCCTACTAAGATATATCACACATTTGCAGCCGCCGACAGGAAGCCGTTATTCTCATATTTGTTCTATCCTTGGCAGGCTTAGAGTGGATGAACAGTCCTCAATGCTACAACACAGGCAGTATACCCACCCGTAGATCTGATGGTAGAAATGAACACTACAAGTTTCCCTCTGCGGTTTCTTGGAGATTCAGTAATTATTTGGTTTATTTCTATGTGAGCAAGAACATAGACAATATTAGGTTTATCTGATGAAGAGACGGCATTCGTAGTATTATGAAGAACCTCGGCCCATAATCAGGAGGCGAGGGGAAATATAGCACTTGAGAAAGAACTGGATAAATTAGACACGATGTCATACTTTGTTCTCCTTGCACTTTCCTAGGGTCTTTGTCTTCTGCTGGTGACGGCCACTCGATTTCCTCCTACATCTCTACCCTGTCGTAGACCCAGCCAGAGTTTCGAAATTAGTTTTGCACATTCTGCCGTCTGGAAGGATCTCCCACCCTTCGCTTCCCACAGCTATGGGATTCCAAAACAAGCCCTTGGGGTCGTACTTCCTCTTCACCATCAGCAAGTTGTCATAATTACTCCCAAAGAAAACATCTTGCCAATCACGTTGCTGGTAGTCCGCCTCGTTGATGTACGCCCCAGCACCAGGGGTCACGGCCTCGATCTTGGGCATGATTTCATTTGTGATGCGGTCCTGCCGCGCCTTCATCTCGGAAAACGGCACGTTAAAAGAGTACGGCAGCGAATAGGACGACATCACTGCGGCGTGGCGCCACTGAGGCATCACGGCGCGGGTTGCGCTCTCGAAGCGCGACACATTAACTGCTTGGCCAATGAACGTCCCACCGATCTGCAGCGTTGAGGCATTGATGGCGGCGCCAACGTCCGGAAGGGCGTCGCGTAGGAGGAAGCGTCCGCCAATCAGCGACCCACCCGCTGCGCCAAAGTGGCCTGCGGGCAGGGGGCCGAAGTAGTATGTGTAGTAGTCTTGGTACGAGTCAAACGACGTGTAGTTGGGCTGAACGCTGACATTCATGGAGGCAAATGAGCTGAGCACGGGAGCGAGCGCGATTGCGAGGTCGGCCTTCGTGCGGTTGTAGCCCGTCAGGGAGTACAGGGTCATGCTAGTGTTGGTCGCGTAGTATGTTGCCATGTTGCCAGCGTCAAGGATGCCCGGGAGAGCCGTATGCCAGGCGTCGAGTACGGCTGCATAGTCAAGACCCAGCTCCTCGATGACGAAGGCGGCGCCGCTGGTGATAGCATCAGCATGAAGTTTGAGGGTCACAGACACCACGACGCCGTAGTTGCCGGCGCCAGAGCCACTCAAAGCCCAGAAAAGATCGGAATTGTTGCTGAATGGGCTGGCTGTGACCATCTCCCCGTTGGCAGTTACCACTTCGAACTCGAGCGTTTGGTCGGCGGCTAGGCCCAAGGCTGTAGCGAGAGGCGAGTGGCCGCCATTCTGGACATAGCCACCAGCCACGCCTACAGTTGGGCACTCGCCTGTCACCGCCACAAGGCCAACGGCAGCGGCAGCATCCAGAGCCTCGTAACCCTCTATTCCGGCACCGATTTGTATGGCCTTTCCGGTATACTCAGCATCTGACCAGTCCTTGATTTGCGTATCCTTGAGGAAATGAGTCCAAATGGCAAGTCCGCCTGCTCCAGTGGATCGTCCCATATAATCGTGTGCGGTATTGCGAATTACGAGTCTGATGTTGTGTTTCTCTGCAAATCGGATCGTTGCCGCGATGTCGTCAGCTCCCATTGCTTTCACTGCATAGCGAACGTAATTTCCAAAGAGGCAAGGAGAGCCCTCCGATGTGAAAGGGTCGCAGCTAGCGTTGGCAAATATGGGTGCCTGAACCGAAGAAGATGAGTTGATACTGTGCAGCAGATTACTACCGTTAGCAGCTGCCGAATCCCCGGCTGTCTACCTACCCATGCTCGACGCATGTTGGATTTGAAACTTACTGGACCGGCGAATACGTCCACTCAGACGCGAGATCATTGCACAAACTCTCGTTATAGTTGGGGTCATGACAGGGCGACCCGAGCGGTACCGTCTTGATGAGACGACCGGTTACAGTGGTGTTGAGAGTATTCCATTCGTTCTCTGATGGCCAACAAGAATCCCAAGGGAAGCATTTGCATGTTTGGTTCCCTCCCAAGGCTGCTGCCACCACAGGCCAAAGTATGAGGTAACAGAGCATGACAAATTTCATCTTGGGCTGCCTGCTTCTGTCGATGCACATGTGTGATTCCTCCAAGCCCTGGGCCGTGGGAAGTTCTGTGATACTTCACACCCGTTTACTTCCTGTTTTCTCGGCCTTGAATGATTTATTCAATAGATACATCCGGACCCAGGTGACGTATGTTGTTTGCCGTCAGATTACGTCGAATTGTGAAGACCCCCGGATCTGACTGCGGCTGCGTATAGCGGCCGGCCCGCTCGGTGGTTATTCTTAATCATCATGGCCGAAGTCTGCCAATGCGTCTGTTGGTGCTGACAGAAAAACCACCGAAACAGTTAACCCTCGAGCTGGAAATGATGAAATACAATCATGTCTAGTCTATGCACGACAGACATTCCATTCGGTATCTAGGTAGTAGGAGCCCGGGGTAGTAACTGAGTCCAGAGCTTGCTGCCGCATACACAAGACCTTGCGCTTCGTTCTGCTGAGTAATACTTCATACGTTCATACCAATATATCATTCTATTTTCTTTGCATCCAAGTAATTTCAAGTGCTGTGTGTAGAGAATCCAAAAGATATTCCTGGCTTACCCTCTATTCTCGTTTGACCCGAGCAAAATGCCTGCAACGCATTTGGACTGGTTCATGAATTACCAGAGCAAGCTGCCTCTGCCCAATTGGGCTTTGCTTGCAATGTCTCTTGTTGTCCTATATTTGGGTGTCCGTAAATACGGGCTACAAATCATAGAGGTACGTGCGCCGGTACAACCACACATAACTATACTTGTTCTCTGCGTATCCCAATTGTACAACAAGTAAATGATCCTTAGGGAAGGGGCTGAACTTTACATTCAGGCAGTGATCTCGTGGCTCCTTAGCACATTCAATACCGGGACCCTATCGAAGGGAAAACAGATTTCGGGTCCAAAATGGCAGTATCCCAACGGCACTGTCATAGAGCGGTTCATCAACGGACGAGCCAACTCGGAGAAGTGGCGAAAGTATGGCCCAGTGTATCGAGTATGGAATGGGACACACCCGGAGATGTAATTAGCCCCGACCTTCAAATGCGCCTGTGGGCATGTGAGATTATGCTGATGCCCCGTCCCCGAATGTCCAGTGTCATCACCACCCCAGAGGATCTGAAGCACTTCAGTTCCGACGCCAATGATCACCCGAAGAACCACAATATGAACTTGGGCTGGTTTGTTGGAGAGCTCCTCGGCCAGGCCATGGGCCTTCTCTACGGGCCAGACTGGAAGCGTCTCCGCAAGATCTTCGACCCGGCCTTCACGCACAGCGCGGCTGTCTCTCGAATTAACGTGGTAGACGAGGCCGCTCGTAAATATGTCGAAGAGTTACCTCTTCAGGCAAAAGAGGCCGAAAACAACCTGGGCCTGACACACAGTACGACTTGTGATGCTTCGTCATTCACTCTGCCGGTGCTTCGGACCTTCACCAAGTTTCCCTATTTCCTCACTGCGCGTGCTATCTACGGGCCTATGACAGAGGAGGAGGAGAATGACTTGTGGAGCATTACGCAGAAGAGGGTGTCGCTGAATCAGTATTGGGTCGGCGGAGGCCCGTATCGATTCGAGACGACTACCAGGTTGTATGATGCCCCGGCTTTCCAGCGTCTGAGAGAGTTCAACAAAGAGTGGCGCGAGTACAATGCCCACTTAGTTGAAGACAGAAGGTTGAAAGGGGAGAGTGTGCCGGTAGTAGCGTACTGGGAGGAATTTGAGAAGGGAAATATGGCCATGGTCGAGGTGAGATTGGTTTCCCGCTCCAGATCCGTAGCGAGTCCGACCACAGAGGATATGCTGATGTTCAACTGCCTCTTATCAGCTCCTTCAGACTTTGGACGAGCTCCTGATGCTCAACCTCGATGTCATTACGCATGTCCTCACCTGGTTCATTACCCTTGTCGCCGAGCATGAGCAAGTCAAGCAAGAGTTGCGCGAGGAAGTGGCCGCGAATAAGGACAATCTTCTGGAATACCTCACCAAGACCGACTCACATTTGCACCGGTGCTTCATCGAATCCATGCGCGTCCGACCATTTGCCAGTAAGTCCGTGACTTGAGGGGTGGATACGAGGTATGTAAATATGCAAGCTAATATCGGACTCCTGCAGTCTTTACAATTGGCGAAGCTTCAGCTGTTGTGAAGAACTTTCACGGCGTCCTTGTGAAGCCCAATGTGAGTAACAACCCACACTGATCATCCTTTTCTACTGTAGATTGCGAACTCCATTGATGCTAACGAAAGCCTATTCTCTACTGCCTAGACCCAAATTCTTGTGGACGTCCTTGCGATCAACGTTCGCAACCCATTTTGGGGCCCTAACAGCGAGTCTTTCGACCCATCTAGGCTCATGAGTATCAAGCAGGCTGATGTACGTATATTACTATTCACTCTGATTCTCAACATTAACATTATCGGTGTCATATTCATCATTCTTGTAAATGAAAAGATGAATGAATAAAGAACAGAAAAACCACCATGAAACCCAGACCCATCTGGGCAGTCGCTAGTCATGTACTGTTGGCAGAGACTTAACTGACTCTTTGTGCAGCTCCGATACAACCTTCATTCATTTGGGATTGGCAGCCGCAAGTGCATGGGGCAGTATGTTGCAGGGCATATTTTGAAATCACTCGTGGTTCATTTGTTTGACACCTACGAGGTTTCCCTTTTGGAGGGCAACCAGCCACGCACCGGTCACGAAACCAACAAAAATAGCTGGACGCCCAAAGCTGAGGGGTCGTTGCTGTTGACTAAGCGAGACGGATGCCTGCATTGATTCGTGGCGAGTTCCAATGATGTTCCGCAATGAAGACCTCTTTTCATCTTGTAATCAGTGCTCCAGATACTGACGAGAAGCCAATATTGGACCGGGCATGTAGGGACTTGCAGCTTTCGAATAATATTTTTGCATCTGTACAGGCAAAATCTCATGATGTAATTCTATGTGGGATCAGTCGAAAGATACTCAACATTGAAATATTGATATATCAAGTTATGCGCGATGAAACTGCATAATGAAGCACACCATTGCCCTGCACATATTTTGACCAAAACTGCCCCAAGTGACTATATAACACTTGCTTCGAGATTAGTCTTACTGCTCAACTAAAACCACTGCCCCTCACCGCCCCCCCCGGGGGGGGGTCTCATAAAGTGAGCGAGTGAGACAGAAATTCGAACAGGTGATCGCTTCGCAGAGCCAGAGGATATTCGGAAGTGCGGAGTAACAATGTACGGATTTCCAGCGCAGATTATCTTATTACTAAAAGGAAAAGGAAAGCAGAGAGAAACACCCGAAGCCGAAGCCGATTATTTGGTGAGATTGACCCCTGACTGCACCAGCATACGTCGATCCCGACCCCGACCCCGAAAGTATATACATAAATACGTGTAAAAACAATACAGCGGGTGATGTATAAATTTTAAATTTCATATTGCAGTCTTGTTCATATCAGAACACCACTCCATCTTATGATCAATGGTCCGCGGGCAAGCCTTGGATAAGTTAACATTACTCAGCCTGCCCTCGAGGTCATACTGTCATGGCGTCCCTTGTCCCAGCCCCAGCAGTTGTTGCTGAGGCAGAACGATTGGTTTCGATACTGAGGAGCCATTCAGGGTCACCCGCTGACCAGGCAAAGGCAGTGCGGCAGTTGGATAAGCTCCGATGCGTCCTTCACACTGGTTCAGATGCGCTGATGTTCCAGGCTCTACCGGTAGGATATAAACAAGAACGGCTTGGGGAGGGACAGAAGAGCTCACGTTTGATGCATGGAATAGTTCCAAGTCCTTCCGGCGCTGAACGTCTTGTCAGACTTCCGGGTCTTTGACGTTGTGCCACTCAATGGCAGCATATCTGTCGAGGCTCTTGCCGCGGAGGTCAAGCTGGACCCTACCATCCTGAGTAAGAATTTGCATTTCACACTATGTTGACTAGTCATCGTTGTCGAAAACTCTTGGGTTAGATAGAAGACTCGAGGTACCAGCTTAGGGCTGACACTCACGTTTCCCAGGCCGTTTCATCCATATTGTTCTTACTCAGGGAGTCTTTCGTGAAATTTCTCCTGGGTTGTACGAGCACACATCCGCGTCTGCTATTTTCCGCTCGGATCAAGCAGCCAGCTTCTTTCGTTTGGGGTAAGTACCTCCATCTTCAAGGTTTCTCTCGGCAGACCATGTCCCCCTTGCCAGCTGGCATCCTCGAGTACTACCTGGAAGACAGGCAGAGAAATAACCCGCCCGAAACACAGCACAATGCAGTTCCCAAACTGGTGGAAGGTATCGGACTACCTGAAAACGCACTCCGCACGGGACGCACAGGAGGCCACCAGAGTGCCGTACGTCTGGGCTCACGGAGGGGAGGGGTCCATGACGTACTTCGACGCCATCGAGGCCGAGCCGACCGTGGCAGCCGCGTGGCACGACGGCATGACCATGATTGAAACCATGCAGCCCGTTGGAGGCATGTTCGCTTTCCCCTCAGTTCGAGCGGCCGTCGAGGCGGAGCCACACCGTGCCTTCATTGTGGATGTTGGCGGCGGGCGCGGCAATGCTCTTGTCTCCATCATGCGCGAGTGCGGCAGCTCGTATGGAGCCCCCATGGTGTTGCAGGACATGGCCGAGGTCTTGGAGGGCGAGGACCCCGTCCGCATCGATGGGGTCAGGAACATGCCGCACAACTTCTACGATGTCCAGCCTGTGAAGAGTAAGTAAACGTTCGGACGCATGGTGCATGGCCTCGCAATAGTTGACACCAGGTGTTCTTCTCAGATGCACACATCTACTACCTGCGTAACGTCCTGCACAACCACTATGACGAGCGAAGCCGGACGATTCTGCGCCGCATCGTGGACGCTATGGGACCAACTTCCCGGGTACTCATCGGCGAGATGATTCTTCCTGGGACTGCTGCTCCTGGAGCTGACCCGTTCCCGTTTTTCATGGATCTGAACATGTTCATGGAGGGAGGTATCGAGCGTACAGAGGAACATTGGGGAAGATTGCTCGGAGAGGTCGGTCTTCAAATTGAAAAGATCTGGAGGCATCCTGACAATCCCGTGCAAAGTACCATCGAAGCCAGGATCCAGAAGTAGGGGTTTCCCATCAGATCCCCTAGAAAAGGAATAAACACGGCAGTCATCTGACTACATTAACGTATCAACTAGATTTAGATGAATGAGAACAGTATAAAGTATGGCCCTTGAATATTTTACAATAATACCAAAGTTTGCATAAAAAGTATTTGCAACTTAGCGGAAGTTGTTGACTCAATGAATAGGTGAATCAATCTAAACACTTCACCTGATAATATACCTGATGCTGATACATGAAATTGTATATAAATGTTGTCATTGAACCAGGTATAAGATAGTTCATTTGAATAGTACATAACTAATACCAGTAGCAAAGCTATTATAAATTTTCAAATGTGATTCTTGACTTGATAAATGCGCAGCTATAGAGATAGTGATAGTCCCAGTAAGCCTTAAGCTTCAAAAAGCATTGAAGCCCAGGACGTCAAGCAACACATAGCCTCCCCCCACTTTGCATGACAAACTCATCGGATCCTACAGCATAAAGGCCATACATGAGATAATCCGGATCATAGTCATGCTTAATCTGCAATAGGCGGTCATAATTGGACCCATAAAAGGCCTCTTTCCAGTCCCCCCGGTACGTAGGATCAATCTCGTTGAGCACTGCACCACCGGGCGTCGCGGCCTCTAGCGCCGGGAAGATGTCATCAACAAGAGTCCGCCGGAGCACTGACTCGTCCGTAGGGTCTGACCAATCGTATGCCTCGTGCGTCTGGGGGTTACAGTACGCAACAGCATCGCGCCAGGCCGGGTGGACGGCGTTGGGCGGGTGCGACGGCCGGGGTGAGCCGGGCGAGTTGTCCACGTTAAGAAACGAACATCCGATCCACCAGGTGCCCCCTTCGGTGATGTTGCGGTACAGGTCCATGAGGCGCTGGTTTGTGGTTGGGTCGAGCACAATGTCCCGCGGAATAAGCCGGCTGCCTATGACAGGGTAGCTGGGGCAGAGGTCTCCGTACGGCAGTGGCCCGTACGATGCGATGAAGCTGTCCAAGTAGCTGGGATACTCTGTCGTGTTGAGCTCGTAGCTGAGGCCGAGCCGGCCCAGCTCGAGAAGGAATGGACTCAGGAGGTCGTTGATAGACGAACTGTTCTGGTCCGGCATGACGAAGTTGAGGATATCCAGGGTATCGTTTGTGACAAAGGCCTGGATGTTGTTGCGGGATGTGTTCACAAATGAAGGTGCAAGACTGTACCATACCCCAATGGCCTCGAACAGCGCCGTCGTGTTGTCGCTCGACACTGTCATGGTCCCGCCAGCTACAGGACCTTCCGGATAGACCTTGAAGGTTGCGCTCAGTACCACGCCGTACGTCCCGCCGCCACCACCTGCCAAAGCCCAGTATAGATCGGATTTGTTCTCGGGCGTTGCCACCACGTAGTCTCCGCGTGGAGTGACGACCTCCCATTCGAGGACCTGGTCAGCTGCTAGCCCGTAAGCAGTGACGAGCTGCGACTGGCCACCACCCTGGGCGTAGCCACCTACGACGCCCGTCAGCCCACACTCTGGGGCGACCATACGGTAACCCGCCTCCTGCACGACCTCATACGCCTCCCCTGCAATCACTCCGGCGCCCAACTTGATAGCAGGCCCGGAGTATTGGGGCCCCGTATAGTTGGATATGATCTCTGTGGATTTGAGGCTGTACGTCCACAGAGCCAGGGCTCCAGAACCTGTGGACTTTCCCAGGTAGCTTGATCAATAATCAGCCACTACTAGTCAGCGCCGTGTTCCCCGGCTAGTTGTGGGGGTGAGAGGCTTGTACCTAACCCTGATTGCATGAAGACTTACTCAATACCTGTGTTTCTTATCACCAAGCGAACGTGATTCTCCTTTGCAAACCTCAAGCCTGCCTGTACATCAGCAGGCCCAGTCACGTTGATGGAGTAAACAGCTCGGTTTCCCAGCTCGCAAGCCACTCCTGGAGCCGTAAAAGGCGAGCAGGATTGATTCTGCCAGAAAGGGTTGAATATTTCGCCGGGTACCGGACAGCTAATTAAGTGATACCATCAGCCCAAGGCCACGAAACGGGTCGGCGGCGATTGGCTCGGATGACAAGGGGTCTGGAAAAGGGCAATAAGATAACAAGAAATAAAATGTAGGAAATAGCACAGACAGTGTTGCCGGACCGTCGTTTTGAAACGCCGTCTGTAGAGCTTCACACGCCACCTGGTCGTAAGTAGCAAAAAGCCCCTCTCGATGGCATACGTGTGCCACGGGAACTGTGAGCAACAGCCGGCCACCCACGGTCATGTTAAGCCTTGCCCAAATCTCTTCGTTCGGCCAGCCTTCGTCTCCCGGTAGAAATCTACATGATTGCGGACTAGTTCCGTTCAGCACAGCAGCAGTGAGGCCATGGGCGATGGAGAGAGTTGAAAGAAACAGGGACAAGATGCGTAATGCCATTATTCATGGAGAGGGATCAAAACGTAGCAAGAATGGATAGCGGTGTGCGACCGTGCAGGAGGTATTGTTCGTTATCCTGAGGGGTGAATCCAGAGAGGATCGCTGCTGAACGCTCAGTAAGCAGGCTGGAATTGTCCATTGATCGTGATACGAATCATACGATCCTTGATATCCTGGCTCTCATTGTTTATACCGCGCAAATTACTACGACAAAACCGCTACCCCGGGTTATGCTGAGCTTTCGGTGAGATCCAAGAAGACGTGCGGGCGCAAGATCCTTCGCTTGTATTATTCATTCTCTCCAGCACTCAGAGCTTGGCAAGCTTGGCAAGCTTACGACTCGGTGGCTTCGTTCGACAATCTGCCATTGACCCTTGTCTATGATTCGGTCGAAGGGCAAGATATTCGGAGCTGAAGAGAGCTGATATATGCGGTGGGCTACTCGGCTCTTCTGATTCAGGGCTGTTGAGCAGGCAAACGACAATTATGCAACAGAAAACACGAATCTGTACGAGGATCACTGCCTGATCCAAGGTGTATCTAGCCCATCCAGTCAGGGCGGCGAGAAGTCACCGAAACCTCAGGATAGAGCATCAGACCTGGTTAAGACCTGGTTAGAATATTATAGCGGCTACAATAATTAGAAATTCCAAACTCAATTTTTGAAATAATAATCAAGTAGCTTCGCTATATTTACAAATATATATATATATATATATTTTACATGAGAAATATGAATGGAATGAACATAGTATTATTATATGAATACGATTTAATCAATACATTCTTTTAATCTTGCAGTAGAGAAAGTAACAACTTAATAATGTTTTAAATGAAAATATGTTAAAAGTCTCTCGGCTCATGCTCTTAGGTAAGACCGAGAATGTAACCCCTACGCCCTGCACCATGGTTCAACACGCGTGCTCAAGTGCTCTTTGGCCTCGGCAGGGATCGCAAAAGAACGTCATGATTAAGAACCTTAGGAACACAATCACTCTCGCAAATCCTGATCTAGATCTATGCGTACAGCCCGTACAAAGACAGGCGGTGTGAGATTTTAATATTATGTACTGATTGATGAGTTGGACTAACGTTCAACGCATCTGAATCGGTAGCCATCATTCGAGTTGCCGATCGCTCCCGAAATCCTTCCGGAAATCCTTCCGTTGCGCGGTGCCATAACGCAACAATTTTGTCCGGCGGGAAGTTCCAGACTACCATTTTGTCCCGCCCGGGCCTCAGGTAAGCACCCAACCCACCATGAAATCGGTCCTTTAGTAATGTGAATGCATATCGAACCTGGCCCGGTCCGTCGACATGGATACTGAAGCAAAGCAGGAGCCCTCGCACGCAAAAACCCCCTCGGGCGCAAATTGCAACTGAATTGTGATTGATTTCTCGAGGTCGTGATCACACCCCCCCCCCCCCCCAAAAAAAAACAATGGCTCACTACTCCTTCTAAAGTTAAGCGTAGCTGCAGCTTGATGTTTCTGCTTCATCACCTCCATACACAACGACCCACATATCCCAAAGTCCATCATTGCGCTAAGACCTCCAAGGGAGCCTGTATCTGATTCCTGAACATGGCCGTGATGCACGAAGACGCAGACACGATGGATTCGACGCTGAGGCAGCATGAAATGGCAAGGCAAAAGGGCTCCGGCGATGAGGAAGCCGACAAGCCTGTCCGAAACTCTAGCGACATTAATGGAATTAATGGAAACCAGTCTGAGAAGCAGGAACTCAACATGTACCCGACTGGCATTCGTTTGTTCTTCCTTGCTGGAGCATCCATTATGGGCGTCTTTTTGATTTCATTGGACCAGGTCAGTGGTGTCAACGCTCCCCAGACTCAACAGCTCGAGAGTAGATTTCATGATCTGATACCACTACTGACACAATGAGCAGACCATTGTCGGCACCGCTATTCCTAAGATCACAACCCAGTTTGGTGGCCTGGGGAACGTGTCTTGGTACAGCGCAGCGTACTTCATGACCTTTGGTGGTCTTGAAGCCTCGTGGGGCAAAGTGTTCAAGTACTTCGATATCAAGTGGAGCTTCATCCTTACCTTGGCCATCTTCGAAGTCGGCAGCCTTGTCTGTGCTCTTGCGCCCAGCTCGGTAGCTTTGATAGTTGGTCGAGCTCTTGCTGGTGTTGGTGCTGCCGGAATCTCTGTGGGCGGCACCAGCATTGTCGCCTTCAGCACCCCGCCTAAAACACGGCCTATCCTTATGGGCTGGATCGGGTTGACATACGGCCTCGCTTCTGTACTGGGTCCTGTGATAGGCGGCGCCTTTACAGAGTACGTTACGTGGCGGTGGTGTTTCTACCTCAACTTGCCTGTCGGAGGGCTCGCCGCAGCCATTGTCCTTCTCTTCTTCCACCTTCCGGCTGCGGCTAGGCCTCCCCCTATTTCGCTCAAACACAAACTACTGCATCTGGACCCCGTCGGGATTTGTCTTGTCATGGCAGCCATCATCTGCTTTATTCTTGGCCTCCAGTATGCAGGAACCGTGTACCCCTGGAAGAGCAGCCAAGTCATTGGTCTGCTTGTCGGCTTTGTCGCTCTCATCATTGCCTTGATCTGCTGGTCCATCTACATTGACGAATGGGCTATGCTGATCCCGCGCCTATTCAAAAAGAGGGCGCTTTGGAGTGTCTGCCCTTATCAATTCTTCTTTCTTGGCGACCTGATCCTTCTCTTGTATTACCTTCCTATCTATTTTCAGTCTGTCAAAGGCGCTGGTGCGATTCAATCTGGGGTCGATAACTTGCCCATCGTCGCGGCAGTCGCCGTCTTCGCCGTGGCCGGGGGCCTTTTTGTTGCCAAGACAGGTGAGTTTTCATCTCTTGCGACCCAGGCTAGCTTCAAGATCCAGGCTTATATTTCCCTGGACATGAGTCAGGACGACTTCTTCATCATTATTCTTTATTTTCTTGAGGCTAATCATACCGGTGCGCTTACAGGCTATCCTGCACCAACCATGTTTGTTGGCGGGCTATTTGGTACAATCGGGTGCGGATTGCTTTACACGCTAGAGATCGACACGCCAACAGCAAAATGGGTTGGGTATCAAATCCTCACCGGTGCTGCAATTGCTTTCTCGGTTCAGAATGGCCTCAATATTGCCCAGGCTAGTGTAGAGCCAGAGGACCTTCCAGCCGTTACGGCCAACCTATATCGTGAGTATTCCATCTCAGCTCTCCTCTCTTCGTTCCGGGGCGAGGCTACTCAGATGCTGACGAGCTGCCCAGTCTTCCAAACGGTCGGCGGGGCTTTCACTGTTTCCTCGGCCGAGGCTGCCTTCATAAACCAGGCACTAGTCAAACTGCGCACGTCAGCTCCTGGGGTCAACGCGTCTAAATTCATTGCCACGGGCGCTTCGGAACTCCGCACCGTCTTCACGGCGGAGGAGTTACCCGGTGTACTCGTGGCGTACATGCATGGACTCAAAGCCGCCTTTGCCACTTCGATTGGCTTTTGCGGCATCGCTTTTTTGGTAACCTTCCTCGTGCCTTGGGGCAGGCTGCCGACCCATTTGGATGACGCTCAAAAGAAGGATGCATCGGCCAGCGAGTCTGCATAGATTTATAACCCCCGGTTGTACCAAAACCGGCCAGTGGCCGCGTAACAAATAAATTCCACCAAAGTGTCCTTGTACTATGTTACAAATATTGACTTTATTGAATTTGTGCAAGAAAAATGTGTTAAGAAAAAATGTGGACACATTTTTCTTCAGTAACCTCCTATTTCGGCACTCATTACGGGAGGAACGGAGGTAGTGAGACGGAACAGAGGCAGCGCCCGTGGGCTGATTTCGGCACTTCATACGGGGAATTAGAGGTAGTGAGAGCTAGGAGAGCAAGCAGCCTAGGAAATACCTTGCATAGGAATTACTTTCTCCAAACTGGATTTCTCGAACTAGAGATTGTGAGGCTCCGATATGCACACCCAGGTATAAAGGAATAAGCACCCCCCCCCCCTCCCTCTCTCTCGCTTAGTATCTGAGTAGAATCCTTCCGTTAGATGGACGAATCAACCCCGGTCATCCGGCTTCTGATCTCAGCCCACGTTAGCGAATGGACTACGCCATACAAAGATGTCCCTTTAGCCTTCGCCAATGATGAGAGGCACTGAGTAAGTCCTCTCAGATAGTGGACACGAATACGCTGCATGGCTGTCGCCGGTGACAAAAGTGATAATTCGAAAACTGGGGTTGGTAATCCGTCAGGATTATGGAAGCCTAACAGCATGCCGAGCCTGACGGCGTGCAGGCAGGTCCAGGGATCAGAATAGCAGTTCTGCCAGTCTTGGTTATGAAATGCACACATTAAAGTTGCAAAGATGCATGTCGTCTTACACCATCTATTCCTACATGAGGCCATTACGTCAAATAACCTTGTTAAACTGTATGCGGTTCAACTCAAGCCTTGTACGTAATTCACCGATCCTATCAGTGATATGGCGTTGCCGTTGTGCAGCAGTGCTTATAATGAAGTGCTGATAGGCGTTTAAGGTGTTTATGATACATTTAATTACGACTAAACAAGTCTTCAGATAATATAAGAAACAACTGATTTGCTGCACGTCACACCGGGGGACACAGGATCACACGGTCAAACCAACCTGTAGAACAACATCAAATCGTCATATAAAGACCACGACAGACGTATGCATAGCATGGGACCGCCTCTGAATACCACAACCACAACGCCACGACGGCAGTCCTGTGATCGTTGCCACGGGCAGAAGTTGCGGTGCATACGGCCATATAATCGCAAGAGCGGCACGTGTGAGCGGTGCCTCCGGAAGGGCGTTGTATGCGTGTACAGCTCGAGCTTGCCTAAGGGGCGCCCCTCGCTGTACCGCCTCAGCGACGTGCCATCGGCGCCAAAGTCCCCGAGTTCATCCACCGCGCCGAGCTCTACCACTACCTCGACCCGTGCGGGCGCCACGTTGGATGACACATCCGAGAGTCCGAATGCGACCTCCCCGTTCCCAGCTATGCCTGCATCACCCATACAACCACCCCGAGACCAGCAGTTTGAGAGCACTCAATTGGACCCACAGATCCACGGCTTTGCTAATTTCTGGCCCTCGTGGTGGCATGACGACCAGATCGGTGACAGCATGCTAGGCATCGTCCCGACGGCAATACCACCATTCATCATAGACCCTGCGCTTGAAACCCAGGCTGCTCTTTCAGTCGGACAGGACAAGGCTAGGACACCTGCAGGAACTGGAAGTGGGGCCGGTGGTGGGGCTCATATCGATGAAGACGGCCGTTGCTTGGAGAACGAACAAGCAGAGACCCGCAGCGTGGCCAAAGGGATCCACGAGAGCCGAAGCGGCGCCGCATCTACCGTGAATGACAACGGCTTTGAGCTTAGCGTCGTCCATCTGTCCCGGCTCAGCACACGGCTCTCACAGTTGTTGAGCCCCTCACGGACGTTCCTGGCAGAATTCCTGCACACGACCTGGGCCTGTGAGGACAAAGATTCGGCAGCGCAGCTACAACTCGGCATCGAAGCTGTCTTTAAGTCCGTTAATGATTGGCTTATGCAGGGACCGGCGCCCTCGGGCCCTACTGCTGCGCCGCCGCACCATCTGGACGAGGAGCCTCAGAGCCCTATCGATCTACTCCAGCATATGTTGTCGGCATCCAGCCACTTGCTGAATATCGTACAGAACGTGCGTGAGAGCACTGTGAGGGCCAGCGAAGCAGCACCAAGCCCCTCGACCTCCACGACGGCCAAGGCGACCGCCACATGCGGCTCGACATACGATCCTCACCATGGAAGCCATGCCTATTTGGTTGCTCACCAGCTAGTTATCGTCTGCGTGACTCTGCTCCTGAACATGGACGTGACGATTCTGCTCGCCCTCCAGCGCAGCGCTGACGCGCTCAAGTCTCAGCAACAAACAGCATCGCTCACGGTTGCCGCACCCGCCATCATCAACCAGGGAATGCATATGGGAGAAGTCCAGGGCGGCCGCACGATGCATAAAGCTGAGCGAGTTCATCTCCAGCTGGTTACTGTAGTGCAGTTTTGCGCTCATTTCATCCGCCGCCAGAACCAGACTTTGGACATGCTCGTAGCAAGCAGCCAGCTGTCCAAATTGCATGACCCGCGCGGTTCGTTAGAGGCTGTCCGTGAGCTGAAGATTGAGGTGGAGCAGCAGTTGAAGCAAATCCAGAACAGCCTTTGCACAAGTAGTTAACATCTAAAACTTTAGCACATTTTGTTAAAGCCCATCCAACATGCAGATCACGAAACGAGATACAGGAATAGAGAACCCAAGAATGCTAATTATTGGATCCAACATCCAGTATAGCGCTTATGTAACTCAGCGTTAGTATCAAAGGAGCAACTAATAGGTATAAATCGCAATAGTCATGGAGCGGTTTTTCTAATCTAAGTAACAAATCACCGCAATTACTCGATAATCCCGATATTTCAGTAATGAGTAAGCAGAGTTAGTATTAACTATAATAATATAGCAAGATTAATATGAATTGAGAGAGATATGATAAATATATATAACGACAGAATATAACAGAACAGATTGCAGAAAAACCATCTTGACTTGTAACAAAATAAAAGAAAATGAAGCGCTATTAGAAGCATAACGCGGTTATTTATAAGAGCGGCAATAGCATATAAGCTAATTATACACAGCATATAGTACGTAGTACCTGAAATAATGGATAGATAGATAAGAAGTTATGATAATAATAAAGTAAGAGTATTATAAGAAGGAAACTAGGTAGCTTGAAGATGCTGTGCCGGGATTGCAGAGAGCTCACAGAGCCCGAAAGTCCCCTTTCCATAAGACTGCTCAGCGAATGCTCTTCTCTCTTGAGTACGTAGTGATGAGATTCCGGAAGAAGATTGCAGAAACCTATGCTGGAGATTTTTGTTTAGGTTTCAAGCACAATGTTCCCGTCAGGTTAAAAAGTGTCCGCATACTTTAAAAAGGTACTGTTTACTATCTGCAGTAGAGAAATAGAAGAAGTGTGAATGACGATATTGTGATTACCTTTATTGAGTAATTGATATCTACAGCTTTTTTTAACCTATTTATTTTGTATATTTAGATGTTTTGGATTGCAGCAGTGCTCATTATATTTTGTTTTCCTTTTCTTCTTGGTACACTCGATTCTTTCATTGCAATTCTCTACTAATTATACTCATATGTATCTTTCTTCTAATGCAGATCGCAATATTTTTGTAAACATTGCAACATAATCAGGCCCAAGCATTGTATAATGGCCACCCCCAACCCCATGCAATCGAGGTTCCGTACGGCAAAAGTCTTTCCAGCACATCAGATGTTGGTTCACCCACTCACTTCGAGAAGATGCCGCCACTGCTAATGGTTCCGCGTGAAATATGTCCAGTACAGATACACAGCCTGATAGCTCATAGTCTATAGCCATGCTCTGTAGCCCAAAAGAGACATCAGCCCACCGAAAGCAGCGCAGCCTCATCCATCCCCAGAGCACGTAAGCGATCTTGATCAGCCGAGTTCAGCACATGTTGCAACGCAACCACGCGAGGCTGATTGCTGTAAGCCGTGTTTTGCTTGATCGTATTATCGACATATTCATCATCAAGAATTCCAAGAAATTGACAAAGATGCAATAAGCACATGGGCCAGGTGAGCTGCCGCATGCAATGCTTGATGTGGGGCGGCGGGAGGTTGAAGCTTCCCAGGAACCCAACAATTTCCCAGGAGCTTTCGAGTTTTTTTCGCAGTCTCGAAAGCCAACATCGCACCATAGCTATATCCAGCAAGAGCATACGGTCCATGTGGCTGCTGGCGCTGAATTGTTTCTGCATATATGTTTACAGCGTTGATGACGGATTCGAAATTCTGTTCATTGGTCTCGAAACCCCGAGCCCGCAATGCGTATATGGGCCGCTCGTCATCTTTCATATTTTGAGCTAAGCTGATGAAAACGAGAACTCCGCCTACTCCGGGATGAACAAGCCAGAGGGGTGTTTTGCTGCCGCCAGACTGGAGGACGACTAGCTTCTGACACGCTCCTAGCATACACTCAAATTATAAAGAGTCCAAGCACTGTAGAATACATTAAGTCGAAGCACCCCCTTGTGGACACCCCCCCCCTTGTGGACACCCCTGGCCAGCCACACCGCATATATATATATATATATATATATATTGATTTATATACATTTCTCTTCCTAATCAGCCACCACGATGCAATCCTCCTCATCAGTAGGTAATTCGGCATCGTTCTCTTCATCTAGACTATCATCATTCCTATTGACTGCATTTTGAGCCTTCTGTATAGCCTCAATATTTGCAAACCTCGAATTTGAGCTTGTATCCACCTTCCTTCTTTTAGTTAGCTTTCTAGCGTCAGCCTACTTTTCCAGTATCTCATTCTTCTCCAAAGCTCTATTCAGTTCAATATCCCTCTTACTAAATGCTTTGCATATCTTTCTGAAGAGTATACGTTGTACTAGTAAAGATGAAAGCTGGTGCTGATTCTGCTATAATTGATAATATAGATCTCAAGCCTTGCAAGGCATTGAAAAGATAACTGGCTGGCTTGAGGAGGCTTTCAGAGTATTCTGAGCTGCTGTTGATATTGTTGATTTTGAATTTGCCTGAATTTGGATGAACTGAGGAATGTTCTCGAGGAGAAGAGGGCTGAGAAGTAGCTTGGAGAGTCTAACAGGCTATAAGCCTGAAGCATTTCATCCAGACTTGATATTCTAGCTCGAAAAGCTTTCTAAGCAAGCCTGATGATAGATTTCGAGAAATATTTGCTTGCTAAAAACTGTTGAATCCTTCTACTAGCTTATAGAACTAACTTTTCGTTTATATGCTTTCTTGAGAAATGAGAAAACTCTTAGATTAAGAGGCTAAAATATATAAGAAGTATGAGAAGGCAAGTAAATCAATAGGATATTGTTTTGATAGTATTGCTATATAAACTGTCAGGTGGAAAGGTTGCAAAGGCAATGTGGCGAGGTCTTTTCTCTCTTTCAGGGGCATACAACCAGAATAACATTGAGGCCTAAGGAGCTAAGTTCTGCTCAGCAGTGCTGATGTGGCTAGAAAGCCGCTTTATAGCCGCATATTGCTTAGTCATCCGTAATCCAGCTAGCTTAGCTGGCTCTGAGCCTTGCTAGCACAATCGGCCCTGACAGATTGTTCCCCCTTATCAGGCCTTGTCCTCAAGGCTTTTGAGGCTTCCAAGCTTTCGTTGCTTTCAGGCTTCCGTTGCTCCCAGGCTTCCGTTGCTTCCAGGCTTTCGCTGCTTCCTAGCTGCTTCTATGCCTTCTCAATGCTTCAGGCTCTTAAGATCTCTCAGTGCTTCAGGCTTCTCAAAGCTTCTCAAGATCTCTCAGTGCCTCAGGTTTCTCAAAGCCTCTCAAGATCTCTCAGTGCTTCAGGCCTCTCAAGGCCTCTCAAGGTCTCTCAGTGCCTCAGGCCTCTCAAGGCCTCTCAAGGTCCCTCAGTGCCTCAGGCTTCTCAAGGCTTCTCAAGATCTCTCAGTGCCTCAGGTTTCTCAAGGCCTCTCAAGATCTCTCAGTGCTTCAGGCCTCTCAAGGCCTCTCAAGGTCTCTCAGTGCTTCAGGCCTCTCAAGGCTTCTCAAGATCTCTCAGTGCCTCAGGTTTCTCAAAGCTTCTCAAGATCTCTCAGTGCCTCAGGTTTCTCAAAGCCTCTCAAGATCTCTCAGTGCTTCAGGCCTCTCAAGGCCTCTCAAGGTCTCTCAGTGCCTCAAGCCTCTCAACCATCTCCCTCCTTCTCTTCTAGCTTCATCCCCGAAGCCTGTAAAAAAAAAAATCTCTTTTTAATTATATTCCAGATATAAGTTTTCCGAGTGCAATACTTATACTATATATGCTGCTCAGTTGCTGCTCCCTCAGCGCTTTATCCAGATATTCTTCAGAACTTAAAGCTGTTTAATATAGATTGCAAGCTTTTCATTAGAAACTTAGTTTGCAACTAAGAAGCTTAGTATTCAGAATAGCATCCCTGTAGCTATAATAAATAATTATAGCTTTCTATCTTAAGAATTGCTTTCTAATAACTCTGAAGCTATTATCATACTTCGCTCTACTGCTAAATACAGAAGAGTAATTAGTTTGCAATCTAATATTCAAGCAATTTTAGTTGCTAAGCAGATATTCTGCTTCAGCTCTGCATTCTTGCTCAAATAGCAAAGAGTATACTCTCGAAAATAGAAGATATTTAGATCTACTGCTTGCTTACTCTGCTTTCTTATTTGAATAGCAAAGAATATACTCTCGAAAATAGAAGATATTTAGATCTACTGCTTGCTTACTCTGCTTTCTCGCTTGAATAGCAAAGAATATACTCTTGAAAACAGAAGATACTCAGATCTACTGCTTGCTTATTCTGCTCTCTTGCTTGAATAGCAAAGAGTATACTTTGTTCTAGCTTAGCAATTCGAATGCTTTAAATCTCTTTTAAATGCTTCTTATATGCTGCTTGCATACTGCTTGCTTGCTATTTGCTCTAGCTTAGCAATTCGAATGCTCTGAATCTCTTCTGAATGCTTCTTGCATGCTGCTTGTATATTGCTTGCTTATTATTTGCTTTAGCTTAGCAATTTGAATGCTCTGAATCTCTTCTGAATACTTCTTGCATGCTGCTTATATACTGCTTGCTTGCTATTTGCTCTAGCTTAGCAACTCAAATACTCTGAATCTCTTCTGAATGCTTCTTGCATGCTGCTTATATACTGCTTGCTTGCTGTTTACTTTAGCTTAGCAACTCGAATGCTCTAAATCTCTTCTGAATGCTTCTTGCATGCTGCTTGCATACTACTTGCTTGCTGTTTGCTCTAGCTTAGCAACTTAAATACTCTGAATCTCTTCTGAATGCTTCTTGCATACTGCTTGCATACTGCTTGCTCAATACTGCTTGCTTGCTGTATTCAAAGCTTGAAAGCTCGAAAATTGAAAGCTTGAAGATTAAAAGCTCGAAAGTTCGAAAAGGATAATAGTCTGATCATTTGCTCTGCTCCTGCTCAGTATTAGCGCTGCTCCTAGGGAAAAAAAAAAGATAGAAAGCCTCGCCAGATTGCCTCCTTTAAAAGAGCCAGGCCTCAAACTGTCAGGTGGAAAGGTTGCAAAGGCAATGTGGCGAGGTCTTTTCTCTCTTTCAGGAGCATACAACCAGAATAATATTGAGGCCTAAGGAGCTAAGTTCTGCTCAGCAGTGCTAATGTAGCTAGAAAGCCGCTTTATAGCCGCATATTGCTTAGTCATCCGTAATCCAGCTGGCTTAGCTGGCTCTGAGCCTTGCTAGCACAATCGGCCCTGACATAAACTAATCAGTTGTATAGCTGCTATAGCTATTCAAGACTAATAGTTTAGCTTCTGAGGAATCTGTTAGCTAGCTGCTTGAAATAAAGATCTTTTTCAGCTATTCAAGAATTATAGCATTATTAATCTGTTTATTGCTCGTAGCTATAAACTGCCAGCTCTTAAAAGAGTTCAAGAAGAGAAGAAACTATTGCTATTATATTGTTTAGCTCTTGAAGATTACTAGAGAGAAGAGATAAATGCTTATAGCAGAGATATACTTGAGGATTAAGATTCAGAATCTCAATCCAGGCTCTTTTTGATAAATTGAATATAAAGAAGAGCTTCCAAGAACTAATCTGTTCTTTCCTTAGCTCTCAGCTATTCCAGCTTTATTCATATTTCATTTATTAGCTGATTTAATAGCTTGAATCTAAAGAAGATTAAAAAGATAAAATTAAGATTATATTATCTTTATTATAGCTTTATTAATTCATTCAGAAGCTATCTATTTATACTTTTATACTCTTATCTCTGGATTTCTCTTCAAAAAGCTCTCAGTCCATCTCTTCTCTAGCTCTCGAGTATCTTTCTGAACCTCAAGAATCCTCCAAGCAAAGTGCTTGAGCTCTGAGTAGCTTAGTAGAAGCTCTAAGCTTTCCTGAACAAGAATCCATTCAGCTAACTTCTTTTCCTGAGGAAAGGAGAGCTTTTGCTGATGTTTATAAGCTGTTTGATGCGATTCTCTTCCTGCCAAGCGATGAAGAAGAGTAGTCCTCGGGATCCTGTATTCGCATGCAGCTCGTTTCTGAGATCAGCCTTTTTTGACAGCCTCAACAGCCTGGGCTATCTCAAACTCGGTATATGACTTTATTATCGTTGTATGAAGGCTCTGTGAAAAGATGAAGTTATTTGAATAAGAATTGGTTGAGAAAAGGTTATAAAAGAAGAGGTGGTGGAAATGGCGGTGTGGCTGGCCAGGGGTGTCCACAAGGGGGTGCTTCGACTTGGTAATTGGAAATAAATAGTAGATAGCAACAGCAAATAGTATTTAAAAATAATAGTATATAATAATCTTACTAGTAGTATCCAACAAACCCTACTGAATTCTGCATATCTACAGAATCAATTCGATTGTAAGCCGCATGAGAAAATACAGATGCAAACCAAAGTTCCAGCGAGCTGAATCAAGCGTCGTAGGAATCGAAGTCGAAGTAAAACTGGAATTGCCACAAGTCTCTGGTTTTGTCGATTGTATTGAAGCATTCTTGAGAAATGAGGTCGGCGCGACTCGCACATATAACATAGAGAATATGATTCCATACAGTAGGCTTTATCAAGTTTTCTATTTCTTCAGATCCGTCCACAAAGTATCCGGTATGCAGTATCGGGTACGTAGGCGGAGTCTGACCTAGAATACGCTGCAGAGCTTCGAGGTTATCCTGGGGATAACCACCCTTTGATCCACTCCGTTAACTTTAATGCGCCAGGGTTACAGGAGAACTGGGATGAAATAGACACACTTACCCAGCCAGTCGCTATCCGTCGTGTCCTGTAGTGGGTGGTTGGTACTGGTTCCAACTGGAAATTCCAAATGGGGTCGGTCGAAAGGTTCTCGAAGTTCACCGTCGACGCCAAACAGACAGGTGAATTCGCGGAAGACGCTCTGAGATGTTTCTGCGTGTTCGGAGTAGACTTTCATCAGGATTGTTTGGGTCAGCATCTGCTTATAGATGAAAGCCTCGTTGAGCTCGATGATTGTCTTACGTAGAGACTTGACCAGCGGGGCACTATAACCCGGTTCAGATGATCCTGGCCGGAGGGCGAGCAATCTAAATAGTCGCACTTCTAGATCGTTGTCGCTGAGCGGTCTGTGAGGATAAAGAACACCTAGGAAACAGGACTTTTGGGGAAGTAGATACAGTGTGCGTTCTCATTGACAGAAAATCTACATACCAGGGTACGAGCCGATCTCAAAAGATCACTATGTTTTCTCTCTTCATAATGAGCTAAAATCAATGGCTATAAATCTCCTTTAATTATCACTCGTATAGCAACCCGCGTTTCGTATAGGTTTCCCTTACCGCCTTCACAACCAGGCCTCCAATATCGTGAGATACGAAGATGATAGGCCGCCGAGCATCCTTCATCGCCATGAATTAGCAATAGCTGTGCAAACTTGGTCGATCAAGTGCAACTTTACCCTGATATCACCATTGCGAAGCTCTAGAAGCCTTTAATGCAGCTCTCTCGTCATCTTGTACATGCCACGCAAGGTATAACAATTTGTAGAGCTATCGCCAGGGTCATATACTGTGCGAGGCCAGGTGAGTCACTGGCCCCACTATCGCCAGCCAACCTCTGTCTATAGCCTCAGATAGCCAGCTGTTTTTTCCTTTCTTTTCCTTCCTTTTCCTTCCCTCAGCGCAGTCCCATACAGTTCATTTCCCATATATACGAATAGGATGACTCTCGCGGATTTGTCTTCATCTGAAGAGAACGCCTGATGAAGCCACAAGCGACCTGGTTCGTCGAGTGCGGCCCATGCCTCTCTGCTGTGGCCGCAAAGGCCATGAACAGCAATGACACTTATTGATCCGAGGTAAGTCGTCAATGAGACCACGGATGGCGAGATGCGTTCAACCACTCTTGCCTGAGGCTGTACTCACTCGATCCCAACGCTATCTAGCCAAGTAGGCTGGGTGGCAGAGACTCCCGTCCTACGGTCTTCTGAATTATGAACGATGACCGCCTCTGCCTCACCATTATCGGAACTTGCTACTGAGCCCTTGATAGTCTCTGGCCCTTCTGCATCGGCACTTAGCTCAACATGGAAGACTATAACAGAAGCTTCAAGCACTTTCAGTTCGAGTCAATCCTACAATACGTAGGTTTTTCTCACATTCAGTTCGTACTGAAGGAAAACAATACCGAGCAAAAGGAGCAAAACGCAGGGACTGGGGAATCCTTTCCTATGGTCGTTCTTTTCGATTGGTTGCGGAAAGAAGAACGTGTGAAGAGGATCGTTCGGGTTATCGTAGACGGCCTCGAATTTCCGCCACATACAAATGAGGCAGTGGAAAATGCTTGTGTTACTATATTCCACATTCCTTATGTCAGGCGAGGAGAAGTTGATAGTGACACAACCACATCTAGCGGCCCCGGGGCCCAGCTCATGCTCCCAGGCAAATATTATTGATCAACAAGTATGCTCTACTTTGAGCAAATGTCATTCATGCACAAACTTCGTTCAAGAAACCCAATTCTTGGCCAATCTCTTCAACATGATGATTAGATTGCTGACAGAAGTGGTCTTGAGTCAAAGCGCCCGAGCATAGACGCCAGAATGAGTCTGCTGCCACGACCGAGAATAACGCGAGAATGGAAAACGGAGCTGGATTTCCGATTTCTATATAATAATTAGCAGTGTGGATTCTTGTCCTATCTATGCACTTGAGTAAGCAAAACATTGCATGCTGTTCCAACCCCCAAGATCCAAAAACGCATCGTCAATATTCGTACAACCAGAATAATCGTAAGAGTCAGCACCATTACTATCTCCCGTACAGCGGGATCCCTGATAAATAGTGCAGAAGCCATTCCGGATAGTAAACGACTTCGGTTGGCTGAATGTCCCACTGGAGCATGAGTTCGGGCCGTCGAACCCGCCTTGCGTGAAGAATCCGCAAGTATCCCCGTCCAGGCCCGTCGGCAGGTCGCTCTGGATCGTGAGGCAGGTTTCGTCGGTACTTTGCGCTCCGGTTCCTTGTAAAGCATACTGCAATCCACAATTGTCAGCTATAGATAGCAGCCTAATGCTGTGAGCAGATATAGCCTTACGTAGGAGAAGTCAGATGAGTCCTGATGGTCGCAGCTTGCGTTATACTGTGTATAAATTGTTAGCGTACTGAGGATATGGATTGTGTTGGGCCTGTCTCGGTGGTTATTTCTTACAGCTGTAAGCTCCCAAGTTGCTGCCGCTGATGCTGCCGACGAAGTCGTAGAAGTGGAGGATGGCAAGGCTGACGTCGGGGATGAATTTCCGCTGGACTCTGTTGTCCCCGCAGTAGACGTAGCCGACCCGCCGCTCGTAGATGGAGAAGGTGTTGATTTTGTGGAGGATGGGGAGGTCGAGGGGTCTGATGAGACCGAAGACGATGTTGGGGAAGAAGAACTAGAAGATGGCGCCGAAGTTGACGACGTGTTAAACCCGAAGGACGCGATGGTGAGCCCGTCTGTTGCAGTTTCGGCGTAGAATGCCAGTGGGATTGTTGTCCCTGAGACAACAGTCACGGCGGCGGAAAATGCGCTGGCGTAGACCGAGCTGATACTGGCCGATGCATTTACAGGACAACTTCCACCTTCTACGGTCGTGGACGCCATCGCCGAGGTTGTGGTTGCCGTTGTGCCGGTCACACTGCAGCCAACAACCGTAGAGCATTTCTCGGTCGTAATTGTTGATACACTGGAACTGAAGTCTGTTGTTGAGGTGCTTATGCTACTGGCAAGGATCATGGTGGAGCTTTTGTAGGACCCGTCAGCAATACTCACCATTTTATGCAATAGGATACAAGAGCGGACAGGACATACTATATGGTTTCTGTCACGCATTTTGTGACTGTAGATGATGCAGTGCAAGACGCTGAGCTCGAAGACACTGAGCTTGAAGACGAGGCACTCGTGGTAGGTTTAGTGGTAGGGTCGCTTGTGGGCTCTGAGGAATATGTAGGATCGCCCTGCGAGTCCAATGTGATAGTCGGCATATTCGTAGAGAATCGCAGTGAAGATTCGACATCAGCAGGTGGTGGTGGAAGAATGCCAGGACCTGTTACGCCGGGGATGACACTATACCGGGGGAGGGAGAAAGAGTCAGTTGTTTGCGAAAGCCTCAAAGGAACAAGCCAGAGATTATAGTCTCCAGTACTTAATTTCAACCACGTGGCAAAGGCTCTCGAGATACGTACATGCCTCCATCACTGCCGCCACCCGGGGGACAAAACCAGCAATTCAACACGGGGATGATAGGCCACCCGTGAGAATCATGGGTTGCTGTAGATACTCCGGTTGTGGAATCGATTTTGACTGTACTCCAGTCGATGGTGATGACTGGAGGCGCCGTGGTGCTTGAGCCTGGGTCAGTCGTCGTCTCGGGGGTTCCTCCACTCTTGGTAACTGTCGAGCCGATCGGACCAGACGAGGTACTACTTGAGGCAGAATTTGTGGAAGCGACTGAGGAAACAGTTGTGGAAGAGACTGAGGAAGTAGTTGCGGACCCGCTCGAGGCCAGCAAAGATGACGAGGTCTGTGATGTACCATTGGTCGTGCCCGACGACGAAGTAAATGAAAAGTCAGATGAGATACTAAATGAGGCCAGCGTAGATGACGAATTCTGAGATGTGGTAGTGGTTATGCCCGACGATGGGGCACTTGACAAAGCAGATGAAGTACCAGATGAGGCACCAGATGAGGTACCAGATGAGGCACCAGATGAGGTACCAGATGAGGCACCAGATGAGGTACCAGATGAGGTACCAGATGAGGTACCAGATGAGGCACCAGATGAGGCACCAGATGAGGCACCAGATGAGACTTGCACAGTCGACGACGTTTGAGACGTGATATTAATCATGCCCGATGAAGTCAGGCCGAATGTTCCATGTGAAGTCGTTGAGCCGTGAGCCGAAGTTGTGTTCCTAGAGCTTAAAGAGTTCGACGACAGTGGAACTGAGGATCCAGAAGTAGACCAAAGAAAAGTGGAATTCGAGACGCCAGTGCTGGAATTCCCTGTCGATTGTGGTGTAGATGAACCCGTTATGATTATGCCAGCTGTTGCTATATTGACCAAGCAACAGATGGCCAAGGCCCATGAGCAGGGCTTGTGGGTAGCCATGACTTCAAGCTGTCGAAGCGAATGTATCGGGGAAGAGTGGCCTTACTCAGGGACGGAGAAGACCCAGCCTTCACTGCATAAGAGTGTACAATGCACGATTTAAATGAAAGCAAAGGTGAGCATTTGACCCGAAACGACCGCTCTGTTCGGGATGTAAAGAATGGAATGCGATAGCAGCTAAGATAGCAACAGGTTTATGAAAAGAAGGGCTTTTTGGAGAAGAAGCCACTTGGGACCATTATAGCTGAAACAAAGAGCATTGCGTTCTGAATGACGAGGCTGATATTGTGGCCCCAAGGAGGCCAGGAGCAAGCTGACGCAATTTTAATTCTGCAGCGCAAGAGTACTTACCGTGAGCTCCAGCTGGGATAATTGGAGAGCTCGCAGCCTTAACAATAGATGGATACAGATCACTTGTTATCATTAAGGAATGATCTTCGTATTCCGCCCCCAATAGCATCGGATCCGAGGATTATCAGAATCCTACCATCAGCAGGTCTCAATGAGTATAACCAAGGATCTGGGACCTGATATTAGCTGAGCTTGAAGACAAATTGTCGGCCTAGTGACTTCCTTTTACAACTGGAGCGAAGCACGGAAATTAAAGCATAGGGAACCGTAATGAGCCTTTGGACCCCAGGGCGGACTATATAAATAGATCAGAAACTGAAACTTGCTTCCAAAATAAGCTGTTGACAGCATAGTAATAAGATTGGTACTAGCGAGGACCCAACGCGTTTGTGGATTTGTAGCAGCGGAAGTCTTCGTGTTCTCCAACTTTCCATAGGAGAGTTCTTACGCTCGGAAATTCGATTCTCAATACTTCTTTGGAGGACTCCCATTTCGGCTACTGGTTCTTGAAGCATTTGCCTTTTCTTCGCACCAAACACACTTTACATATTACTACTTGTATGGGCAGTGGACATTATCGTTTAACTCTTCGTTCTTTCCTTTTTGCTACTCTCATTGTGTCCCAGTTTTGATGTTCCTTTCACCTATTTTTTGATCCTCAGCACCCGAACGATGTATCTGGTCATGAAGTTCTGGGTGGCCTTGAACTTGATTGTTGCGGTCGCAGCCTCAGAGACTTTGATTGCGTACAGAGTAATTAGCTCGGTAAGCCAATGAGAGTTCATATGAATTCTCACCTTTCTTTGATAGAGTGTCTATATAGGAATACTGGCTTTTGTGACAATATTCCGCTATTGTATAAGAGGCGCTGGTAGCTCGGGGTGCCGAGTACTGCTGATGTGCATTATTCAGCTGACAATCAGTACCTATCGCCCAGGGCCTAGCCGCACTATACGAGAAAAATGGAGATACAATCGTGATGGACCCAAATATCGCCTCCTCTAATCAGCTGGGACCGGGTGTGTACACGAGTCCTATAGCCGGAGACTGGTTTCCAACCCAGGGAAAATATGTTTGCGCTCTCTATGCCGACACAACCCAATGGAATCTCGCCAACAAGGCTTGGGTGCCCGAGACGGTTACGGCGAACTTCGAAACCCCTTCAGCAGATGAGCAAGGCTGTATCCCAGCATGGTGGATGGGGACGAGTACGTGGCTTGGAATTAACGCTCCTATACATCGCTGCTGTCTCTTTGCTGACTCAACGCGTTCCGTAGAACAAGAATTTGGCAGAGCGACGTACCTGAAACAAATCGGGGGGACGGGGTTCACTACGGACAATACAATTTTGTTCAGCCTGATTGACATGGGCGATCAACCAAAGACGAAACTACAGATGTTGATACCGGAAGCTCTGGTCGGTGGCAAAAACCCTCTTGGAATCAGGACAGAGTGTGTCAAGTTCGAGCAAAGCGCAGGTAACAATGGGGCAGATAGCTATGCAAGCATTAACAAGGGTGAGATAGACTGGAGCAGCTGGACAAACGTGAAAGGGGTCGTACAGTCGGTGGAATCCGAGGCGTGAGGAATTGATGCCGCCTTCAGAAATTCAGTAGTATAATATCTGGGTTCGAATTTACAGAGAAAATCGGTGTTTCTGAGGATTCTAGAGTTAGGAGCGTTCACGGTTACCACTCTGGGACATCGAAAAGACTTGGATCTTGCCTGGGTCGGCGATGCTCTCGCAAGTACTATACGTGGCGGAACCTGGCATATTTTTAGCACAGGCTTTTCATTTTTGTTGTGAGTTCAAGTTTGTCTGTTGTTTTATTTACTAAATGTTCTGTCTGCTTGCAAATTTCTACCTGCGTCGAATCCGAACAGACATAGTCACCGGAGGTTGTGCATTATTCCTATTCACAGGAAGCGACATCAGTGTCGACGTACAGTAGAATCAATCTATTTATTACATTGTATTTTCATACAGATAGTCTGCTTTGATGGGGATTTTTGCTTTGCTTGTTCTCTTCGGGGAAAATGCTCCGGTATTTCGTAGTACCTATCATACTTATCCAAAGTAGCGGAGACCTGTTCCGGAGGCGGCTCGCTGCTGGGTGAAACGGGCTGGGAGGAAAGCATTTCATTATATTCGCAAGTGTAGTCTTCATTGGGGTCTGCCGAGTCACAAGGCCTCTCCTTTGCTTACGAATGTTCAGACCTATAAAAGAAACGTTTTCTTTACTACCGAGACAAGCCTCTTCTACATTCTTCTTCGAAACTCATCACTCTCGAAATAGGTTTTAATAAAACATCGCCTCATCACAACAATTAAATATTTGCAATAATTTGGTAGCGGACCCCAATTTCGCAAACGGCTGTGCAACACTAAATTGAATAAAATAGTCCCAAATATTATATTTATCAAATATTGTTTCATATAAAATGTGTCAGCTTACGGCGGCCAGGATTGAGGGCAGAATTATCCTGTGCCGGTCTAGTCTGAGATCGGATATAATTAGAAGGTACTGCACGGCCTGTCTAAAGTAAAAGGACAACTAAAAATCATGTTCTTCCTAGCATTATTCACACATGCATTAACAAAGGAAAACATTATTAACTCGCAACAGGTTAAAGTACCTGTTCTGTTCTTTTCTAGGTACCAAGGCATTCCCGTGGGAAGAAACGTCCTCCAGAGTTGTATGTTCAGCCCAGGACAAGGTTCCTTCGGGTCGACCCGTCATCTCCCCACTTTTGTGGCAGCGCAGTGTGCTTCCGCCTTTTATTTAATACTTAGGCCACGTTGCCAACAGACCTGACTTCATCAAGATTTGCGCCGAACTCTTCCGTACCGATTCATTGTAGCGCACAGTTCAGGCTCCTTTGTTACTTGAAAGAAGGACAACGATCTATCCGCGAGCCTCGAATACTCGAGCACCAACCTCCCGACATGAATGAAGCACTCTGCTCCATTCTCACGGGGGAGAACGAATGGGTGTTTCACAGCGAGGGCAAATCGATCAAGTTTAACAATGATGGGACCGGCGAGGTGTGTGCTGTCCTGTTTACAAGATCACTGCCCCTTTCCCCCGATCTGCTTTGTTTGCTGATGACTTGACAGCTTTGGTGCTGTGAAGATGGCCATTTCTGGATAGCTATGGCGACTGAATGGAAGCGCCTCGAGATATCTGCGCGTGGCGGAGATGAGACGGCAGCCGAGGATGCCTATCCGAAGGGGGGGCCTCAGATTCTAGGGAAGCTTGAACTGGCAGTTACCCTAATGAAGCGACTCCCGGAAACGCTCGACAAACAGCCTGGGGCAAGGGGTTATGTTCTCAACGAGCGTGGGCTTACGGACGATGCATTCCAACCGAAGAAATATACTATCACGATCGAGAAAGGCAATTTTGTCGAACCTTGTTATATCGGGCCCTCGAGCTCGTTTAGTAGGAGGTATGCATTCCGACTTCTCTTTGACAAATCGCCGTATCCCCCGCGTTCTGAGTGGAAGCGACCCGAAGGAGGCCCTGATTCAGGCCATTTCTGGGATATCAAGGAGTTCGTTGGCCGAGAATATCCGGAATTGAAGCAGGGAAGGGCTATAAATGACAATGCTGGCGATAGCTGGAAGTATTGTCAAGTAATGTAGTTTTTTGATAGACGAGCTGACTGAGAAATAACCTTGTCGATCTCGTTTACATAATAAAGTGAAAATGAACAGATTCAAGATTTCTTGCATGACTCAAGATATACCAGCTCTGGAGACAGTATAATTTAAGCAATATTACTGAATCTTATAAGAACAGACTGCGTTTGCGTAAAAATATCAAAGTAGATCTCCCTATCCTAAAGTCAAAGTGTCCTCAAGGTAGAGAACAGTTTTTTTGGATAAGAAATTTTTTGGCGCTAGCAAAAACAGGGATAAGAGGATAATTTTTTTTTTCTGTAAACTGTTCTCAACTCAATTTTTAAGCTTTCTGTCTCATCTCAATTTGAAGTCTGGTTGCTTCCCTTGAAACTCTATTATTTCTAAATTTCAAGTTCTCATCATCTTAACATATGAAAGTCTTGAGGGAGCCCGTACTCACACAACCATGGCGTTCGTAGTTAGCAAAAGCGAGCTGCTGATTCCTATACCAGCTTACACAACTCACTTAGCCGACTCACACACAGTGGCCCATGCGCTTCTTAGACCAGCTGAATTAAGAGCGCTTATCCTAAAGTCAAAGTGTCCTCAAGATAGAGGACAGTTTTTTTGAATGAGAGAATTTTCGGCGCTAGCAAATGCAGGGGATAGCGGATCGTTTTCTTTTCTGCAAACTTGTAATGAGCGCACTGCAAAATCCGGAGATCTGAAGTATACAAAGGGTTTATGCTAACAAGAGCGGTATTGAAATAGAATCCACTGAATACGGAAATATCACTAAGTAATCTGTACAAGTACTAATCATTCGTCTTTGAAGCTATTCAAGTGTATTGTTATAACCCGCCCAGCTTGCAGATTACGAAACAGGCTCCAGCAACAAGAACTAAGCATTAAGACATCATAATAGCTAATCAACCAGAATTACATAATCAAGAGTTAGAATTATAACAGGGATGGATTATTTGGATCATTAGTAAGCCAAGTAAGCTGAATTATCTGAATCATCAGTAAGCCAGATAAGCCATACTGAAGAGCTGAATATATAAGAATACTATCAGGAGTAGCGCTCCCGCCAAGGCGCCTTCGGAGCGCTAGCAGATCACATGCCACTCTCTCTTACATAGCCAGCGTATCGCCTTCTCAATTCTGTTCCTGCACTCAGCAAGAATTAGTCTTGATACCATCAGTCTAATCATCAGGCACACCCTTCACGGTCCCTGCCTTCTGTCCATCTCTCTCTCCATCAATTGTTATTGTATCACCACGCAACTCGCCGCCGATACGATGCCTCCTACCCGTAAGACAAAAGGCGCTCATCTGGAGGCTACTAAGCGCGACTCTCCTCTAGTTGTGCAGCACCTCGTCTGTATGAAGTGCATCACAATCACGGAGTACAACTGCATGCTCTCCTCTGAGGAGCTTATTACGCTAGTTTGCTAGCACTTCACAGCCTCGTTATCCTCCTGCAATAAGTCGAAGCACCCCCTTGTGAACACCCCCCCCTTGTGGACACCCCTGGCCAGCCACACCGCCATTTTCACCACCTTTACTTTTATAACCTTTTCTTAACCAATTCTTATCCGAATAACTTCACCTTTTTACAGGGCCTTCATACGACAATAATGAAGTTATATACCGAGTTTGAAATAGCCCAGGCCATCGAGGCTGTTAAAAAAGGCTGATCTCAGAAACGAGCTGCATGCGAATACGGAATCCCGAGGACTACTCTTCTTTATCGCCTAGCAGGAAGAGAATCGCATCAAACAGTTCATTAACATTAGCAAAAGCTCTTCTTTCCTCAGAAAAAGAAGTTAGATGAATAGATTCTTGTTCAGGAAAGCTTAGGGCTTGTACCAAGCTACTCAGAGCTTAAGCATTTTGTTCAGAGGATTCTGGAGATTCAGAAAGATACTTGAGAGCTAGAGAAGTGTTATGACTCATCCAGCATGCAGGTCACGACAAGGAAGCGGCACAGCACCAAGGACGTCCAGAACGGACCCTTCGGCGCCAGAGATTCAACACTAGCCCACGGAAAGGATACATAACCAGGGTTAGGGTTATAATGGTTGCACAGTTGAAGAAGTTGATATCAACTCTGTTAACCAGTCGAAGGAATCGATATCGACTCTGTCAACCCATACTGAAGAGCTGGATATATAAGAATACATTCATTATCACTAGATAGATTATCAGAATATAGCTCTTTAGTTATCAATCTAAGTATTCATTTATTATACATTTAAATAGCTTCAAAAACGAATAATCAAGCACTTATACAAATTACAGTTATATTCTGTATTTAATAAATTCTACTTTAATACTGCTCTTATTAGCATAAACCTTTTGTATACTTTAGATTTTCGGATATTATAGTATATTTATTATATTTTAATAACTCTTGTTTAAGAATAATTTAGTATTATTCTCTTGAATAATACAGAATACAATAGTTTCAGAAATCCCTTTCTCGTTCTTATATTAATTTATATAGAAGAATCTAATTAATTAGATTCGCTTTCTTACTTAGCGTATTGAAGAACTTTAGTGTCAGGGCCGATTGTGCCAGCAAGGCTCAGAGCCAGCTAAGCCAGCTGGATTACGGATGACTAAGCAATATGCGGCTATAAAGCGGCTTTCTAGCTATATCAGCACTGCTGAGCAGAACTTAGCTCCTTAAGCCTCAATGTTATTCTGATTGTATACCCCTGAAAGAGAGAAAAGACCTTGCTACATTGCTTTTGCAACCTTTCTACCTGATAGTTTGAAGCCTAGCTCTTTTAAAGGAGGCAATCCGGCAAGGCTTTCTATCTTTTTTTTTCCCTAGGAGCAGCGCTAATACTGAGCAGAAGCAGAGCAAACGATCAGACTACTATCCTTTTCGAATCTTCAAGCTTTTAACCTTCAAGCTTTCAATTTTCGAGCTTTTGAGCCTTGAATATAGCGAGCAAGCAGTATTGAGCAAGCAGTATGCAAGCAGTATGCAAGAAGTATTCAGAAGAGATTCAAAGTATTCGAGTTGCTAAGCTAGAGCAAATAGCAAGCAAGCAGTATGCAAGCAGCATATAAAAAGTATTCAGAAGAGATTCAGAGTATTCGAGTTGCTAAGCTAAAGCAAATAGCAAGCAAGCAGTATGCAAGCAGTATATAAGAAGCATTTAGAAAAGATTCAGAGCATTCGAGTTGCTAAGCTAGAATAAAGTATGCTCTTTGCTATTTGAGTAAGAGAGTAGAGTAAGCAAGCAGCAGATCTAAATATTTTCTGTTTTCAAGAGTATATCTTTTGCTATTCGAGCAAGGGAGCAGAGTAAGCAAGCAGTAGATCTGAGTATCTTCTATTTTCGAGAGTATATTCTTTGCTATTCGAGCAAGAGAGCAGAGTAAGCAAATAGTAGATCTGAGTATCTTCTGTTTTCGAAAGTATATTCTTTGCTATTCAAGCGAAAAAGCAGAGTAAGCAAGCAGTAGATCTGAATATTTTCTGTTTTCGAAAGTATGCTTTTTGCTATTCGAGTAAGAATGCAAAGCTGAAGCGGAATATCTACTTAGTAATTGAAGTTGCTTAAGTATTAGATTGCAAACTAATTACTCTTTTATACTTAGCAATAAAGCAAAGTATAGTAATAATTTTAGAATTGCTAGAAAGCAACTCTTAAAATGAAAAGCTATAATTATTCATTATAGCTATAAAGATGCTATTCTGAATACTAAGCTTCTTAGCTGCAAACTAAGTTTCTAATGAAAAGCTTGCAATCTATATTAAACAGCTTTAAGTTCTGAAGAATGCTTAGATAAAATGCTAAGAAAGTAGCAACTGAGCAGCATATATAGTACGGATATTGTATTCGGAAGACTTATGTTTGGAATGTGATTAAAAAGAGATTTTTTTTTTCACAAGCTTCAGGGATAAAGCTAGAAGAGAAGAAGGGAGATGATTGAGAAGCCTTGAGAGGCCTGAGGCACTGAGAGATCTTGAGAAGCTTTGAGAAGCCTGAGACTCTGAGAGGCTTTGAGAAGCCTGAGGCACTGAGAGACCTTGAGTGGCTTAGAAGCCTGAGGCACTGAGAGATCTTAAGAAGCTTTGAGAGGCCTGAGGCACTGAGAGATCTTGAGAGGCCTTGAGAGGCCTGAGGCACTGAGAGACCTTGAGAGACCTTGAGTAGCCTAAAAGCCTGAGGCACTGAGAGATCTTGAGAAGCCTTGAGAAGCCTGAGGCACTAAGAGATCTTGAGAGGCTTTGAGAAACCTGAGGCACTGAGGGATCTTGAGAAGCTTTGAGAAGCCTGAAGCACTGAGAGATCTTAAGAGCCTGAAGCATTGAGAAGGCATAGGAGCAGCTAGGAAGCAGCGAAAGCCTGGAAGCAACGGAAGCTTGGGAGCAACGGAAGCCTGGAAGCAACAAAAGCTCGGAAGCCTCAAAGGCCTTGAGGATAAAGCCTGATAAGAGAGAACAATCTGTCAGGGCCGATTGTGCCAGCAAGGCTCAGAGCCAGCTAAGCCAGCTGGATTACGGATGACTAAGCAATATGCAGCTATAAAGCGGCTTTCTAGCTACGTCAGCACTGCTGAGCAGAACTTAGCTCCTTAGGCCTCAATATTATTCTGGTTGTATGCTCCTGAAAGAGAGAAAAGACCTCGCCACATTGCCTTTGCAACCTTTCCACCTGACAAAACTATTCTTGCAGGAACTTATCTTGAAAAGAATGCTTTTATCTAGTATGAATCTTCTCTGCATAACTACTTGAAGTATCAGAATAATTCTGATGCATGTATTCAGAGTATCAAGAATAGGTTTAACTTCTTTGCAAGCTTTGAGAAAGCTCTCAAGGAAATCTTCAGCAATTTTAATAAAGAATGCATTATAGCTTAGCAGCTCTTGAACCTTAAATAAACCAAATTAGCTTCAGTTTATATAATTAGATTTAAGCAACTCTTAATACAACTTCTATAGGAAGATAAGAACCTTATAAAGCACTATTATAAGGAATTCAAGAATGATATTAAGA